CGCGCGCGTTACGCGCGCGCGCCGCGCGCATGTAACGCGCGCGCCTTATTTCGCGCGTAACGCGCGCGCGCGTAACGCGTTATAACGCGCGCGCGTAACGCGCGCGCGCGCGTAACCCGCGCGCGTAACGCGCGCGCGCGCGTTACAGTTTTTGCACCTTAGAAAGATGAAAAATTATAGCTTAATAATAGATTATTAGCTTTATAGTTATACCGTACGAGGTCGAGAAAAAGGAGCATATTAATGAATTCATCAGCTGCACTCCTCTAAATCATTAATACTTGCATTCCCTGTTTCCAGCATGCTTATTCGAGTCTGATTACCATGAATCGGAATTCTTTTGTCAGCTTCATCATCAACGACCCATTTATTCCTCTCTCCCTCACCAGGACTACACCTCCAACGCCCTTGATCCTGAGGCTAGAAAAGCTGAAGCACAACGCCGTGTCCTAGATAAGCTTGTGCAAAGCGGGGATATGCCTCCAGGATGGGAATTGGACGAGAATGGAAATTGGACCAACCGCGAAACTGGAGAAAGTCTGTCTGATGATGAGTTCAAGAATCGATACGGACATATCCTGTCTGAGAGCACGTTATGGCAAAAAGAATTGGACATGAATTTTTGACTACATCGTATACTATATGGAATTGACTACATCGTATACTATACATAGGCATAATATTACAGTAGGACGACATATGGTGCCAACCACAAGTGCCACATTTGCATTCGGTGATGAGTCTCCTAGTTACTTGATGACTGAATGGAGTAAAGAATACAACAATTACAATCTTCACGCCCCTTTCTAATAAATCAAGAACAAGAGGACAAGGCTTTGCGTGACGAGCTCAACGCAAATGAACGAAGCACGCGGGGTGAAGGTGGCTCTCCAGTGTTCAATCAAGACCGGAATGGTGCTCATTCTCGTAATGTAGGTAGTAGGACAGGTACTGCGGGTCGTGGCGGGGTAGGAGGTGCAAGCTATGGCCATGGCGACGGAAATGGCGGTGCGGGAGGGGAGCTTACGTCTGAGGTACATTCGATTTTTAGGTGATGTTGACGACCAACTTGATGACATCAACCTGCGCACGTTCTTGATTTTTGTTCGCAAACCGATTCCAACTGTCCTCTATTTTACCCACCTACAGGAAATCCAAGACGGTATTTTGCAACGCGTATTCATTGCAGCATGCCAGGGTAACAAAGCAAATGGCCATTACGTCATGGTGCGGTCGATCTTTGCAGAGTACCAAAGGAATTTGTGTTTGATTCTTCGTAATTTGAATTTATACAAAAAACAGAATTGCACATCCTCAACTGACTCGTCTTGTCATCGCAATTATCTCTGATCTTTCCTAATTATAACTACCACCACTACAGGTTCCTCGACGAAATGGATATCTGCGATTTGAGTGGAGCAAGCCTTGTAAAGATCTTTGACAGACAGATGAGTCTCCAATCTCTATGGACCTATGCGACACAGGGCCTCGCCATAAGAGAAGGACTTACGTATGAGTTCTTCAAGCTTGCGCTGCACGAAATCACACGTCTATCGAGGGTGACGTTCTCAGATTTTGTTTTGGCGTGTTAAGGGGTAGATACGTGTATAAGTAAGAAGAGAAGCAGTAGAATTCATGTTTTTCGTATTGTCATCACTACGTCTACGGTGAAACTCAAAATCGACTACTTATAGTTGCCGACAAAAAGCATCGTGCAGTTTCTGTTTAGCTTCAGCGAGAAACAGCAGTTTTGATCATATTGTAAGCACAACATGACGAAGTAGAAGGTTGTTATGAACGAGTTAGTAGCAACTAGTAGTAACTGACATCATTCAACAATAACAATAAGTAGGTAAATGAACAGCGACAGAGAGACGATATTTTAGATTCACTTATACGACACTCAAAATTGGAAGATCACACGCAGAGAAAATGCAGAAGGTGCATTTGTTACATTTACGTTACGATTATTGTAAACAACATTCACACAGACATTCTCATCATCATACTCCCATAGCTGCGACTGTCTGAGTAGCAGAGCACGACATGCGCACGAACAGGTTTTTCTCGTACGAAAAACTCCTGAGAGTGGCTGAATAGTAAACATTTTTGGCCGAAACAAGATATCCAAGATATGATGTGCACAAAATACACCACACATTACGCCAAGTGCAAGTAGAAGCCCATACAGAAGAACACACACTGAAGATTGCAACATAAGCAATGCGCACGCGCACCGACACAACATCAACAGTACAAGTACATGAAGTTAACTTATAACCGTAACGAAACGATAATCAGCACGACAACAATGAATGCTCGAGGTAAAAACACATTGATTAGTTCGCTAGGTAGACAAAATCATTTTTAGCATAGGTCACAAGCACATCAACGGTATTGATTCATCTTTTTCATCACCCTCAAGAAACACACATCACAAAGAACTTGAAATGAGTACAGTAAAGAAGACACAAAAGAAGATCCAGCTGCATGTATTAACCTGAATGCAGCACACTCTCAGCGTGCAGCGGATGGTTTGATCGACTACACCGTCGATCCCGACCAAGCATGTTCCACATGAGCCTATGGTTTGATAGACTTCGTCGTCGATCCACATGAGCCCCTTGCCCCCTTGTTCCGCGTGACGTGAAAGTCTGCTGAAATGTTACTTTCCATGAAAGGAAAATGATAGATCTGTGAGAATCAAACAGCACATCAACCACTTCCGTATACTTACACCCAAGTCATGAAGAATTATAAAAATGAAATCCTATCCATGTCTTCCGAGAATGCAAATCACGAATGAGTTTCTCGTTGCGCATCATGTGCGGAGATGTGAATCGGAAATGTGAATTCGTTGAGAAAATCCGTCATGGTGTCCGGTCACTGCTCCAAAGAATCTTCACGCGTTCATCATTTTTCTCGTCCTTGCTCCATTTTATCTATGTCAATCTGCCTGCGCTTCATCCCTGTCCATCAATCATGTTTTTACAATGCTGCTTTGATGAATGTTCTTGCTGTAGTTGAGTCATTAATGAAAGAAGTTGAACTTCTACTTGAAGCTGAATGAGAAGTCGTTTTTCATATTCTACTTGCAATCTATCAGGAGGACAATAAGCAAGAGCATCAAACATATACCGGAAGTGTCAAGAGGCAAAAAAAAACGTAGTTTTTGATGTATTGAGTGAGAGACGGCGTCTGCTGTGTCACTTATATGAACAAGAACTACAACCAAAGTGTGAACAATTTTCGATTCCTACCATAAAATCAATAACAATAGACTACTTCTCTGTCATTATTTGAGGGTCCCCTCATTGCTTGCGTCCTCTTCGAGCTGTATTCGCAACGTCTATTACATTTTGCTCACTCAAACCCGTAAGATTCCCTCGTTTTGTTTACGACCACGACTGCGACACTTCGTTCCACTCAACTAGTAGTTTTTCTTCATTCTTGCTTCTAAACGCCCTCAATTGATCCGTACATTCATCTACTTACAGTCCTCTCCCCTAAGCAAAAAAAATGGTGTACATGCAAGAGCAGACCTATGGTTTCGCCCCTCCAGACTATGGACAGAAGCAGAATATGGGTGGCGGCAAGCACATGGGCGGAGGCGGCGGCAAGCCATCAAATAACATGGGAGGCGGCAAGCAAGGGGGCGGCAACATGATGGGAGGCGGTGGCAAGGGCTTCCAGCAAAACCAGGGATTCGGAGGCAATATGCAACATGGCGGTGGTAACATGAAGGGCGGAAACAACATGAAGGGAGGAAACAAATCCGGTGGCGGTGGTGGATTTGGAGGTACTAGACCACGACTTGTGCTAATAGTTTGGTTCGTGAAGCGTGATTCGTGACGAGCGCGAGATCATCCTTTCTATTCATCTGTCAATTTTTTGCCTCTTAACAATGTTAATTCCATGTGGACATCGGTCATTTGGCAACGACTTTACTCAGGTCACCTTCCTCGGTGCTCGTCGACTTTACACAGGTCACCCATCATCCTCGGAGGTTTCTATCTTCCTCTGGTCTTTCTTTTTTCTAGTTAGGTCGGCTCCACCACAATCTATCTAGACTCCCGACCTCCATCTCGCATCTTCAGGCAACAAGGGTGGAAAACAGCAAGGAAAGGGAAAGGGTGGCGGAAAATCAGGTGGCAAAGGCAAGGGTGGCGGAAAGGGAGGAAGTATCATCATTTTTTGAGAATGGTTGTAGTAACCAATGCATAGGTTCTTGATTCTTGTAGTGTACTACTAGTTCCAGTAAGCAAGTTGTATCAACACGAATACGACAAGGACAACTGATTCGTTCCCTAAAAAATAGATCGACACAGCACGAAGAATTCAATCAAATGATTTTTGATTTTCTCTTTGCTTCACTAGAAGATATTCAACTTCTCGCTCCTAAAAAAATTCACGAAAAATCAAACTCTCCTCACTCAGAAGGCGGAAAAGGGGGCAAAGGATTTGGCAAGGGTGGTAAAGGCGGATACGGTGATTATGACGAGGAACAGATGGACGATGGTGAATATGGAGAGGAGCAAGTTGAAGGTACTAGAATCTATAAATATAAACTTAGTGCTTTCATCTATCTTTCCTCTGCATCCTAAAAATTAAGTCTTGAGCCAATGCATCGTGCTAGGTAAATGAATGAATGAATGAATGGAAAAGAGCGTCAAGTTCTGAAGGTACTACCTATGTATACAGTATCCCCCTATTGGAAGAACTACTGCAGCTAATGTACGTGAGTGGAAGAAGCAACCTGAGATGTACGAATGCACTCCCAAACCATAACAGAGCAAGAAATCATCGACATGACGAATATCACGCACTGCGTCGAGGACTATGAGGCTAGCGAGAAGCGGGCATTTGCGTTTGAGCAGGTGCTAGCGAACAGTAGTTGCGACTCATGGGCAACGTTGGAAGGCCCGTTGAACTGATATGTTAAGCGACTCCAGGAGATGATGGAGAAGAAGTAGATGCTGAAAAAGAGACGGGAGTATTTCTATGTCTGCCTGTTCTTGCGTAGGAAAATACAGCAGTAGTCATATTGATTCATTGTGCTTCTTCACTAATATGGTTGGATGTTAACTAAGGGGAAAAGGTTGTCCCAAGATCAATCTAGGGGAATCTATCGAAATCGTTTATCTTCACAACTAATTGACACTGTTTATCAAGCTAATAGTACACTTATATTTTTATTTTACCAATTACACTTCAAAAAAAAAGGACGACGGTTCGCGAGTAGTAAGGATCACACGACTCATAGAATATTTTTATGGGTGTGCTTACTCGTCAGGGATGTTGAAAGCGACCGTGCGTTTAATATATCCACTCATTTATTTATTACTTACGACTTCAATAGCAAAAAAACAAGATTTAGTACGTTACAAGCAATCCTCATGTCGACATGAAGAAAATTCAAAACTAAATTTTATTTCCAATTACCCAAATCCTAGTATTACGAACTTCATGTTTATTATTTTACCGAGTTGTTGTCAACCATTAGGACTATGTTGGACGCAGGCACCAACCTACTCAGGCATAGTTGTTTTTACGTATCTTTATTATCGTTGCGGGAGCAGGTATTCAGTGCATATCTGATTGTTTCTGAGTATGTAAAGATCATTTCATCTTCATGGGGTTGTTCGGGTGTAACAACAGCGTCCAAGTTGCAGCACAAAGAGTCGAAACAGTTGCACGCGTCGTCAACAGTTTACCCCGTCTTCGTAACGCTCCTTCATCTACGTTGACGAAGGTGGCACTTCTGGTTGGCGTGCTGCAGTTGTATTCGCAGATCGTCAACACTACTACTCTTCATACGCAACGCGATTCCAAGCATTTTTTTGCGATCTGCTTGAGATTCGTTGGATATGGTTAGTTGTTAATGATGAGAAAAACGCGCACGCAACGAACATCACGATGTTATAAGTCTGGCCTGGAGTTGTAATACCACTTCTAACTTCAAAAACTCTACAACCCAAGATGAGTATCTGAGGATCATTTACTACACATTGAGATTGAGATTGATGTTGTTTAACCATCATGAAATTAACTTCCACTCCGTTGTTGTTTATTTCAAAGATATTGCAAGTTGGTTCTATTTACCGACAAATTCTAAAAAGAACACGAGGGGGTTGAAAGTTCTAATTTAGAGGTGATTCATTATTTCTTCCTGATTGATGTAGATGTTGTACTACTCTAAGGCCTAAGCAAATTACAAAAACTTTTACCCATGTATCCAAATATGAGCAATAATAAAAGCCTATTTACTAGAAAGAGAGAGGAAAGCCGTTTAGGTTTATTGGAATCTCAAGCAGGAAAAACAGACAGTCGATAAGAAGTCTTGTGGTGTAAAAGGACAGGACTTATGTTTTACTAGTGCGACGACGGAGCAGGAACAGCTCGGGCCTCTCGGCGTTATGTTGAAGCCTGAAACGTTTGTCGTGTTTCCGTATATGGCTACAAACAAATGTCCAAGCGAACTTACAATTACAAACACGCAGCGTCTCCGTCTCCTGCTGTGCTGCAGTCACGACGGCGTCGTCGAATGTGAAGTTTATTCATCTTCAGAATCATTGAGCATGGCCTTTCCGAATGGAGTTTAAGCGAGCACTCTGGGGATCATTATGTTGCTAGACTCAGATGATCATCATTCTTGCTTGCTACTGCGCTAGACGAGTTAGATGCTACTTTGATTCCTATGTTGACTACTCTTGTACATACGTTGGGGTTGTGGGAACGCAGTCGCAGCAACCTCGTGCTGTGAGCTTGCAAATTCAGGGTGGATGGTGAATCCATGAATTTCCATGGTCTAACTAAGTATCTGAATTTGTGCTACTGGATGGTATCTACAACTCTAAAAAAATGAATACTTGTTTTCATTTTGATGTCCGTTGCGACTAACTAATTAGTATGGGAGGTAGGGAGATGAAGTAGTGATGTTAATAAAAGTAGTCTTTTTCACGCATCAGCCATTCATCGCTAGTTCGTTGAAATTCAACAACTTTATGTACATTTCAAAATCTCTTTTCCAGTACAAGCATAATCATCTTGTAATTTTTTCCGTCAACATGATTCATGTGTCAAATATAGAGGTATCTAAAAAAAATTGGGAGATCCTTAACTACTGTCAAGCATAAATAATACAGTATGTGAGTCATTGTATTGTTGGTCCATCGGAATGCGAATGCCTATTAACAGACTCATAACAGAAAAATTATGATGAAGTTGATGTAGCCTTTTCATTTCCTATTCATCATGATCTTCAATCAACGAGCATACACATTATTGATTTTTCTACTATGTAAACCTAAACGTAGAAGTTGATCATTCACGCCTCTAACTTCCAATCGAGTTTCGACTTCGTGACCCTCGAAGTTACTCATGAAACCCTCACACAAATTGATGTGTGTCTAAGCTGCCTCTCCACTCATGGTCTTTACAATGTTGCCTTACATTTACTATGTATTCGATATTACTACAACAACTTCCTACTTAGGACTTTATCCTTTGATCATGTGAGTGGGTGTTACACATAAAATACATTGCTGTGGTCGTTCTGACCCGTCCGCCTGGAGGACGAAGCGTTCATCTGTCCTCACGGTCAAGCAAACGTGTTCTCAATTATGCGACTGGCTAAGTTCTTCAAGATCAACCACTTAGGAACACGAATTGTTTACACATTATGCTGTGCTAGGGAGATTCACCGACATTTGCAGTCGAGGTTGATCCTGAAACTGAAGCTCCTATGACGATGGACGATCGTGCTTCCTCTTGCACATGGATCCCGTGTCAAAACAGTGATCCATTCATCACAAAAATGATCCTCCAGCTGAGTTACAACTAGTACGATGTGAACATTAAAGCTGATTCCAGTCACTAGTTGGAGCCACATCTTGCTCCTTTTCCATAGAGCAGTTCATACCTACAACAGTCAACTCTTTAGAACCAGAGGTCTGATCTGAACAGGCATAAAATCAATTCAGAGCGTAAAATCAATCTAGAGTACTTCTACAACGACATCATTCAATACGATTGGAAACACTGAATTCATTAAAAGAAAATGGGCAAGCGTTTACGTGTCTCAGCGGTTCACTCCAACCGCATCAATAAGGGAGTACGGAAAGACGAGGCCGCCGTCGAAAGCTGGAAAAAACTACCGCGAAAAGCCAAGCAGAAGATTGCCAAAAAGCTTGCGAGTTTGTCATCTTCAAATGGTGATGCTGATGGTGGAGCAGAAATTGTTGGCGGACAGAAGGCCAGTAAGAAGACTAATGCGGGAGTGCTGAAGAGTAAGAGTCTAATAGCTCAAGCGACAGCAGCAGACGCGTTCTTCGGCAAGAAGAATATCACAATTCAAGGAAAGAAACTCTTGAAGAAGGGAAAGCTTTCAATTGGCAGAAGAGCACTCGACGGATCCAAAGTCAAGAGCGGCTTGAAGAAAACCAAGACTTCTAGAAACGCCACAAGGATGGATTCCGACGACGAAGACGTAGACGACATCATGAATCAAGATGACAACTACACATCAACGGACACAACAAGCCCTGCACCTGTCCCTACATCAAAGTTTTTGTTTCGGGAACAGAAGAAGGAAGCAAAGAAGATGGAACAGCGAGAACAAGACTTGGCGCAACACAACGCGGTGATGCGCATACCAGAATACAGGAAGAACCCTCTACATTTGCTGAAGCAGCATTTATTGGCATCTACATGATGAGACACCTCATCTGGACATCCATTCATAACGAACACCCACACATGAAGACAACCTGTCGCTGTCGTCCTCCTTGACTGCATTTTATCAATCGAGAGAAATATTCTTGATCCTTGGAGACATTTTGTTCGATGCCCTGTGATGCTGACAGCAGTACTGAGAGAGACAGTACTAGGTGTAGAGATCCACACAGAGAGTTCATGCAGCAATTCTTTGTCGTGACACGCGAGTTTGAGAAATTGAAAGTAAGCATATCTTTGAGTCTCGTCTGAAACTGAATGTCCCCAGCAGTTTGGAATTCAAGAACAATTGATCATAGATTTCGTTTCATGTCAAAAAGGCAAAAAACAAGTATGTCTTCGTCAAAGAATGCTTTCACCGTGGTGCTCGGTGCACAGTGGGGTGATGAGGGCAAAGGAAAGCTGGTCGATATATTGTTATGGCCGGATTAAATTCTACTTGCCTATCTAAATCTATGCATAGAAGCCTCAGAAGAAGAGAACCCTTGTGATCGAATTCAGGTTACCAGATACCGGAGCCGGAATATGCCAGTCACTAGTCGAAAAGAAGGTAGTAGCACTCTTCTAACATCAGCAGGACAGGCCGACATTTGCTGTCGATTCAACGGAGGCGCAAATGCAGGACACACACTTGTCGTGGACGGACAGAAATACGCGTTTCATCTTTTGCCATGCGGCATGATAAATAAGGTACTTTCTACTTTAACTTTGCTAATTAAAAACTCATCTTCAATACCCCACGAGGAATGGGCACACTACTACTACTAACTACTAGTTGCCTCATATAAAATATGGTACATTCAAATAAGGTATAGGTACTTTCTACTTTGCCATTTATGGTCATGGATGCGTTTCATATATTTGTTGTTGCGGTAGTACAGCACTTACTATCGGTGTTGTCCACCCAGAAGAGCACTTCCAATAGACCCGCTTTTTGAAATAACAGTCCTGCCTCAACTTAGTCGGGAATGGCGTCGTCGTTCACATCCCTACGATGCTCAAGGAGCTCGACGCCCTCAAAGCCTTCGACCCCAACGCTTTGAACCGACTAGTGCTCTCCTCACGTGCTTCTCTACTCCTTGACGTGCATCAAGAGATAGACGGCTTACTCGAAGCAGAGAAAGCAGGAAGTGCTATTGGTACGACGAAGAGAGGGATTGGGCCATGCTATTCTTATGTCGACAACAGCACCCTATGTTTGTCTGTGTGCAGATATTAAATTACAGATAACTTGAACTGCTTACCTTGGTTGAACTGTTTACCTTGGATCATGATGATTGAAGATTAGAACTTCGAGGATCCCGCTACTTCTAATCCCGAACCAAAATTCTACGAAACGGCCTAAGATTGGCGGATCTGTTGCATTTCGAGACAGCATTCAAGCCGAAGTTGAGTGAGTTGGCGGCCTACTGCAAGGCCCATTACAGTGTGGATATCAACCTGGAAGCTGAATTCGAGAAATATCGCGAGTACGCTGAGTTGTTGAAATTAAGGTGGGTAGATCGGCATTCCTCGTTTGCATCTGCTTGTGCCTCTACTTGTTCAGTTCGTTGTTTTTGTTACTAGATCACCTACGCAAAATCGTACCTGGAGGCGCTGTCGGACCAGGAATGTTGTTAGAGACGCAGACGTAACAGTCACGCTGTCGACCTGCACTAAGAAAAGATAGGATACAAGATACAGTGGCGATCTTACGTGACTATTCCTTGGCCGGCAAGAATATACTAGCAGAGGGTGCAAATGCGGCAATGCTGGATATTGATTTTGGTACTAAAAAGTAATACTTAGTTATGAAAAAGAGTACTCAGTCTCAGTCATTTCGTTTGTTCTTGTTTGAAGACTGGATCCAAGTTGCAGTTATACAAGAGGAAACTAAACAGGTACCTATCCCTACGTGACTTCGAGCAATACAACGATTGGCGGAGCGCTCACAGGTCTCGGTGTTCCTCCGCAGAAGATTAAGTCGATAGTGGGCGTGGTCAAAGCCTACACGACTAGGGTCGGCGGCGGTCCATTTCCAACGGAACTCGAAGACGCAAATGGAGAACATCTATCAAGGGTAGTTACCTTATCTCTAGCTTTTTTTTCAGCATCAGAAAGCTTTGAGAGACTGGACGAGGCAGCGAAAGGCGGTGGAGTGGCCACCGAGGTAAGTGCCTTTTCAGGGCACCGGCGCGGGCCCCTGTGATGGCCCTCCGAGCCCCCTGCCCATCCTGCCAGGCGCTTGGCCTCTCTTTGGAGCCAAACCCGAAGAGATAGAAGCAGACGACCAGAAGAGGCTGACAAAGGGCCCCGAGGCGTGGCGTCGCACTGGCTTCACAGTCGACAAAGGACCCCGATGCCTGGGGGCGCTTCTGGTTAGTGTTCGAAGCGGAGCCCGAGGGGCTCACACCTTCGCCCATCCGCATGGCAGCCGGGTGTGTCTTGTCTGAGCAGGCTGCGTGCAGCTTGGAGGGCTCCCGGATCGATAAGGGGAGTCGCGTAGGGAGGAACCAAACCCGCCACACGTCTAAGGCCTGCTCGGGTTTGTGGCTGTGTTGCGGACTTGGAGTAGTGTAGAGAGGTAGCCGCTGCGTGTGCTTCTTGCTTTTGCTTGCGGGGCTTCGTGCGGTCACGCCTTCCAAGGGGAGCGCGCTGCGGCTTTCTGTTTCACGTTGCAGACGCGTGGAAAGTTAAACCTGTTAGCCTTTCAATTTTTCACGCGTTTAAAACGCGTGAAAAATTGAAAGGCTAACAGGTTCCCCGGTTCTCCTCGGTGCGTGGTACCTGCCCCGGCTTGTTCAACCTTCGGCAGCGCAGGAATACTGCGGCGCGCCCACAGTAGACGCGACACCGCGATCCCCGTGCACTACGAGGCTCTCAGGTGTGCCCCCCCGTGTGCTTAGCCCCCTCGCGCCTATGAGTGGCGAGGGCGCTCTCGCTATTAAGGTGGCTCGACTGGACAGGAAACCACTACAGGGAGACGCATAGAGCCGCAGCAACCGCAAGAGGAAGCGCCCAGCAAGTCTGCGCCATCAAGCGCGCTCGCGTGTCTTCTTGCTATGTGGCTTCTCTGCGCCATCTGACGCCTCGCGTTGCCGCTTGCGGTCGGCTTGGTCTGCCGGGGCCCCCCGGTCTCATGATCTCAAGCGACCCGCCCGCATGTGGGGGAGTCTGAATAGTTAGGAGCATTGGGGGGCCCTCAGTCATCTGGGAGCTTGGCTTGGCGATGAGTCAAGAAATAAACTGTGAGGCGTTGCAATCTCATGAGTGAAGTGTAGAATCGCTCTCCGACCTCGAACAGCAAAAGCCTCCAGTGCCGCGTGGCCCAGTCTCTATCTTTTCACTTCTCAATCCGCCCCCAAATCAGGTCGGCCACGAGTTTGGCACTACTACAGGGAGACCGAGGAGGTGTGGCTGGCTCGATATCCCTCTAGTACAATACAGTCATACAGTGAACGGCTTCACCAGCATGAATATCACGAAACTCGACGTGCTCACTGGCCTAGAGAAACTGAGGATCGGCGTATATTGTTATCTTTTTTGGCCCACACGTACAATTTCAATTGTGAAGAATACAAAGACCTCCGAAAACATCGAGCTTGATGTAGTTTATCTGTCAAGTATCTATCAGGCCGTGAATCTCAGTAATGAATGAAATCTGGATACCGTTGCCGAATGGTGAAAAGCATCTCACAGCGACAGCCAATGAATCTCTGCCCACCTCTTCTGCCACAGGTCCAATACAAGGAGAAAACCACTGGCAAGCCCATTCCCGAGGGCTCCTTCCCGGCACATTTAGACGACCTGGCTGCCGTGGAGGTGGTGTATGAAGAGTTACCAGGATGGACTGAGGATATTGCGTCAGTCCGCTCATTTGAGGCTTTACCAGCAGCAGCCCAGAAGTACCTCAAAAGAGTGGAGGAACTCTGTAAAGTCCCCATATCCTGGGTTGGAGTCGGACCAGGCAGAGAAGATATGTTTCTCATGACGAATGACTTCTAAGTAATGTGAAGAAATCAATGGGACGAGACCAGAACTTTGATGTTCCAGTCCCTGAAATGCTAAAATTACGAAAGATAGAGTACTACAGATGAAGTTTGAGGTAGAAGAATATGATTTCCATCTCTCAAGGCTGCTCGTGCTTGGATCGTACGTAAAGACTCGAAGATAAATCAGTTGCGGTTCTTGCGATGTGAAATTGAAAGTGACTAAGGTGAAGGATAACGCAGTTAAGATGAATTTTCATGTAGCAATAGTACACTACCAACAGAACTCAAAGGGAAGTATCACCTGTCTGGAGACGAGGATGGCACGCGTGTATCATGGCTCTTCAAAAAAGAGATACTGAATATGTTGGACGTCACACGAGTACAGGCCCGGTCGATAAGTACGTCTGAGTCGGCAGTTTAGTTGGGAGAGAGAGAACAACACAGCAACACGTTGAGCATCTGTTGTATCTGTTCTCTGTACTGGCCAAAAGTTGAGTGGACTTCTTCGGTCGCTCCACCAAGAAAAAGATATGTTGGAGAGAAGCCGTGTTGTTGCTAAACCTAAAAAATCTAAGGAATATGTCTATTTCAATTCTATCATGCTCTGATGGTGATCCGACCTTCTTATTAATCTTAAAATGCAAAGAAATGCAAATCCAAATCGCATCAACACAAGTAGTAAGTTTTGCCTTAACGTACAACGCAGCGCTGGAAACAGTGTTATATAGGAAATAGACTCTTTTCACCAGTGTGAAAATGTTATTCCAGCATCGCCCGCAAGAACAGGCGGGTTTTTGGAACCGCTCCACATCGGGATTTCAGCAAGGTCCCGTGGAGCAACAGAATTTTGATGGGCGTGCTCATCTCCAAGAAGTGCCGGAAGTTCGACAATATCATCCAGCTGGAGGGCATGTTCATCCCGCTCAGGCTGAGGTGTTTGTGTTACCGCAAGAAGTAACTTTTAGTGTTGCTGGAGATCGTCTTGCTACCAATGCAACTCAAGGTCAACCTAATGGAGCCCGAGCATGTCCCGTGGCAGCTGCAAGCATAATACCTCCACGGCAGCATGTTGCTAATGTGGCACCTGTTCAAATGATCCCAGGAGATGTTGCTCCTGAGCTATCGGGAAGAGGACAAGTAATCCAGCAACCACATCCTCCAGTATCCGCTTGTTGGGTAACTACCGTGGGTCAAAAGGCTCAGCCGATGCAGCTACCTCCACATCAGACGCCAGCAGTGTCGTCTCTGCCAGGACAGCAGCTGGCTGAAGTCGGCTCGTCAGTGGTGCCTCCGTATAGTGCTGAAGCTGTTGAAGTCGTTTCGGTAAGGCTTCCTCCCTATGGTGCTGCGGTCGTTCCACCTTTTCCGCCACCGCCGCCTCCAGTGCCAGTCGTGAGACCGGTGTTTCAACAGCAAGCGGTTCCGATGAACAATCATTATCCTGTGAACCTGCAACAGATCCAAAACCATCAAGTATTAGCTCCGATCCCAAATGGTAATGGAGTACCCGCACCGCTAACATCTTCCATCGACTTGCGTCCGCTTTTGTCGGGTCTTCCTAATGGCGGACAGTTACCAATATGGGCGCAGCAACAAATGGCCTATAACTGTTCGCTACAAGATAGGCAGAACGGCCTTCCGCCAGTATCAGCAGTGCCTTTGCAGCACATGAATGTATTACACGTGCAAGCTATTCTCGCTCAGCAATTATCCGCGGTCGTTGCGCCGGCGCCGCCGCAGCCAGCTGCAGGCGTTCATCTTGGTGTAGCACGGCCAGCTGCAGGCGTTCTTGCGGTTGTCGACCAGCATGGTCCTCATCTTCAAGTGCTCCCACGACCTCCACCTTCATCCGGCGTGGTCGTTGAACAACAGCACCCACACCTACAGCACCTGCAGGTACAAGCAGGACGAGTGCAAGACATGACTTGGAGGACTAGCACTATTCAACAGCATCATCTTGCTGCGCCTCATCCTCCGCAGCAGCTGTACTCACATCAAGGCCAGCCCGTACATCAACAACCCCCTTGTCTTCAAGAGCAACAGTACAAGCAGTATTTAGAAGCAGTTCGACGGATGCAAAGTTGTAGGAATAGTTGTACCTCTGCTCAACAGGAGCCTCCTGCTACAGTTGCTCCACCAGCTCAACACCCTTTTGGACCTTCAGGTCAAGCGCCTGCGCAGCCTGTTCATCCATCCGCCTCGTCTCTAAATCAAGCTCAGTATGACCATGCACTGCACAACCAGCAGCAAGTGCTGCAGCAGCAGCATCAGCAGAATATTCAAGATGCACACGACATCCTTTTCCTTCCTAGAAATTGGAGTCAGCAGCATCACATTCAGATCAATGCTGGACCAGTCATGCCTCATCAAGCGCCGATCCCCTTGCCAGTCGGTCAAAACCTCCAACTTCAGCCTCAAGATATGGATATTAGTAGTACTACTCCGCCACCACCTCCACCACTTGTAGTGAGTCCTACCTTACCTACGCCAGAAACTGTTCCTGCTGCAGCCGGTGCGCCGATAAGTACCCCTCATGTAGTTCCACCTCCTGGTTCCACAACTACCCTACGACCACCTCCTCAAGGTATTCGCGCCTGTGACTCTTTACTCCCCGTTCGTCCTGGGGCCGCTCCGTCACTCTACGGCTTTAAACATCGCACTCCTTGCGCACAGAACCGTTTACTACTGATGAATTACGTGGACGTAGTAGAGCTAGACGAGCAGAAGGCAGCTTCTGAGCAGGATACACCATTTGGTTGGTGTGAAGAGATGATGCTCAACGCCCACTTCGAATGGGCGTGGGACTTACTGGGTGGCCTGTTTGGAATAGATTTTTGTCCTCTTCTTAGAGAAGAAGCTGTAATGGAACAGGAATTGCAAGAACAAGAACCACAACCCAAACAGGAGCAACAGCTGCACCAGGGCCAACCGGCGGAGGCTTCTGGTCGCGATTCGAGTTCAAATTCTTCATCCACGACCTTGTTGACAAGAAGACCAGCAGGAAAAAGAGAATCCCTCACCCGCGTAAAACTAGCTTACAATCTCCGGCTTCTGACCTGGTGGCGGGAAAGCGCGCCGCGGATTTACAACTTCGAACATTTGTTTCAAGAACGGCGGCCTTGGGTAGTTAACGATTCTTGTCAAACTCAAGGAGGGCAAGAACCACCACCGCTACGTGTCGGTTACGTGTCTCCAGATTTGTTTAACCATAGTGTCGCGTATTTTCTTCATTTTATGGCGGACAATGGGGATATAACGATGATAATTGCGAATCTGCACTTCTGATATTGATTCTTATTTTTCTGCCTGCGTGTAATTACTGGTACTAAAATTGTGACATGCACATGATCGTACAGATAAAAAACCTCGTGATTTTCCCTTCCTATTCCTGATTATTACACACATAATCTTCATAACACAAGTATGCGCTTGTCGCCTTCCTTAATCTTCATCTTGTAGTTCTAATCTCCGCGTCCTCTACTTCCACACGGTCTGGCGTCGCAAAGTTGAGGTTTTTGTTTATTCCAACTGCCTTCGAGCCGATGGCAAAACTGCGATGTTTAAGGGCTTTCTGGCGAATTGGCGAGAAACGCAGCATATGAGTGCCCGAGCCATGGCGGATTTGATTCATTTCCACGACAAGATTCACATCCTGGTCGACTGCACGGGGCACACGAGTTATAATTAAGGCAGAAGCTGCACCTGGCGCTCAGTGCCAGGACTACATTCATAGAAGAAGAGTCTTTGGATCATGCAAATGCATCAACAAGAACTACATTTATTACATTTTCTTCAGCAAGATTTTTACGACAAATCATGCTAGTACATTCTAATCTCTCCGCTTAGACGTATTCGCGCTCAAACCCGCGCCAGTGCAAGTTAGCTGGATCGGGTACCCGAACACGACTGGTTTGCCGCAGATACAACACCGCTTGACCGATAGATGGGCTGATCCCATTGGAACGCGACAATTGCATAGCGAAGCACTACTTAGGGCTTTAATCTTTATAATGCATCCTGTTTCCTGGCATCATGGTCACGCTTCTTTTTAAGGGAAAACGGAAACCAGGATGCTCAGCACCAAGATGGATTTATGTACGTTCTAAACTACGCAGAGTAGACCGTTGCTTTCTATGCTACACGCCATTGCTGGAAAGTGTCGAACGCCTACTAGCGGAGCCACCGGACCCAAACCCTGATGATGCGTGGGAATCGATTAGCAAGAATTCTTGTGTGAACGTTTTTAGCTTTGTCAAAGCTTCTGGCACTGAAACAGAAAGTGAAAGTAGGAACGGTTTTTTTAAGGCTTACCCGAATCCATCCCCGAAGCATCTTGGGCCTGCCCCATGAGGCGAAACACGCCCCAAGACGAGCCCCAAGATGGATTTGGGTGAGCTCTAATTCTACTACTAGTAGTACTCGTACGCCTCGTCGAAAACAAAAACTTGCTTGCAAACTACGCGCCCCGATACTAGTAACACCAGAAAACGACGTGGAACGGTTTGGAAGATTCTTTGGAAACCTGTCGGGTCCAGGACTTGCTCCAGGTGCTGCTGTTGACGCGATTCCTCCAGGATGGGTTGAGTCCCCATTTGTTAAGGCTCACGTCAATGACTGCTTATAAGTCACTTAGTACTTACAAGCTTAAGTCATTTATTACACCTACTTACACGTAGTCTTTCTTCTTAGTACTTACACGTACTCTTTCTTCTGAAATCTATTACACCTACACGTACTCTTTCTTCTGAAATCTATTACACCTACACGTACTCTTTCTTCTGAAATCTGAATTAAATTGTAAGCTAGAGTGTCTTCATTAAGTCATTTAGTACACGTAGTCTTTCTTCTGAAATCTGAATTAAATTGTAAGCATAAGCTAGAGAGTCTTCATTATATATAATTTAGTTTAGATTTTTCTATTCCTTCAGCTTGAATCAATTATTGACCAACTATCTTGAGATTAAGTACCTACAACGAACTACTCCAACAAAGAGAAGTAGATTATAGATAAATACTAAAGTAATCAGTGTGACCTCATCTAAATTTTGCCGACAGTATCGCGCGCTATTGCGACTTGCGCGCAGAAGTGACCGGTGGTATCCGGGTAGGTTCGTGGTGTCTACAGACACTCTAGTACAACCACCAGAACAGGATCCACCAACACCTGCTCCACCAACACCTGTTACGGATACCGCTGACGCACCCTCAGCACAATCCCTGGCCTCTTTTTCAAGGGGAAAAGGGGCCGAGGAATGCTTTCAGGGATGTGAGCGCGGTAGCTCTAATCAAGCACCAACGCGAGACGAGGGAATATCTGATGAGAGGAGTTGTTCCTGTGTCCAAGCAAGTTCTGGCGCGAAGGAGATTGCACAAGGACAGGGTCGAGGAGAAGCATCAGCTGTTCCTGGACAAGATGAATCTCGTACAACTGGTATTCCACAACCTGGGGAGAGCAAGCCTCGTGCTCGTCCGAACGAAAACCAGACATCACTTGGAGTTTCTCCCGAGCAGCAGCATCAAGAATTTTCATCTTCGTCTCGACAAGTATGTGGTCCATGTCCATCTCCGTATCTCCAACCCAACAACAACAAGAACAATCGTTTGACGCTGAAGAACAAGGGTCTGTGTTCGGTCGGAGCTCTCATTGCTCTGGAAACCAAAGATGACGACTCGGAGATGAAGGACAGCACGTCACCCTCAGGGGAGAGGCCTATGAACCGTTCGTCAACGCGCAAGAGACGGCGGACCTCATCTGCATCTGATGTGCCGCGAAGGAGAGCATCTGCAGAGTTGGTGGAGAAGGAAGAACAAGGAATGAAGAATGGCGATGGTGATGTCCCGTCTACTAGTAATATCATGTCTATGGACGTAGATGAAGAGACCAACGGCGGCGGAAATAGGACCACGGATACAAGAACTCATCCTGGTGGAGGTATTCATATCGACGATCCGGAGGGGAAGAGACACACAACGAGAACAATCACATCGACAACAAGAAAAAGCACACTAGAAAAATGTCTCTCCCTACTGCCACCCGAACTCTTCGTTCGAGACCGACGTACTTATCGCCATTTCGTCTTCGGCTCCTTTAACAATGTTGCGAAAATCCAAGATTCGGTGCTAGACGCGTGGATCCAGATCCTAGAAAGGACAGGCCCCGACGTCCGCTTGGCCTTCAAGGGTAGGCCGTTTGTAGCCCAGCCACTGGGAACGATACATCCTTTCGAAAAAAGGATTCCACAGCATCTTATGCAGGCTTCCGCTAGTATAATAAGTCCATCTTTAGAAGCGTCTTGATTTCTGAAGCCCCCAGGTAGAGTAAGCGCATGCATCTTGGATCCGCAGCAAGCTGCACGCGAATCAGGGCGCCCACCTACTGCCTGCGAATATCCCCCAGTGTGCCAACCGTGCCCCTCATGTGTGCCAAGGGTCTGCCCACCGTGCCAAGCGGGGCCGCCCAGCGGCCCAGCGTCGCCCAGCGTGCACACCTTCCCGCCGTCTATAGACTATTCTACTATAATAAATAAGTCCATCTTTAGAAGCGTCTTGATGATCTGGGGGCCCTCTGATTGAGCTAAGAAGAGGCCCATCTTCAGGAACAAGACAACTCTCGAGACAAAAAAGATGGACTCCGAAAAGCTCTAAGGATTTATGGCCTCGCATTGACCTGTGGCCTAGTTCGCCGACGACTGAAGAACATCAGAGTTGCTATCGTTTCATCGACCTAGCTTTAGATCCCTTTCCCTACAGCGGTACAACGACGACTTGCGAAGCCCTGCTGTGTGGAACGCCTGTTCTAACATGGAGTGAACCAAAGCGGACCCTACATGCACAGAATGTTTCATCATCGTTGATGCGGGCGTTTCTGAGACCAGGGAGATGTAGAAAGGATCTACTTCTACCTCGTGGTCTGGAGGAGTTGTCCACCTCCGGAGACTGTGAAAGAAGTGAAGACTGTGTTGAATACGCAGAAAAGATACATCAAAACCAAGAAGAACTAGACGAGGATCCCTGCTACTTCTCGAATCCATGGGTAGCGTTTTCCCGCGAAGAGTATATCGAAAGAGCGATTGCATTTGCGAATTAAGGCTGTTCTAGTAATTATCCCTCAAGCTCCCCACCTGTTGATATTACTTCATTCTCTAAGACATCAACCGAATCCGTTTCGAGAAACGTGGCATTCAGAAAGCGATGCTGACATCAGAACTCTGCGACGCTCCCACGTACATGGAAGAAATAGAAGCTACATTCCACGCATTATGGAACGAAGAGCAGGCGAAGTATGATGGAAGCTGACAGGCAGGGTAGGTGAAGCGTCGAGGATGGAAACCGAGGAAGTACAAAATTGGGGTTCTATTGTCATTTGAAGAAAAAATGGACGGGTATGCAGCATAAGCTGAAACAGGAGGCAGTGCAAGTTCTTACACTGTGCTGCGTATAAATATGATTAACCAGCGTCGTATACGCCTGAACAACAACATTTTTTAAATGATAATTATTTAAAGTAATAAACGCAAACACTATAATATTAACGTGTACTAGTACAATTACAACCTTCATGACTGATTTACTTTCTTGTGGTGGAGAGGTGGAGCCATAAACAACGATTGTCCCAGGTGGAACACAAACCCATAACATCATCATAAGGACCTTCATTGTCATATTAACTACATGTAGGACTAACTTACATAGCCGGGAGTCCGAGTGCATTTTGAAGTACGGAGAATAGCAAACTGTGACTGATGCGTTGCCGATATTGAATGCTAGAGGTTTTGCGCTGATAAGATGTTGTCCATACTGCCTGTATCATCGAGCATGAAAGTAGAAAGTACTAGCTTCTTTCCTTGAAAGGAGAACACCAACAAGCGCCGCTTCTTATTTATGTGGTTTCACATTCCGCAGCGACGATGAGGACTCATCGAAAAAAGAGACGAGCTGCCCTACAGAATAAATATTGCTTTGGCTTTGGATCCTTGTACTCCTAAAAAACGGCGGATGTAGGGGCGGTCATTCGTGGCTTATGTAATACATGGACAGTGCGAGTGAGAACGAAAAGCGCATGTAACTTGTTTTGTCACAAACGATATATTCATTAAAGATGAACGTGTAAGTCAATGTCAAGGTGAACAACGTGAATTATCAGTTGTGTATAAAAGGGTGGTTACGGATACGACATTGAAGATGAAGCACACAGAACATTCCACAAATGAACATCTTCCATCTTGAAAGAACTACTTCACCCAAACGAAAAGAAAATGTTGCGTTGGTACGACGTTCACTTGCCTTCGTGTGCGACTGTTCTCTGCGCACGATATCCTTACGTCTTAACCACGATCGGCGGCGACCTTGCCCTTTTCCGTGAGGAGCTTGAGGGTTTTCTGTTCGTCAGTTAAGGACAAGGTCAACGAGGAATGTCCACATTTCTGCAACCTGCTAAGCTGCACTAGTGCAACATGTACAACAACTACATCCATGACAAAAAGTATAAGAAGTCCTCACTAGAAGATGAATGTGAAAAACTAGTTGCTCACTGAAACTTGCGTTAAATGAAGGTAAAATTCTCTAACTCCTTCGCCGTCGCGTAGTGAATGTCAGCGAAGATGATAGGGAGAATGAGTTACTCGACAAAGAGGGAGCACGAGAGATACAACGCCTGATACGACACCATAGGCGACGGATACGCTTAATAACTGGGGAAAGTGGTGGGCGAGGACGTGCAAGTGCTGTTGTACCAGGGCGGCGAGATCAAGGGCAAAGTCGTGGTGCTACGGGTCGTGAGCAACATGAGTATGACGATCAAGTGGACCATAAAACAACTCCAGAGCGATCAGATAAAGAAGCTCGAAGTGTCATTCCACATGCGTTTTCGCCTGAACAAGTGGTGTCGCCAAATACAGACGAAGAATCCGATATAGAAGGGGAATATTCGTCTTTTGTCGAAGAGATTCTTTACCAGACTGACATTGGCATCATTGCTGGACAGTTTATTGACCCGCCGAGTGATCCATTGTCGCTTTTTGGTTGTTCTGGAAATGGAAATGGAAATGGCAGTGGAGACAACCTAACGATTGTAGTCGTGAGACGCGATGGCGAAGTCTTGCTTTTGCAAACCGCTGACCTGTGGATCTCGAGGTTCTCACTTGGCGAAGCATGTCGGAAGGGAATGCTGTCCACTTCTGTTAGTTTTGATTACAGCAGTGGAGGTCCAGGTGGGATAAGGGTGCTTGAAGGGGGCGTGGCGTTCCATGATGGAGGACAGGGCTCAAGCGATGTTGTTGAGACGTCTTTGCGAGAAGCTGAGCTTTCAAAGTCTCACCGAGGTCCGTCTGACGAAGAAGATGCAGGAGCTACAACGAGAGGCAATCGCGTACGCGTGGCTGAAAAAATAGACGTTGTGCAACCTTTTGAGCAAGTATCACGTCAATTGGCAGATGATGTAGAAGATTTGTCGACTGCAAGAACATCATCTTCAAGCTCCTCAGGCTCAGCTTTTGATAGAACTCCTCCACTTGCAGGTGGTCACGAGAACTACAGCACCAGACGAACAGCACGTCGTTTGTGTCGATTCTATTCGGCTGTAACAGGGATGTCAGTGGTTGGGTTAGGCCAGCAGGCAGAAAGTGAGAATGGGCGAGCCCGTGTAGCAACGAAACCTAGCAACAAACGAGATCAGAATAAGAACGCTGTCCTAGTTTTGGTTGCAGACATTGTCAGCTCCTCAACCAGACGATCTTCTGCCTTGTTCGGTATGCAGCTACGAATTTCAGCATGCTTTGAACTGAACACTGGAACTACTACAACAAGTGGACAAGCACCCTCTACTAGTAGAAATCTGACGCATCTTCTTTACTCCCCTCGTAACCGCACATTGGTAGTGGTCGGACGACAGCCGTGTGTTGCGCAATTTGAAGTGCCATCAATATCTTTGAGCAAAAAAAATGCTGAGGCTGACGAGAATCCTTCTTTTTCGTCCAGTGTGGACGATGACGAAATGCGATCAAAGCAGCAACAACCGAAAAATCAAAATAACATTATTGGGATGGCTGTCAAAGGACTCGAGACGTTGAAAACAGTGCGTAAATCCGTTCATGCCATCTTGAATCCTCCGAGTAGCGCAGAGGAGGAAGAAGAAGAAGAAGGCAGAAATTCAGCAGAGAAGGAGGTAGGGACGAGAGGGTCGTCAACAACATCAATCGAAGAAAAAGCATCATCAAGCACAACAGAATTTGTCGCAGTTCATGATACGCTTTACGCGTGTAGCACCGTATCAGAAGGCGTTGCGGTCACAGCAGCGAAGTCCAGCACCGGACAGTCTCTAGCAGTACTAAACACGGCAGGAGAGCTTAGCGTCTACTCCCTCAAAAACACAAAGCGCTTGCAATTACTGCATATGTGGCGCACCACGGCAACGTCCACGTCCAGTTCAAGTAGTAGAATTAGCGCTCCTATTCCTCAACTTTGTTTCTTCACAACGCCAGCAGCTTTGGTTAACAACTATGATGTGAGTGCCTTGCCCGAAATTCTAGCAGTGTGGACCATGCCGTCATCATCGTCGTCCTCTTCAGGCAAGAACAGTAGTAGCAAAATCGAGGTTTGGCGTCTTGCTTCGAGTGGAAAGCGGTCAAAGCTGGGAGATGCAGCTATTCAACATAATGATATAGCCTCTCTGCGAGGAATAGGAAACTACGGAAAGAATAACAAGAGTAGTAGCTCTTCATCCAAAGAGGACCAACACCAAGACCGTCTTACCTTTGAATGTGACATGCGTAAAGGGAGAGTTTTCGTGCACTTGTCCAAGGTCAATGTCTCTTCGGGAAAGAAAGTCTCCTCCTCTTGCCGCGTGCTCGAAGGGGATGTGTTCGGGTCCTTGGGTGACGAGGCGACAGACGATGCTGGCTACGACAGTGCTCATAGTGAAGATACAATGGAACAGAGAAGGGAAAACGTTATCCGTGGATTGCGGAAAGTACAGTCATTGATGACTTCCTCTAGGACGAGTGAAGGTGGCAGTATTGCACGGAACATCAACAAGCCTGGAGGTGTTTTCAGACCAACCACAAAACAGGAAGAAGTGATCGAATCTCTACTGCCTTGGGACGAACCCCAAACCCTCCTGCAGACGTATCACGGCGTGCAGGGAAGTAAGCAGCGCAAGTTGTTTTTGGCCAATTTGTTAAGCGCGCATTTATGGGCTAACGAGAAACGGACAATACTTGGCAGTACTTCCACAGGCAGTGGTGGAGCCGGAGGGGGCAGTAGTAATGAAGATGGACCACATGGACGTTCAAAGTATGTCTTACAACCTTCCACGACAATGTTGACAGTCCTTGAGAACGTCCTCACAGCAGAACAAGTCGGCCCTAGTTTTGACGTTTCTTTTCGCAATATTATCAAAACTGAAACAAAAAAACTCGAATGTTACATCGAGATCATGAGAGAACATCTTGAGCACCATGTGTCTTCATCTCATCATGTGTCTTCATCTTCTTCAACGAGGAGTACCAGCACAGGGACATCAAGTATTGCAGCAGCATATGGCGGAATCGGTGCAACTGCAATGCAAATAGCAGGTTCGTCATCGTCTACGACTAGTGCAATTCGGACACCTCCCACATCAACATCCACATCACCAAGTGTTTCTTGGTCGAGCCTGATAGGAAACGCTCTCTTGCTTCAACATGACGCAATTTCAGCCGTTGACAGCGATAGAGACCTCGTTAGCGACTACTGTGAGAGCTTTTTGACGAAGAACAGAGGTTTTCTGCAACATCAATCTTCTGGTGAAGATCATGGCGGATCGAGATTATCCACAACTACATTATTTGACCCTGCCTGTTTCGAAGCACTGCGTTCCCTAGATGCGAAAGACTGGGCCTACCTTTACGGGATAAATAAGACTGCATCTTCAGCGACTGAGCAGCAGGAGGATGATCAGAGGATGGAGCGGATAGAAGCCGTAACCCCTTTCCTCGAAAGCTTTGGGTCTCTGTTGCCATTTTTCGACGAGTTTTTCAGCGAGAGAGATGCTGAACAACAGGGAACAAGATTCGGCGACTCTCCTCAACATGGCAACGAGTTGTACGATCATGAACGCGGTGGAATGCTCTTCGAAGATGAACTATTGCACGATGACCTCAGAAGTTCTGACTTGTTTGCAGACGAAGCTTCCTCGAAAGGAAGGAGGATGCGGAACAAAGAGGCAACGCCTACAGAAGGCAGCACCGTTGCAGAACGATCATTCGCATCGTCAACTCGAAGACCGTGGCACTTTTACGATCTGAGGCACATCAGAAAGAGAAACGACGAGAGCGAGACGATGAACAAGAAAACATCTTGTACTTCAACCCTTACGACCCTTCTTTCCTACCGTCATTTCGGTGAAGCACGTCCCCGACACTTGGAATCGGACAGGAAACTAGCGCATTTTCTCTTCTGGCCACTTCTGCATCGCTACGGAGACGACTCTACCTATGTAAGGCGATTGTTTGCCACATTGACTGCACTCTTGTTCCCAAAACGAACCTCCAACATCCACGCTCGCTTGCAGCGGGCTCTGCTCAAGTGGTACTGCAGCCTCGACCTCGCTACTCTGCTCGAGGTGTCGACTGTGCCGAGTAGATGTGTGATGCCGCCAACCGAGCCGGACGACGATGAGAAACAAGAGGCAAACGACTCAAACGACAGTGGCGACTTCATGAGCTTTTTCGGTATCAACATTTTCTCTCTGTATTTTGGATCGTCTTCTGGAGCTACCGAGGAGGACAACGCTAAAGACAAACCGTTTTCGGCGGAGGAAGAAGAGCAGGAAAAAATGGCTTTTCATCCTACGAATCTGCGGTCGTTGGAGCAGATAGAGAAAGAAGGACTCTTTGCTGAAAAGTCTTCAAGAACAGAAGTGTCTGATGCGTCTAAAAACAATCTGAGAAGTTTGTTTGGCGAGGCATACGACGAATCTAGCGAACACAAGGAGTTTTTTCAGTCTGCGGGCAGTGGTTCATCTAGCACCGTTGGTGTTGGAGGGTCTTCTTCAGTCGCTGCGCGTTCACAAAAACTGCTCGGACAAAACCTGTTTGACGATGATGATGCTCAGAAAGCTGATACAAGTAGTATGCTAGGCGGTGGAGCTTCTACAAGTACTGCTACTAGCGAAGGCCTTGGTGTTGGTGGTGTACAAGCACAGGTTGGAGCAGACCCGACTGTTGATCCAACTCGTAGAATCCTCGGCACAGTAAGTTCACGAGGTGACATCAGGTTAGAAGAGCAGAAAGCACAAGCGGAAAAAGATGCAGTCGAACTTCTATGGAGGGAACTAGGGCTAAAGCCGAGTGAAGTATTCGGAAATCAAGCAACAGATACAGCAAAACAAGAACGCCTCCTAGGGAAGTTTTTAGTCGCTGGCAGTGGAGTGTCAAATCTAGCAGGGGCGACTACTTCAGCTAATCTCAAGAACCCTTCCGCCCAAGCAGCAGGACGCCTGGGCAAAACATCATCGTCAACACAATCACGAACGTTGTCTAGGAGTAGATCACTAGACTTCGCCTCCCTCCAGGATATGGAGAACGGTTCCTTTCGCCCACTAGTAGCCGACTATCTCCGCCGCAAAGAGCATATGCGAATAAGCCTCTTCGGAGGCCAAACCAGACTAAGGCACGTGCGTCGTCGCGAACAGTCGCTGTTCTTGCAGTTGATACTGCGGCTGTGGGATATACCTTTTCTGATTGATTTGGTGTCCTACGTTGGCGGGCAAAATCTCTCGCATCTGTGGTTTTTGCTCTTGCAATTGCGGTGCAGTGCGGACCCTGTTTTGCCTTCGAGTCACTTTCCATTGCCCGCCAGTTCCCTCACAAGGTTGAAAAGCATGTCTCTGCTTTCAGCTGTGTTTGAACGTTGTGACTTCGCGCTCAGATTTGCGGTCTGTTGCGCGGGGCATGAGAGGTATTCAAGCACGGCGCTGAGTGCAGCGGAAGCGAATGCTGATACTGGAACTAGCTCTAGTAGCAGTGCCAACCTCTCTCTAGTGAAAACAGTAGTCACTTTTTCGAGGATTCAGCATTGTTTGCCCGCTCTTTTGGCCTCAATCTGTTCTGAAGACGCAGCTTCTCAGCGGCTCGAGTGGTCTCGTCTTCTCGGACAAAGTTCTCAGTCGACCTACCTTTTCGGTACCAGCTTCCTGGATCTAGGCTTCGGCATGGACCCTGTGACGTTTTTGAAACTTTCCTGCCATCAAACTGCGGATTTTTTGCCAGCATGGCGCACCGGGAATTTTCTTCAGCACAAAGGACAGGACTTTTCCTCAGCTACACCTATGAACTACATGCAACAATCCAGTACAACAACTGGGACGATGCTAGGACGAGGTTCGTCCTCTATGTCTGCTCAACTACATGGGACAAGTAGTCAGCAAGTCCAAGTCAACTCGAGTAGCTCCGTTACGTTTCTGAAAGAAACGAGTTCAGAATGGGTAGGCTACTCGGACGAGACGACAGCCACCAGTACAATGACGCTCTTACGCGCAGATCAACAGAAGAACGAGGCGGATCTTCTGGGAACAAATACAACAGTCTCTGTTGACAGCAATTATTCATCTCCTTCAGCTTCAGCTACGTTGTTAGTCACGCCCAACGTCCTAGCAGTAGAAACCGTACTGTGGAAACTGTGGAGAGGAGAACGCCTGATACTGAGACAAGAGGAGAGTATATCTAAAGCAAAGCAAACGGAAATAGACGCTCTACTTCGTGACAGCATTGTGTGGGTGAACAGTTTGCCGCGTGGTGTACACAAGTCGAGCTTAGCGTTGCTGATTTTTGCCACTTTCTTGTATCCTAGGTTTGCTACATGGATGCGTGGACTGAATGTAGTTGTGGAAGACAAGCACAAGCCGACGACTCCTACGCCGAACAATCGCAGCAAAATGCGGAACTATCTCCGCAAAAATTCAGAAACCAATGGTGTCCCGTTTTGCGGACTAAAAATGCGCGATCTAGGTGCCATGCAAACAGCGATCGCTCTATTGTCTGAGTGTTTGCAAATCCCGAGTGACATTCTACGCAGCGCAGCCTCGAAAACAAAGAGAACAAAAGTCGCGACTTCATCCTTCATTTCAACGTCCTCGGCGGACATGCACCAGAACCAGAAGGTTGATCATTTCGAGGAGCAGCAAAATTTCTATCGGTCTAGAAGAGGTGTTGCTGCGCCCCTTGGTGAAGGAGCTTCTTTCGCCGGTCAGGCAGACCTCCACGATGAGTCCTCCTTACTTCCACCAGCCCGCGACAACATGGGAAAGTCTTCAGAAGTTGTATCCAAGTCCAACATCAAGCCTGATCGCAAATTTGTGGATTTAGCTCTTTTGTTGCGTCGAGAGACACTAGTATCCAGGGCATCATCGTCGAGAGACACTACCTCCAGTAAGTCAGAAACGTGGATGTGCGGTCTGACTCCCTTGTGTCCCGGGACTGCGGCACTTCGAGCATCTCTAGAAAAGAGAGGACAGAGTTCCAACAAGTACGATTGTGCAGCTGCAGATCTTTCACCGCGGAGCCTTCATGCGGCCAGGTTACAAAGTCCTCCTCCACCACATCTGTTTTCAGGAACAAGTGGGGGTTCTGGACGGAAAGCCTATTCAACAGAGTACTACGGTCATCCGCAAAGTACACCTCCTTCGGGTCGACACCACGAAAACTACAGTACTACTACTAGGTCCGGCGCAAAGGCTCCTCTAGTCTCGCCAAGATCTGGGGATGCGAGGAGAAATGTGAAGAGCAGCGTGAAGCGAAATCGAGGCCCTTCTGTGATGTCCGATCGCTTCTTACTTTTGGCAGCTGAGAACGACGGACTGGGAAGTGAGCAAATGACCGAGTACGGGTCTCCTGAAGATTCGAGTGAGTCCTCTGATGATTCAGGAGCAGGAGAGCAAAGGGCAATATCTTCAACTTCATCATCATCATCCACTACAATCAGGAAAAAGGCAAGTGGTAAAAACGGTCTGTACGACTTTGCGCATAGTTCGAAATATCAGGGGTCGTCGTCGTGCGAGCCGCTTACAGGAGCTTCATCACCTGACGTCGATGCCCTCCAACATTCTACTCCAGCAGACTTTCCCGCAGATCAACCTGGGTCATACCTCCTCATCTCTCAATTCATCTTGAATTTAGGCACACAAACTGCTGGACACCCGCTCTCTCAACTACATCTGCTTGCGCTTTTTCAGAACTACCTTCTTTCACCCAAGGGCCGGCGAATCCTGACAGAAATACGGGTTTTGCTACGTTTGCTGGTCGGCGTCGGTCAGGCTAAACTCGTTTTTTGTGCAGAAAAGAATTTGCAGAACCTCACAAATGTAGATTTGGTTACTTCTCAGCTAGTCGTTACAAGAACCGCTGCACCCTCAACTGGTGCGAAGAGGACCTCTACTCCGGTTCTATCGAAAGAAAGGTCTTTACGACAGGAAGAGCCTTTCAATTACCTACCTCCGTGGAGTCTCCTCGTCGCAACCGCTCCTGTACAACACAAGTTAGATTTCCTTTTCGAGCTAGTGGATGTGTGGCAAATGCCAGGTTTGGCACTTGCCTTAGCAGATGAAGAGAACCACAAGCTACAAAAAGAACTCCAATGCAGAGTATTCGCTCACCTGTTGCGACAACCACTGCGAGATCAAGAACTAGAGGCATTTCTGTCGCAACCGCAGGTGCGTGAGGGGACATTGTTGAAGGACAACGACGAATTCATCGCCAACAGTGTAGGCGATGCAGCTGATGAGCGTGTGGCTTTTGTTTTATCCGTGTGGTGTCGTGATTCCGGAGGAAACACTATGCCTATGGCTGGAGGGCCTGGAAACAACAACGCTGGTTGCAGAGGCAAAGTTAAGGTCAGCTTTTAATAGTGTCCATCTTTCTCAGCATCTCGGTACGCCCTTTTCCCTTGTATTTCATGGGGTCCATCTTTCTCAGCATCTCGGTACGCCCTTTTCCCTTGTATTTCCTGGGAAGCAATGGGGTCGAGGTGAGGGGGTCGAGATGAATAAAAGCAGACTCTAACAAAGACTACCACACAGAAATTTTGTGTGCTCTCGACAGCGACACTTTGGATTACTACCTGAAACTGCCTTTGCGACTGGAACAACAGCAACGTCAAGGTCAATTTCAACATTGTTCAGCTTCAGTTGAAATAAGCGAAGGATCATTAGCAGTAGGGCTAGGAGACCAGAGGGAAACGCTAAGAGCGGCAAGCAGCTTGCTGGAGCATCCTTTGCTGCATAGAATTTTGGTCCGTCATCCTCGGATACGGAATATCCGAAGGGTGATCGACAAATTACGAGCTTTGTAGGAGTTTTTGTTCTACTAGCTAGAAGTGATGGGTCCAACAGTGAAATAAGTTTCTTGAATTCTAACTCTTAGGGAGAATAAGTTTCTTGAATTCTAAGGCCAATGAAATTGTTCTACTAGCTAGTGATGGACCCAAGAACAGTGACTCCACAAACATATCCAAAGTTAACCGATCTTAATGCATCGCGGGCTTTCTTAACACCAAGCAGGCAATAAAACTGATATTTTGACTTTTCTTAACACACACACACATTGTTCTTTAACCGAACAGATCACTGTACTGTAGCTGTACTGTTTTCACCACAGCAGCAGCAGGCTGCTGCTGCTGGTGGTGCTATCCCTTGTTCATTTCTGTTGACCACACACGAGATATTTTGCAATATTTCTCTCTTACCAGCAGCTGTTCATCGGCAAAGTAGACAATTTTAAGATATTAAAAAACAAGGGCGAGTACGTCCACCTGATCCTCACGGCATTACAAATGTCAACCAAGAAGGCAACAGCAAAGAAGGGAATACATAGTAACAGGATCTCGATCTTATCTAGAGTCTCTGTTTCATCTCACTAATGATTGAGGACGATAGTCATTTGAGATGCACACATGACAAGAGTCTCTACTAGAGAAGATGATCCTCAAGATCGATTGTTGTAGCAGTACAGATGCACCAGATCACAGATCACTAAGAAGATCTTAAGTAGGTAGCATGAAGATGATCCTCCCATGCTTGCAGCAGACGTTTTACTACGGTGTTATAGTCGACATGATCTTGATCATTTTAGCGAAGATTATATGATGGATCCCACGCACACACATACGCAGCATGTTTGAATGATGTGATCGATCACGTTCACGGTGCTGTGAAGATCAATGATCAAGGTTTTGACCACACCTCCAGCACTGACTTCGACAGGAGCACAACTGCTATGCATGCCACCAGAACTACCTAGAAATACATTGCTTTTTTGTATCACCTAGAAATATATTGCTTTTTTGTCCTTATGCATCACCAGAACTACATTGCTTCTTTGATTTGGACTGTAACTAGTCACATCAACCAAACAACTACCACGAATCTATTTTATCTTTGTGCATTGTGAAGCTGAACCTCAGTCAATTAATATTACCTATAATATCTACCTAGTAAGTAGAGTATCACTCAATTTCAATTAATAGTTACATGACCCTACTTACATGACGTCCACTTTCTCGTGAAATTTTCCAAATTCATTTTCATGCCATAAGCAACCATAAGTATCTCCTAAAATTAAAGGCTAACGCTAACCCAATAAACAGAAAAATATCAAATACCAAAATCAACCACGCTCGTCATCAGCTGTAGATCTCATCTACATCATATTACACGAGTAAAAAAAAGAGAACAAAATGATGGCCCTTCAACGTTCCTTGGTCTTGACGGTGTTGGTTTGGTCGTCTGCGCCTTGGACAGTCGTTGGTGTCCGGTTGCGAACAACAGCCTCTGACGATATTGAAGGAGATGGCGATGCAGGACGTCGGACAAATGGAGCATCTACTCTTTCACGGAGGGATCAACGTGCTCAAGAAGAACACAGTAGTTGTTCGCCTGGTGGAGAATCTTCGAACGATCTCCATGGTCATCCACTGACATCGAGTATCACAATCACGTCCCCTGGCTCTATAGAAAAATACCCTTTCTCTTCTGAGGAACAAGATGGTAGCGAAGCTGAAGGTGAACAAGGAGACGATGAAGTCTCTAATAGCATGATCATGAAATTGCAAGCCAAAACCCGTGGTCGTAAAGCTGGTTTTACTGTAGATAGTTGCGGGAGTCGTAGTCCTAACGGTGGAGGTTCATCTGAGGTGAATTCTGACGCTACCTCATCTAGCCTGAATGCACTGGAACCTACCATAGGCGATGAAACCTCTCCTGAATCTGACGGAGCAGCGGGAGCAGGATATCCGGGAGGTTCAGTTCCAGAAGGTGAAGATGTTGAAGAAAAAGAAGATGTCGAGGACCCACAGAGGACCGCCGTTCTCGAAGCCGAACAAGGTACTGGCACGAGAGGAGCAACCAAAGGTAGAGGTGGAAGAGAAGACGCAGCAGCAGAACTTGCAAAATTTCTGCCGTGGAATCGCCAAGGTTTTGATAAACATCATCCAGCTGGAGAACCTGGAGTCCATGTAGTTGAAAAAATTACTCCACCAGATACGGAAGCTCTCGGGAAACTGTCATCTGCTGCATCTCATCAAGGCGGTTATCCCATTCCCCTGAATGTCTACGCGGGAGTGAGCCGAGAGACAATATCGCTACCACTATCGTGTTCGAAAGAAGAGAAGATCATGCCTTCACAGGGAGCGAAAGAGAAATTATTGGAATCCGAGAAAGCTCGTTTCGAATTGCTCAATCGATCGCGCACCGCATTTGTTTACAAGGTGCTGAAGACACGTGATGAAAAAGCTCCAGGAGAAGTCGCTTTTGTTTTGAAGTGGATGACAGAAAGAGAAATTCAACCATTTCCAACCAGGCGTCCGCTAACTCGCGAGAAGCAAAAGCAGCTGTCGCCACAACAGCGGCAGCAGTACATCAATCTCGTGCAACAGTACCGGGACCAGCTACCGCAATGCCCAGGATTATCGGATGAACCAAAAAGCGACGAGAATACCTGGGCTTACGGAGTACGCCTAGCGCCCGCGTCGACGTCCGCCTCGTCCACTTCTGAGGGTAAAGACCGCGATCCCTCCTCCATGTCCACGCCTTCTATGGCTGGGGCCAAAACGCGTCAGGCGACCGTAGGGGAAGATGCTGCAATGGAACTGGGTTTATTTCTCCTGTTTGAAGCACTCGCGTGCTCCGATGAAGAAGCCAAAAGAGCAGCTACTCCTCCTACTCAAGAAGATCTTCAAGTGGAAAGAGAAGTCAATACTAGAAGCAGTGGCTCTGAAGGCGAGGCTAATCGTTGTCTTCATCGTCATTCAAAACATGTTGACGAAGAAGAGCTCATTCTTGCAGGCAGGTCGCATCGTGATTTTCAGAAGACGCACTTCGTTGAAATGCTTACGCTGTTTCGAGACCCTGAGAGTCCGACAAAAGACATCTTCTTATGTCTAGAATTTTGCGATTTGGGAGACGTGATGTCACACGTCCAGCAAGACCAGGAGCGCATATTTGGCCAGCTAGAGCTAGAAGGGGGTCAAGGTTCTACTTTTCACTTTCCGTCCTTCATTCATCTGTGTTTTTTTTCTTTGAAGATGACTGACAAAAAATGTTAGATTATATCACAATAGATACGATGCTAGTTCCAGATTTTGTTTTTGTTACTCTTGCTCGCCTACAACTGCTACTTTTCCTGGAGGACACTGCTGCTTTTAGCTTCATCTATGAAAATTTCGATTTTCACCCACAACAGGAGGAGGAAGTTGGAAAGACCAAGCACATGAGCTTCTGGAAGACGGGAGGGTGATTACCCCAGAATTTGCATGGGATATTCTCGAGAAACTGTTAGAAGCACTCTTCTATCTACACAATATCTGCGGCGTGGTGTATCTCGATGTGAGTCTCGAAAACATCTTCTTAGCTCGCAATAAGACGAAGGGAAACGTTGATGTAAAGTTGGGAGATTTTGGTGGCGCCAGAAGCTTCAAAAAAACGAAAACCACGTCTAGGTCCTCTATACTGGCACGCAGAGATGAACCCAAGAAAGAACTCCATCATGTTGATGCTGACGATGATGATGCTGATGATGATACTAGAATGGACGAAGAGGAAACTCGATTCTCTTGTGCAGCGTGGCAAGATGGAATTGGAAAACCGTTTTACTGTCCACCCGAGGTCTATCGTCAGAATAGAGACCTCGGTCTCTTGCCTAGCTCACTTCTAGTCTCTGGGGAGTTTCAAGGAGAGGCTGTGGACGTTTTTGGTTGCGGTATGTGCCTCTGGGTGATGCTTACTGCCTCGCCGCTAGCCGGTAAGTGGACAAAGGATGATCCGACGTTTATGTATCTTTTCAACGCGACCAAAAAGGACGGAAGTAATATGCAAAGATACGCGGAAATGGCACCCGGCGATCGTCCTCGCCCGCATCTGCAAGAAGAAAGTGTTTACGGCGCTTTTTTGAAAAGCTGTTGGGATCAGAGAGTACAGCAAAGGACTACAGAACTACAACAGCTGCATGTGCATCGTAGTAAAGCAGGCGAAGGAGAAGGTAGAATTTTTCTGCCTAAAGCCCTTCGACTGGACCGGAGAGAGCAACCACCAAGTTTAGCGTCCGACGACCAAGATTTCAGGTACCTCGGAGGCTGGTTCTTTGCGAAGATTTTAAAACTCCGACAGGGTGAACAACAAGAGGAGCGACGCCCTAGGATACAAGATGTCCTGGATGCCGTCAAAAAACTCAACGATGATGTAGTAAGGAGCTCTCTATTATCTTCTTGAGTAAGGATAAGGTAGTTGCGGTATAATAATTCAGCTTTGAGGAGGATCATCACCATTAATATGATTGACATGAAGTCATCTTCGCGCATAATAAATTATAGTGAGAACTCTTTGCCAAAGCCAAAACTAGGAACTGTTATTAGGCAGCTGGTGTAAAAAAGCTATTCACCATGTTCTTAAATATAGTATCTGAATTCTCTTACAACATCAACAATATGAACATATCTTTTTTACGATCTCCACGAACTGAACAGCATCAAAATAAGTAGATGACTTTTCTTTACAACCGCATTTAAAGCAATTCTTTTACTAGACTTTCGGGTTTACCCTTACTAGATCTGGGTAGATGAGGAGCAAAAGACGCATACCAGATGCATGAAATGCAAAAAGTGGAAGCTTGAACTTGATGAGAAGATAACGACGCGGATGCAGAAACCGAGATAACGACGCGAGTGGGTACATCAATCAATCGATCAAAATGGATAGATGCAAAGGTGAAGAACAACATCGTTGAAATATTGAAAGGTTTACTGCAGGCGCAGCCGCTACTCCATTCTGTACTAGATGACCAAGTCAAGAATTGAAAATTAAACCATTTACTTATAGCTAACAAGGTAGGACTATTGGAGGACTACTGAACAAATCTATATCTAGACATCATGAGTAGAACTACTTAGGTGGGCGTGACCAACAGGACCATGATGGAACATGCTGACTATGACGAAGGGAGACGAATGACAGATGATGACCAGAATCAACACGACCATGATGGGCTACGATCATATGGACGGTTGCTTGAATCAATGTTGAACAGCTGCTAGGCCTCGTTTACTTCATCAATCAAGCACTGTCTCATATTAGAAGAACTATCAGGTTGCTATATTAGTTGGTCGTCTTGATGCTACTGGTGCGTATAGCCGCCGCGCGTTCATCATCATCTTTGCCATGTTACGATGATTGATCGCTGCAATTGTCTGTGCTAACCGCGTTTGGGCTACGCACAAAAGACTGAAAAGAGCGTAGGGCCGCATGTATGGAGGAGACGTTTTGACACGCGCTTTCTCTCTTCCAATAACCTTTCGTTAACAGAGGAATCAAATGTTTCTGACGATCACAGCTTCTGCCTGTCAGTGCCTAAGAAAACGCAGAATCAGTAGCAACTTCAGTTTTCACAGTGGATCGCAGAGGATGTTGTCCAAGATCTTCCAATTTGTTCTTCATGTTTTGATTCATTTGACGACGAGTTTCTTGCTTCATTCTAATTCCCTTAAGGCAGTCTGCACTTGGAACTCGCTCGCAAAATACGCAGGTAGGTTTTGATTTATCGGAACTCGCTCGCACTACAAAAAAAAAAAAAATTAATTGTATTGTATTGCATTGTAATAGACCCGCGGCAGGATGCGGTTGTACTTGTAGGCAGGAAAGATGATGAGAGGGCACAGGGGATAGCTAAGCAATCTGGTAGAGCAAAGGTGGTATTATTTTTTGAAGAAGACAATTAGTACACTAGCTACCTAGAAGGAAAATGTCTCTCTCTTCCGCGTCCAAACGATCTGATCACTTGGGGAGACCCTTACTAGGTCAACAACCCTCAGTACCCTTACTCGTGCAGAGAAAATTAGCCAACCTTGGCTCGGCAGTTCGTGAGGAGATAGATGTCTTAGGGCGATTGCTTTACCGCAGTGCAGGACAGCACAGAGGGCATCCGATACACACGAGAATGAAAGCAGTACATGGAGAGATGCGAAATCTACTTATTTTAGAAGTAGGAGGTGCTAGTGGAAGTGGAACATCAGGTACAGGAACTTCAAGCTCCTCAAGTCCCTCGTCGTTCTCGTCCTTTTCTAGAAGGGGAATCCACGACTTAATCCGCGCAGCTGTCCAGTCACTAGGAGGCCAGATAGGGCATGGATTTTTTCTTCCCTACTGCGCGACGTGTCTGGCGATCCTGGGGAAGTTCTTTCAAAAGCTTCCGTCGGAAGAGCAGATGCAGAGCTTGTATTTGGAAAAAAGGACCATGATCAGGTCCAGCGACCGAGTTCTGGATACCCTTCTTGATGACGACACCGGAATCCCCCTTTTTAGTATCGATACTGTAGGCGATGCAGCAATGGCCTCAACCGGAAGTCCCCTTTTTAGTATCGATACTGTAGGCGATGCAGCAATGGCCTCAAGGATTGGTGGTAAGACGAGCACCAGGGACCACAGGCATGCTCAACCTCAGAAGGAGGTGGTCGCAACTTCACACTCTTCAGATGCAGCAAGAGCGCAAAAAAAGTTGGAGCAAGATGATAGCGATGATGAGGGTGAGCCAATCCCACAACCAGGCTCCCCAGCAACTTCAGCTGCACGACCAACGCTTGGTGGAGGACAAGACGATGGTGGTGAAGGAGAAGGTGAACTACCTGTCCCTGTGGCTAATGAGACAACAAGTCATGGCAAATTACAGGCAAGTGCAACTGCAAGAGCAAGCAGCAGCATCAACATAGAAAAAGGACCCCCAGTGAAGAAAAAAGTCGTCAAGAAGCGACGGACAACATCTTCTGTAGTTTCATCATCTCCTGAAGAGGGACAGTCAGGGAAGAAGAAGAAAAGGAAAGTGACCTCAAAGAATAAGGCTTCTCAAAAAGCTGCTCTTGACCAGCTTCGCCAAAGTCTGAAGGACGACTCTTGAGGTGTAACTCCACACGAGGATGTTTCACATACGTAGACACCCGCCCAATCATCATCTACGTCATGTGAGGATCTCCAAATCTCACTTTCCCACTTTCATTCCTCTCTCGCGCTAACAAACGAGCTAGCATCACCTCTCCAGCAGGAGCAGAAGCGCCCGCTCCACTACTTGCAGTGGCGGAGTAATGAAATTCTGGTGTTCACGATGGGGAACGACCTCGTGCGGAAAAGCGTGGAGAGTGGCTAAAGCAGAATCAGTAAAGAACAAACATCGGTCCGCATAGTGAAGAGACCCCTACGTAGGTACCGGAAGGATAAAAAGGTGCACTGTCAAGGAAGTAGTGAGACGGAAACAAGATGACAGTTTTATCTTGATGTTGTCGTAGCTAGCTGTGGCTACAGGCTATCAATAGCTCAGGAGGCTATGAAAAAGGGTCATGATCTGCTACTATAATTCTAAGGAAGTAGATCCAAAAAACGGAAAATCATAAGAAGAGCGCCCACCACAATCAAAGACAATCAAAGGCTTTAGAGCTAGTTGCAAAAAACAGTTGTCCTCCTCGAGCTACGAATACTACCACCTAGATGAAAGAGTCGCTACAACAAGTTGGAGAAAAACGTCATCCATTTTCAGAACAACAACGAGAAGTAGTCCCGAGATCGTTTTTATTGTCATCCCGCTGTGTTGTACAGTAAGGCGATATTCATATTAGGGAGTTTTACTTCGTCGACTATTACTTCTCCACGTCCACGCGCCGTAGACTCCGCAAATCCTAGAAGAACACGTAGACTCCGCAGATCCTAGGAGAACACGTAGACTCCGTAAATACAACTAGTTTCGAAATTATGGTGCTGTGTTCGAGCAGTAGCAAAAGCAGAAAAGAGCTTGAATCGGATATCTCGTCGCTGCGGCACACGATCGCTGCGAAGGAATCAGAGATCAGTTCGCAGGTAAGCATCAGAGCGCATTGGTTGGTGTTGTTTAGTTGTTTTTTTTTTCTCTGTACGTTGCAGTTGCACCTTCCGACCGTTAAAAATTGATTGCGCATCTGTAGCATGCATGCATGAATCGTGATTATTGTCATGTCAGGTGACTTCCTATCTTTTCCACCTGCCAGGCCTTCGTGAATGAAACGCTCCAGGAAGAGTTGACTCAAGCAGATGCAAGGTACACGCAACAACGAGAAACGTGGCAAAGCGAAAGAGACCAGTTGCGAAACGTACTGAGCGAATATCTATGTTCTTGATGTCATCTAACTATGAGAAACACGACCTAGAACACAACTTTTAATTTTGCCACCGTGTCCTGCAGTATGCATCGATAGACGTTTTCGTACAGACGTTTTCGTACGAGAAGGAGAACCAACTAGTTGTAATGGCTTCAACATCATCCAGTGTCTCTTCGTTCCCACCATTCCCACCAGGCACTCGAAGATTTGCAGAGAAGGCACGGCGAAGAACTTGCAGAATACAAGATACGCGTGGTACGTTACGAGGAGCGCGTCGCCTTTGTTGAGAATGAACGTACGTGTTCTAAGTAGTTGTACTTTTCTGTATTTATGTTGCGATAAGGGAGATACTGAAAGAAGAGGAACGTAATCAAGACTTCTCTCTTATTTCAGTCAGTAGCTCGCTTATTTTATTGAGTTTTCGAATACCATTTTTATCACATTCAACACATCTTAACAACTCAAACTCATCTTTTGACCACCTGCTCGTCCTTGAAAAGTGTTTGTTGAATTCAGGTGACGCTGCAAATTCCCTGTTGCGAGAAACACAGGAGCGAAGCGAAACCGAGATCCACGAGCTGGAGCAAGAGTTAACGCGGCTGCAAGGAGAGCTCGAAAAAGCGAAAAAGCCACAGTACGTAAACGCCCAACAAAGCAGGAACGGGAACCGCGCGCCACACTATGACGACTGTACTCCACCAAGTAGTCCTAAGTCAGGTGTGCCTCAAATCAGGGTAGGGACGTCCGCTGCATCATCCTCTTCGGGTTCGATGAATACAACGAATCACGGAGGTGCAGGACCTGAGCCGGGAAATGCAGAAAAAGACGATACAACTCCTTCATCCTCGTCGACAAGTGGAGTTACTACAAAAGTTCGCGCGTTTGAAACGGTCGATAAAGCGAAGAAACAAGCTGAGAGCTGGAAGGCGGCACACGCAACGGTACAAAAGCAATTGAACGACGTCCAGATGGAGCTGAAGAATGTGAAGAATTAAGGCAAGGACTATTTTGCTTCGATTTGAAATGGTTCGAAATCTAGTAGTGACGTATGCTCTAAAACCAGGCGAAAGCAACAGCCGAAGCAGAGTTAGCAAGTGTGAGGGAGCAGCTAGCAAAAAGTGCAACGGAGCACGGCGCAGGTACTTCTACTAACTTCTACTTCATCTAGCCAGCATCTGGATTTTTACATTTAAAGTGCTAAACGACTCGGAATTTCGATTGCCACCGTAGGAGAATTCACGACGCTTTCAGTTTCAGGTTTCATCACTCTACTAGTGTTCCCCTTCTACTTCTGATACCCACTCTGATTGCAGAACATTCACACGAAACTCTTCACTGACTCTCTCGCAGAACTAAGCCTTCTCCGCGGTCATGAGGAGGAACGCAAAGCCGAGCTAGAGGCCGTTGGGCAACGGCTGGAGAAAATGGCCTACCAGAAAGAGGTCTATCGTGCGAAACTCCAAGCCCTGCACAGTCAAAACCAAGCATTGCATCTCAGTCTCCAACAAGCACACAAAGCACTAGACGCGTTTCACGAAACGTCTGGCGTCCGAGCGGCCAGGGGTGTCGGAGGAGCAGGAGGAATTGTTGTGGGCGCTGGCGGTGGAACAAGTAATGGTGCCAGCATAGAAGCAGCGGGAGAGGAGTTAAGGATCTTGCGGTTCTTGATTGATAGTGATTCTACTTTTAGCATTCACATTAGAGCTACTACCTTACTATCATCTTCACTCACTCTCTAACCTAGGATAGTCGCAGTCAGCCTTGGCCGAGTGGCACGGACCTCCAACAGCACAGGGGAACAGTGGAGGCGCAATTTCAAGGTGGGGGTGGAGGTGGCAGCTCATCTTCATCTTCGTCTGGCGGAGTAAAACAGGGACATCTTGTTCAAGAAGATGAACAAGGAGGAATTAAACCAATAGGAGACGGAGAACCAAGTGCCACAAGTGCAGACCAAGCCGCAAGTGCAAGTGTATCTCGAGGTCATGAACTTCTTGAGCGTGGTCCACGGTTAGCCCAGTCAAGCAGTACAACAAACAGTCGAGCACATAGTAAGCAAGAATCGATATCCTCTTGCGAGTTTCCAGACCATCACGCAGCTACACCTCTCGACATTGCGCAACTGCAACCTTTAGCAGGTCCTCGAGGAGCACATTCATCAGCTCACCTACCCGTTCAAGAGTATTCTTCTTCCCAACTACACCAGCCTCAACAACTAGACCATCAACTACAACATGATCATGATGTGGAGCATCGGATATCAGATGTAGCAATGAGAGTGATCGACCAGGCACTGAAAACGAAGAGTCAAGTCCGGCACGCAGATCACAGGACGGGAGAACACCTGATGAGGAAAGAACAACAGCAACCACTTGATGAAACTGGTGGAGGTGGATTGAGGAACAGCCACGGTGCTGGTTTTCGGAATACGCGATTTTGGAAACCCAACTACGGAACTACACCATCTGCTAGCAAATGATCTCGTCGCACTGCTAGCATGATCATGTACTTAGTCCGTGTTGTTGTAGTTAAATTTGCCTTTAGGATTCGTCGAGAAGTTTCTTTCATGTTCTCGAGAGACGTTGTGACCTATGCTGGTGATGATGAATTCACCTGAAATAATCATCCTAGAAAGTCGTGATCTCCGTTTGGTGTTGTTCCCACTACGCTCTGCTGAATACTTACGCTTTGATATTAACGACATCGACAAGGACAAGGGACCTAAAAAATCAGATGAAACTTCGCAACCAATAAAAAATGCATTCGCATCAAGCTCAAGGATAAACCACTTCTGCAATCGAAGTTGAAGTTGTTTTAACTGAGCAGGGCTCCCAGTGGCAGTGTGTTCTGTCGACTATCGGAACTCAGAGGAAGTCGCCTTGCTTACAATCGCGAGAACACTCAGGCCACCGCTCGTCTCTCAGGTGGAGTATTATGCTTCAATCCTCTCCACAACCTAACAGTTTCCAAAACAAAAGTTTTTGGAGGAGTTTACGAGGTTCGGCCAGCTCGGGGTAGGGTAGAATTCTAAGACACGTGTGCTTCCTGTTCTTTTTACTTAGTCAACCATCTATGACTAATGTTTTTTGCTACTACAACGGAAATCGTTTAACTACTTGTTTACAGTGTTGTGACTTACATACCACGTTTTTCTATTTTCTACTATCTCGTCGAGACCGAACAGTGAGCAACTCGACACTCAGAAAAAGGCCTTTTTCTCTTCTTCGTCTCATCTTGATCTCCACCGCCACAGCCAGAACACACAAAGCTGTTTCGAAGTCTGCTATCTGCTCGCTCATCTCCTAAGGAAGATGATAAAAAACGAGTATGACCTTTATATTATTCACTGCTCAGTGTTCTGTCGACTATGAAGTGCGCCTCCTCTCATCGATTCATCCCACAGACCGAAGATACAACTAGAAGAAACAAAGTTGTGCAATCACCATATTGAGGCTGACGCCCCCAGAACAGCAGGAGTCTGTAGTCACCAACGTAAATATATTTATATTTATATCACTTATTTGAGAATATAGATATACTGCGATCTACGACCTAAGTATATTGAGAGAGCCACGGGATATGTTGATGGACGTAGTTTATTGCCATTTTCAATAGTCGCTGCATCACCTGCAGTTTGAGACTCCATCTTCATCAACGATAATATATGGCCGAACCTCGCGGAAAACTTCGCTGAACCACTCTTTTTTCTTTACGCAACAGAATCGATACACCCTTTTTCTTCTTTTGTTGCCGCTTTCCGTCTTCTTCCTCCTCCATATATCTGTGGGAAACCAGTCTTGATCCGAAGCAAATTCGTGCAAATCCAGTATCGGCATCCAGAACATTATACTTTTTTCACTATCACGCCCCTCATTTACATTTTCTTCATCAGGCGGCGCGGTAAGAAATCCGCCAGATATGGCTAGGCACACTGCTAAGAAAAAGGAGCAGTGGGTTGGGCTAGTCGCGTGCCTAACCTCCGCGCGCGCGATGCGCATCACGGATTCAAAGCCAAGGCTTTCAAGCATTTCCGCAGTGTCCGTTTCCCCTTTCCGTAGCACTTCAATGAAAAGGTGTCTAATTTCTCTGCTTTGTGCTGGTCCCTTGACTAGTATCTGTCCCTCCCAGAGTAGACGCTGTCTCTGGCAGTTGACTATGTCGCGCCAGGAGTGCCCCACCGCCGTTGCCCCCAGCACTTCTTCAAAGATGTCACTCGGAAACCAATGCAACGCAGCGCGAAGTACCCACATGGCCTCCGTGGTGCAGGTCGAAGAAAGTTGGCGATCGTCCGCTTCGGCATCTGCGGCCAAGTAGCGGCCACGACAAAGAACGCCACGAAGAAATCCATCAAGAAGGCCGCAAAAAAGTGCATCCCGAAAGGCATTTTTATCTTTTTCAGATTGGGTGGTCATCCGCTCTGTCGCCAGAATACGGTGCACTCCTTGCGGCCCAATGAAGCGGAGTAATCGAGCACCCCTAGTGTTGATCCCTGTTCCGTCCGAGAATCCCCGAGACTGGCATATGTGCGGTATAATGCTCCAACTGTTAGTACCCATGAAGTGAATTAGCTCTTCTGCCTTCGGGAACAGTCTCGGCCAAGAGTACACCTGAAACCCAAGCGGCCGACTCTGCATTTGACCCAAGCGCAGAAATATCAGCTTGCTCCTCCATTGTTTCCATGAGTCCTCTTCACCACCCTCCCCGGCTTCATCAGAAGAGAAAAAGTACAGAATCTTGCACTCGACTTCACCGTCATCACGCTTCGTTTCCTGTTCAGAGATGTTGAAACACGTCGATGCATTTACATTCTGTATTTGCTTTTCAGAAGTAGAACAAGCGGCGCGGGATGGGAGCGGCGCCGCACCATGATGATGTCCGAGAGGACTCAACGTGAACGAGAAGGGAAGCCATGTGTACTCGCTGTCCCTATCTAATGGGGCTGGGTCACGAGCATAATCGCTGAGATCGGCAACCAATGCCTCCTTTTCTTGCAAAGTTCGTGGGGACTGCCACTTCGGTTGGGCCACGAGGTAACAAAGTTTTATACTCAGTATTGGCGTTTCTTCCGTATCGTCATCGCCTGACTTCTTCCCACAAAAATTCTCTTCCGAAGAGTGAGTGTCACGACCGCATCCTCCACCAACTTGTAGTACTAGTTCTCGGTCAGATATTAAACCCAAAAAGGACAAGAGAGATTTGTGCTCTTCGTCTAATTCTCCAGAAGTGCTGACCTGATCTGTCTTATTTCCAGAACTACGACTATCGCGACAGCTACTATTTGCTTCCTGAAGATCTCCATTTTCAGATGATCCTCGCTCCGAGGCCTCTCTACTTAGCATATGCTCTTCTACTTCTTGTTCTTCGTCGCTCTCTCGTTCCTCCGTGTCCGCTTTCATATGAATCAGGCAGGCTGGAATCGGGGGTCCGCTGTGCTCAGGATCGACTGATAGCTTTATAGCAATAATGCGCTTCATTTCGTAAGCGGTCACGCTAGCAGCAACTTTGTCGAAGCAGAGCACGCGATCACCACAAAGCCTGTTGCGTGCTTCGACCCTGATGAAGCCAGTCGTGCCACTCTTGCTCTCTCCACCGGGCTCAGCTGCACCTGCTCCTCTTGCAGTAGATGAAGGTGGAAGCGACATTCTGATTCTGGGATAAATAAAAATATTTTTTGCTTTTATTTACTTCAGACCCGTAGAATGGAAATTATCTAAAAACATGATTACAACGAAGACAACCCATGGAGTACTGGTACTACGACAGACACAGACAATCACTCATGTCAATGATTCAAGGGCGAGCCAGCTCTACTGGATGGAAGAGAATCCAACTTCTACAACTCAGGAGAGGCTCTTTTCTCTCTTAGCAATTGTAGAACAGGCCGGCGCCTCCTTCTCTTTTGGTAGACGAATGTAGCCTCTATCCCCTGCTAACAAAGCACTGGACTGAAAAGAAACACTGAGGAGCTTTCGGGCATCAACCACAAGTGCACACCATACCAGAAGCAGCCACCCAAGTGTGTGAAAGTAGAAATCGACAACGATCTTCAAGAACAAGCACGTGATGTTTGAAAATAATGGCTGGGGATTTAGCTAGAAGAAACCGTCATCGATATGTGTTGAATGTTGGAAGTCATGACGTGTGTGAGTATGTCTATGTAAGAAATAGCGAGAGAATGAGAAATCGTCCATAGAATACAATGCAATTAATCTCGCAGAGTTTTCAGTGCAGACTGCCGCGCGGCGTCATAGTGTTTCGTCACGATGCTGACTCACACAGGTTTTGACTAAACTAAAAAGAACGACACGGAACTGACACTGAGGAAAGAAGTGACAAGAAACTTACACCGACGATACCTCTAAGCAATAGCGTCGATTTACTTATCACAAGCACACCTAAGGAACGGCTAAGATAAAGACTCGAGATCTGTGCAACTTCTTACTCTTTCAATTTACAACAGGAGAGGGACAGTTTTGGTCTTTCTTTCCCATCATTCGCATCATCACAACATTGTTATTTTGAGATTTGAGAATCATCCCGATTTTTGTCGTAGTACTTCATCGATCTACTCAATTTGACTTCCTATCAGGAAAAAACGAGAAGCACTGGCGGCAGGATTGATTTTTTTGGTGTGGGTCTCAGTAGCAGGTCAAGGCTTGCCAGTCTGCAGCTTCTTGTGCATCTAGCACCTGCGCGGACGTCTATATAACAGCACTCTTTTTTAGGTCGGTAAAAATGCTAAAAGCCATGCATTGGGCCATCAAGAAGATCTCCAAGATTCTCATTAGCAAACCGACGAGCAAATTGACACAGAGCCCCTGGCACTCAGTTTGTCCCAGTTGTCTTCTCATCACTCTTACATATATCGCGAACACGACCGCAACAGCAGTGGGAAAAATCAGATAAGTTACGTCGATCGCAGTGCGTCTCTCTTGAGGCGTTCTCTCCGTTTTTCAGTAGCAGTTGAGGCTGTATCTCTCGTCATCGAAGATCAAGTTACAGAAGCTAGGACTAGGAGGCTTCGCTGTCACTCAGCAAACCGAGAGTAGAAAAAGAGGCTGTTCCTTCGCAAGAATGCCTGACAACCAGATGAAAAATGGTGATCATGATAGAGAACAAACTACAACCGTCCACCTCCATACGAGTAGTAGAACTACTCCTTTACCTGTTTTTGATGAATCCACTTCAATCGGATTTCACGAATCACCAATGTTCATCTTCATTCTCTAATGATACGAGTCGTGTGCACGACCATCAGCCATCACCATGCTTTATATTATTTAAGGAACGCTGCAATTATTGAGCTTCATCCTGCGTCCCTCAGGAATGCGTCAGACTGCGTCTCCCAAGACTTCATTCGTCAAGGCTCTCAAAGTGGAAGACGCCAAAACCAGGATGAAGGGGACGCCTTCTACTTGATCCCCTTCCCCTTTAGTTGATACTGATTCTACATCAGAAGTAGATACTGTGATCGTATGACGATGGATCATTTCAATCAGAATAAAATGCGCTGGGTTCGACGATATGATGAAGAAGATGATCATGGGTTGTAGTAAAATTATTAGACGAGTGATTTTTAGACCACTAACACTAAGTAGTAAGTACTTACAAACAATATAAAATATAAGTAGGACGTACTAGTATGATTTAGACTCGTTCGGTTTGCGGATTGCGAATGTTGAGGTAGTGGTAGCTTGACTTGGTCTTGCTTGAAAGTGCCTGCGTAATTGACGTAGTTATTATACTTATAGTTACTAGAGATAGAGTATCCATAAATTATGATAGGGTTATGTATCGATAGCGTTGTTTACCTAAACCTAAGTGCCAGAAAAAGCAAAAACACCAGCACCACTGACACTGTGCTAGTTGTTCAAACGTAGCAATATGTCAATGAATATTGCAGATGAAGTTGCGGGTGCTTGATGAAAAAGAGCTATTTGCTGGATGCGTAGGCCGCGCATAAATCAAATCACTGTCGTGCGGGGTCACGGTCAGAGTCGAAAAAAATAACGCACTAGTATTGGTTCAAATAAAATACAGCACCGTAATTCTCGCATGTCTTGCTCGGGTTCAGAAAGGTGAAAGGAGTAAGGTACCTGAATGTCTTCAAGAGTTATACTGTAGCAGTCACCATTCGGAACTTCAGAACCTGACCTTCATGTTCTTACTTAATCGTAGAACTTCGCCGAACCACTCCTCTTTCTTTTGGCAACAGAATCTGTACACTTCTCTTTTGCTTCTTCCACTGTTGTTTTCCCTTTTCCAAATATCTGCTGGAAACCAATCTGGATTTCGAGCTAATTCGTGCAAGTCGAGTATTGGCAGCCATATGTCGGCGCGACCCACCTCATCATTCTCATCGGGCGAAAGAAGTCCACGAGATATGGCTAAGCATGCTGCCAGAAAAAAGGGACAGTTTGATGGGCTAATCTTAAAAGTTGTAGTTTTTCATCACGCCTTGGTGAGTGAGTTGCGGTTACCCTTTTCGTTCCTCCCTTGTTTTCCCGTTAAAATCCACATGGGATGGTGATGAAAAACTGGCCTTAATATTGGCGTGCTTTACCTCCGCGCGCGCGATACGTTTCACGGCCTCAAAGCCGAGGCTTTTCATCATTTCCGCGGTGCCCTTTTCCCCTTTTCGCAGCACATCGATGAGAAGAAGCCTAATTTGTCTATGTTCTCTGCGACGGTAGTTGCGTAGATCGTGCAAGGGTCCCACCGCCGTCGACCCCAGCACTTCATCTTCAAAAATGTCACCGGGGAACCAATTCACCATTGTGCGAAGCACCGATATGACTTTATTTGTCGCGCATGCCTCCAAAGGGAGATCTTCATGTTGGCTATTCATTTCGCCATTTGCGAATACTAAATTGCCAGCAAGAATGCAGTGAAGGAGTGCGCCGCGAAAAGGGTAGGGGCCCTTTTCATCTTCCGTCAGCGTGCGTCCTAGATATCCAAAACCATTCTTGGCCCTCCTGTAGCGCACTTCAGGATCTGGATCATCTTCTTCACTTCCATGCACTTGCATCTGGGGCGCCTGCTCTGTCACGAGAATGCGCTGCACTCCTTTCGGCCCGATGAAGTTGAGTGCTTCCTGAATGCTGAGCAGAGAAAATCGCATATGCGACGCTAGCTCGTAACGGTGAGCGACCATGAAGTCTGTTAGCTCTTTCTGCTTACTTCGGAACAGTCTCGGCCAAGAGTGCGCGGCGCGCAGGGCCCAGTGATCAAGTATCAGCTTGCGCCTCCATTCTTTCCAGTCGCAGTCTTCACCCTGGGTTTCGTACGAAAAATAGTACAATATCTTGCACTCGGCCTCACCGTCTTCCCGCTCCATTTCCCGCTTACATGTTCGGAAAAACGCGCCACTTACTTTTGTCACCCTGGAGGACGTATCCCAATCCCTGGACAACAACAAGGCCTCACTAAATACGTCCTGTGCTTGCAACAAGGCCTCAGCCAATGCGTCCTTTTGTTGCAAACTTTCCGGAAACTGCCACTTCGGTTGCGCCACGAGGTAGCAAAGTTTGATGATCGGCGCATCGTCTAACTCCTGGCTATCTTCCGCATGGAATAGCTCCTCAACAGATAAACCCAAAAAAGGCAAAAGGGATTTGTCCTCGCCCGAGACCAATTTTCGAGAAGACTTTGAGGAGTGCATCCCCGCCTTTTCTTGTTTTTTCCTAGTACCAGTCGTGGAACGACCATTTTTGACATCACGTTCCATATGAATCAAGCATGCTGGAATCGGGGGTCCGCTGTGCTCAGGATCGGCTGACAGCTTTATTGCAATCATGCGCTTCATTTCGTAAACTGTCACATTTGCAGCAACTTTGTCCAAGTACAGCAGCTCGCCAGAGACCATATTCCGTGCTTCGACCTTGATGAAGCCGGTGACGTCACTTTTCTCTGCACCAGGTGCAGCTGCGCCTGCTCCTGCAGCTGGAGACAACATTCTGGGATGAATTTTGGCTTTTTACTTCAGACCCGTAGAATGGATATCACAATCACTTCTACATGAATGAGTATAACTACGAAGACAACTCAGCGTGGAGTACTAGATCTACAACTGAGTCATGCAATCATGTCAATCAGGGACGAATCAATTCTACTGGGTGGAAAAGAATTTATTCAAAACGCCGAAAGACAAAATTCAAGATCAACATATTGCGCGAGGCCTGTATTTTTGGGTGTGGGTTTCAGTAGCAGGTCAAGGCTTGCCAGTCTGCAGCTTCTTGTGAATCTAGCGCGTGCGCGGACGTCTATGTTACAGCACTCTTTTTTAGATCTGTAAAAATGCTAAAAGCCATGCATTGGGCCATCAAGAAGATCTCCAAGATTCTCATTAGCAAACCGACGAGCAAATTGACACAGAGCCCCTGGCACTCAGTTTGTCCCAGTTGTCTTCTCATCACTCTTACATATATCACGAACATGGCCGCAACAGCACTGGGAAAAATCAGATAAGTTACGTGGATCGCAGTGCGTCTCTCTTGAGGCGTTCTCTCCGTTTTTCAGTAGCAGTTGAGGCTGTATCTCTCGTCATCGATCACGTTACAGTACGCAGGAGTCTTCAATGTCACTCAGCAATCATTCATTCACTCTCAGAGCCACAGAAATAAATTAATGATCATGATAGAGGACAAACTACAGCCTGCTTCCTCCATACAAGTACAATCAGGTTATAATCGGAAAAGAAGTAGGGGTGAGGAAGTAAGCACAGAGCCGTAACCAATCGATGCTCACTCAAACAGCAGACCGCACTCTTTAACCACATGTACCTGAAAGGCGGCCTTCGTTGAGAAGTAAAAAGTAAATGTAAACTAATCGAGCAGTACGCAACCAATAGTAGACGGCTAGGTGGTTTCACTATAAAAATCCGCAGAAAGCATCAAAAATTATTTTTTCTTTGCGCAGCAGAAGCTGTGTACTCTTTTCCTTCTTTCACTGTCATGTTCGTGCTGGCTCTTCCAAATCTCAGCTGGAAACCAGTCCACCTCATTTGTTGTAGCTATGTATTTCGTGCAAGTCGAGTATTGGCATCCACAGACTATGAAGATCACCCCGCCCACCTTGATCGCTCGAAAGAGGTCCTCCACCAGATATAGCAAGAGATACTGCCAGAAAAAAAGGGCGGTTTCCTGGGCTAGTGGCGTGCTTTTCCTCCGCTCGCGCGATACGTTTCACGGACTCAAAACCGGGGCTTTCCATAACTTCGGCAGTGGCCTTTTCCCCTCTTCGCAGCACATTTTTTTTGTTGAAAAAAGACCTCGTTTGCCTGCACGATTGCGCAAGATCGCGCAAGAAGTGCCCCACCGCCGTCGGCCCCAGCACTTCATCTTCAAGAATGTCACGCGGAAACCAATCCACCATGGTGCGACGCACCGATATGACTTTTGTCGCGCATGCCTCCAAAGGGAGATGGCTTTGGGTATCCAATTCGTCGGCTGCAGAGAAACAATGCCGAATTGGATACCCAAATAGCCATCAAAGTAGTCTTTTTCTTCGGAATCTTTTTCATGCTCAAGTGCCCGGAGCTGGCGCGATCTCACTAGAATATCTATTTCTATGCTGCACTCCTTTCGGCCCGACAAATTTGAGTAAACCAGCGGGCGCTGTGTTGTTCTTATATATAAGTACGGATTTCAGAAGCTAGCATGTAACTGTGAGCGGCCATGAAGTCTATAAGCTCTTCCTGCTTATCGAGAAACAGCCTTCGCCAAGAATGCGCACGAAAAATATCTTGTTCAACAATGAGCTTGGTCCTGGAGCGCTTCCAGTCCTCACCAATAGTACAGAAGCTTGCACTCCACATCACCAGATTGCCCTTCTGTTTCCTGACCAGAGAAGCTGAACTGCTTCGTCTTGTCTTTACTGTTGGTATTGGAGAGCATCCAGGTCTAGTAGATCCAAAAACCATCGTCCGTAACGGGGTCGTAGTCGGGGTCCTCGACGTAGTTCATACGATGAAGTCCATGGCGGTGCCGGACTTTCGCAGCAAATTGCTCCTGCCTCTTTAAATCTTCCCGGAGTCACGACCCACTTCGCTTGAGTCACGGCGTAAGAGAGTTTGATCGGCAAACCATCTGACAACCTCTTCCCATCATATTATTTTTTTCTTGATCCAGTCTTATCCTTCAGACAGCTACGACTACCATCTGCCTGAGGTCCACTATCTCCAGCGACCCTTGTTGAGGCGTCGCTCTTCAGTATTTGCTCTTCTTCTCCGTCCTTCGCTTCCGTATCCACCTCCATATGAATCAAGCATGCTGAAATCGCGGGCGCATTATGCTCAGGATCAGCTGACAGCTTTATTGCAATCATGCGCTTCACTTCGCAAACTGTCACATTTGCAGCAACTTTATCGAAGTAGAGCAGCTCACCAGAGGCCATATTCCGTGCTTCGGCTCTGACGCTGGTTGTGGGATTATACATCATCTTGGCTTTATTAAACTCGACCAGAAGTCAGGTGAGCTAGGGAGGCAATCCTTCATTGATATCAGAGACAACTACCACACACAGATATGATATCTAAGCTAAGAACAACAACAACAACAACACGGTGAAGATTTTGAAAACGAAAACCAACAATATATCTCCATATTTATAGATACGAATACGACCTACATAATCATATACTCCAGTCACAGTCAAGGAGCTCGAGGTAATAACGTGTCCACTTTGATGAAAAAGCGAGAATGAACGACCTTAGCAAGAAAATAACAATTCATTGATTCATGTTAACCTTTCGTTCTAGAAGCCTGCCAACGGGCACGCAGTATTCAAGAACCATATTAACTACATGATAGGGAGTGAGGGGTGTAAGAGTATTAGGTTTTAGTGGCATGCTTACCCTTATTCTTCTCATGCATTGACTAGAAGCAGCTATGCGGCCACGACACTGCTGAGCTCGCTTGAAAGTGAACGGTTGTCCCTGTCAGTGTCCATGTTGTGCGAGTGAGAGGACACTCCTAGATCTTCTCGGCTCGAGGTGTTGGCGTGAGACACTCGTCCTAGAATTAGAAGCCTACGTGCGAGGACTCTCAAACAGATGGGACTGGACCCTCAGGAGCCAGATGATTATCAGCCACATGATTAGCAACCGACCGACGGGGGCTAAGCGGAAAAAAAGTTGACAGAGCAGTACTACCTGCAGGGGGTGTTTTGAGTTTCTCTCAGTGGGTCTCGTGACTCCCATATCATGAACAGCAGACCACTAGAAACTAACAAGAACGCCTCCTCGTGACAATTATTTCAACTTGGCCTATATTTCCATGATCTTGGTGGATTCATTTGAATGAGAGAGAGTAAGTAAAATGCGCTGGGAGGGGCTCAACGGAGATCAGCGACTGCGAAGAAGAAGAAGATATAAGTTAGTATCTATAGTATGATGTAAAATGATTTGTAGACCAAGACCATCTCGCGGTGGTTGAAAATAATCATCTCCGATGCACACGGGACATGGCCAAGACGACGTCGTGAAAACACCGGTCGTGAAAACACTAACACCGGTCGTAATGAACGATTGCAGGTCGTGAAAACACCGGTCGTGGTCGCCAGCCGCCAGAGGTCCTTAAAGGACTTCGTTACATATTATAGTACAAGTGGGTGCGTGGTCTTTGTTCATCTTGAGTGACAGGTGGATCTCTAGAAAATGAGGATGATGATTGTTGTACCTAGAAAGAATTCTAGAAAACCTACTAGCACTACTACACCTCCAAAAAGCAAACTAGGTGTAGGTAGGCGTGGTACACTCCTTACTCTAACAGAAGAAAAATACATAGCATGATGCCGAATGCGTATGCTCATAAGAAGTGACTCTCAAAGACTTCTTGTCATGCTGGAATAATGATGAGATTGAGAAGTCTAGATTTCAACATATTGCAAATAATTGTATTCGAGTAGTCCGATTTGAAGTTGTAACTCGGTTTTGCATTGTAGTTTCGACGACCTCCATGTCGCGACCTTCATTGGGATCGGTGATAACTGAGCTCTGTGGTTCACTGGACAAGTTGTACATGTAAGGTAGAACCCAAGTTCATTTGTAAAAATGAGATGTGGCTCAGCAATGTACATTAATTAGCTTGTAAAATGGTAATGGTACTCCTCGACCTCGATGGACGACTTGTTTGTTAGAGTAAGTCAAAGTCTAATTGTAAAAAAATATAACGCCTCAGCTCATTCATCTCTCAGTGTAATTTGTTACCTGGGGGTCTAGAAAATGCATAGCTCGAGTCATAGCTTAGGTGGTTAGGTGGTGGGGGCTTATTGTAGTAAGTTACGTGGTATAGCTCGAATGGCGTAGTTGGTCTTGTCGTAAGTAAGTGGAAATAGAGTTCTCGTTGCAGTAGCTTGTAATCAATGACGCTGCTGTTCTTCGTCTTGTACGTGGTAGAAATTTAAACGGCGTTATTCTCGTTCTGGTGAGTGTTGACGTTGTTGCTCAACTTAGAGCATATAAAGATAACAAGTTGTAGTAACTAGTAAGGGGTCGTAGGGGAGCAGTAGTTTTCCTTGTTCTAATAAACACATAAAAACTCCTCCTTGTAATGTTGTCTAGCTAGTGATAGCTTTGTTCTCGAAAATAACCTTAGATAGAAGTCTTGATCAATGAATCTTGTGTGCTGTGCCTATACATGATTTGTTCTAGGTTACGTTAGGTTGTGAATCCTGCGCATCGAGTACCCCCGGCACCTACTCGACTCCGAGCCTGATGGGTGACCTATCCCCTATGTATGAAGATCATCGCAATATATGATGACGCGGCACAAGAACCTGCAGCTCTTGCAGAAATAGCTTTTGTAGAAATGACGCTTATCCGTAATCCTTAGGTAGCACATCTCCAGGATTTCTATTCTCGCAGTGATACCGGCCAAGGCTAAGAATTATATCCTTAGAATATAACTACTTCTTCCCTCGCTTCTTGCCACCTCCACCGACGGTAATTGTCTTGCTCTGTCCGCCCGAGCCAGCAAAAGCCTCTCTTGCCCGTTTCTGTTTCGCCCCTTGGACAGCGAGTTTGTCGTCAACCAAATTCTGTAGTTGGTTTTGGACAGCCTCGCTCCGCTGTTGATACGACTTTAGAACACTAGTAGGACACTTCGATGATAATTGCTGCCCTAAGACATCGCCGAACAGTTGTGCTGCCTCCATGTCTGCCTGCATGTTCGTTAACGCTAGCTCAGTTTGAATACGCTGCGTATTCAGATCTAGCCCAAAGAGAAAATCAGAAGCGATTCTGGTCCGCAGTCTTTGCCCCAAATCTCCACTTGTGATCGTTGCACCGAACGCTCTCCACGCTTCGGTGTAAAAATTATGTTCTTGCAAGAAGTCGGCAGCAAGAATGGCTTCGAGGGGCACTCGAGAACTTGCTGGATCTTTTTTGAGTGCAGCGTTTCTTACCATCTGTGCTGCAATCTGAGCGATATCAATGAGCCTCGCCTTTTGCTCCTGCTCGTCATTTTCTGGAGATAGAATGTCCGCCTGCTCGAATGTTTCATAGTTCTCCTCTATGATGTCCTGTGGTCTCGCAGGCGAATTTAACCAGCCAGAAAAATTAACCCAGAGATCGCTATGAGCTTTACCTTCTTGTTGTAAAAGATTCAGAATTTTCTTCATCTTCTCCCATTTTCTTTCTCCTTCGACTCGCTTTTTCTCCACTGCGGCTGCAAGTGCAGCTGCTCCGGCTTCACGAGCGGCTGCGTGAGAATATAAATGCCTTCTTAAATAAAAGGGCAACGCCACACTTGTTTTCAAATTATTTACTGCTAGGTCCTCGTTGGGCCTTTCATGTTCATCAATCTCGTTCCCTTCTACTTCAGCAGTGGGAGGACAAGAAGGTGGCGGATCTTCAATCTCAGTTCTTGCTATGCTGGGAAGATCTTCTAGAGCCTCCGAGGAACTTCCCTTGTCTTCTCCAACAATTTCAACATGATCCTCCACACCTCCTACAATAACTTCTGATCGCTCCGGTCCTCGTGTCACAGGACCTGAACAAGTCGGGGGCGTGGCCGCAGCTCCGAGAAGTTGTCGTAAAAATCCTCCAGTACTAAGAGTTGTACTTCTAGATCCTCCAGTAAGATCATGAGTACCTCCAGTACTAAGAGTTGTACTAGATGATCCTCCAGTAAGATGAGTACGAGTTGTAGGCCCCCCCGCGGCGAACAACATGTTCTTCATTTCATAGACATCTAATGCATATGATTCCTCGCTATCCTCGACATACAACTTGTGAATGTTCTCCCGCATGTATTCCTGAAGTCCCAAATACATCTGAACGCTCTTCTTCTTCCAATGCTGTATCAACATGACAGCAAGTTGGTATTCGGGTTTTGCTTCCAGCTCTTCTAGGATTTTTGGAACCTCGAAATGGTGCTGCTCAAGTACTGCCTGAAGTTGAAAGACGTGGATGTACAAGGAGGACGCATTATCTTGCAACTTCGCTACTGCGTCTTCGGGTTTGCCACGCTTGGTTGTTATAGCACTTCTGTCGTGGTCCTGCTTCTTGAAGATGTCGGGTTTTCTTTTTTCTAGTACTTTTTCACTCGGCGGAGGAGTCTCCGATGTTGAAGTCTCCTTGCCTTTCTTTTTCTTGTTCTTTCCATGTCTAGCACCATCTTTGGTTCCAGCAAGAGCAGCTCCACCTGCTTCAGGAGCTTCTGTTCTTTCTGCAGGAGCGCCTTCAAGATCCTCTCTGTCTCCATCTTGTTTGGGAGCTGCGGTGTCCATGTCGAATGCGTTATCCAGTGCCGCGCATGCTTTCTTGCCGAATCGTCCCCTGCTTTCCGCCTTCGCGTTCTCCCGACTTTCTTTCACTTTTTCTTCAACCGCTCTAGCACCTCTCCTCAGCATGTCGCGCACCTTTTCTAAGGCTGTAATGCCACTCTGAAAAACTGCGAAGGTGCTGCGAAAGAGAAACAAAAGGCATCGCCCCTTTCTAAAGCGTCGCGCTTCTGGGGACAGATCCGCAATTTGTACCATTTGTCCATTTCTCAGAGTTGTCACACTAGTCGTGCCGGCTACAACCTGTGCAGGTGGGTCGAGCCCGAACAACCGAAGCTCTTCCTCAGACAGAAACGGCAAGCAATCAAAAGTTTTGGTCTCCTCCTCCAACCTTTTTTTCAGTAACTCCATCAGAACTTCAGGCTGATCGCAATCCGTCACTTTAGAGATATCCGCTCGGCCACACAGGTGCTCGAATTCCCTCCTCAGGACTGCACTCGCATATTCGTCTCTTCTGGTCGAGATTTTGTTCAACAGGGAACTCGTTAACACATTATCATTATGCGTAGCCTCCTCGAAAGCCGTCCTTAACACCTTGATCGCTGCCACTGCTCTCTTATCACGCGTATTGGCCATATGAAACTCCCAGCTGGACGCTTTCATTACTTTGTGATAGTGGGCAGTGGCTCTTCTCATGTCAGCAAGCTGGGCCCTCGTCTCCTCTTTCAATTCGGCCTTCAGCCTTTTTTCCTGCTCCTCTGCCTCTTGCTTCGCCACTTTAAGCTTCTCATTCTTCGTTGCCTCCGCAGATGACCGGAAGAACTCAGTTGCCATAGTCTCAAAACGCCCAGTTTCGATCCACTCTTGCAGTGCTGACAGTAATTTTTCACTATCACCTTCCACATCCTTATCCTTTGCAGCGGCCTTTCTTTTTGCATGAACGTGGTCCTTGACGTCTTGTACAACAGCATCTTTTATTCTCTCGACCTGCATGTTGTGGACAGCTGCCTCAGATTCATCAGAATCTTCCACATCTCCTTTTTGAGGTTGATCCTCATTGTCTTCGTTTGCTTGTTCTGACTCCGAGGATGCATTTGCATAGACACTGGAAGAAGCTGCTTGTTTTTGTGCGGCAGCTGCTACAAGAGTGCGGTATTTTTCTTCCAGTTGTTTCATTCGCGTCCCCTTGATTATTTCGGTAAATTCTTTTTCGACGAAATCTATCAATTTTTTCATTTTCTGGTCCACCACCTCGCGCGGCCGCGCGTCAAATTTGATACCAGCCAATTGCGCTTCTGATTCGGTAAAATTCGTACTCCACAAACGATCAGAGAAGTTATGGGTTCCGTCTTCATCAGGTTTCAGCTGTAACGCCTCGCGACAAACGTTGAAATTGCTTGCCCATGAATCTCGCGCGTAGAAGCACCTTCTCGCACTTTTATACAGGTCGTAAGCTTCTCCAAGGCCAAGGGCTCTCCACATAACAGCATAACTTGTAGTGTAAGCGCTTCGTTCGGACTTTCTCTTCTCGATACCAAATTTTTCCTCCGCTACGCTGTTCATTTTCTTCACGGTGCTTTCCTTCAACGACCACAGAGTTCCTTCCGTATACTCAAACTCTTCAAAAAGTAGGCGCTGATGATGCTGGAGAATGGCAACTTTCATACGCAAAGAATGGTCACCAGGATTTTCTCCTGAGTGCTGCTGATGTTCTTGACCACGTGGCACAGGTTCTTCCCCTTGTTTTCCACCTCCTTCTGGTCCACCTGCTCCAGCAGTTGTTTGGTTACCAGGCAAAAAAACATCTTTCAGCCAAGACCGCAGAAGCTTCTCGTCGGTTGCTTCGACAATTTCGTGTACCCGTTTGTCGAAATTGCCTGCATTGTTGCTGTTCAACAACATCACCCCAGTTGTACCTTGATGATTGTGACAGCTATCACGTACATCATGCTGAGCAACCTTGCACTGAAATATGAGATCGACTTTCTTCAAGAAGCTTCCAAAAGCACCTCGTCCGAGAAGGCCACCAATTAAAATATTGTGGAGCAGGCCCGGCATCATTTTCGAGAAGATGTGAAAGAATGCGAATGTGAAGATTAAAGTAACTATAATACATAGAAGTAGATTAAATGTTTAAGTTGTGGCTCGTCTTGATAAAAAAATTCCGTCTTTTTCATGTGCAAGCCAAAATACGAGGATTTTGGGGTACTTGACGACTGATGTTCCCATTCATTCACTCACACTCACTCATTTACCTGTTCGCGAGGTAGTGTTTGGTATGTGGGGGACACAATGCAGAGGCAAATGCAGGGGAACTGGAATGGTTCTTACGTCTGCCTCAAATCGCGGCTCTTACTTATGCTTATTTGGTTCAAAAAATGTTTCTACAACAGTAGATCTTCCAACATCTTGGTAAGAGCAGAGGATCACTTTTTCCTGTAGTTAAGGGATCCCGTCTTAATCATGTAGCTCGTTTTGATCTTCTGTTGAGGACTCAGGATGACCTCCGCGACGCCTACAAGATGAACTACATTTTTTTCCTAGTTGTAGACAGAAACAAGCCCACCTACCAGAAGGACAAGAATTTTTCTTCCGAGTCGTGTACTAGAATGATCAACAGCTCATGTACATGTAGTAGTGGGATCTTTCTCTACTTTAGGACTGCACTAGAAGGATCAGCGCATGTGGGATCTTTTTCGAGGAAGTAGGATCTTTGCTGAGCATAGACGGATACTTGTTTGATCATTTCCCTCCCCGGAGTAAGTTCATGATCATGACAGGATTTAGTTTTAAGATTCGCTTTCTGTTTCGACAGAGGTGGACGAGCGAGCGACAACTGCGACATTGTTGCATGCATTCAATGTACTACCAAGATTTTCCAAGCTACGCTGCCGCAGTTAATAACGTACTAGACACGGCGTTCGTTTTCCGATACTTGCGCGACTCCGTCATCAAGATCCCCCAAGAACAAGATCCTTCAACTTGAGACCCTCTTTGGAGATCGCTATACTACCTTTTGTGAGATCCTCATCCTTGTTATTCTTATCTATGCCTTAAGTCTGTATACTTCCACACACCTTGCTGAGCATAGACGGATCCTTGTTTGATCATGCTAGTGGGTAAACACGAAGGAACATGTTACAGGTGCTCTCGACCGCGCTCCTGCCCGTAATATATGTATGCCGTGAAGGAGAGAAGTACAATTTATAAGTTTGTCCTAGTGGTCCTGAAATGAACTCCCCAGAGCGGGAGCTTGGTTCTTTTTCATAACAGAAGCACAAGCACAAGGAGTGCGACCTCTTCAAGATGGCACACGGCCGTGCCCGTGGTCAGTCTTTCACCTGTAGTTTCACAAGAAGAGCAAGTTAATGAAGTAATTCATCTGATCTATCCTAGACATGTTGACCAAAACATCTACACGTTTGTGATAATAACTCATTCTGGGGTTGTAAAAAAACAAAGTACAAGTACAGAAAAAACAAGTAAATAGGTTTTTTCTTCTTCAAATTCCATTTCTCAACTAACGAAAAAGAGACTTATCAGACCATGATTATCAATTATTCATTCTTGTCAGTTTCTAGTAATGCAGCATATTCCTTCTCTGCTGCTCAGGTGAATTTGACAAAGCTTTCCTGTTCATGTCATGTGTTCATTCATTCACTCATTCATTTACCTGTATTTGTATAGTGATGGTGCTATTTGTAACACCCGTAGAGACAAGTTCTGAAAATCTCAATATCATCTGTTCCACTTCATTTGATTTGTGCAAGGTTTTGATAACAGCTAAAACGTCGAAATGAGCCATCCCCTCGAAGTAAAAAATGCGTGCGGCTGAAATAAATTTGCATCATTGGAATGAATGATGATGATGTTACTCGATCTCGATTAGTGGTTGGGACGGACACTTGGTTAACTTGTTTTGCAGGTGGGAGGGTTAAAAAGTGATCAGTTTCAGTAAGTTATTTGATGTTTTGCATTTGTGCTCAAGCTCTTAGTAATGTATATCATATAGAATAAAAATCGTTAGTAAGTCGAAGATGTAGATGACGAATAACAATAATTAGTGTGTAAGTATAATATTGAATCTTCTGAGGACCTCGAGGACCAAAGCCAGGACGAGCTCCTCGAATATTCGTGCAGGCTTGATTAGTCAAGAAATCAAAAACCAATTCAAATTTTTAGTATTAGTTGAAAGCCATAGTATACTATACGTAGCACTTCTAGTATCGCAGAACTACAAGTGAAGCAGAGCTTACTTACACTTTAGAAGTAGAGCTTTTACTTTATTTGTGTCTTTTCCCACCTTGACCTTGCTGAGCAGTTAGCTTTGCTGTCGCCTTCGCTTGTACTTCTTTCTTAGCTTTTTTCATTTCTCTCTTAGCAGCTTGATCCGCTGCCAGCTTCTTTTTATCACGCTCGGCTTGTATTCTATTCTTTAGATTTTCCCACAATAGCCGGTTCGCTCTCGAAAGTCCATCCGTGTCCTGCTTGCGCTCCCGACATGGGCTCATTTGAGCTAGCAGGCCTTGGGTGTTTAAGTCCAGCCCTAATAGAATATCCGTCTGGATCTTTCCGAAGAGGGGCAAAGCCAACAAGTCTTGCTCGTCTTCCTCTTCTTCGCCTTCTTGTCCTTCTAAGTTTGCCCCAGACGCAGTTGCAGCTTCGAGGTCCTCCTCTTTTAGTTTTAGGTGGTCACGCACTAATTTCTCCCACGGCTTCTTGTAAGCGGCTTCGTTCCAGACAATATCTCCGGCAACGACAACACAACCCGGGACACCATTTTCAAGGACATTTTTCTCAGAAAATAGTCCGTTGTTTCTCACCTGCATTGCCGCATCAAACGCCGTTTGGATGAGTACGTTCATTTTGTCTTTGTAACCGAGTGCAAGAAGCATTGCACCCGCTTCCTCGCCGTCTTCTTGCTCTACCCCAACATCTTCCTTTTTTCCTTCACCTTCGGCTCCTGCTCGTGCACCATTATTGTCGTTGGACTTTCCTCCATCCTCACGATGTTCAGCCTCAGAAGCATCAGCTGCTCGCGATCGCGCCTTATTGTACGACTCTAACAATTCCTTGGTTGTGCTTATTTTAAGCTGGTCGAACCAATGGAACCAGATAGCTCCACGAGCTTTGCCCTCAATCTTTAAGTCCTCCAGGGTTTGTTCCATTTCGGCCAACAACACCTTCTTTTCAGCCTGTTGTTTGATTGCCCCAGCCACCAGATAGTCTGCTTTATTCATCTTGATTCTTCTCGCCTCGTCTTCATCATTAGTGCCTGCTGCTGGTGGTGCTCCTGCTTCTGCTGGTGCGGCTGCTGTTGCAGGCGGAACACTTCCTGGAACGGCTGCTAAAGGCGCCGCAGGAATTGCTTCTCGTGCTAGAAAGCCCGCAGGAGGAACAGGAAGTGGAAGTTCTGCTGAAGGTAGTGCGACGTTGAAATCGCGCGCCAAGCTCTTCAGCCCGCGCAAGACCGATTCTAAGAACTCGACGTCGAGCAGTCTTTTATCCTCTTCCTCTTCAGACATGGGAGGACACTCAAAAATTCCTCCAGGAAGCGCTCCGACCACAGGCACTGCTCCAGCTTCTCCTGGTGCTCTTCCTGCAGCTTCTGCTGCTACAAAAGCTCCGACCACAGGCACTGCTCCAGCTGCTGCTCCTTCAGTTGTTGGGGGAGCACCTCCTGTAGAAGTAGTTGCCGGAACTGCAGGAAAGCTTGACCAGCTTGGCCATTGCCCAGGCCTTGTGGCTATAGCCGACAACTCGTCGAACCCGCGTGCCTGGGCTAATTCTTCGTATCCCATTCCTGGAACCACTTCTTGCAAGTGCTCGAGTCCTCGTGTTTGCAGGAGTCCCGCAACTCCCTCGCGCTCCATAACGCCTTCCAGTCCTCGTGCTCGCGCCAGCTCCTGCATACGGCCACGACCTTTCACAACCGCTTCCACACCTTCCGACACGTAAACCCCGTTGTCAATGTTTTCTGTGATGTAAGCCTTCAAATCTTTGTGCATTTGGTCAACTTTCTCCATCCAATACTTCACGACATTCTTCGCCAATAGATATTCTGCTGATTGCTTCAGGTTATCCATGAAACGAGGTTTTTCGACGCGAAGCGCCTCTTCAAATACTGCGCGCTGGTGCACGTCCTGCGGTGTCAAGGTAACTGACCCTGCAGCACGATCTTTAACCTGGGCTTGTTGTAGTTGGCCCTGGAGGTTGGCCTTCGCGGCAAGCCTCGCCTTTTGCTTTGCGTTTTTGGAAAGTAGACCTACAGATCCTCCCACAGCTCCTCCTGGCTGCGGCACTGCTGGTGCGACTCGTTTGTCCACGTCTTGCGCTCGCTGAGCGAGCAAAATTATAGCGGTGTTCAACGATATGATGCTGCCTTGGTAAGCCGCCACGGCTCCTCGGAACACCCACTGGAGGCATCGGGACTTTCTCTTTTTTTTTGCATCTGGAGTCATGTCCGCGATCAAGACTTGCCGAGGACCATGATCAATATCTTCATCGATGGAGGTGCTCAGGATCGGCGCGCCAGTCGCATCAATAGGATTACCGTTCTCGTCTTTCAATCTAGTCCCGTCTAGCCGCGCATTCGGGAGCCCAAACAATGCTAACTCCTCGATCGACAAAAAGGGAAGGCAGTCGAAAGTTCTCGTCTCCTCCTCTAGCAATTCTCTCACTTTTCGCATCAATTGCGGCTGCTCGCAATCCGTGGCCACATCCTTGATATCTGCTGTTCCGCATGAGGTTCCCAATTCTTCTCGTAGTATCTCCCTTTCTTAGAAAAAGTAGAAGTACTACTTAGAGTTGAACTCTAAGTAATACTAGAGCCAGCAGAAGTGGAACTACTCCATCCTCCTCGAAGGAATACGACTAAGTTGTACTAAAAGCGACTAAGTACGACTGTAAGTTAGTAGTCCTCTAAGTGTAGAACTTACTACCTGTAGAAGAATAAGAATAAGAAGTACTTAGTGTGGAACTACTTATAGATTAAGTTGTCCTTCAACTGTCCTTCAACTTCTACTTCAAAAAAGTAATCGGCCTCCTTGTGCATTATAGTTGTGACTTAACTTGCAGCTGCCTCCTCGTCATTTGCGACCTTTGTGAGGACCCAGCGACTGTGTTTGGCTGTCGCGTTCGTCGAAACGAGCGCCGTACGCAAGTCCTGCAGAAGCCGTTCTCTCTCCTCTGGATTCGTGGTTCTTCTGAGTGTCTTTCTAGCTTGCTCCACAGCTTGTTTCATCACTTGCTTCGCCTCTATTTTCTCGAGCCACATTTTCCTAACCGAAGCTCGGAGCTCATTCACACGCTTTTGCTCGGCCTTCGCACGTTCCTTCCCCTTCTCAACAAGTTCCGCGGTTTTATTTGCCTCTCCAATTTGATGCAAAACAAGGTCGCTCACGGTATCGCCGAAGCTACCACTTTCGATCCAGTTTTGAAGAGCCAGCAATTCATCATGATCGACTCCTTGACGACCGTCCTCGAGGACATCATCATGATGATCGTCACCAGATTGATCCTCTTCACCAGCAGTGTCATCTTCACCAGATCCACTATTGACGATATCACCGCTGTTCTCCAAGTTGCCTTTCTTCGACGTGGCCTTCTCGGTACTCTCTTCTTGTATGTCTTGCAGAAGGCCAGCTTTGATTCTTTCTAGGCGTTCGTTCACCACGACAGCGTTGTCGGTGGAATCTCCTTGGAGATCTTCTTCTTCAACGAGATCTCCAGCTTCTTCTTCTTCGGAGTCCTCAAGAGGGCCTGCTTTAGCTTTTGCAGTAAGTACAGCAAGATAGTTCGCAGAGTACCTTTCTTCCAGTTGTTTCACCCGTTTTTCTTTGATGATATCGGCAAACTGGTCTTCGACAAAATCGACCAATGTCTTCATTTCGTGGTCCACAACCTTACGCGGGCGGGTGTCAAATTTGATACCAGCCAATTGCGCTTCGTCGTCGGTAAATCTCGTACTCCACAAACGATCAGAGAAGTTGTGAGTCTTGTCTTTCTCTACATCCCCTTGCAGGCGCAAAGCAGAGCGACAAACGTCTCTACTGTTTTCCCACATATCTCTGGCGTGAAAGCATCTTTTCCCACTTCTATAGAGGTTGTAAGCCTGTCCAAGGCCAAGCGCGCGCCACATGACACCGAAATTTGCTGTATTGTATGCGCTCATCCCGGATTTTCTCTTATGAATACTGAATTCTTGTTCGGCCACAAGTTCCATCTTGTTAACAACGCCTTGCTTCAACAGCGGTATTCTTTCTCCTTCCTTCTCCAGATCTTTTGCGGCCTCATCATTAAAGAGGCCCTGAAAGTGTTGAAGGCCATGCCGCAAAATGGCCACCTTCATGCGCAAAGAATTGTCATTCACTCCGACAGCGCCAGTTTTTGTTCTTTGGTCAACACCATGATGGCCACCTCCTCCGCCATCTGGCTGAATTTCCTCCAATGGGTTTCTCACATCTGCAACATTTTTTGGAGGGCCTTCTAGTCCATCTCCAGCTGCCACATGTTTCAGTAGTGATTTCAAATAGTTGGGGTCGGTTGATTCCTCGTCCAGCAGCATCTCGTGCACCCGTTTGTCAAAGTTATTGTCATTACCGCTTTTATCATGACAGTCATCGGCAACCATTTTCTGGAGAATTCTGCACCTGCCAACAACATCTACCGTAGCCGCTTGTCCCCCAGGAACGAGGAGGAGGAGTCCACCATACAGCATACAGGTGGTGCTGGAGGTCCGCATAGTAGAGCCCAACATTTTGATGATTAGTGCTCGATAGTGGTGATTGATGAGTGTAATAAAAAATAAAAATTGAATTGATTTGACGGAAGCAAGTGAATTAACTCTAGCTCACGACTAATTATGTTTTATTGGAGAGAATTAGAATGTTAGCAGGTCTAGAATTAGATAGATGAGGTTAACGAAGCATCTGTTGTTGTAGTTCTTGATGCTATTGCTAGTATTGGTGAATTCTTAAAAAAGCCACAAGTGCTGGGGCATTGATGTTGCAAGAACGATCTCTAGCAACACAATGATGAATGCATGCAATATATTAGTTCAAAAGGGTCAAAGAGGCAACGATTGACAATCATGTGAGAGATCAAGAAACAAGTTGTAAAAAAGTTTGTGGTTGATTGGTTGTGCTGTGCTTGTAGTTCTTAACCAGACGAGTTAAGATTAATCATTAAGTGTTTTTCAGTTCTGTCGATGCAACTCGAGGGGTCTCTCCTTGGTTAAAAAAATAAATCTAAAAAAGGAGCGTAAAAAGTAGTGTGATAGATCGATTGTAAGTATTCGTTTTCGTAACGAGTTATAAATACGAGGGTCCTTAGTACGATTGTGGTTGTGTCAAACGGCAAGGGAAACGAAAGTCCCAAATTCGTGAAAGTCTGCTGCTCTTGTGTTGTAGCATTTGTAGTTCATTGGTATCGATAAGTGGTATGACATGAGGTTAGAAAAGTCTCGTCGTGTTATGGATTCGAAGATGCAGTCCTGAAAAGAGTCCCTATCAGGATCTACTCCTTTTGGTACCGCTATCAGAATACCCTTTTCCATAATAAAATTCAAATTCTTCGTAAAACAAAGTGATCTTTCGGATCTTCTTTGACGTGATTTTATGGATCTTTTGTAGATCTTCCTGATCTTTTTTCTACTAGAGAATCTGCTTCTACGAGAGAATCTTGTTCTACCAGACCTAGAGAATCTGCTTCTACTAGAGAATCTTCTTCCACTAGAGAATCTTCTTCTACTAGAGAATCTTCTTCCACGAGAGAATCTTGTTCTACTAGAGGATCTTCTTCGACTAGAGAATCTTCCATCTGATCTATCAAGAGGCTGATCTTCTTTCAAGAGCATCTTGCATCATCTGCAGCTTTAAGTTGGTTATAGCCCATCAGGATTTACTTTTCAGGATCGATTAGAAACTCAGATCCAGGAATATTAGCTACATGTACGTAGATATTCCTAGAGGGAATATTAGCTACATGTACGTGCTGGTAGAAGTAGATAAAAACGAGCAAACAAATAAAAGAAAAACAAGTACTACTACCAGAGCGCAATATTTCTCTTCAGTTTATTAGGACTAGAGGTGACCTCGGAGGTACTTTCTCTTCAGCGTACTGGGATCCGCTCATGTAGTGGGATCTTCTCCTTATAGTAGGATCTTTGTTGGGGATAGACGGACAATCCCCATTGGGAGTCGTCTCCTTCCACGTCTCATTCCTCTCAGTCTCACTCTAGTTGTTAGGATAGGGTAGGGGAGGAAAGACTCCTAATTATATCGCTTAATATCACAGGTCGTGGAGGACGACATGTATCCTAGAAGTGATCCTAAAATGAATCTCTTAAATCCCGGACACGACATTGACATGCGTAGTCGTGAGAGGAGGGACTTGAAGTCTTCTTCGTATACGACGACCGCGGTCGTCTATTCAATAGGATAGAAATCGAATCCCCGTCCACAGCCACAGGAGGCAGAGCCTAGTATAGTACTACGCGCCAAACTGAAGTAAGCAAGTAACTGACCAGAACAATCGAGATACTGACAAGAAGAAGGAAGAGTAGCCTTGATGTTGAGCTACCTCCCTGATTTCGATCAGTAACTCGTATATTTTGAGTTTTCAAAAGAGCAACATGAATAACAAGTTCTTCTTCGAATTCAATCTCAAGTAAGCATGAAGAAAGGAGACAAACATTCTATTTTCTATACTAGTTCTCGACATGGTCCTCCAAGTCGGTTCTACATTTAAGGCTAAGGATGGAATGATGATTGAGAAAAACACCAAGGAAGAACAAGTTGTAGCTGAAAAGCAGAACAAGAATATTCCTTCGTACTATAATATCAAAAGTTGTTCTTTTTGTACTAGTAGTAAGTTAGTTCACTTCTAAGTGTCGACTTTCGAATCACCTCCTGTGGCTAGATCTGATCCTCGTTCTATAATCGAAATCTAGTGGTTAAAAAATCAAAAAGGTCTTCGAAAAGAAATCTCGTGGTGCAGCCAAAACTGGAGATAGAAATACTTCCGAACAAGTGTAAGTACATAGATACTACGCTGCGGAGTTAATGCTTATGCTTTCACCCACAAATAAAATGTGTAGACACTATTTGTCTCCCTCCTATGCATTGCGTTAGGTACACAATCCGCCTACTAGGATCCACTGAAATCTACTTTGTGATCCAATCACGATCTTGATAAAGGATCTCATTCATTCAGGTACCTGTTCGCAAGGTGTTGTCTAGTTGCATGGGTTTGCATTGCAGGGGTTCTTTGGGTGTAGTTTTTTGAGTGGGCTTCACAGTGTCAACAGAGATAATACTGCGATACACACTCCTTTCTTCGGATACACACTCCTTTCTTCTTAATAATCATAATGCGGACGCACACTCCTTTCTTCGGATTTTTTAGATTAGGCTAGCAAACTACTTCTACATCTGCACTTGTAAGTCTCCAGGCAGTGTACTAATCTTCTACACTCGTACAACGGCACCGATCCAGTGTCTGAGGAGAGAATTGGAGTAGAAGTGCGGCAGGTCCGACGAACACCAGTACCTGCCGAAGAACAACACTTGGACTTGGCGGGAAGTTCGAGCTAATTTTGCCTATGCGTGTTGGTGTTCTTCTCCTGCAATTAGTAGACTTCTGAGCGGGGCACTCAGAACAACACGCCCAACGGGTAAAAACTGATTTGGGGACGTTAAAACAATCGCACAATGCCTTCTTTTAACTCCCTTCTTGTATCTATGTTTATCTTATGTCAAGTTTTTACATCTTCAAGCTAAAGTTGAAGTTTCAGTTTGTTCGTATGTTATTCTTGATCTGACTTTAGTTTGCTACCAGATGCTGTCGTCTTTCTTCTTCGAAATCGATGGGGTTTCGTAATGTTGAATTAGGATGTGACAGACTGAAAAATGAGCACGACAGACATACTTAGATTACTGTTCTGAGGAAAAGACGAGAGCTGCAGGACGAAAAAATCTAAACTAAAAGGGACGAGCTCGAGGAGATACTATCTAAGCGTAACTAGTTCACTTTAAGTTCTCCTCACGTGTGTAATCATCTTTTGGGGAACATACTACAACATGTCTGCAGGCAAATCACCGAGTCTGCAGTTGTATATTACTTGTCAATTTTATATATGATATATGGGTACTTATATATATCTATATGTTGCTCTTGCTCATGATCCTTAACTTCCATAACGTTACGCATCTATCTTATGGCACCAGACCCGCCCTGTTCGCTGCTGTAGTTACATTAGTGAACGAATATTAAATGATGTTCACTCTCCCTGTTCCTATACCTAGTCCCAAGTAATTTTCTGTACTTCCAAGTAATCAATCTGCTCAGGGTGGTCTATTCCCTAGTATCTTGAGAATTATGAGATTGGGAGCTTTACTCAATTCTAAGACTAAGCCAAGGTTCCTTAATCACTGAACCGAAAAAGCTCTGAGTAGCTCTTAGCAGATGGGCAAGTCAAAGTATCAGTATGCTCATGTTGGTCTGTTGCTCTGCTCTGTTCGAGTGCAAGGCTGTTCGCGAAGCTCTTTCATGTTCCGAGGACTCACCGTAGTCGCAATCGTTGAGCGCAAGGCTGTTCGCGAAGCTTTTTCATGTTCCGAGGACTCACCGTAGTCGCAATCGTTGAGCTCACGGCACTTCAGGAGCATTGCTCAGGCGTCGGTCGCTCTCCACGAGTTCGACAATACGATTGTACGCGGCCTCGCGCTCCTGTAGTCGCGTCGGCCGTTGGATTAGGTGGCTTAGTACACTGACGTAGTCGTGGTCTTGTTTCCCGCTTGCCCCCCCGCTTTCCCGTCGAGGCAGGAATGCGCGCCATGTCGCCGTACCGATCCGCTTGCTCACCTCCTCGCGGAAACGGGTCGCACCTTCAGAGGTCAAGGCTGTCAGGACTCCTTGTGCGACATGTCGTCGCACGAACTCCACCAAGAACCACGCATTCCCGGAAAGGGGCGGCACCCAAAGCGAATACCACTCCTTTGTCGGAGAGCCCGTTTCGAGAAGTTTGCCTGTCACGCTCCTATCCCCCTCTACTGCGTTTAAGTAACTACAAAGATGATTAAGGAGTTTTTCGGTCTCCGTGTTTAATACCTGACTCGTGGTCCTCGTCGATGTCTCAATCTCGATCTTAATGAACTCCACTGTGGCATCCGCCACCACTTTTAGGAAATCAAAAAGCAGATGCCGCTTGACTTCAGGATCATTTTCTAATTCTCCTTTGAGAACGCGACCGTGCAGCATTTTGTGGTTCAGCCACAAGTGGTCATCGCCGCGCCCGACAGGGAACGTAAACAAAAATAAATCAACAAGGAACATCCGAAGGGCAGTGCCCAGCCTGTCGCGGATTTCGTGGCCAATCATGTTCGTTTTAGCATCCACCCATGTCGTGGACGTGGTGGGCAACCGCAACATCAACATGATGATTCGATAATCCTTCGCCATGGCTTTCACCGTGACTTCTAAAGTCTGGAAAACGAAGACAACATCAGAAGAGTCCTCACCATGCGGCCCTACCTCTAATTCTACTGCTGCTGCAGGTGCTAGCGCTTGCGCCACGACTTGTTCAGCTTCACATTCATCCTCAACGTCACTCCGACTCTCTCCTTCACAAGAACTTTCTCCCCTCCAGGTAGAAAAGTCTGTGCCCCCCGCCCAACATGTGGCCGACGACAGTAGACCGTAGTGCCTGTGAAAATTGAGCCTGTTATTCGTTTTGATCAGGCCCCTCAGCACTCGACTTGCGCCCTTAGCAGCCGCCCCAAGAAAGGTGCCGGCGACTTGTCTGATGATGATGGAGGGAGTGGTGGAGGTGGTGGTGGAGGGGGTGGTGGAGGAGGTGGTGGAGGTGGTGGAGGAGGTGGTGGAGGGGGTGGTGCTTCTTGCTCCTTTGGACCAGGCAAGCAAATGACAATACGCCCCGTCCGGATGCGGTCGCTCGTGTACACACGCCCAGAAGTTGTAAGCAATATGCTGACCAACGCTTGCCAGCGTCGCTCCCAACACGCCCAGCTCGTGCACCTTTCTGCGATCGGAGGTTGTTCTAGTAGAAGGAGCTGACCAAATCGCTACCGGGTGCATGTGGTTTCGACTGCAAGGTTCATGCTCGTCAGGGTAGAAGATGTCACTTCGTAACTTAGAAACGAGGAGGGGAGACTTCCTGAAGAAAAGCTCACGCAAAATCGGGTAGTACGGCCCGTACTCTTGTCGCCACGCGACCAACCGAGTGTCCTCGACTTCGTCGATCACACCACTGAGCAACCAATAACAAAGATCAGGACCCGTAACAGCGTTACCCTCGTCCGCAGGGACCACTACAGTTGTATCTACTTCCTCCAAATCTGCACCACCTAGGTCAGAAATTTTTGTAGAACTAGATGGAGGACCAATCCCAATTCTAGCTGCCTCACTGCGAGGACTGCTGGCGCTCCCCCTGCCGCCCGCCGTTGTGCTTCTACCTCTACTCGTCGTACTCGCGTGAGTTGTCCCATCAATGCGATCCCGATTGAGTCGCCCAGTGACGCGGAGCTCCGAGAGATCCTGGCGGCTAAGAAAAGCCGATGCTGGAGGACTCACACCACTGCCACTCGCTGCCACTACAAGATGATCCTTCACCACCACACCAAAGAGTGTCACAGCAGACACAGTAGAGAGGACAAAACGACACTTATTCTTTTTAGAGCGTTCCATCTTGATGTTAAACTCTTAATCTGGATGAAGACGATAGCTAGAGTAGTTATACTTATAGTATATTCTGGAACTAAAAAATAGAATTACTATGAGTCAGAATATGTAAGTTGTATGATGTTCTTCACGTGATGTTCCTTGTAAATGTAATTCACTTCCAAATTCAGCTTCACTTTCAGACTGGTGGGCTAATATTGATCTTCGTCTACGTCAAGTTCGTCCTCTAGTTCTAGCGTTGAAAATACGTTTTTCAAAACAACTCCTGCCCCAAGACTGCAGATAGAAATACTTCTAAAGTGTACGTGTAAGTAGTTACTTTTATAGTGTTGAACGTGTGCTGTTTAATTCACCCAACCACATAAAAATGTCTAGCCTCTACCTCTTGTCGTCCTCCATAGGTACTTCATCTTCGGCAAACTTTTAGAGATCCAGTCGGGAACATAGTCCGTCTCTGTTTTTCGGATCTGGGATCTTGACATAGAAATTTTAGATCTGAGCGGGAACATGTGTTTGTATATTTATCCAGGATCAAGATCTACTAATATCGTTGGTGGAGCAGACCGAACTAGAAAAAACAAAAACCGAAAGAGGATCATGATCTAATATCAATAATATTATACGAAAAATAGTATTCGTATTATACGGGAACATTAATATCTACTGTGATCAAGTGGATCTTTGGAAAGTAGGATCTCGGCAAAGAACAATTCGTCGAGGCTTGTATTACGTTCTTCTTTCTCCTCTCATCCTTTTCTTCAGCGTCTTCTTCAGTCAGTGAGAACTTTACAAGTAGAAATGCCGCAGCTCCGATGCAGAGTATCTGCAGAACAACAAGGCGCGCTTGGCTTGCATTTGCAAAGTTGAATCTTTTGCCATGCGTCCTCCAAGACTAGCATGCTCACTGCGTGTGTTTTGACGAAGACCGTGATGGTGCTCATCTTCGGACATCATCTCTTCTATTTTAGAAGTAGAGAGTTGGTTCTGTAGGAGAGCGTGTTGAGTGTCATGTTCTTGTAGGTCGACATCTGAACGGGGAGCTCAGGTGGCCCGTGGAGGGTTGGTGTAGGATGAAAACGATTTATGATACTAACTTGTAGTAAATCTCTTACAGTATAAATGTTTAAGTCCGTATGTTGTAGTTGTTGACCTGAGTAGTTTTTTAGTTACATGCTTTTGTTCTGCTTCTTCGAAAACGATGGAACTTTCTTATTTAGGTGAACGATGCTGTGACAGCCTGTGACACCAAGCATAGGTCACCGTTAGAAAAAGACGAGAGCTTGAAGAAAAAAATTGAAGGTATGAGCATGAGGAGTTTCAATCTACTCCCGACATGAAGGGGAACGTGTTTGATGTTGATCATATGGGGAAAATATTACTAAAACGCCTATGTGTGCGAGAGAGTTGATCATCAACATCATGTGCATGTCATGTTATGACACTAAAATCAGAGACCACGACAAACTCGACAATCATCTGCCCGCCCATTCACATGTACTACAATTACACATGTGCTAATATGCTCATGTTGGTAAACTTGGTTACATTTCCTCCTTCTCCTCTTGCTCCTCAAATAGGGTCTCTTCCTCTCCCTCTGCTGCCGTTTCCTCCGGCTTCGTACTAGCCGCGGCTGCAGACGCTCCCTCTTCTTGCTCCTCTAAGATTAGACAGTGAATTGATTAATTGTGACTATCGGATCAATCATCTGAAGGAATAAACTTTTTTACCAAGTAACTGGTAGTACCGAACGCAAGGTAGTGTCCTCCCAGGGTGCAAATTGCAACAGGTTAAGGAGGTGTGATTAAGTCTTATCAATCAGCTGAAGGAATAAACTTTACAAAGCGCCTGCTTCCCTTATCCGTGGGGTAGGATGTATTGGTCATCCGTCCAATGTGAAAGAGTGTTGTGGACGATTTTAGCCAGTTACATGTCTATTTTTGATGACAGTACAACATTAAGAGGAACAGGATGTTGAGCTTGAGATAACAAACTGTACTGGAAATCATGAAACTGTTTCATATAATTCCCAAATTCGCAATTTATACTTCTTAGAATTAGAAAACAAACCATAACTTCATCAATTCCTCCACTGATGGCAGCTTCATTCTTTCCTGCGGTCCTTCTAGCATCATGGCCTTGTTCTCACCCCATTCGATGATGTCCTGGTAACTTCCCTTGACGAAATCCGCTACATCGGAGATACTATGCGTTTTGGATAGTTCCTCCATGGCAAGGCCGATGACTCCTAGGACCGCGACTTGAAGTTAGAGGGGGGAAGCGGAAGGGGAAAGGTGGAAGCGGAAGGGAGGAGGCTGACTTCTAAATTGAATGTAGCCTTACAGTGAGTTCAGAGATGAATCAGAGAGGAGGACCTCGTCTTGTTGATAGACCTGCATTCAGAACCAAAAAAATTCATTTTTACGACTTATGATCTAAACGCTCGTCGTTCTACCTTATCTAGTGCCCTACTCCGACAACTCAAATACTTGTACTCATTTTTTGCTTTTCATAACTGCTGACCAGCATCATCAAGCCGTCTCTTCGTCGTTCACAACTCCAGATTGGCTTGAAGGAATCCATAAACCTGACGTAGGTACAGATTGTTACAGATAGTGAGGAGAAACATATAAATATTATCAGCATAGTTTCTGTAGAGTTGTAGCGTTGTCGCAGACGACATGATACGTATTCATCAAGAAGGAGCTGTCGATGAAGACATTACGAATATTTAAGTAACTGTAACATCATCAAAAAAATTAACAACATTCACAACATGATAATAGCACGCAAGTAGTAGCGGTAGTACGAGCAATATTCGTCATTCAAGTTTGGCAGTATCCAAAATTCGAGTCCGACAATCCAGCCTAGTGAATAACAGCTCATCCGCAGAAACTCTGTGCAGAAGTAAAGCGTACACAGCGACAACGCAATATACCACGCAAATACTCGAGCCCACATGGGCCATACCTGATTGGTTTTGTTATGGTTGCGGATGCGGTTCTCGTTCTGGTTTTCTGGATGCGTAGTGATCTTCACTTTGTTAAGAATTCAGAGTACCGGAAACAAGCATCCTCCTAGGATTAGTACTTGGGAAAGATCAAAAGAAGTACCGGAAACAAGCACCCTCCTAGGATGACGAGGAGCATCAACGCTAGCATGAAATATCGGAAGTGATGCGATCCTTCGTATATACAGATGTAAAAGCCTTGGGTGTCGAATTTAGAGCTACCGCGTTCGCATCTTCCTCTTTGAGAGTAATAGTATCCTTGGAAGGTGCCCCTTTTTCAAGTGGAAAAAGAAGAGCCAAGGATCATGGTGTTAAGGATATGCATCAGCGGTAGCCTTAACGAATGTGCTCTGTCGTACTCGCTTGAGCCTATCTGGCCATTTCTTCCTCTTTCTGTCTGTAGCTGACTCCTCCTTCTTATTGTCAATCAGAGGTGCATAGAGTGCTGGTGCTATGAAGCCCTTGTCCACTAATGCTTGACCCAGCTTTGCGACGTCCTCCTCATCCGCAACACCCTTCCCCTCTAAATACTCGTCTAATGCGGCATGGCAGCGACGCTTTATCACTGTAGGTGGGTGTAAAGGAAAGTGGGCGAAAAAGCAAATTTCCGTTGGAGTCGGGAATTATACACAGAGTTGGAGAGTGGCTTTCTGATTCCATTTCATCTCTCGTGCTCGAGAACCAGAGTTTTTTTGTCGAATCAAAGTAAGTACCTGCATCATTCTTTAGCATCCATTCTGCGAAGTCCTTGCCTCTAAAAAAGTCGACTTTTTTTCTGTCAACTTCGGCTGCCTGCCTTTGTTCTATGCCTTTCTTGCCCAAAACGCATTTTATCAGGGGCAAAAGGGTACCATCCCAGTCCCCTCCTTTTGGAGGCGAGGACGCCATTTTCTTGTTTGTGGATTAATACCTATGTTGAGGCAAGGGTCTACCTCGTTTAAGTGATGTCCTGAACGAAAAGACCACTAGTAGATATCGAAACCGGAAGATGAACTCGCAAAAACGTCAGCGAATTGAAGCATTGATTTTTGAATCTAGATTTTATAGTGCTAGAACCAATACATCAGAAGATCAAAATTCTCAGCAAAGTGACCTGAAACTGACAAGAAAACAAGAGAGAATAGAAATATAAGAAAGGCGATGCAGAAAAAATTGATGACGGCGCGATCACCGGCAGAAAAAGAGAAATGCGAAAGTTGATTAGAGCATTCTAAAGGAACAAGGGAATGTGTCGCAACATGAAAAAGGCGAAAGCAGGCGAAAAAAGAGATAAAATCAGAATGAGCTTCGTCTTTGAGACGATCATTGATTTTTGACTGATGTCAACATCATCGTCATTCTCATTCAGATTTGGCTGGAGAAGTAACCCATATGGTGGATCACATCAATTTTGATTTTGAGAACGAGAACGACGGCAAATTCATTCTTCGTTATTCTTTTTGTGCATTTCCTGTTCTTGCACGTAGAACACGATTGCTGCGTCCGGGTCCAAAGACACGACTACCTAGTACTAGTGCGTACTTACATACTTAGAAGCAGCTAATTATGCTATGGTTAGCAGAAGCTAAGCTGTAATTGTAATACTGTAGAGTTGGAGTTTCTCTTATGCCACGATTATTCGCCATCAAAACTTGCATCCTAGCTGATGAAGCGCAATTTCGTTCTTCAACAGCATCAGCCACGCTCCAATGAACGATGGGCTGTGCTGCTCGTGTCAGTGTTTTGTTGCAAGGGAGGAAGAGCAGAAGTAGTTTTCTGTACAAGTAGGTACACTCTCCATCAGCTCATGCTGAGGCACTCCAACTGCCCGTCAGCGCAGATCGATGCGCTTGCTCGCTCCCCGTCAGAAGCCGGTACTCTTTTTCATTTCATTTTCAACAAAAGGGCGACCACTCGAACTAGTACCAGAAAAATTGGGATTCATTTAGATTTATTACTTGATGTGTGTTGTGAGGAAGAGAAAATAAAGATCATATTTCTAATAGCGTGTTTCTACAACCCATTCTTTCAGACTTCTTAATAGAACAAGTATACATATACTCGTGAAAGAATTTTGTTTCACTTTCACCTCCCCTTGTTTGCTTTGCAAGGCTGTGCGTTACTGGTCTCTGGCGGGACGATGAAGTTGTATTTTATTGAAACTGACCATTTTTACCGAATACATGCACATAAAATATCAAAATGACTAAGTCGTGTCTGTGCGTGAGGATTGAGAAGGCGAAATATCAAAATGACTCTGTTGAAGTTGATATCTTGACTTACTACAACATTGTGAGCTGCTGTTTTTTCTACCAAAACCGACTATCAAAGATTGTCATTGTACTACTAAAACACTATGCCTGGGTGAAATGATTACTCAAGTACATCAAGCGCGAGTAGTTTGTTTCTGAGTTCTTGCCTGTAAACATTGGACTGTCTGAATAATAAACTGGATAAGAAATATACATACAAAATCAGATTTTGATTACTTATCACTCGGAACTTAGATATATTTGATAGAAGTCTGGTAACGGAACTAATCGGAATTCAGTACATCAACTTCGATGGGAACGGACGATAATAGAAAATAAATATACCACATCTATCAGCGATATCAAGTAGAAAATCCTTCACAAATAACAAATCTGACAGTCATCACCAGAATCTAGACAGTCGCAAATCTCGGACTGATATCTGGGTCAAAGAGCGCGATGACACACGGAAGCAGGCCAAGAAACATCACCGCAGTCATCCCTCCTTGAAAGACGTCTAAGACCGCTACACCTTTCCCTCTCCGCGGACTCGATTCGGAGTTTTGTAGTAGGGGTGCTAGAAGATTAGAAGAGGTGATACAACAAGACGTAAAGTACGTAGAAGAGGTGATACAAGAACAACAAGACGAATCAGTTCGGTCTCACTTGAGGATCCTTTGTACTACATGCAGAGATCGAGATGCTGAATGTGAATTCTAGTCTCGTCACAGTCTACAGTTTTTTGAATGTAGAAGTGTTCTTGAAGGTAGTTCTCCCATAAAAAAAGCAGCGAAAATTTGCACCGTCACTGCTAGGCTCGTAATCCACATACAGCTCACGACCGGAATCCCTAGCCTTCCGTTCTGTATTTGTGATTCATTTTGTGAAGCAAACTTTGGTTGATATTCATGATAGATTTTGTGGAGCAAACTGAATATACAGTACTTCCTGGAACTCTTCTTTTTAGTTTGCTCTCCCAGAAGCATCAAATATTACAGAAAGGATTATTGTATTCACTCAAGCCAGTCACGAGCCTCAACAACACGACAAAGAAAGCGCAAGGAAGGAAAGCATAACATCGAAATTCTAGGAGTAGCCTATAATTGTAGTGTGGAACACTGGCAAGCAAAGATAAGAAGCGAGAAAGAACTGCATACACAGTAATTCCAGCGTACAAGAAGCAGAGATAAGTACGTTTGGGTAGTCGTCGGTAATGTTCATGGTCATCTGCCTGGCTCGCAGCATGACAGCGAAAAAAAAGACCACCAAAATTGGAACGTAGGTAACCGACGCCTTTGCTGCCTCCACCGCTTTGTTTATCTGGGCTATTTCAGTCACCTGCACGTCCAGAACTTGCCTGTAAACCGTAAGCATGTACTGGACAAGATGTATCACGAAATATTCGAAGAGGAGACATGTTAGAGGAAGAGGATTTGAGAGGAGGAATACAACTTAGCAAGTCCAATCGCTGATCAGCCATCTGACCAAGAGGACCATCACAATGAAAGACGCAGCGTCGCGGCTAGTTGTAAACAAAAGTACTTTCTTAGTAGAACAAATTCATCACCAGCATAACAACAGTATCGTCACCAGCGTATTGCTCATCTCAGGGGCTACGTCGTCGACGAATAATTCTTCCGATTCTGGTGGCGTCAACTGCGAAATGCCGAAACAGATACCGATGATACCTTTGTCGCAATTATTGGGAGATGAACGAGTAAGAGTCAGTCGTGAGGGTGCACGTGATTGCTAGATGATCTTGAAGATGGGTTGATACTCGACGAGGGCAAATTTATTACTTTCAACATGATGATTTTGCTTCGCTGCACTAAAACAATCATGAAAAACTGCGGTACTTCTACCCGCATACAAAAAAGCACATCTGAATGCCATTCCTTACCCGCATACAACAGCGTCAAGCAGAGAAATCGCAATGCGTTGAAGAATGCGAAGATTCCTGGTCTTTTCACTTTAAACTTCCCATCGCCAGTGTCCACAAGAAACAACGCCACTGCCAATATTGATATCATCTGCAACCACATCATCGCTACACAAAGGTAGAACAGTTTTTGGCACGCATTTTAGAGAGTGAGAGGGGTGAAGGAAGTTGATCATGAAGAAAGATGGATCTTCATTCTTCGCTGGAACAAGATTGTTCACGTTTAGGTTATTATAATGGAAGATAGTATTAGTATAAGTACTTCTACTTCCCCTTTTTCCTTGTGTGTAGATGCAATATTTACCTTCTTACAATAAACATAACATTTCTGTGGTTCCCCAGTCTTCGGATTCAACTGCAGAGCTCTGGAACGAGCGCACAGGAAGAGGATGGCCAAGACTGGTGCTACTTGTAACGCCTGGACAGCGACCTGTGCTATTGCATCCACATTCTTCATGTTCGCCAGTTTGCATAGATGCTGTAGGGCAAGATGAAGATGGGGGTCGGTCGTGGAGATGGAGATGGGCCCTGAGTAACTGGGTGATGGTGAACAAGGTTGGGCTTGGGGTCTTATATTAGAGTAAGGCACTTTTTGACCCGTATCGGGTCGAGTTGCTCGGGTTGCTCGAGTTGCTCGAGTTGCCCACCCTAATTTTTTGCGCGGCGCCCTTCGGGCGCAGCTTTATGAGACTCCGCGAAACCTTAGCAGGAGCGTACGACACTGCGCGCCGTGTCTCTGATCCTTGATTTTCTTCGGAGTGTACCCTTGAGACAGGAGCGAGTAACCGTCTCGGGCTCAAGATTCATCTCAGCCACTTGCTTGGTCAACATCTAATTACTCGCGAATCTAGTGTGATCATCCACTTCCAGCTTCCACTCCCAGCTGTTGCTTTCTCTAGTCTACTCACCCCCAAGCAAGGCTAGACGCGCCGCCCTATAAAGCAGACGGGGTCTACTCGCTCGCACCCCCGAAGTAGATGTATTGGGAATACATTCGAAGAAAAATGGGAGAGATCGCCACCGACCAGACGACACCACACGCCACAGCGACACTGACATCAAACAAAAACAACAACGGGCAGAGTCTTTCGCCCCCTTGGTTGCGCTTTAATAAACGCCCGCTGGCAAGCTACAAAAAAAAGTCATAAGGGCCCAGGAGGCACTCGCACCCGATTGCCCCTTTCATGAGCAACAACAAACGCAGCACGCCCTTACGCTTCGCCCCTTCGACCGGCTGGGTTTGTGCTCGCACCGCCCTGCTTCGCTCCATTTCGATGGAGCGGACACCTCCCGGCAACTCGTGGCAACTCGTTCCAGCAGTGAAGCTCTTCGCTTCGGCAACTCGAGCAACTCGTGGCAACTCGAGGAACTCGAAACCCGTTATATATAATAGAAGCAGAGTATTTTTGAACACACACTCCATGGTTTGATTTTTGGTTTTTACCTCAGAAAAAGTATGCGAGTACCTACGTCTACTTTCTGTATCATCAGTAGCAGTTTCCCACGTGTGCTTCTCATACTTACTCATCTATGCAACATGACGTAGTACTACGACAATTTAGTACTTCCTGCTGTGAAACTTCTTCGACATCACAGAAAATCTCATAAAGATAGATGACGAAGGTCAAGTCCGTCAGCCACTGGACGCTAGCAACAGCTGAGGACATTAGTGGCGGATCGTGTGGCTTCCACAAGGTCTCTACTGCCTGATAATCCGCCATGTGGTACGTCCCATACGAGATCGCCAAAGAACAGCAAAAAGTGACGATCATGCAGAGGGCGCGCATGAGTAAGAGCATCTGGCGTCGTTGTCGTTGGGGTGGTGGACACAAGGTTGGAAGTCCTGGGAGGAGTGGTCTAAAGTGTGTATTGCAAGAGATAAGGTTAAGGTTGGAAGTCCTGGGAGGAGTGGTCTAAAGTGTAAACCACAGCAATTACTAATATTCTTCAGATGGGAATATTAACGTAGAATGAGGTAGTAGTAGTAGATCACGAGAGTGACATAATCCGAAGAAAGAATCAGCAAGGACGAGAACAAGAGGAGGATCAAATGAAATAAGAAAATAGTTGTACATCAAGAAACCTGTATGCTGTCATTCGAGGAAGACGCAGCACAAGAAACCTCAAAAAGAAGTACTCTGACACCCGCTGTCTTCGTCCTCGTGTCGTCCGTTCCCAGCAATAGATTTCCTTCGGCATCCACGTCCGGCAGTTTCCCCGTCAAAATCGGTATCAGGAAAGTGAGGCCCAGTTTGAGGTATTAGAAAGAGATGTGTCCTAGATGTAGGAACAGCTAGAGGAGTTCACGGTTGACGAACGGAGATATTCTGTTTCTTCTATGCAACATAGCAGTGCTATTTTTTTCTTTACGTTCTTATAGATACATTGACGTTGACCAATCCTGTAAAAAATCCTGCTTCATAACCTGTAACTGCCCAGACTGCGACGAACATCGAAGTTTCAACGTAGGGTTGAGGTAGTCCGATTTTCCCAGGACTCCCTAGACTTAGTTGCACCGCACGCATCGTCGTCCCCAAGAACATGACACCCAACATAGGCATCAGTCCTAAGACTTGACGGGCTGCGGGGATTAGAAAAAGGTGGTAGCATCAAATTCTGACTTTTGAAGATGTAATGGAAACGTAGATAACTCATCGCGAATATTGTCTTCTACACGTAGCCTGAAAACAAGAACGGAACTTGCTTTATTGCTAGTACTCGTACTACTGCTACTGGAACCGAAATAGATACTAAGACCGTAACTGTATCGTGATCAGCGCTGCACCGGAGTATGAAACCTTTCGATCCAGCAGCGACTCTGCATCATCTTCACTTTTGTGAGCTCTGGTTAGACGAGGTGCTGTTCAAGTTCCTGCACTCTGCGAACAAGTTGAAAATTGAAATTCAAGTTCCTCGATAACGGATGAAGCGTGACATAAGTGCCAGTGAAAGTTATGAAGGAACTAATCAAGAATTTGAGATGAGTCACAGTAAATTTGGTGGAGCAGACCTAACTAGAAAAACCAAAAACCGAAAGAAGGAAAGTCAATGTCATGCAAGTACTTAAACTTATCTACTAATAACTACTAAGCGCCGGCGCAATAAAAATTACTACATTTTTTACAACAACATTTACAACATTTACATTTCCATAAATCTGACCCCTCCGCAGCCTTCTCTTCTTCCTCTGTCTTCTCCAGGGCCAACGCTCTAGAGGAAAACGCTCTCTCGTAGAATCCCAAACCGTTGGCGCATGCGGAGATCAGACAAAAAACAAAGAGCATGTGGATAATACACTGCATCGATGTCGAAATCTCGTTGTTCTCCAGATAGGCAAGAGGTGAACCCATCAGGTAGCCACTGTTTGGGTTCTTGCTGTCTTTAGATGCGAGAAGAGAGAGGAGGTTGAGGCCGTTTGGAATTTGAAAATATAATTTGTGCAAAGTACTAGAGAAACAAATAATAGAGGATGAAATTCTGATTATAGATAAATAGCACAATTCATTATGGTGGCAAGAAAACATTGGAATCACTTTTACTTTTGCACCGTCAGAAATTAATAACTCGACCTAGAATCACAGCCACTTCTACCAAAGTCGCGTAGTTGTAATGATAGAGGCAAGGATTTGAAGACTCAATCCATGGTTTGACTTTTCAAAAGTCTTCGTGCTATGATGTGCTGGTCATAATGTGATAAATGGTGCTATGATGTGGTCTCCAGACACCACTATTTTCGTCCTCAGGAGATAGGCCTGGAACATAAGCGGGGGCTTCATCTTTTACTGCTTGCTGAGGAACCAGGACTTTCCTCTTTGCCAAGCGTTGATTTAGAGGAAGTGGTTGGAAGAAGAAACGTATCTCATCAACAAGCCCACCATTGACGACGTAGAGCAAGAGCAAGAGTGCGAGGGCTAGAGCTAGAGGTAGAGAGAGAACTCGAACTTTGTCAACAGCTACAACAATGAGGCACATCTGATGATGGATCAACAGCCCGGACGCTTGTTTAGCAGAATAATATGGGTGGAGCCAAGCTAACTAGAAATAGCAAAAAGAGGAAAGCATGTAGATATAATACAGCGTTTAGAATTAGATAAATTTAATGCTACGGGTAATTGTTTACTAGAAGACACCCTAAGCCCTGAATCTATCAAGAACGCCAATACTTTTTCTTTCATTTCCAAGGAAGTGCCAAAATCCTCTTCATAATGCTTTCTCCGCTGCTGCTTTTCTTGCAGCTTCCCTCGCCAGTCGTTCCTGCTTACGCTTGTTCGCAACAAGCTGAGCTTGGGCAAATCGCGCTTTCACCTCCGCCTTGGCCTTTTTCTCTCCTAGCTTTAGAAGAAATAAAGAAGACTTGGTTTTTCTGAAATGTACTAGACTACCGTTAGTATTCATCGATCAGGCTTGGTTTTTCTGAAGTGTACCAGACTACCGTTGGTATTCATCATGTTTGCTCCTGTACTACAGTTAGTAAGAGGTCACTAGAATCTATTACATCCTGAACCCCTGTCGCAAGTAGAATCTATGGCCGGGTATTATAATATCAAACAAATATTATCTTTATCAATTTAGGTAGTACTTAGATTGTAATTTTAATACCCACAGCACCCAGTTTGCGGCCATAAGATCAGATCAAAAACGCCTTCACGCAAAGCCAACGCTAGGTCATCCGGTTTTTCGCCTGGAGGTGTGTATCGGGCTTTTCGAAGAGGATACATCGATGGCATGCCTGTAGCGTTATTGACGTCGACAAGGAGTCCAATCCTTCGCACCTGCGTTTTTGGGACCGGAGGATCTTGCTTGTGCCCCTGTCCAGCTAGTTGTGCTTGTTGTATCTTACTAGACTGCTGCTCTGCTTGTTGTCCTTCTTCCGTCTTGCTCACTTTTTTGTCCTCGATCTTGTTCGCCTGTTTTTCCACCTTGCTGCTCTTGCCTCCAACTGATGCATCCAACCCTTCTTCAGCACTAGAACTAGAGATTGCCCTTTTTTCTTTCGTCTTCTTATTATCCGCATCCGCCGTGGATACGCTTTTCTCTGCATGGCTCTCGACGACTAAAGACGGATGTTCTGCTTCCGACGTTTTTGTACCCTCTTGTTCCGATGTTCTTGCGTGACCCGCATCAATCACGCTGGTCTTTCTTGGCGTCCCTGGTACTGCACCAATCGTGACACTAGTTCCAAGAACATGTGCTTTTGTACCGACTTGTTGCTTTGACACCGCAGCAGCTTGTCTTGATCCTTCTTTTCCCGGCTTGTCAGCTACAACTGACCGAATGTGTTGTTCGGTTTCCACAAGGCCTAGAGGCATGTCATGGACACCGGAAGCTAGCTTTGAAGGAGAGGCAAGTCTTGCAGCACCTAGTTCTGAAGACATAGAGCTAGACACAACATGCTCTTCGACTTCGTCATCTTCTTGATCATGCCCACGTCTTGAAGAAGCCGCTCTTCTCGCCCTCTGCGAAGTAGACCTTGTTTCATCAAAAACAGCTCTGTCTTCTAGAAGTTCTTCGTCGTCATTGTCATGATGATAGAAGTTCGTCCTCCTCCTTCTATTTGGTATCTCCTGTTGATGCAGAGGTTGATCTTGTTTCATAGTTTCTTGCCTGTCCTCCTCCTCTTGCTCTTTCCTTTGCTCCTCTTGTGCCAGCCTAAGGGCTTCGTCACTCAAATGGATTTCATGTCGCGGAAGCTCGCTAAGACTAGTGAAACTCATGAGATCTGGGTTAGCCTCAAACATCGACTCGGCGGACTCAATGGCTGAGGTAGCTGGATGATGTGAATGGTGCTAAATAATGTACTTTTGATTGAGAATCAATAGGTGGGATGGAGAGAAAATCAATGCAGGCCACATGATCCCCTTCAATCATTCCGTTCTCAATCACGAGCAAGTGACGCCATAAATGACCGACTGTTCCCACAGAAGGAGTAAGAACTACTTTGCTCGCAGATCTGGGATGTAATTCTTGCACTTCTTGTCTAGAAGCTGATTTCCTGCTAGTACTCTCCGACATTGGAATAACCTCCTCATCTTCCTCGTCCTGCGGTGCTGCCCGCCTATGCCACCTACTGCTTTCACGCGTTCTGCGAACCTCATGCATCGGCTCTGCGCTAGAATGTGCTACATGTTCATCTTGTGCATGTCGCCCTTGTTCCTCTCCTAAGAACCTACTACTCCTTCTATCCATGATAATGGCACGCGCTGGCTCGTCTTCAGTGTCGTATTTCATGTGATGTCCTCGAACTTCATCTTCATGCTCCTCATGGGCTCTATGACGATGTTGAAGTTGATCATGTTCTCGATCAAGGTGGTCCAACGACTCGTGTTCTTCGTCATGATGTCTAGCTCCTTTGCCATGATGTTCCTGCTCCTCCTCGTTTCTTGCTGCAGTACTGTGTCCTCTTGTGCTTTTTGCAGAGGTTTTTCTCCTATCCGTAGCTACTAAGGAAACTGGTGCTTCCTCTTCTGATGAAGATGAAACGACGTTTATTGCTTCAGACGGAGCCCTCTCTTCGGAGTCTTCGCGCGAATGAGACTCGACTTTTTTCCTCTCGGCAGAAGTGACTGGTGGACGATCTACCTCGTCCTTCGTTTCGAAACCATGTCTCTCCCTTATCCTGGCGATGTGAGCCTTACGCTCTTCTCGTTTCCTAGCGAGCTCTTGAGCGACTGCTGATTCATCCACGGTATTCTTCTTCTGGCTAAGACTAGTTGAGGAAGCGTCAGTCTTTCGCTGATGCTGCTTCCTTTTTCCTACGACCTCCTTTGTTGCGCTTGTTGAAGATGCTTCACGGCTAGTTGCAACTACCTCTCCCTTCTTGTGATGCCTTCGATGTCTCTGATGTTTGGAACTCTCACTTCGTCCTGTGCCTGCTGTTGTTCCGACCACCGCCGTCTCGAGTAGTGCGAGATGCTGATCTTCACGTTCGTTTTCACCTTGGAGGTCGTCTCCTATTGCCGTCGACCAGTCTTCATCTCCGGTTATCATGCCCTGAAGATGTTCCAGTTCCTCATCTAAAGCGCCAGGAGGAGGTACTTGTCTGGCCAAGAACGAGAAACTACTAGACCAGGAAAGAAGTACTGTGGCCACTCGGACGCCCCATGGCCCTCGCCCAGGGCTCGCGTAGCTGAGCCTTCGAGGTCTCATCTACGCGCCGCTAAGGTCTTTTGTTCTTGCCTTTTCTGTGAAGCTTCTTCATTTACTTTTGTGTTCTGTAGTAGTGAAATACATAGTGATAGTACCTTCTTTACAATGAATAATCAAAACCAGGTAGACACTGACACTTTGAATGAGGTGATCGAAATCTCTACCGGAGCGAAAACTAGCTAATCGTGAATAGCATTCTGGGAGGTAGATCATCCACTTTTTTTTTTGTAGCCAGGTATTTAGCGTGCACCTTGTCCTTTTTCACATTTTTCTCTCGTCTCCTTGCCATGCTTTCTATCCCTCTTTTCCCTTTGTTTTGCGCAAAAAAAATAAGTATTTCGTCTACCAACCTTTTTGTTTTTCATCTTTCCACTTTACGAAAGCCTTTAACAATGAGTTTCACGTGCTTCGTCTTTGATAAAGGGCCATCTCCTCAGGGGCGCGAGGCTGCTATATCGGCAGAAGTCAACCTTCACCAGTATTTTCCATGACTTTTACAGATGGTAATCCTTTGCGCGTCGAAGTTCATCTGCTACTCTTTTTAGTCGTAGGTGATGAAACATGAAAAAGTAATTCAACCATTTGAAGACTTCCTTGACAAGTTTGCTAATAAAAAATATGCAGCTAGTAGTGTTTGGTGTGTACGTTGTAAGCGAAAAGTGGGAATGAAGATTCATTCTTGTGCGCTGTCTGATTTTCCTGTTGAGTTCTTCACGATAGATTATACTTAGAAGGATTCGTGTCTAAATCATGAAGAGTAAGTTCATTTGATCCACAATCAGGGTGAATGATCAACGAGATTAAAACACCAACGACAATAAAGAGGAAGAGGTGGAAGCACTGGACAAGGTGGATACTTTCAGTTTTACGACGATTCATTCATTCGCATCCCAAGTAGTCCTTCAAGCCTACCAGCGGGATGATACTTAATTAAGTTTTTTGGTTTTGCAGTGGTCCTCATCGCACTAATAATTAAGCATGATGTTCTACTAATTGCACAGGCTGGTTTGGAACTGGAAAATGGGGTGTGGTGTAAGCTCTCTGCTCTGGATAGACATACCCTCCGCCACCACTGATCATGGCCACGCGTGACATACTGCCGAAGCTTGTTCTCGTACTGATGTTCGTCTCGGGAGTAGCCCACACAGGTGCTGCTGCTGAGGCCGAGCTGCCCCTTCGTGTTTCTACTGAAAGTAAGGAAATGTTGGTTTCTCGGTTTCCTGCTGGGCCGGGGTCGACCTGTGTTGACAAGAGGGAAAAGATGACTGCAAGAACATCTTTTGCACAACTATTTCCAAGCATACTTACATAGTGTAAGCAGTTGTAAGACCTTTTCACATTCATGATAGGGGAATCGAAGTCATACTCACACAAGTGAACTACAATACCGCTTTCCCATATCTCCTTCCTGGTGACGAATCCATTGTAGCACGATCCCTTACCACACCGTTGACATCCGGACCTGCTGCTCCACACGTACTCCTTGGGTCATAGTAGCTTGACGACCTGGCATCAGTGTAGATATCCTCGGAAGCTCCTGTTTGCATGATTGAAGCTCGCAGTGTAGTCCCAGTAGTTGCTCCTCCAAGCATTCTTGGTGTCTGATCAGAAGGCAGTAGTTCGTGAACACTGATAGCACCGCAATTGTCTAAGTCTAGCTCAACACTGTCTTGATGTTCCTCGTCGGGTACTTCTACGTCAATTTCAACGAGCGTTTTTTGTTCCGGATATTCTTGTTCCGGATCATAAGGATAACGATAAGCTTCTTGTTGAGATGTTGAAACATGTAGTTGTACTTGTTGTTGTTGTACTTGTTGTTGAGTTGGTGGCTGTGATACATTTACATGCTGGTCTATGGCAACTTGATGTTGTTCTATTGAAGGAGGCTCAACATTGACTGAAGATGGCTGTTGTTGTTCCACGGCACGGGCTTCTACTTCTTGTTGTCCACCGCCTAGCCGCAAATCATCCACAGAAAGCTGCAAATCTTCAACTTCTTCGCCAACTTCATCTTCCCCCTCAGATGACAGAAATTCGTGCCAGTCACTATTATCCAGACCACCTTGGAATTTCTCAGATACAGCTCGTTCCTCCTCCAATTCTGAAGCATACTTGCCTGCTAAGCGTGACCGTGCTCGTAGCTTCACTTGCGAGCTTCCTGATATGCGTCCAGCGTTATTCAGTTCAAACTCTGGCGTTACCATGGAGACTGCGGACACTTGAGGGATTAGAGAAAGACAGGTAACTAAGTATGATCTACTTATCTCCGAAGTAAAGCCGCAAGGATCAGTCCCTTCAACTAGAACTACAACTCCTCTTCTCCTCTTAAATTAATATTATAAGAGGACCAAAAATCTACAATCGACAAATGAATTCTGTTGGGCCTTAAAGACAAGCAAAACTGCCTGAAGTGCTTCAAGGCAGCCACCTCTTCCTCAAAGGTGCCCTCTAAAGCCATCAAACAACGTTCAGCACGATCCAGCACGTCGTCACTTGTCAATTGGTCAGCCGCACGTGGATCCATGAGAGAAATTCTTTCATGTAATGGCAAGCCGGTGGCCGTAGAGGCGGCAGCCGTTGAGTTCCAAGAGTTACCTGAACAAGGATGGACGTATTGCAGAAGTTCTAGAGTGTTGTACCGTAATACTTTCTGTATTGTTCACGAGATGAATGTGAATCTAGTATGAAGAGATGAACAAGATGAAAAGCAGATCGTACCACTCGCAGCCATCACCAGATCCGCTACACTTCCTTTTCTACTTGTCGTTGGCGTTGTATTCCCGGAGGTCGATCCTTGTTAGAGCTGTCCGTCCTTCATCTTTCAAGTGCATCCTTGAAAACAAGTATGGGAGAGTATTATTCCTTTAGGTGGATACTCCTCGTCCATACATTTCATCAAGGATATGATGTCCAAAGATGTATTTGGTACAGCCTTAACCTTGTGTTCCCGAAAGCGACGGCCGACCATTAGTCGACGTCTTCGAACCCGGTCCACTGTTCCACTTCCACCCACCATCCTTTTTCAGGATTTCTGCCACTGCTGCAATCGCTTCGGCCTTTATCTGTTCCGTCTCCTCATCCGCACCGCTAAAGCCTGCTTCTGCGGCTTCGGCTAGTTCGATCCGCCTATCCGCTTCATTTCGCTGCTCAGCTAGGACTTGTTCCATTTGGGCAAGGTCAACTTGCGCTTTCTCCACTTCCACTTCCAATTTTCGAGCGTTTTCTTCGAGGCCTGCCGCACGAGCCGCGTCTTTGCGCGTGTGGCTGTGCATAGAACGACGGGCTACGAAGATCTGATCTTCTAGAATGCTTCTGGCTTCTACCAAAGCCTCGCGTCGACTAGCGTTGTCTTTGACTCTATGATCGACGCGTTGTCTTTCCCGCTTGAGAGAAACCTCGAGGCTCTCGAGTTGTTTCTGGAAGCCGCGAATCTCGCCTTGCTTCGATCCGAAGTCACGCTCGAATTGCGACTGTAGCAGAGGGGGAAGGAGGGGATGGAGTCAATGGAGTAAATGAATGCAGAAAGAAGCCCCTTGCCCTTGGGAATTTTGATTTAGATTCTTGTCCTTAGTACTCAATGGATTCTAAAATATTCTTATGAATATCACACACTGTTTAGAAACCAGTACCTTGTCATCCCTCAATTTTTGTCTAAAATCCGCCACGGCTTTTTCGTAGTTCGCTTTGCCTTGCGCCAATGCTGCTTTCAACTCGTCCACTGCTGCTTGAACTTTTTCTGGCCCAATCTCCTTCCCAATCTTCTCCTCCCGACACTCTCTCCTCAATTCTGGCAACGTTTCTTCCTCTAAAACTCGTTTTTTTGATGCTATCGATTCCTCCAACTGTACGATCTCATTCGCCATGGCCTGAGTTTCGATCTGCAAATTCCTAGCTTGTCTTTCGTATCTGGCACTCTTGCCGCTGAGAGCTTGTAGTTCGGCCTGGACCCTACCCTGCAGCATCAGACGGTCTTCTAGGATTGCACGACTCTCTAGGACGCTCTCGCGTCTCCTGGCAACGTCTGCCTCGCGGTACCGCACGACCTGCTTCAACTCTTTGGCCGAGAGGGAAAGAGCTGTTGAGGCACCGGCGTAGGTGGGAGATCCACGAATAGTAGAGCGCACCCTAATCCATCGCGGGATTCATCTTGGGCCTATTTTCCCCTTACGGGACAGGTCTAAGATGCTTCAGAAGATGGATTAGGGTAAGCCTTAAGAATAGTAGATCCTTGCTGAGGTTGTATCAAAGCTCCAGGTGGTTCTCGACTGTAGTTTCTTCTAGTAGATCATTAGTAGAGGTGTCTAATATCTTCGTAGTGTGGTAGATTGCTGGATAACTACAATCCCTTTCCCTCCACATAGGTAACCTAATTCTGCAGTACATCATAGGTATCCTGAGGTTGCAGAAGTAATCTTCTAATTCTAAGACTCCATCAAGTTGTATTAACATTTATTATAAGGATCTTCGATTAGAATTACAAATTGTAGCACTTCTAGGAGTGTGCTGATCTCCTTAACTATTCCCTCCAGCACCAAAATCGCCTGCTTGTCTACCCGCTCTCGGCCCCAAGACCAAAGCTGTCGCGGAAACACTATGCTCACCTCCATTGCGAGGTGTCAAATTCGTAGATTTCGACCCACGTGGATGCTCGAGTGGAATTACTACTGAGCCACTACCCGGCAAAAGCATCTCAGGTATGTCTAGACCGAAACGAACTGCGGAATTCGCACTAATAGACCGCTCTCTTGCAGTCGTTGCGCCGCTATTAACACGTGGACGCGCAGTGGTCTTGTTACTCGTTACAACTGTAGCTGCTCCACTAGCTGTTGTTTTAGCACCTATTACTTGTTGAGAAGATCGTCTGACGACAGGCTCTACTACAGACTCTCCCGGTGGTGGGTAGACATCCGGCTCTTCTGTAAGTCTCTGCTTGACGTACTGGACAGGTGGAGTACTTCCCGCTCGTAAGCCTGCCGTACTAGGTGTTCTTGATGAAGCTACTTGTTGTTGTTTGTTCACAACTGAAGCAGCTATTGCAGTTTTCGATGATTTGTGTAGGACTTCTGACGATGAGGCGGGAGCAAGTGCTTTTACAGGCACAGAGGATGATGGACCGGTGTGTGCTGAAGTAGCCGATGTCACACCAGGATGAGCTGCGGAAGATGGAGTTGTTAGTAGGTTCTGTTCTGCATATTGCGCAAGATGTCCTGCTCCACGACTGCTTGATGAGGGTGGCGGTGCGCCTTTACTTCCGAGTAGGCGACTAGGATCCACAACCTTGGTCCTGTCAACCGATGCTTCGTCATTCGCAACAACACCTGGGACGACGCGGCCTCCTCCTGCGCCACCAGCTGCTCCACCAGCCGCAGACTTTGAGGCGGACCGACTGTGACTAGAGACCGTGGCAGTAGCATAATGAGGGGAAACTGGAGGTCTTCCGCGTGCCTGGCGTGAGGTACTAGAAGATGCACCGCCAGATGTGAAATTACATGTTGAGGTTGAACTAGAACTCGTGGCCGCAGTTGTACTTCCACTTCCACCACGATGACCGCCTCCAGCTGCGTCGTCCGCACCTGCTGGTGACTTCGTCTTTGCGGTGACGGGAAGGCTCTTGCTCCCGACGGTATTGGCTGTCGTGGTTGAGGCAGATAGGCCTATGCCTGCCGTTGTTGAACCAGAAAGACGGCCAGTTTCGACAGCAGATATTCTTCCGTATCCGTGCTGCTCCACCATATCAATATCCACCTCTTTTTTGAAAGCAGATGTTGAAGAACTTGCTCTTCTTGACTCTTCACCAGCCTGCTCATTTTGTGAAGACGAAGATAGAGCTTGTTGTACAAGAACTGGTTGCTGCTCTTCAAGCTTGTCGTGGCTGCCACTTCTTGCAACCGGAGCCGTACCCGAAGAAGACGAAGACCTAGGCAAGTCCTGCAATTCTTCTGCAGTCAATTCTTCATGCGTCGTGTAGTACGTCGGTGTGTCTATATCTGCAGCAAGAACTGGATGAACGCGACCACTCGAAACAGTAGCAGTAGTAGTAGTAGTTTGTTTGGTCCCTGCTCCTTGTACTTGTTCATATTCACGTTGAGCGACAGCTAGTTTCTGCGCTGCTGCATGGTGATTCAATGATGCTGCTGGTGCGCTGTTCTTTCGCTGATATCTGACTTCATGAAGCTGCTGGAGCTCAGTTCTAGAACGAGTACCATGGTCTTGATTTTTCGGTGTAGGAGGACCATGCGATCCTCGTCCAGATCCTTGCTGCAAGTAGTTTCCACTTCTAGTACGAGACCCAACTACGGTCCTGAAACAAGACGACGACGAAGAAGCGTCCAAGAACGGGTCATAGTCGTAAGCGATGCCAGGAGGATGCGAAGCGACGCTGCCGTAAGACGCACTTCGACTAGCCGCGACGCAACTCACGCTGCCTGGGGAGATCTGTTAGAGCGACAGTTGGCATCCGTCTAAACATTCACATGGCTGTTCATCCGCCCTGCAGGGCCAGAGAGATGAGTAAATTCGTACATAGCGCATTACTGTAGCTGATTATCGTGCAACCAGCTAGGGGAGCCTCTTTCGACAAAACAAGGCTGAACTGTACAACTAAAAACTACAATCACTATGAGCCTTAACCAAGATAGTTCTTTGGCAACGGCACTAAACCGGGTGGCGCGATAATAGTGCCTAGTGGTGGAGGACGGAAAAAAGTGGCGGCGGAAGGAGAGTTTCCACGACTCGTCGCGCGCGAGCTGGCTGATGCGGAAGGAAACATCTTGATCTCTTGGCGTTTGATGTGGTTGATCTTGATGAGGGTTGTAAAGACCTACTAGTTCTTACTTAGTCTTCTCAGCGGAAACAACTCGAGGACTACAACTCCTTATGACTCTACTATCATATTCCTTTTCGTAATTCTGAGAAGCCCATTTTCACTTCAAACAGCGTATCTTGCAGATATCGTCAAGGGTTTCTGTTGTATAGCTTGTCTCTGTCTCCTTGAAAGCACAGTGAGTCCTTTGAATTTTCTCAACCAGCGCGATTCCATTTAAAGGCTATTTTCTCATCGTCTCGCTCGGTTCTCTTTCTCGGGCATGCCTATGAAACCAAGTAAGTACATGTTGGCATCGAATATTTACACAATGGCATGGACACTGAAGACGACAGAATGCACGAACGACGAATCCTGCGGAATCCACGAGTGAGGATAGCAGACAACCTTTCGTATTCGAATGAACAAAACAACTTCTGTGTTGAGGAAAAGTGAGGAAAATCCGTCGAACGAGATGAGAAGTAAAATTTCGTATGTTGTAGCAGACGATGCCAGTAGTGTCACGCCAGACGGACCCGATCTAATGACTTTTGGCGGTCCCCATGCCGGCATGTAGTTTCGTGTCATCTCCTGTCATATTCCATATGAATCAGGTCAATGACGGAAATGGAAAATGGAATTGACCGAACAACTAGCAAACTACTAGCTGGCTGTAGTAAAGGAATTCCTTACAGAGGCACAGGCAGAGAGTGAAAGTAATTGAATCAAAAAGTATTCAGAATTGCCACGACGAGTTCGTCAAGGAACCTGCCACCTACCATGGATCTATTCATGAATGTCTATGTGAAAAACGTGAAGGGCACAACTTTCCAACGCAACATCTCTCCAGGACAGTTCTTTCATTGTGCCTTTTCTACAAAACAAACTTTGCCGACGAGTTGGTATGTATCTATCTTTCTGTATCAGTGTGTTGCTTTGAAATCATACACATGACAGATTAAAGAGTGTAGTAGAATTGGAATTCTGGGGGTTCAAAAATTAATCCAATTTGATTTTAGATGGGTATGGAATCGGAAATCCGATTTGTAACTCTTTCTCAATCTCAAACCTCAATCTCATGCTACGAAGATACACATCCTTACCTAAGGAGCCATATCCACTAAAGCCTCGCCATCTTACATCCGAGTTCGAGCATCACTTCTTCCGATCCGCCACCGATCGCTGCCGCGCGTACATCACGATAAGCGCGCTCTATCTTCCCCCCACGACCTCCTCGAATGTAACCGCGGCCACCGAATATTTGCAGTCTTAGAGAAGGTCTACAAATTGAATAATGGGGATAACGAGGAAAACCGATCTTGCCCGATCTTGACTGCAGTGATTCTGATCATCCCGCCCATCCTGTCTGAAGTAGAAGTATTATTTACATTATATCTTGTCTCTGAAGGGTGAAGTACTATTATAAATATATCTACTAGTATCTATACCCAGCATAACATCGCTTCCCTGCAAACGTATTCTAGTGATCGCGAGTTGTGGACTTTTGTCATTGCAATGAGACCAGCCAAAGCCGGATCCTCTGGATCGCTCACCATCTTCTCATTAATGCTCTTCAGCAAAGCGTAGTTCGAAAGACAATGCCGGATCATCTCGCCTAATTTGTGCATAATTACCTGATCATTTAATGGAGAAATAATCTTTTGCTTTTATTGATGACCAGCACGGAAAATAAAGGAAGATTCAAGTAAAAAGTGTTTTTCTCTTAACTGATACTCTAGACGCAATCGAAACAGTTATACTTAGGTCTGTTGAAAAATCGTGTATCTCTATCAGCACTACCTGATGTTTCACCAACTTCTTTCCAAAAGTTGATCTGCTTTTCGCGTACAAAATAGCGTCTTCCAGCACTTCCCTGACTCCTCGTACGCCCATACATACGCCACGCCACCTTTCGTGGTTGAAGTTCTCCATGATGGCGTAAAAGCCCTCATTCTCTGTACCGATCAGGTATTCTGCTGGAACTTTGACATTCTCAAACTGGATAGCTGTAGTCTGACTCGTATCCCACCCCATAGTGGCGATTCGACGCCTCTTTACACCAGGAAGATCGGTCGGGATGAGTAACAGAGAAACGCCGCCGAGGCTGTTGAAGGAGAAGAGAAAGGGGGTTGTTGCGAAATGATATATATTGGTGCTCATGCACGCAGTAGCTACTCAAGAGAAACGTCAAATTTTGAAAGCTTGCCAACTTGAAAGAACGAGGTGGCCAGCTGCGCAGCTTTGCGAGCCCATTTGCATTTACTTCGCCACCCTCACGCTTCGTTCCCTGAGCCTACTGAACTCAGCAACGGACGCTGGGAATGAAATCTGGCAAGCTGCGAGCCCGCTTCCTTGCTGCAGTTGCACTCCCACACCCTACGCGGTGACCCCCCTCCACCTGAAAGCCTGGCGCGGCTGCCCGCCGAGTCAGCGAGCCCAGAGCCCACCGACCCAAGCCGAGGAGCTCGGCAAGCGGGCCTTCACCCGACCCGCAAGGCGTACGTGCTTCGCTGCTCATCCCTGTCACCGTCCGACCACGCTGCGCCCCGCAGTCTCGTGCCCCTCGCCATTGGCTCGTCTGTTCTGGTCCGCCCGTCACAGAGAACGAGGCAGCCCAGCTATAGTATCGCTCGCGCCTCCCACCTCAAACCCCAGCCGGCTTACTCTCCGCGCACACGGGCACGGCTTTGCCCTTCACAGTTGGCGCTGACGCGTTACAGGTCAGCAGCCCATGCCGAAAAACTGCCAAAATACACTAAGGCGTTAGCGCGCAGATAAAGGGCGTCCGCTCGAACAAAGCCCCCGCTTGCGGGAAACGGGGGCGCACGGGCCCACCAAAAAGCTGCACCGTTCCGGCGGGCGCTTATATTCCGAAGACCTCCAGGCGCCGCCCCGCTTTTCCTCTCAGCGCCCGTTAGTGGGCGGCCTTGCCTGCGTTCCCTGTAACAGCCGGAGCGGGCTATTAATGCTCTCCAGAAGACTGCGCGACTAGCGCAGTATCATGGCCGGCGAAGATAGTCGCCACCCCAGGAATTCACCCGCGATTCTCTACGCCCCGTCCATAGCTGGGAGGAAGGCCCGCGCGCGGCTGCATTCTGCCGCGACGGCCGCATGTGAAAGCCTGGCCGCTGCATGCTTCCAGAGCTGGGCGGTCATTGATTATTCCCTCGGAAGAATGTGAACGCCGACCCCGAGGGGTCGCCGCTAAGATGGAGAATCCTACGATACCCATCGCCCCCTGTCCGAACTGCTGTAGTCAGCCATTTCGCGCGCATACCACTTGATATCAAGGTCTTTTCTCCATTCACCACGTACAAATTGCCTTCCTTCTTCGCTGTTGTCTTCAAATTTGCAACATCAGAACCACCTCCCGGCTCTGTGATAGCCAAGGATACTACATCCTGTCCGGAAAGCACACCTCTGGCAACTTCCTTAGTGCGTTCTCCGCCGGCAGCTGAAGAATTGTTGAGGTGGAATTGGAAATACTTTACTTACGTACTAGAAGAAGAGATCGATGTTAATTGACGAAGGTATATGAAAAATCAAAACTTCTATCCCCAAGTCTTCCTTGAATACAGGCGAGCGCGAGGGCGACAAATCATTGCGGAAACATAAGAAGTACCCAATCCATGCTTTATCACTGGCGGCAAAGCAATGCTTGTGACGAAAAAAGCTCCGACTATCGTTCCATTCGAACAACTTCTGCCTAATTCATCCCAGAAAATCCAATCATGAATTGCGTCAAATTTTATCGGTTTTCCATCAGAACCCTTGCCGAGTACGCTATCTTTTGTCCCACCGTACTCATCGGGATAGATACAACCGTAAACACCGCATTTGGCGGCAGGAGTTAGGGCTAGGGGATGCACAATCCTATATAAATATAATGCTATGAGTATCACTCAGAGAGTCACTACCCGAACGAAGCCAGCAGATACTTTATCTAATCATCTAACCTTATGTTGTAGTTTTAGTCCTCTCAATTCATTCGATCAAAACGTTCCGCAACACCTACAGCAATATTCCAGACATAACTTCACTTGCAAATCTTTCGGATATTCGTGCTTTTCTTCCCATTCGTCGATGTAGGGTATCATTTCAGTCTCTACGAATTGCCGAACTTTGGCACGGAAGGCACGATGACTGTCGTTGCCGTACTCGTCCCAATCCCAATAAGCATTGATCTTGTCCATTTTGTTGCTTATGGTGTGGCTAAGTGGCGTGGTGAATTAAAGTGGTTCTTGGATCGTAATTATAATATCGGGAATACGACTATGTAGTGTATATTTGACCTTGAAGAACTTCTTTGAACAATCTTTTGCTGCAAATTGAATTCTAAGATGGAGACACTTATTTTTCAAAATTTAAATCTGAGATTTAAATTTTGAAAAATAACGTATCAAAAAAAGGCAGGTTGGGTGGTTCTTGGCATCTTGGCCGGTGAACGCTACTGGCTGCCTGATCAAACCTTCACTCATGCGCTCCGCCCTGGCCGTATCTCGAAGCCAACGGGCACTATTCAACCAGCTAACAAGTTCTAAATTTTCAACCTCAAAGGCTTCGGGTCAACACAGTAAGCTCTGGGCATTTGCTTTAATTACTGCGACGTTGGGTACGGCTCGCTATTATACAGACCTAATGACGAACCCTACACTACAACAATCTACTCTCCGCGCGTACGAGGAACCCGCACCTGCCAACGATTTTCTTGCCGCATCAAAAAATCAACTACAAAATGAACAGCACCCGCACACTCGTAACTCGTTGGTTGCACCTACCAAAGTTCATACACCGACAGAGATGAAAAACATCCACAAATCCCAATAAAAATCAGTGCTGTGCTAGGGTTTGGGTTTAGGGATTTTGCAATTTCGAGCCCCCAGAAAGAGTGTTAATTTTGCATTTTCGAGCGCCCAGAAAGTGCTACAAGACGAATAAGCTATCAAATTTTTGCAAATTGGGTATACTCCCATCCTCATAGTGGGCAGATCAATTTTGCATATTCGAGTCGAGCGCCCAGAAAGAGTGCTACAAGACGCATAAGCTATCAAATTTTTGCAAATTGGGGATACTCCCATCCTCATATTGGGCAGATCAATTTTGCACTTTCGAGCGCCCAGAAAGAGTGCTACAAGACGAATAAGCTATCAATTTTGCAACTTCGAGCCCCCAGAAAGAGTGTTAATTTTGCATTTTCGAGCGCCCAGAAAGTGCTACAAGACGAATATGCTATCAAATTTTTGCAAATTGGGGATACTCCCATCCGCATATTGGGCAGATCAATTTTGCATTTTCGAGCGCCCAGAAAGAGTGCTACAAGACGAATAAGCTATCAAATGTTTGCAAATTGGGGATAGTCCCATCCTCATATTGGGCAGATCAATTTTGCATTTTCGAGCGCCCAGAAAGAGTGCTACAAGACGAATAAGCTATCAAATTTTTGCAAATTGGGGATACTCGCTCCCATCCTCATATTGGGCAGATCAATTTTGCACTTTCGAGCGCCCAGAAAGAGTGTTTCAAGACGAATGCATAGGCTATTAAATCTTTGCAAATTGGGGATACCCCCATCCTCATATTGGGCAGATCAATTTTGCAATTTCGAGCGCCCTGAAAGAGTGCTACAAGACGAATAAGCTATCAAATTTTTGCAAATTAGGCATACTCCCACCCTCATACTGGGCAGGTCAATTTTGCAATTCCGAGCGCCCAGAAAGGGTGCTGGATGAGGATTTGATAGTTGGATTTTGGCAAATTAGGCATACTCCGGTCCTCGTACTGGCCAGGTCAATTTTGCAATTTCGAGCACCCAGAAAGAGTGCTGGATTCAAACATGAAGCACCCTTACGTAAATGATGGAAGCACTACATCTTTTTCTAAACTTTTTTGAACAACTTATCTTTGGATTGCAAGCGAGTCGGTGAGCACTTCCAGGTCCATCATAGGAGGTTCTTGTCGCGTATTGTTAGATCCAGTATACAGGGTGGCCCCATGGAACTTTATGTGCTGAGCCGATCTTCTTCATTGTTGCATCAGAACTGTAGTTGCATCAGTACAGGAATAGGAGACTTTTTGAACAACGAGCTTACTTTTTTTTGGATTGCAAGCGAGGTCAATCATGTGAATCCCAATGCCAAAAGATAAAATATAAAAATCCTGACTCATTTTTGCCGAGGTCTAGTACAACTACATACAGTCGGCATTAAACTCAGTAAAACAGTGTTGTTTGCTATTTCAACATGGATAAAAATTGCCATGCAAGCATCTACATGTAGGAACAAATCTTAAACTTAATCTTTTTTGTTTCTCTACGTCTATCTATATCGCGTTTTCAGGTCGCACTTCTAACATACAGGTCATACTAATTATATGATGTTGAAAGTAGCAATGAGATAGATACACTTCTTTCTAACAAGTTGCGGTAAACGAATTCTGGAAATGTGTCACGTAAGCTGTCATTAGTCATACGTGCATTTGCAAGTACAATGATGGTTTCAAGTCAGTGTGGCTATCCTAGCTTATTTTGGTTTGTAATTATAAATACACGTCGTTTCATGGGTTCGAAATGCGTTGTTTAAGTTGATGTACACTTGCATGTGAGATGTAAGAGATGTCCTGGTAGCATACTGATTCATACAATTGAATTACAATTAGATTGATCAAATGTGCGCAGAATCATAGGGTCGTGCAGAAAATCATAATCCTAATTCTTTTTCCTACATCGCTATCGTCTCTTCACAGGCGTCGCAGCGCAGACTTCGCTTTTTTCGCCGTTGTCTGAAAATTTTTATGGGAAGACAGGGCTTTCATGTAACTAAGTATGAAAGTAAAGTATCCGGAAATTTTCACAAATCCAAATGAAAATGGTCTCGCTCGGCGCACATAGTAATATCCCTCCTGCTACCTCCTACTGATGATTCAACGTCGTCTGACCATCTCATTTCACAGGAATCAGTTGTACAAAACGACACCAATATGTACCCTAGTCCCCCCAGTCGTTGGCTGTGATGCTATGGACGCTTGACTTGCTGGCGCTGGACTCGGTGGTGCGCCACTACCGCCAGCATGGATTCTGGACATGTTCTTGTTCTCAAAGTTTTCTTTATTGCCACCTAACTTATTCTGCGACGCGAGAAACGGCGAGCAACTATTTGTTCCGTAAGGACCAGCGGCCAGGGAAGAATTGTAATTCGCGCATCGTGTTGGCGATGCCGCAGGACCTGCACCTCCTCCTTTCTCGACTACAGTACTAGAAGATGATTGTTGCGCACCCCCTGATTTTGTGCTCTCATCCACTACAGTACTGGAAGATGATTGTTGCGCACCCCCCACAACCCGAAGCCCTGTGCTCTCATCCACTACAACACCACCTTCTGCGGTGGACGTTGCCTGACCCTGATTATTTGCAGAAGATAGCACACCTTCTCCATGATTTGTCGCATCGACATGCACACTGCCTTGCCTGCTAAGTGTTCTTCCATCCGAAGCTGTGCTAGTTGTCCTCGCAACAGAAGGCGCGGCACTCTGCGCACGGTGTAAGAGATTGCGACTGTTAGAAGGATCGATTGATGCTATGAATCACGCACCACCAGAGATACAACAGTTTTATTCTAGTGAGTCTTGTTTAGATATCAACAATGGACTTTATTTTCCGGGTTTTTGCGCAACCTCTCTACCAAATAAACTCACATCTGAGTCATAACATTCCCTCTACTGCTATGCGCCTGTCTTTGAGCTCCTCCACTACTGGCATGTAGTCTCGTCATCATCCTCGCGTGCTCACAGAATTCCGAATAATCCTCCATGAACAACTTCGCAGCTTCCTGATTCAAAGCGCTCTCCGGAAAGGGAATGATCAGGAGACAACGGATATTAGAAGAAGCCACCCATAGCAAGTTGGCTATAATTAGGTATCTTTAGCTTGAAGGTACATATGATCGTGTCGATTGCAATGAGTGATTTCTACTGCGGTCGTGTGTCCTTCATTCTACAGATGGAGGGTACTCCACTCAGGATACGCACGAAGGAGATTCTCGTGTGGAGTTGTAATCACTTAAGTACAACTCCACACGAGAATCTTCTTCGTGCGTGACCTCTTGGTTCTTGATGAGTGTTTCCAGCATTATCCTCTTAAAAAAGGGCACTCATACTAGGATACTAACTAGTGCAACTCCGCATGCTCATGCGATGCAAGTTACAAAATCTTACAGAAATCAAATCCAATTGAAAGCCATAAGTATCACTTTGAAGATGTGCGCTAGAGACCAAGACTTCGCATCCCAGTCCTTCTGCAGTGCGTTTACGCAGACGTCACCAGTTCCAACATTGATATTCGGATGAAATATCCTCGTTTGGAAAAACGCCTTTGGTGGTGTGCGAGGGAAGTCGGCGGCGGTTACCTGTTAGTTTACAGTAGTTTTGATTGAAGTTTATATGTCTAATATGTTGTATGATCGATTTTCATTTTTATCAACTCGAGAATAGAGCATCCAGTAATCGCTACTTCCGTTGTGGTCATATGAGACTTCACATTAATAACGAATGCAGATGATCATCATCATTCGTAAAAACTGAAGACAAAATTAAGCCATAATCAATACCACCAATTTCACTTTGAATCGTCCCCCAACGTACGCAGTCTCATCCGGTCCGGCTATTGTTGCCGTGACACTCAGTCCATCAGCTTCGACATCTGAGATTCCCACGTCGTCTCTCGCGAACTCCTGTGTGCAAGCAACAGCCTGCCTTGCAAGTTGCATCACCAGTTTAGGATTCACGAATTCGCCCATCTTGTTGTAGTGCAGGTTGTTATCAAAACCTAATTGACTAAAACTAAATTCAAATCGTGGTCCAGATGATAGAAGTACTACCGAACAAGCCGTACTCAATTACAACGGGAGATGAGGAGATTCATCCATTCATTCATTTCTCTAGCACGAGGTACTGTCTCAAGACTTAATTAGGATGCAAAGGCAAGAGACGAAAATCATGAAAAGAGACGAAAAAGATGATGCAAGCCCCTTTCAAGAAACACACCGTACTACAATAGATGGGAATTATCAACTTTTTTTTGTTATTGATTCTTCATGTTTAATAAGAAGTTCAAGTTTATTCCTCGTCACGGATACTTACTAGGTGCATAGACTTCTGATTAGACGAGAAGATAGACGAGACCAGAGACTGATTGCGACAGTGTATAGAGGAGATAGTAACTGGAAAATCCAAAGTGTATGGAAATGTACCCAACATCACATTATCCTCGAAGGCTTCGGCATCATTCCTGAAGCAATATTAGACCGAACACGAGTTCTACTTCTACAGTGGGTTAATACCTCGTAAACAAGTTCGAGAAGTGATCACCTCCAGGCATGCGCGTGATGCAACGCATGGATGTGCTATCCGAGGATTTACAGCTCCACTCTAGTATACTACTGTACATTATTTCGTGTTAGACTTGAGACATTGTCGCGGGCTTCGCGAGGCTGCAGACTTGGAGTAGACCTTACGATACTGTTGATGAAGAGAAATCCGGAAGAAAACACCCTGTGAGATAAAATCGTGCTTACGGTGTAGCAGCCGGTACCGGAACGTCTAGGTCTAAACTCCCTCTGCGCGATGCAGAGTGGACGTCGCCAATCAAGAACAGATGAAATTAACCGACAGGCAGTACAGGAGTATCGACAGATTTCCCAGAGGACACGCACCGAGTTTGAGTGCAACACCAAACCGAAAGAGACCGGTAGTAGAACAGAGGCTTTTCGCTTGTTGTTTCTTGAAGCAGAGCATCTCCATTGATTCGCGGACAAAGTCACAAAAATGACGGTGAAGACACCTCAAGAAAACAATCTGCGCTCAGAGACTTGGATTTCGAAGATGAAGTGCTGGGCGAAGCCGATCACCCCGCGGTCAAATAGAGGAGTCCATCAAGGAATCATTATCAATCGAAGTATTCAAAAAAAGTGCTGTCAAAAAAGCGTTCACCAGCGAAAAAAACTTAGTAAGTCAATGTCAAGCCAACTTGAAATCATCTGGAATGTCCAAAAATCCCCTCGATTCATCCTTCATCGCATCTACCGCCAGTTCCGCTTGCCTAACAGAGGAAGCCATAGAATGGAGAAAGCGTTCAGACCCATCTGCTACTTGCTTAGTCTGGTTCTGAAGTTGATGTAGGACATTCTGCGTCATAGGGTCCGGATCCATCTGCAGTGCCTCTTTGTAAGCTTCTTCTGCCCGTGTGCGTGCGACTACGTTGCCTTTCATGATCCTCACAGCCTGCGAACTCGCTTGCTTCAGGACGTTGAGGGCGGACATAGTCTGCAGCATCGCAGACAGACTCGCAAATCCGCGTATCGTATGCGTCGGATACATGTTTGGTATCTCCATCTTACCGGTCGCAGCTGGCCCTCCAGGTGGCGGAAAGGAGGGTGGATGCTGACTAGGTATCGCAAATTCTGGTATGGGAGGCAGACCGGCGTTCATGGCAGGTGTGTTCGCCACCTTTTTTGGTGGGAACCCTTCCGCCAAAGACTCATTAGGAAAGTGCTTTTCCTTCAGTAGGCGAGCAAGAGCAGCCTCCGCAGTATTCTTCGGACCGGTAGACGCGTCGATGGCGGCGGCAGCAAAACTTGTTGATATGACCGTCATCTTGTCAACTGATTTTTTTTTGGAATGCGACGCTGCTATAATATGGTCTCGTCTTTCTACAACGAGTCTGTGGCGATATCATTTATCAGATAATGCTAGGCAGTTTCCTTCTGATCTTAAACAGCTTTTTATGTACTTTGGAGGATACAGACTCGGGTTTGGAGTGGGGCACGACTTGGGAGTGTTTCTATCTTTTTGCAGGAAACACGAAGAATCTACCGAGGATTTGTACCGATGCGATTTTCACGCAACGATACGCGTGACAGTGACAGAAGACGCTAGTCTGACTCGACGAATAGTATGTAGACCGGAGCTTAACCGATTTTGGGCGCACGATAGCATCATAGAAAGTTTCAGTAATAGCCACGGTGCCGACAGATAATGGGACATGAGCTGTAGCGGCATGGAAGGCCTCAGCGGTGACCAGAATCGACCTACACAAATAAAGCCCTCGGACTGGCTCGTGCGAATGTGATTTGAATTTGTAATGCACTGTTGACCGCGAGCGACCATAGTGGAATTGGTGTCCTCGACACAATCCTGCTCCTCGTCCCCGAGTTGTTGAATAAGTAAAAGTATAATTTGCATCGAATGCTTTTGGGTTTCGAAATCTCTCGAGCGCAAGCAATCTAATAACTAATTCACATCAAATGTATTATGCTCGTCCAACAATTGGGGCTGTAAAGTCTACGTGCTAATGTGTACTTGTACAACGAAAATCATCATCGCCATCATCACTTGTACAGTATCCTCCATCATGCCGAGGTCCCCGACCCCGGTCCTTACTCTGCGGGCGCATTTCTCATTCCTCCCGTGACCCTCTGGGGTGACTCTTCGAGTTCCAGAGAGTCTAGGATTTTCTGCTGAGGGCTACGAAAACCCGGTGGTGGCCATGGCACGTAGATGATGTTGCGTGGATTAGAGCTAGAAGTCAGGTTGGAGGGTCGCTGGAAGTTACCCTAGAGCGGCTGACGGAGAAGGAACTACTCCTACTGCTCGCATGCCGCCACGTAGAAAGTCAATCTCAAAGGAAGGGATCTATTTATTCCTGGGTAGTATCAACTTCTTCTTCATCGAAAGCATGTTTATTCAATCATAAATATCAATCCCGCAAAGCATACTAAGGCCTGCGTGGCCATCAACGTTTGATTCGCGATGCTTGGATCGAGCGAAGCAGAAACAGCTGGAAACAGAAACGCCCCAACCGCTGCACCAGCTTTTCCGAGGCCAGCGGATATGCCGTGCATCGTTCCCCTAACGTTCTCCGCAAATACCACTGTGGGAAGGACATAGGTCGACAAGATGCAGCCGAACCCCAGAGAGAACTGCAGGAGACAATAAGCCGCATACAAGATGTAGGGATGGAAGGCGAGGGCCTTCAATACTGCGAGTAACGCGAAGGCCGCACCCATAATTAAAGCTCAGCCTTCAATGGTCACTGACTCTGAACGGAAGGGACCCCCTTCAAAGCTCTCCACCCCATTCCCTTCGTCTATTTCCGCTGTTCTACTCTCAAGGGAAGGTCGCCTCTTCGATCTCAGTGACTCCAATCTAAATGAAAATGATGACCATTGAAAGCTGAGCCTTAACATAAAGATGAAGCCATGAGTATTCAGCTTCTTCACGTCCACTATACCTAAGTACTGGATCCCGCAGATCGTGCCAGGAATCTGGAAGCAGGCAGAAACTAAGGCTTGCGCGCAGTTGGTGACTAAGCTTTTCTCGGTGAAGGGGAATGAAAGGGCCTCGGGACGAGGTCGAAAGCTTGCTACAAGCAAAAAGTCTCGCTCTTTCTTCTTCGAAAAAAAAAAAATTGAAAATCAAGACTGCCTAATGTTCACTGGTGCTAAAGGTTCTCAGAAGGTTCTGGGACGTTTCCCAGTCCTGACCGGGGTAAGCTTCTGGAAATATTCCGAGGCCATTGCTAGCAAGAAAACGGGAAAGATTCCCGGGAGGTTCTGGGAAGATTCCGGGAAGCTTCTCCCTTCTTAAGTGCTACAAGCAATAGCAAACAGCCTCGCTCTTTCTTCTTCGAACAAATAAAAATCAAGAATAACTAATGTTCACAGTGGATAAAGAAAATCCGATCAATTCCAACGGCCCCGTCGATCCTCGAACCTCGTCATAAAATCTGTTGCAGTATAAATGGCGAGAAGATCTGGGTTCCGTAGTAGGCCACGTCGAAAAGGAACCAAGTTCCACCAGTCCCTATCAAAGTCCGGATATTGTAATCCGAGAAAAGCTGGTCTTCCAGTGTAGAAGAACTAGAAGTTCCCTTGCTTGTTTCAGCGCGAACTCCAGGTCGGCTCACCTGGTAGGAAGTCTGACCCGCAGCTTCTAGATCAACATGGCTAGGAGAGCCAACGACCGCACCTTCCTTCGAAGATGACTGTGGTGAGGAGGCGAAGATTAGAAAGATCGGCTCCAAGCCACAGCACAGGATTGAAGTTGGACAGTGATGTAAAGAGAAGAGTATAAGTGTACCTACAACAGGTACAGGTTGTCATGCAAGGCGGATGCGACAAAGCCCAGTGGCAATGAGAATCTTCCTACTTACATTCCTCTTCCACCAAGCTGCTCGTCTGATTATTGTGTAGTTCCTTGTCCATAAATTAAGTGCACCTGCTTCCATCAACAACAAGCCTTTTGCGAGCTCTTCCTCTCGAACTTTTTCGAGGTTCCAAGTCAGGACTAAAAGGAGCGGAAGAAGCCCAACTGCTACGAGAAATCGGAATTGAAACGCCGTGTCGGTCGAAATAGGACGTTAGAGCAGGTATACGAAAGGCCGAGACGTGTTTGCGTCGAACAATGACTGTGGTGGCGGATCTTGCACCTGCGCCTAGGACTAGGTAACAAGGAAGATATGTTTATGCAGAGAAGCATTCTGGATGGAGCATACGGATGGTGCTGCAATTGAGAGGAGAAGAAATGATACTCACCAAACCTCACGCAAAAGGAGCCTGCCAATGCCATAAGCAAAAAGCATCAAGCCAACAAGATATGGCGCGCAGTTTCCAGGTTGTTGCCAAAAGAAGTTCCAACCGACTGCTGCAGACTTCTCGCGATCACGCCTAAAAATTCAAAAAAAGTAATTGCTCTCATTCAGCGTTTATCTTCATCTTCTTAGCAGCTTCTAAGTACTTCTCATGATCAACATTTATTTCAAAACGCATCAGATTGTGATTGTAGTTTCAAGTTCTATTGAATTACGCTTCTTCCTCCTGGGGTGTCAACTCCTGACCACCGTTTTTTGTTGCTTCCTGTGCCGCTTGAGCTGCGGACAGGGGATAGAGTCCTCCGATCCCAATGCCCAAGACGAAGCGGCAGGCGATAAAAACTTCGTAGATGTACTCTCCATGCGTAAGAAAAGCGACGCCGAGCTGTAGTGGAAAAGGGGTTTTGGATTAAAAAAGGCGGTTTTAGAAGGAGGAAAGATAAATTAATAGAGGATAGCATGATCACTACTAACCCTGTAAGTACTTGAAGTGGGAGTACAAGTAGTTGCTATTGGAAGGAAGGAAAGAAAAAATTACGCTTTCGCTCGAAACGCCGCGGCAAATCTCAAGCTTAATCTCAACTTGTTAGTAAAAACACATCAACGAGTTTCATCTCAACCTCGTCCCAGCACAATGAACACTAAGATCAGTACCTGCCCAACAACGCTAACTGTAGTCGTGACGACTAGTGCGCGAGAAATTCCTATGGCGTCGCCAAGATAGCCCATGACCAGCATGCCCACAACATTGCCCAGAAAAATCATCGCGAGAGTCAGCGTCTTTTCGGTGTGCGTCAGTATGGGAAAATCCGGTGGGTTTTCTGCATCTGCTATTACGTTGATTAGAGAGAAAGACGGAGTTCTTATCGAAAGCGTAAAAGTGTTAGAAGTACGGATCAAGTAAAATCTTTTTTATCGTGGAATGAACTACATGATGTACTTATTATACCTTTTGTGTCGTCACGCAATATCATGATACGGGGCGCTTTTCTTGAGTTGACCTTTCTAATGGAATGACAGGAAACTGCATCTTTAGAAATAGAATCAACTAGTAGTTTTTAAGTTATCCAAGAGCATAGTTCATTATACGTCACTATGTCTATGGGTCTGCATAATCATAGTTCTTTCATACGTCACTATGGGTCTGCATAATTGCGATCGCTAGGGTAGCGCAGCCCAAATTGTACTGAATCGCAAAGTTGCTCACTTTCGAAGACCATCGGTCCCGCAGTGAAGAGCCATCGGCTGAACGAGATAGACCACTATTTGGTCCTCTATTTGGTAGTTTAGAGTGGGATTGGAAACGAATGGGAAGTTAAATTGTCTGAATACGGTGGGTCATGCAAAATGCTCTGTGCACTAATCTGTTGGATCTCTGATGCCGAAAACCTCCGCGAAAGCTCCTTTATTGTACGGGTTCTTCCATTCTTATAACCATAATCGCTGTCGTTGACGAGCCCGATCCTGGACCTCTTCTTGTATCACTTGTTGAAGAAGTCGCTCTACTTGAGCCACCTCCTGCTCCTGACTCTGCGTTGGATCGAATGCGCGTCTCCGCCTGCACCTCTCGCATCGCCGATGACGAGGCGCTGCCACCTGATCCTGTTTGAATACTTCGATAATCATTTCCACTTTTTACTTCTAGGATGGGCAGTCAGCGATTCGTGTAAGTATAAAAGTGTCATGATGCATCTAGGATAGTTTGATTCTTGATCACATGCAGCTCCTAGGCCTCCACGACCCCATCGTAAAATTTTCACTTTGAAGATGCATGTCTTCGATCTTCATGATAGCACTCCGGCCCTTTTACAACTGTGAAAAGTATTACCAGCCGACGGTGCTGCTGTGGGGTCTCGTAACTCCATCTTTTTTGCTTTGGTCATCAAGCCAATCCTTTCATCCATCCTGTCCCGTGTCGATCGTAAGCGTTCTGGCAACAAATAGTTCGCAAATGATCCTCCCGTGGTTGTAGATCGAGAAGAACTGTATGAAAGGTTTAGGTCGACGTTCTTGAGGTTTGGTAGCATAATTAGGAAAAAACGTCGCAAGCTGTTCACAACAAGAGATTCCATCCAGCAGACACAACAAGAGACAGATGGATCAGTACTAAACCTACACGACCTAGTAGTAGAACAAGTACATGTACATGTAAATCTATTTCCCTTAATAAACTCGCAAGCCCTTCACGAATTGGTCGTTCTGGGGTTTCCGTCTCTTCACTGATAGAACTCGTAACGGAGGCAGCGTCGTCAGAAGCAGAAGCACCAGAAGCTGCAGTGCTTTCGTGAGACGCACCCCCTAATCTAGGGTTGTTGCTAGTGACCATCGAAGATCATGGAGCGAGACATCGATGAAGTTCATGGAGAGCAACTCCGTAATTATATCATGGAGCAGAAAGAGACCTCTGGTTCTGGAAAGATCATGAAAATATAACGATACATTCTGGGCTCGTTCCTAGCAGGTACTGGCACTACCGTTCCTAGGTACTACTTCTAGTTCTACACTGCAGGAGCACTACTATTAGAGGCTACGGAATTACATTCTTCAGAACATCCTGGACCCTTCTCCTACTGGAAAACGAGCGAAGGAGGGTAGTGAGGAATGCAATTCGGAAACCCTTAATACTAAGTACTACTACAGTTGCAGCCTACAATCAATAACTAAGACCACTTCTTCCACACTTCATGACATATCCACAAACTATATGACGTTCGATAAGACCACATCTTTCCCTTCTTTCCTTGTTTCCTCTCCTAGCAGTTTTTCGTTTTTATAGTATAAATGTTCGCGCGTATTACTTTTACTACAACTTGAAGTTGAAATTTGTGGATTCACTCTGACCGAAGATTCTTTTTCCAGTGACCGAAACTTGCGTCTCGTTGCAACATGAAGCGATCATTATTGAACACTCTCACGATCCTGTTGACTCGCCCTATAACCCTTATAACGAAGCTGCATTGCGAGCACGATTAGAAGCGGGGCTACTCGTCGATCAGCACTGTGTTGATGAAAGAGAAACTATAATTAGAGCTACCGCCCATCCCTGAGCCCTTTCTTCCCTTGAAAAAGAGGCCAAGGATGATGTTGAGGATCCTTAATATAATGATACAAACATGGTGGTGGTGGAGATCAACAACGTAGTCCATGCTTACAGTTCTTGTACTACCTGCAACTCATTGTGTTTTGCAATGTCCACTGTGGCTCTCCGAGGCTGCTGCGAAGCACACGCGTTGCCTCGTGCTGGCCGCGGCCGCCACTACTTCTTTTTATACTCATTCTTACAACAACTACTTAAAATGTATCTCATAAATATATCTTCCTCTTTTTCATCTTACCTTTTTTAGTGCTACTGCTCTCTTTTTGTGAGGAAACCACACGCGTTACATCACCTTCATTCGCATGAAAAAAAGAATTTAATACTCAGACGAAAGATAGCAATAACATCAGCCTGGCAATACCATCAGGCTCACCTGCACCTCTACAGTCCACACACATGTTTCATGTACATTGAACGTACAACATATATGTAAAGGGAATTTACCACATGTGCTTGTCGAAGTCGTTTCATATTCTAGAAGTTCTTGTAGAGTCGATATTCTCAAAAATCTCCCCCAAAGCAGACTTTTTTACATGCTTAAAAACAAGCTCCGACTTTGCTCCTTCTTGCGCTTGACCCTTCGCTTTGGCTTTGAGTCGATTAGTTTTAGCTTTTGCCGTAGTACTTTTTCGGCAACACCTGTTGCCACGACGGGCATGATAGGTCCTTCAACAGCCGCCGTTCCTTCAACAGCTGCAGTTCCCTGATCACCAACTCCGGCTGCTTCGACACCCTGTGGCAGCGGTTGTACAACGGTTTGAGGAGCATGAGCATCGGCCAGAGAAGTTCCTCGTGCTCCTGCTCCTTCCTCAGTTTCTGTCGTAGGTCATGTCGTGGAACCTCGTTTGTAGCTGTGCATGTCTACCTGTGAGGTCATACCTGCTGCAGTTGTAGCCATATTAAGGCTCCTGAGACTTTTAGATTCATCTTGATCCTGACAAGACAAGATTCCTGACGACGTATTTTTTTCCACGTTCGCCGAACGTCGTTCGGTTTGATGTCCTCTCCCACTGCACCAGCAGCGGAACCAACAGCAAAACCAACATCGGACGTCAAAGATCAAGCGGTATCGTAGCAGTAAAACCAGAGTCATCAGGCACCTGAGCGTGTCCTGCCAGTGTGTCCGCGGAGAGTAAACCCCATTCTGCAAAACCGGAATCGCCCGTGAATCCATTTTTCCCATGTTCCTCGAGGCTCGTCTGCAAAGCCGAAGCTACGGAATCGGAACTACAACAAACACCTGAAACGCCAAAGGCGATTAGGGCCACAAAACTCGACCCAACATTTTCAAGGATTGATGGAAAATCACCAGGTGTGAAATAAAATTGAAATTATATTCAATTTCAATTTGGTTTTATCTATAATTTCCTGATATCTTCTACTTATTCCACAGACAACTTTACTGTTAATCCCACATCATCCTCATCAATATTTCTGCCAATTATCGAGTGTTATTCTCTTTATTGATATTGTTCTTGAGAGAAATATCAAGCGTGCGAAAAATAATGCCTGTTGCAGAAGCTGGACGACAGGATATCATTCTACATTGACAACAAATAATGTGCATGTGATTGTGTTCCTTTACGACCAAGAAGGACACTTCTGTGAAATCCAAAGTCTCCATTTTTGTCTTTATTCTTGGAAGTAACTGGCTGTTATACTTTTTTTATACATCTATTTTACAGCGCTTTTGAATTTGCACTAGTGTGCCCCTTGGGCTACAAACAAAATGGGCAAAATAGGATGAGGTTGAAGGGGATAGCACCGATACATTCAATATTGACAGCGTTTTCATGACAACAGCACATTTTCAATGAATGAAGCAAGAGTCTCTCTCTTTTTTTCGAACAGGTTTCGCGTAACTTTTTATGAAGATACTTAGAATTGTTGTGAGGCAGAGTCCACAGACACAGAAAAAACTACAGCGAGAATTACCTCCATCATTGAGTGAAGGACATTCTCGAAGATGTATCGTCCTCTACATCTTCTCTACTTTCGGTTCAGCGTTACTAGAGTATTTGCATCCACAGACATGGTGCATCGAAAAGTTGGCGAGTCAATCTGATGAATCAGACGCATGCAATGTTGTTTCATGTGTCTTCGTCCTCTGACTGTTGATTTATTTCTGTCCCAGAACGCGAGGACATAGCGATCACACAAGAATACGATGAACTTGAGTTCTGGATGACAAGAACGAGTCTTTTTCTATTTCTAATTATAGACTTTCTTGATATTACTTACATCACGTCAAGTTGTAGTTGACCTGTGACAGCGAGAATGAAGTTGTTGTACGACTACCAATCTTTAGCCTTGTTTCTCGTAGGTATACGAACCACTGCGGCCGCCTGATCCTAATGAATAGCGATAAGGCTCGATGTTTTTGCTGAATCTGAGATTTCAATCGATGATTTACTTCACACCATCGATCTGCGTACTTATAACGAAACTGAAATATATCTGCGCAAGGAAAGCGAACGACACTGTTCAGAAAAAAACCAGGAATCATTCATAGCACAATCGATAAGTATTCTATTTTTCGTTTTCCAATCATAATCAAATAAAGTTCTACAAGGATAGCACAAGCACAACAAGTAATTCTATAAAACAGCTGATATACTGGGACTGGCTATATACCATTATTACAAACTTTCAGCTTGAAAAGTAGGTACGTAGTTCTTAAACAAGTAGCTCAATATCGCTCCATCAACACTGCTGCCTTTCGTCCTGCATCTTCTTGAATTCCCTAATGATCACAAAGCATTCTTACGAAATTCCACCTGGCAGTGGTGGTGGAGGCACGAAGTTTTTCTGTCGCTTCCGCTCCTCGTTCTCGCGTATCACGTCTGCTTCCGTACACCCAGTCAACTCGCGAAGACGTAGTGATTAGACGAGCGAAGAATCAGAATAGTACTAGAAATAGGCTGGCATCATAATTGTTCACACTACAAGAACCAGTAATGGTCGTCATTCTTGATCATGAATCTGGATATTGATCACCATGCACTTCGTTCTTCAGCTTAGTAACAAAGATCAAACCCGATTCCATAATGTTGTTGTCCTCTTGTCAATCTAGCGAATTCTTCTTCACCCAAGTAGCATGACAATCTCCCGAGCGCTTGATCTTCTTCTGCTGGAGTCAGCTTTGCAAATTCCACACACTGCCACAGGAAACTCAAGGAATTTCCCTGATCCCCCGCTACTCTGGGAATTGCTGTGGTGCTACCACCCCTGTCGTCTGCTTGCATGTCCACGAAGTTGGCGACTTTTTTAGCGACTGCGAAATCGACGCCGGATGATTAGAGATGGACGATCATGACGAAGAAACAGACCATCATGATAGAAGTAGCTAAATACTGATCCATCATGCTAGAAGTAAAATGCGGAACTGGGGGGGATGCAGGACTGGAGAATGAAAAATTCAACGTCCTCTTACTTGACTTCCTTCATCAACAATTGAAAAGAAGAATTTGGAATCTACCAGTACCATCATGATCCTGCGCAGGCCTTAATAATAAAGTAACCGTCCCCGCAATGTCCGGTCGGCGGCATATTCGGATCTGGAATAGTTGCTTTGACCCAACATAGGATCCGTAGATGACAATGGTGTACCAGCATTATTACGCGGCATTCGGTTGGAGGGTTTCTTAGAGGTGGTTGCGTGATTGCATTCTCATGAAAATCCGTTCAGCATGACTGTATCCAGGTGTATGTGTAAAATGCTGTATTATATGTTGAATGCGTAAGCGTTGTATCCATATTAATTATGTTGAATGCCCATTCGATGTCAACCAATTTGTATGATTGTAGAAAAACCAGGATTGGCCCTTAAGCTTACTATTCCCCTGTTTTGAGGCATTTCCCTCGTCTTCTGAAGCAGCCTGTGACTTCTCCAAATAGCCATCGTAATTGCTGTAGACCTCTCCATTTGGTCGCGTGCGCAGTTTACTTCGCGAGTTTGATCGATAACTGCCAAATCCTTCTGGGGCTACAGGTTAGAAGATAAGCATAGAAGGAACAACTAGTCGTTGTAGATGTAGTCCTGATGGTTTACCGTTGAGGGAATCAGTGCAGATTCAGCCTAACACTGCGTGTTTATGACTATGAACCCGACGAGACTGAAGATCTTATGCCAGCATAAAGTTTGTTTTTACTATTTCCAAAGGCTGCAGCTGCAGTGTTGGAGTTTTTGCTTGAGGACCGAGACCGACTCTCGATTCTCTCCAGCACCTGAAAAGATCGAAAATTCTTTCCCTGAGCCTGCGATGATGATGAAGAGGATGCTCCACCTGGACCAACGAGAAGGGTGCCTGCATCTGTCGCTATGTCGTTTCTAGCACCGGTGGGTAGTGTTCGCGGCGGGCCAGAAATAGAGCCCCCAAGTGAGTCACTGTCGTCACTCGGACTACCACTTTTACTTCCTCCGAGGCCGATCTCCTGAAGAGCGCCGGTTCTATTGTGCGTAGTCGTGTTGTTGTTGCCAGCTCGTAAATGCATGATGTTCCCCGTACTATGATCTGCTCTTGACCCCTCTTTCGAGGATGCGCGTGTTTGTGGCGCAGAAGAAGCACTGCTTTCGCCGCCCGCTTCTTCGGCAGAAGAATTCGCTAGTGTTGTGCCTTCCTCTCCCGGCGAACTCGCTACACTATCGTGTCCTCCAGGTTGGAGAAGGTCAACCTTGTTTCGCGCTGAGGTGCCTCCACCCTTGACTGCAAGTAAAGCATCCACATCGCTCTTGTGGTCTGCGGTCTCGTCGCCCTCGAATACGGGAAGGGCGCCAGGTGCAGACGCTCCTGCGTCAACGACGCTGGCCTTCTGCGTGCCGCATGCACCGCCCATTTTGATTGGTTAATGTTGGTGCTGTAACGCTAAGACCCACCTTCAGTAATCGTGTCAATGTCATGAACAAGGAACAAGTCAATAATTTGTTCTTGTACTTCAAGCTGTAGGTTAAGAATACTGCGTGACAGTCTTCCGATAACTGTATTTTTCTGTTTGTTGAAAAACAACAAGACATTAAGAGGCACCGCTATGTATAAATCTTGACTTCGTTAAGCGAGCAACTTTGTCACCTTTTTTGTAAATCACTAATTTTCCCATAGTCGTCGAGTTCCAACGGACGTCGCTCATTGCTCACTCAGGGGCTTTTTCTCATCCCTCTCTGCCTCTCTCTTACAAAAAAACTAATTATCATGCCGAACGACATTTCGACACGAGATGGGAACACGCCAGCACGAAGCCTTAGCCTTTTTCTCTACTTCATCCGAGTGAGGAGCACTATGGTAGTGAGAGGGTTTGCGGTGCCTCAACTATGCGACTCAACAACAGCCGAAATTATCTATCACAATGGATTTCCACCGATGTAATGCAACATGACTGAGCACATCCACCTAGTGGTTATAGTTTTTCGAATCGTCGTCATAGGTCATAACATTATCAACATTTTCTTCACTCAAGAACGACTGTTGTAGTAGGGATCGAGATTTACATGAATGAATACAACATCAACTTCAAGGTCAAGGTTTTTCCGAGTACGTCAAAATGACTGATGCTATATTTGTAAGTATTCTCAAACAAGATTTATGATGCTTGGTAAGGTAATTCAAATTCATAGTAATGCGTAGCAGGTAAATCAATGGTACAAGTAGTAAGGTCGATGAAACATCAAATTTCTAAATGGGGTTGACGTTCTAGGTATGTTGAATCAGCGTTCTAGACACTTTCTTAGTACTTGCTTAAATAGCTGGATCTTAGTAGAGCAGAGACCAGACCTTATTCGGAATTCCGCATACAACAGGAGGGACGGCTCAGACGAGAAGCATACCATACTCTTCTTCGAAGGAGAACTATCCCGTGCCGTGGTCCAACCGTTGTATTCCAGAGCACCGAACCCGCTGTTCGAATACGCAATACTGCTTCGTAATTTCAGTAAAATTCATTGTCTATCAAGAACGAGCTATGTTTACAAGAATTTGAATTTTTGATTGGTACAAGTTAAATCTCGTCTAGAATGTAGTAAAAATATGACACGGGTGATACAAGATGTTTAGACGTTATGTTGGATTTCAATTTCTGTAGTTCTCCGAATAAGTAGGTAGCAATAAAAGTTTGCTGCGAATAACATGCGTTACAGCGCGATTTAGAAATTACATTCTTATACATGCTTCGTGGTGCTACAACTGCAATTCTCAGTCCACTAAGTCCAGTAGAAGATGAGCCTCGTTTCTTCTAGTACTTATATTCCCAAAAGCATCAAGATCGTCTACTTTCCCAAAGGTAGAGCACTATCTTCGACTTATCGTCTTCCACTCGACGCGTTCTGTGCCTGGAAGTTTCCTCCTCTGCTTCGCTTAGCCTGAAAGTCGTTGTACTGCTGAGCATTGGGGATCGGACGCTTGAAGCTCTCCTGCCCCACAGCTCCTCCTTGCGCAACGCCTGTTCGGGTGACCTGTCCTCCGCGAACGTTCGCTCCCTTGTAGGTGAAGGTCAAAGCAGCATTTTCGTCACCAGCATCGAGTCGGTCGGTTCGCATCTGTCTGGCATCCTCGGTGTCCTGGATGAACTTACAAACCTCCATATCCGCGTCGTCGTGAGCGGGAAGCACCAAGTCGTAGTCTTGCCGCTTAGAGGAGCTCAAGTTTTGGACTATAGTTTGGACTACAGACAAGATAATTTCGAATTGTGACATCTTCTACAGTACGGCCTCTAATTGTGACATGATCTACAGTACGGATTCTATTTCTGCGGGTGCAATTTGCAGTTTTCTCTTTGGACGAAAGCTGTAGCTGCTGTAGTACTCAAGCCCCTACACAACTTATACAGTCTTACAATACTGTACTCAAGCTCCTACACAACTTATACACTTGTCTTACAGGCATGTTGAGTTTGAGTTTGAGTAAAACATCGAGTATATTTCCATAAGCAAAAGTGCGGTCTTTTCGCGTCGAAGAGCGAAGTCGTCCATTTCCACCGTGTGCTGGCACATGTCCGGAACCAATCGTGTCAGTTCCTCCAAAGTCTTGCAATTAAAATTCTGCAGAGTGCCTCCGAAGTTTTTCCCAGTGTACAATTGGTAGTAGTGGCCGAAGTGGATTGCCGGGAAACTAGTTCGTTCCGGGTCATTCACATCTTTACGGAAAGCGTGGACCACTGTTGTAGGGTGGGAGATGGGAAGATGAAATGGTGTAAGAGGAAGGTCCTCGTTGAGAGAGATCTAGTAACATTGCCCTTGAGCTGTTTCATATCTTCTTTTGAAGAAATCGAAATGTTCTTGATATTAGCGATGAAGATGAAGTAAGCTCTTTCATTCTATTCATCTGAAAGTCCTCCCGGTCGTTAAACCAACATCATCAAAAAACTATCAGAATTCAAAGTAAATACGTGTATGAAGTTCGCATCTCAGCAACGCCAACATCCAGTCCTCTTCCGCGAATTCCTCCATAATCTCTGGCAATTCCTCAATAGCTTCTTCCTCTTCCTCTTCTTCCGGTTCCTCTGCCTTCTCTTCTTCCTCCTCTTCACCTGTTCGTTGAAGATATTGGCACGAGGTAGCGGTATTGATTTTGAAAAATTGAAATCATGATGAGTAGGAGTAGAAGTAGTAGTAGTGTCATGATACCTCGTTTTACGTCTTGCCTAACGTTCTTGAGGCCTTTCAGCCTCCCTGTGCCTTCTAATTAGAACGAGAACATGGTACCTATTAAGCTGTAACGTAATAAACCTATCACGTTGTTCAACATTACCTTCCTTCTTCTCCTCTGCCTTCTTCTCTTCTGCCGCTTTCTTCGCTTCTTCTTTTTCTGCCGCTTTTTTTGCCTTCTTTTCTTCCAACATTTTTTGTTGTTGTGCCACATGGTTCTTGCGTGCCGTTTCAGCGGTCGTCTTGTGCTGTAATTGTTTCAGCTTCGCGAACTTTGCAAGTTGCGATTGATAGTACGTACTCTTTCGCAAGTCGCTCACCTTGGACTTCAGCTTGCAGTCTTTCTTCCAGGCGGTGAATTTCTCGTTCACCATAACGCCCATCTCTTCTTGGGTAAGATTTTCTTCCCCGGTGTAGGAATACTTGATGGAAGACCAACCTGGTATTGGAGTGCGGAAATGTATTGGAGCGTGGAGGATCATCAAAATGAAAATCTACAACTTGGTTCATGAAGCGCTGCAGGGAATAAGTATAAGACTGGGCAAATTTACAATAATTTCAATGCGAAGGTGGAGCAAAAAAAAGTCAAGCTGCAAGAGATACAGATACCTTCATCCTCTGACGGAAGCTTGACATGCTCATAGTAATCCCGAACTTGCTGCGGCACTGGCTTCTTGTTCTCCAACACATCCACCACTGAATTGACGCATACCAAAGCGTTGATTTTGACGTTCAAAGCGTGACGGAGTTTTGCCATGACATCTGCTCGCTGACTCGGGTGCAAATTGTGCATAGTATTCAGCGACATCAGGTACTTGTTGCCACCTGGTGTAGGTTAGTGCGAGGAGGAAGCTAGGCAAGCGATTTTCCAATCCGTCTGACTTTGCTTGTTCTCTTTGTCACATTTAGATATCATGATTGACCTGAAAGACTCTATCCAGTGAATCGCATCAGCAAGAAATCAGTATCAAATGGGTACCCTTCAGCAGCATCGGGAAAACGCTCATCGGTGCATCCAAGCATCCAACACCCCACTTCTCCTGTCCTCTCTGCTGGCCGCGCTTTGCGAGACCGCTCTTCTCACCCCATAGTGCGAGCTCTGATCCGGTCAAGACCTGACCACTTTGGTTTATTTAACAGAATGTGACTCTGAGTGGTGAAACATTAACATTATAGATAGGTCTCATGCTCATCGGAAATGGAAAAGATTAAGACAACTTTTCCAGTATGCACACTGCTGAACATTCTTCTACCCTTGTAAGCTATGGAGGACGAAGATCAGGTAAATGACATCGAAAGAAAAATTGAAGCAGTACCCATGCATCTGGATGGTCCTTCTTGTATTCTTCGACAAGTGCCGTAGAGTCGAATCCAACCGGAATCGTAACCTCGACCGTCGTGTTTGCTGCATCTTCAGCGGAGATTTCTGTTGTAGTGGTGGGATGAAGGATTTACGACTGCAACGGGTACCTGCTTTCCATGGAAATTCCAAGAAGAACAAGACCAGTTATATATAATAAAGAATCGAATCGACTTCAAACGTCGGCACTAGGAGATAATCAGTCTTCGACACTACCAGGAGGATAATGCGAAGTAGGATCACGGCATTATCCATTACACTTCAAGACCTTGCTTAGCACAAAATTATGGAGTCCATCACCATCTTCTAGTATTCAAGAGGTACCACTATGTCGCTTTTTCGTCGATAGGACGGCATCTGCCTTGCGTCCGCAGCCAACCATTCTTGTCTTAAACGGAAGATCCTTCCAGACCTTGCGGCTGAAGTTGCACTCGACGGCGCTTCCCTTACTGGCGATTGCTGGGTACAAAGCCGCTTTCAATTTTCCATTCTCGAACATGGAATCCGGAAGGCTAGTGACTTGACCTGTAAGAATGCGAGATACTAAGATGAATTCAAATTGCTGCCGCAGGCGATGTATGGACGAGGATCGAGTACTCAGTAGTCAATCTATGAGTGTAAAATTATGGTCATCTAGGGTCGAGTAATCAGTAGGTAATCTGTAGCACGCATGCAGAAATGTGCTCAAAACGACTGCGTCTTCTGAAATCTGATTAGATTGATAAACTTGTAGTAGCTTTGCATTGCTTGCCAAATCAATGGCAGAACTCTGTCGACTACTACTATACCTGCGTGTGCTATGAACTGCAAACGCTGCAGACTAAATTTGTTGTTCTTTCAGATTCTGATACTCCGGGATTGTTACAGACACATACTTAGACGCTACTGCTACATATATCTCAAATCGTCTTGGTAAACAAGGACCCAAATAGAAATACGAGTTGGTAACATCGCAAAATCTACCTGTCGGCGTCTTTGTTCCGTTCAAGTACAAAGTGACGGTTTTCATTGAGACGTTGAGCAGAACACCGACGACGTCAGTTCGGGACCAGCGCGGGTTGACTGCCTTCTGTCGCACGCCCTGGGAGACAACGTCACCCATTGAGTCGAAGAGGAAAGCCGTAGAGCTGTCGAGGGACAAATCGTCGGTGAGTGTCGAGAAACCAACACGGACCATGCGTGGGTGATCCAACATCTTGATCTCGAAGTAGTAGCGACCTGGGAGGTGAAAGGGTTGGGATATTCACTACTCGCAGGCAGGTTACTGGTCGAAAAAAAATTTTGATGTTCCTCGTCTTAAAGAAATAAGTACAACCTACAACATATCCCGTCCGCCAAGCGTCACCACAGTGGTCAGGAGGATAGACCCTGCTAATATCTAACGAAGATCGCCAGAAACCCCTTACCTCATGCGTAGAAAAGAAGCTTAAAATGCTGTACGAGCACGACCACAATAAACTAATCATAAGCTGTACCAGAGTGGAATCCGACAGTTCCGCGCATACCCGCGAAAAGGTTGTTGAATCCATCGGCTTGAATTGACGTCAAGGATGTCTTATTTTCTGCCGACATAGCGTTGAAGGTACGATCCCAGTCTGTTTGTTTGTTGATTTCAGTGTAGCTGTAGTGTAATGCCTCATTTGGGAGCAGGCACAATTTAGCTTCAAAAATCACTCTTATTTCAAACAGCAAAAACCAAGGCATGCGCCGCAACTAAAACTATGGGAATGCAGACTATTTTTAACTAGCGTGTTTTATTATGGATGGAATAATCTTCAGGTAGACCCGAGACAAAAAAAGTTTCATTTCTCTGGAACAACATATGAATGGAATAATTACCATTGAGAACTTGTGTGCCATATGGGAACAAGTCTTCTTCCTTATCGTCTTCCAGCTTTTCGTCTCTTTCTCCGTTATCTTCCTCGACTTCTGGCTCTTTCTCTTCCTCATCTTCCTCTTTTGCTGGAGATTCCACCTTCTCTTCATCGTCGTTGCTCTCTTTGTTTGCGGCATCAGAATCATCGGCTGATTGGGTATTAGAAGATGCTGAGCATATCAATCATGTTTTTCGCAGTTTTTGTTCACGACTCTCGATGCTTACAATACATAGTGGGCCCTACTGATCACGGGCAAAAAGGATCAAATAAAGATGACCACGTGATTTAATCCTTGTCCCCGTTGCATTTTAGCGCTCTGTCCTAGAAGGTACTCTTTTCAAACGCATTTCTAATAATTTCATCCATTTCGTAACCTTTCCATCCTTTTCTCCTTCCTGGTCTTCAGCAGCATCCTTCATTTCGGAGTCTGGCGAGGCAGGAGATGCTTCTTCGACCTCCTTGGCTTCCACCTCCTTGCCTTCCACCTCCTTGGCTTCCACCTCCTTAGTTTCGGCGACCTTCTCCTGCGCCTCAACTTCCATAGCGGCAATGTCAGAAACAGTCATTTTGTACTAGTCTTGATGGTGGGGATTATTACACTGGAGACCGACAGATACAGAGGTAGTACAATCGCAATTTCAAATTCTTATTTCTTTAGCTGTTTGAGATCAAGCCAATCATGAAAATCAATGGAATAAATATTTTCTTGTGGTACACAGCATCAACGTTGAAATGGGTAGCAGCGGAAAGAGGGAATTTATTTTTCTTGTCCACGCGTCTAGTAGAAAGATATCTTTACGCTGTAGAGATAATAGGCAATGGGATGTCGCGAATAGCTATAGCAAAGGGCATGGATGCACGAAGACAAGCGCCAACACAAAAATAAAGAACTGTCCGGACTTCAGCTATTACCGTCAGTCTGATTCACCTCTCATATTAGCATGATGTACTTTTCAGACCGATCTGATTTTAATCAACCCTTAACAAAATCAGATATTAGACCGTCCGATCTTGTTCCTTATCCATGTGCTTGTTCCCATGGGTGTTTTCGTGTTCCACTAGAATTTTCAAGGATCTTTACGGATCTTCGGAAAATGAAGAATAATCACACCAATTTGTCTGCACGGTGATAGTCTTCATCTGATTCACACTCGTCCACATTTTCCTGATTTTTTCGACAAATTTTGGATCCGATGACTGATCTTATTACTTTTTCTTCACATTAAATGATCTACGACTTTTCAGACAACCTTCTGCCGTATAGGTTCCTCAATGACACTTAGGGGACTACAAAAGTAGCCCCACAAGCATCTACGATTCGGCCTTTTGTTGCTCATCCTGCGTCGTTACTTTCTTTTAATCTTTGTTAGTCTTCATTTGCTGGCTATGCTGGGAGGTGGGAGCAGACATCAACATTAGCGCACGTCTATTCCACGAACACATTCAAGTTTCACGAGGAGATGTAGCGCGCGCGTAGTGCTTGATTTTGATTCTTGCGATACCATGCTTATTCACTATGAGTTGTTCGTCTTGTTCGATCTTGCACTCGCAATGCGAATCATGTTTTTGGCGTATCATTGTCTACCTCTACTGCCTGGACATTTACTGTAAACGTTGCGTCACGCTTTATTAACTGTGTGTTCATGATCCATCTTCTACTACGTGAAGAGGAAGGTCGTGTCTTCGTCGGACTTGCTCCATCCGCACCATAGAGCTCATATGCCGCGAATGGAAGATACTCTAACGACCAAGCCCGAACCCAAACCCGGGGGCTGGAAAGTGTGATCCCACTAATGTAACGAAAACCCGCAGTCGAAGTCTCACCTGCTATAAAATGACACGACTTGATGTGCAGGAGTTCATTGTTAAGCTCATCATCTGCGGTCAGAACAGAGAGTCACAATATATTTATATTTTTCAAAACAAGGCTGCGAAAGAAGTAGAAGAATCAATGCGGTACTTCTCCCGAAGATTGTGACGAATTGAATTGCACTTACCACCCCTGGGATAGGTACGAATTGATTGACCATTCAAAAACTAGTAATAAAGATCTACTGAAAAAAATTAAGAACTTACTTCATATATAATTTTTGCCAAGTAGAGGATACGAATTGATTGACCTGCGAAAAAATTATCAGCACTATTGAAAAAATATCTATAATAATCACTTTCTAGTCGTGCGCATTTCAATTTGCAAAAAAATTGTTGACCTACTTATTACTACGAGTATCAAACATGATGCATAGATTGATGTTCACCTCGTATCACTTATCTACTAGATCTACAACTTTGATACCTATTATTTCCCGCCGTTCGGTTCAGGTACTTCGCTTTCATCGCGCTTCGTCCTGAACATTGAGTCGTTGTAGAAGTAGAAAATCCTCTAGTACAACTATGCTTTGTAAAGAATAAAGATCATCTTCAATTTTTTCGTGCTAGTTCTCTAACAAGGTGTTTATAAAGCTAAAGGACACTGCCAAAAACACGTGTTGTTTCTTTTCTCCCAAAACCCATCACATCTTTCCCCAACATGCTCACGACTTCACGACTCAAAAATCTTACATGGCTTTCTTCATCGCATCTGGCTTCTTCGGTGCGACACCGAGTTTGATCAACATTCGAGTGAACTCATCCGCATCAATGGTGCCATCACTGTTGCTGTCATACTCGTCAAACATCTTCTTGACGGTATCCATATCGACATCGGCGGCGGCCTGTAGAGTAGATGGTAAGAGTAGGTTTCTTTTTGATTTTTGAAGGATGGGCAAGGACCTTGTCGTGAATGGAACTGTGTTTTACTGGTAAACAATGAAGGGAAAGGATGGACTCAGTACTGACGCTAAGTACTCTAACTACTTCTGGCTCATCATCAGACAAGTAAATTGTGGTGGAGCCGACCTAACTAGAAAAAAGAAAGACCCGAGGAAGATAGAAAAGAGAAAAGGGCAGATCATAGTTATCATCAAGTATACACTCCTATCGGCTCTTTACTAATCACAATGTAAGTATAGTTATAAATACCGCTTCGCCCTTTACGCATGGCGCAACAGCTGGTTCGACATGGCCGGTCTTCATGTGTTCAGCGACAACGTCGATGAAGCCTTCAGTCGTAACGCCACTTGGTCCGCAGAGATCCCGCGTTCCCTTACCTGCAACCATGCATGCGTGCATACTATCACGGAGCTTGGGAGATTAGAGAGTGTGTGATGTATCTGTTGCAAGGAAGTGGCTCTGGGAAGAATGATCGGGGAAGGTGGTGATATCAGAGCGAAGCGGGATCATATGGTGATAGATATGTGGAGTTGTTTAGCATTTTCTGTATCTGTTGCAAGGAAGGAGGTAAATGCTCGAGGAAGAATTGTGGAAAGCGTTTGGCGGGCAATATTACAGGCTGAGGTTTTAGAATTCGAAATCAACCCTCCTTCATAATTAGCCCACGCGATCAATGCCTCGCCATCTGGGCACTCTCCCTTGTCCATCGCCAATTTCGCACTGTGCTGAATCGCGCCAATCATAGCCTCAGCCAAGCCCAAGGGGTTCAAACTGGTCTCCTCTCCTCGCAAATGTGCGTGCCACAAGTCTGCGACTGTTCCATGGGAAGCCTCAAACTCCTTGATCATGGTGCCGTCGGCTTTTTGACCGATCAAATTAGAACGGGGTTCTAATTTGCACACTGCATACTTGCACACTTGATGATGGACAAGTGGATAAACATAAAACCTAACATCGACACCTAATTAGCATACATTGCACACTGCATACTTGTTAAGTATCCCATAAGAACATCCTTGCTCTGTTTTCATGAGGAACTGTCAAGCTCCTGCATATAAATCGTAAAGAAAAAGTATGCAAAGAAAAACGTGACATCAACTTGTTCCCGTAATCAAGTTGCTGGTGATGAATCCCGGACTTCGGTGAACCTGAGCGACCTCGTCGGTAAGCATATCGCCATCGTAGTTGTGAGCGGCCATTCCGAAACCGCCACCGGTCCAGCGGAGGATCTGCATAGTGGCAGCGTCAGAGATCAAGTGCTGCAATTCGCCGCCAGTTTTGTCGAGAAGACCGGATTTCTGTTGGGGGTGCAAAAAACTGTGATCATAATCGGCTCCTTACGGTTTTTACTCAAGTACTACAGGTTCGAGGATACATGACGAGACTAGTAGTACGAGGTAGCGTCGAAACAACCACAGAAGTGAAAACACATAACCCAGCAGAGTCAGCAATCAATATTACCTTGTACTGTTCTGCGTAGTGTTCATCGAAAACCTTCTTCATCTTTTGCCAGAAACCCTCCTGCCACTTGAAAACGGTCTTCTTCGTGACAACGTACGGCGTCACTTGAGCGTCCAAGCATCGCTTGAAGAAGTAGTGAGCCAATGCGTCAACATTGTCCAGCGGATTGTGGTAGGTGACGACAACATTGTCATCATCCGTCAACTTTCGAGTGTCAACAATTCGTGCATCCTCAAGGGATGTCATCTTATCTGGGTAGAACCTGGTGAGAAAGGGGAATGAAACGTTTTTATTAGATAACTAATGGCGTTGTTAAAAAAGAATGTGAGAATCGAATAAGCAGGAGCTGCTATGAAGAATCGCTTCTTTATCATTGATTGCCCAAGGTGAACATCACAGTCTCAACCAGAAGTAGTACCGCGTCTCAATGCTTCCCGCACCTACGCCCTTCCATCCTGCTCCGTACTCGCCTCCAACAGCATGTCGTTCGAATAGGACGGGTCTGTCGAAACCGAGCTTGATTCCCTTGATATGAATAGTATCTCGGGAAATCGTAATGCCGTTCCATCCTCGGCGCATAGCACCGTTTGGGGAGCCCCAAGCTTTTTTGAGACCTGTTGTGGCAGATGCGAAAGTGATTTTGAGGTGATTACAGCAACTAAAAATCGTACTAGGCAACTAGGCCTAGGTGGAAGTTTCCGTTGGCGTAGCAAGACTAGAAGTGACTTCAAGGAGGTCCAACGAACAAGACAACTACGTATTCAATTTCCTACCCATCTCCTTCACTTGATCTGCTGTCGGTGTGATCGTTGGCTCCTTGAAGATCGCACCAATTCGCGCACCTGCCTCCACAGCGTCAGTGAGGACCTTATCTTCCGTTGCGTCGCGACTTTTGCAGGACAAGTCGTAGTATTCCCAATTTTTGGTGTCGATGTTAGGTCTTATCCACTTGTCCATCATCAAGTTGCACGCATAGTGCGTCATCTCCTCCCCGCTAATATAGACCATGGCTGGAGCGACCATCTTCTTCTCCGAGGAAAAGAATCGCGCACGAATGTAGGTATTTCTGCCGAGGCGTGAGTCGGCGGCAACGAACATCGGGACATTTGCGGAGTTGACAAAAGCACCACTGCGTGGTGCGTTCTTTTTGTTCATGAAGCTCTGCTGAGAGAAGCGAGACGCAGCGGAACGGCCCATGAGCCGTGCTGCAGCTCCCTCGCAGGAAGCGAGCACCATGGTGTTTAACTTACTATTGAAAATATGACAAACTTGATGTGTATGATGGTTACACTCTTGAGTACCTACTTACAGCTAAACTGACTTGAACTGTTAGTGTTTGATACTATACGGATCAGCTCAAACACATATTTTGAACTTGAAGATTCGCGTAAAATAGTTGAACTTGAAGCCCACCTTCTGTGTCAATCTGAACAAATAAGAGGACATTGTTATTTATGAGAGACGATGAAGAAGACTGTGTTATAATGAACAATCCTGACAACACACTGAAAAACTGCTCTGGCGGAGCACCTTTCTACTTAACCAAGATTGTCTTCTAGGTGGTCGGAAGCGCAAGTATCCCCCAAGAATTTTCGTGAGATTTTTTCCCTTGCAAAAAAAATAAATCAGATATTGGATTAATAAATGCGATGAAGATCTCTCACTCTGTCTGTCTCGGAATCACTGACAGAATCGCCGACATGCAAAGAAAACCGAAACAGTTGGAGGCCAGATTTTTTCACGTAACCACAGGACTACGTTTTCACTTTCTCTCAACTTCGCACAATTTTGATATTATCTCCCCTCATCGACAGACAAATGAACACTACTTTGACCGACAGCCTTGAAGCTCGTTTTGATGTGAAGATACAAAAACCAATCGCTTTCACGCATCTCGCTGAGATCTGCTCAGAAACATTTCATGATGACCTACAAATGGCTCGTCTAGAAGACATCTTTTCTAGTACAGCTCATCTTCTTGCGAAGGTTTTCTATGGGACTACAACCAACTTGTCGGTAGATTCATTCTGCATTCTACATTTTCATTTTAATCCGTCCTTCAATTGGAGCACATAATCAACTGTAAATGGATATATCGAAACCTGTTCGCGTACTTCAAATATATTATCATCCTGCGTATCTTGATCTTCTGTGTCATTTTCCCGATCCAATAACGCGCGATGAAGAACTCGCACTACATCCTTCTCCAGGCTGGAAGACGACATGTAAGAGGACTTCTTTTCACCCTTTTCTGTCATATTACCATGTCCGCTTTTGCTCTTTACGAAAAGGTCCCATAGACGGCGCGCCTGGACCAAGGATAAAGCGAAAATTACGGGGTTCAGCTCAGGTTGTACTTCTTTTTCTTCCGTGAGGAATTCGCCGGACTTATGCTTCTTCCATAAAAGCGTTGTCTGTGCAAAGCGCCAAAGTGCGCGACGAACATGCGCCAGGGGTGTTAAAAGTCTCGTACTGCTTAGAGCACTTCTCTTTTTCGAATCCTCTGCGGGTAAGACGAGCTTCCATAAGCCACATTGAATGCGTCGCCAGAAGGCTCCTGCTTCGGAAACCTCCGATGTTGAAGGACCACTTTCGAAAGGGAGGTAGCTGTAGGCACGTATCATATCTGCGTGCCTCCAGTCTAGGAGGAATTCATTTTTAGATGGATTGAGAACGTCCTCGAGTTCTTCGTGAACCGAACCTTCGTGAACCGAACCTTCCGACAACGCGAGTAACTCAAAAGCGCAGGCGAGTTTCGCTTCCTTTGACTCGGTACCGACTGGCGCCACAAATGGCAATGACGGTCGCAGGTAAGAAGATTCGGCTTCTTTTACGGCTTCATCCAGAAGCCACGAAGTAACAATTTGCCAAGCTTTTGTGTCACCGATGCCCCCCACTTGTTGCGCAACATCTGCTATTTTCTCAAGCAAGACCGGCTCTAGAAGCTGCAATCGCCACGCTGCGGCGAGGAAGTCCGTCCACAGTTTTTTCTGGGTTTCTGGGTCGTTCCTGGGTATCGTCTTTCCTAAACAGGTGGACACTTCTCGCAGTACGAACTCCGCAAAAATCCTCTGACTATCGTCAGTCGGATCTTTTGATAGGTAGCCACCGTCCGAATAGGCTAACCTCAAAATCGCTGTTACCTCTTCTATCGATGAGAGATCCTTGAATACTTGTTCGGATGAAGCGTCAACATAGACTAAAGCTGCTCGCAGTTCGGGCCATCGAGATCGTCTTTGCAGGAGAGCACGGAACGATTTTACTGCTTCGGTCTCGTCGACAACCAGGTCCCGCTTTGAGACGATTTTCGAGCTGTCTTCAGTGTGCTTGCTTGCGGTTTGAACTGCTGCTCCTGCGAACGACGAGGTAAATCGCTGGCTAAAGCCCTGTAACGGCAATCGGGGGTTGCGCCTCCTGTGCCGTACAGCGCGGCAGAAAAAGGACGGCATGTTGTTTTTTTTGGTTATTTGTCCTTGAGGTCTTTGTCAGAAGAATGATTGTTGAAGTCTTTGTGACTGAGATCGAGAGCCTCTATTTTCTACGTTTATCATTATCACCATCGTTGAACCAGCCGCGACTCGGATCAGCGAAGCCTAAAAATTGAACGTTGAGTCGCACCTTTGTGCTCACTTCCTAGGCTGTTTCGATCTACTTTTTGTCCACATGTCCATCATTCCAAGATCTTGTAATTCCGGTACGAATACACCACCAACCGGCACACGCCGCGTAATTCCAGAGCAGCTTCATCTGCCGACTTTACCTCCCCCCGAAGTCGTGGGTGCGTTGGTTCTTAAGTACATTCCCAGCTCCAGTAAAGGAGGGAATAGAGTTGAGATTTGCAAAATTCAAACTCGATGGACGGGAGTAAAAGATGACTCACTTCTGTGGATGATAGTTAAACTGTACGATGTTCTATCAAGTGACGCAAAACTGAACTTTCTTAAAGCCATCTAAAAGATGTAGTGTTGCTACTTCTTAGTTCTTCTTCTTTTGTCCATTCTAGCTGTTTGTAGTACTAGGTACATCGGCTCCTTTTCAACAGTGCCTTCACACCACTATCCACAATGTGGATTTCCCACCTGCACCTCTGTGGTACATCTGCATGTACTTGGAAGATTTCTTTTGATTGACATAGCCAAAAATCAAACCATGGAGTGAGTGTTCAAAAATACTCTGCTTCTATTATAGAAAGAGGTGAACTAAGCTCCTTGAGGTGCTCCCAGAGAGTCTCCCTGCCTCGAGACGCAGTACTTCGCGTGTGCCTGATTCGTAGTGTAGCACAAGATATCGGCGATTTGGACGTGGCGAGGTCTGGTTACGGAATAAGTAACCTGATCAGCGATGTCAGCCGGGCAAAGAGGTACGATGCCTGAGTACACGCTGCCTGCTTTTCCTGCGTCGCCTTTGATTAGATGACCCCGGTCAGAAGAAGTTCTAGTACTAATGGATGCAAAGTACACCTTGTTCAGAAAGAAGACGATGTGAATGATGGCTATATACGCTATAATTTGCGGTGGAGCGGGTAACTAGAAAAAACCAGAAAAAGAAGACGAGGTTGATAATTTTTACAACGAATCTTCAGGTGGCACTCTTCCTAGATCTAAACGATACTTCTGACTCTGAGAAGTCTACTATTTAACGTGAATGAAAGTAAACGAGTTGTCCGTCGAAGTTCTAAGTCTACTATAACAAAATTCTTCACCATAACTTGAATCGCACCACCGAAAATTCCGTTTCCACCATTCCTGGAGAGATAGTAGTGACGCGCAACGGCGTTCCCGCAACGTCACACCGCAAAGCATCCGCGTAGCCGCGAATCGCGTGCTTCGTGGCGCAGTATGAAGAACCGCCTTCATAGTAGTCCTTCGCTGCCACGCTGGAGATAAAGAGCAGGTGGCCATATCCTTGCTTGCGCATCTTAGACCCGAAGACAGCAGTCAGATGACAGCAGGCGATCACGTTGGTCTGAAACATCTGCATGGTGTCCTCATACGGAGTTTCGTCGGCTGCACCCGTGCCCAAGGCAAGCCCAGCGTTGTTTACTAAGATGTCGATCACGCCGATTTCCTCAGCCATCTTCTCGACGGCTCCCTTGTCGGTGACGTCAAGAGTAATGCAGACGATGCTGGTTTCAAGAGAGGGATCCTTGATTTCAGAGACTTAGATCATGAGGACAATCTACTTCTCTTTTTCTTATCTTCCTGGTCATAATTTTGTTCCCTGTGGATAAATGTGAGTGAGGTCGTGAAACATCTAGCGGCCTTAAGAAACAAGTCGCTTCTTGAGCGCATCCAGACGTTCTGTGCGACGACCACATAGCACCAGCTTCTTCAGACCAAGTTCTGCGAAGCGGCATGCGATAGCTTCGCCAATACCCGCAGTGGCGCCAGTGACGAGCGCGGTTTTACCCGACAAGTCCTGCGCCGCATAGTACCGCGATGCCGGCAAAGTGACGCTCGTTGTGTCTGTTGACATGGTCATTTTCTCTATCCTGGTCAGCTAGGTCTAAAGGAGAATATGATAAAGGGAGAATCAGAATCAAGAGAATTCTCTCTTCAAAAGCTACAACGGAAATGTTTTGAACAACATGTAAAATAAAAAGCTATCAAAAAAACCAAAGCTAGATCCAGCCTAGATGTATCTGCCTTCTTTGCTGTAGTCAGTGCACATTGGCTCGAAGATGGTGCTGGAGCCCTCTTATTCTAAGCTTTATTTTTGCACACCAAGGTGTTAAAACCCGCACTCAGAACCAACAAGACCGTAAAGAGCCGTGCTGTGGGAACACTTTTTACCTACTTAAATAAAGATGTGCAGCTTCGCACGGATACACAGCTCCTTGGATATCTTCAACCTTACATCACGAACGAAGAACAAAAAGCGGTTCCGTGGTCTTCGGTATCAGTATGTATCGTCATCGAATCCCAGCACTTGGAGCAAACAGAATCGGGAAAATGATCACAGCGCAAACTAGCATCATCAGCACTGTAATGCAGCACATCCTTAGAGCTACCGTGGTCGCATCCTCCCTGAGCGCATCCTTGGCTCCATTTTCAAGTAGAAAAAGAGCCAGGGATCAGATGATGCTGTCTCTCTGAGAGAGGATGCTCCAGCGGAGGTACTAGCCTTAACATCCTTCTCTGGGAAGTAAGCTGTCCTTTTCTCGCTGTTATCAGTTCTTGCTCCGCTTGTTGCGTGTAGTCACGCGTTTTGGACACGTTCACCTCAATCACATCCAAGATCTCTCCCTGATGCTCGATGAGCTGTGCCATGTCTAGGAACATCTGATGCAAGTCCGCCATAGACCGTTCTAGCCGCCGGATGGCTTTGTACTTGTATCAAAAGAAAATCTGTTATCATTATCAAGTTTCTGAAGTAGAAAAGTACGATAATGATAACAGATTTTGGTTTCATAACTTGTCATGCACCTGTTCTAGATTCTCCAGTAAAACCGCATGCGTGCCTGCCATCTGCTTTCTGACCATGGTATCCCGAGTTTCTCCGCTCTCGATCATGTCGTGGATCTCGTTCTCGCTTGCTTCGGGACAGGCTAACTTGAGTTGTCGCGCAGTCTTCGCCTTCATTTCCGTTGAGAATTCGCCTTGCGCATTCTGAAACGCGAGGACTTGAGTCTGCAACTTCTTAGCCAAGCTTTGGCACATGTTCTGCCGTACTCTCTGCTCACTCTTTGAAGCACGACTACCTTGTCCAGACAAGGACTCCTCCCTCAATTTCTCCAATTTTTTCTTCGCGTCCTGAAGTGCCTCGTTCGTCTTGCCACTCTCCACTTCCAGTCTATCTTGCGCTTTTTGCTCCATGGCAGCGGTGGTGGCCATTAGCAGGTCTTCCGTGCACTGAGAGATCTCGTCTGTAGAGCGTTTCGCCTCAGCTATCCGATCTTGCACTGCTTTTACTTCCTCGAAGAAGAGCTTCATGCCTCCATCCTTGTTATCCTTCGCAGCTTTTGTTAAAGCTCAGCATTCAATGGTCACTGACTCTGAAAGAAATGGGCCCCATGCCTCTCCCTTTGCTTTTCCTTCATTTTCCCCTGTTCTCCTTCTCTCAAGAGGGATCTCAGTCGTGACCAACCCCAATGACCATTGAAAGCTGAGCCTTAATTTTGCAGAGAGAGAGAAAGAGGAAGAAACACCTCCTATATTCTCTGCTTCCGCACGAAACATCTCCTCCGCACTGGTGGTTTCGATGCCATGCTGGCTTGCGATAGCCCGGAACTCCGCGAAACGGTCGACTACGCCAGGAAAGTTGGCCATTTTGTTTTGTAATCGTCTTATAGCAGAGCAGTTTATAAGGTTTCACGGCTCGCATGGCATGGAGTGCATGGATCACATGGAGTAGCATGGAGCTAAAGGGGGAGCTTCTTGCGCCCCTTGAAGCTCTGCGCTCCATGCACTCCATGCACTCCATGCTACTCCATGCACCATGCGTGCTATAAACTACTCTGTTATAGGATAAGACAAGTTTTTCGATTAGTTCGACGCACCAGCAGCGGTGGGCGCAGGGAAACAGGATAGGTTGCTATTGCCTACTCTGCACGGATCGTGTTACGATGAGCGCTGGAAGCAGGACTCATCTATAACTAAATGAACATGTCGGATGCAACCAGAATAATGATCCCTAAATCTCATTTATCGTCCTTGCGTTTGAGTTTGTTATGCGCAGTCGTTCAGAGATGCTCGTTCAGAGATGCTTAATACGTTATATTCGCCACTTTGTTTTTTTGATTAAATAAGACTCTGGCCACAGAGTAGAACCGACACCATGATAAACCGACTTAGAAAATAATCTGAACACTGTATGTCTCTAGCACTGTAGGAGAGTCGGAAACGGAACCAACCAAGTGAATGTCGTATCACGATCACCCGCGTCCGTCCGAATAGTCCACCACAGGGTCGCGGAAGCTTTTTCTGAAATTTCTTGATGTAGAATTGCTAGTGAAACTGTTCAAATCCTATTTTTTTGCGTTCGATTCTTACTTTTGTTGATTGATGCGTTTTCTTTTCAATACTTGACAATCTCAAAATTCCTCTCATAAAACGACCTGTAGTTGTACTTACCATTTTGTCTTCAAACTGTATTGATACCTTAGTAGAAGTAATTCTTGCCTTTGTTATGCCAAAGATGTGGGTTCCTCACTTGTGGAGAAAACATCACGACCCTAAGGCATAGTAGGCCGGCGCAGCCTGATTTTTCTTGAAGATATAACTCCATAAATCTAATAATCAGAATCTAATACTTACGACGATCGATGTTCTTGTTCGGTTCGATGATAAAAAATTCGATTTTCAGTGTGACACTAAAACAAATGAATAACGCCGATGTATCTTTCACAAACTACCTAGAAGCACTCCGTCCCGGGTCAAATCTTCTGTCAATCTGGTCTTTCTTCGAGGTTGATGAATGCTATCATGATTAAGATTAAGACTCCTCTCATCTTTATTTTTCTAAAAGATGAGCAGGTAAATAAATTGTTGAAATTCTAGAACGATTAATTATAACTAATTGTTGCTCCTCCTGTTGTTTAAGAGTAAGACGTAAAACTACGATATACCGAAGACGTGAATTTCACTTGTATTGCTCTAAACTTCTTCATATTCCTGTTATTGATGTTTCGCTTCCAAATCTAAAACTCAATGTAGATCGATGTTGAAGTAGTTTCTATAGAAGATATTACCTGTAGTGATGAAGAAGAGCAAACTGTTCAATTCAACCTTTTTTAGCTGCAATTGCGAATTTAGGTCATCAACACGAGAGTGCAGTGAGGTTTCTATTAAGCACCATCTTAAATTAGCGAGTGTTTTGTGTAGGAGGTAGATGCAACTGTCACGAGCTGGCTCCTGAAAGTGGACGTCAGAGCTCTTTCTTGGTCGTGACAATGCCAGGGGAGCATCCTCAATATAGTGGCTTTGCTATAAGTAATAGTGCGGCTCGCTGGCTAGTGTCGTGTCTATTTTTGCTGATCCTGCTCTTCAAGATTTTACTGCATATCAATCTACTTGAACGTGTAATCGCTTCCACCATTTTGCCCCAAGCAGACAGAAGAAGACAGCGCAAGTATAGTGGACGGCCCCGCACTGCCTTCCGCCCTAAAGCTACTCCCTAGTTGATCATGGGATCTAAGAAAGTGATTTGGATTGTTAAGGGACTAACAAGTAACAAGTAGACTAATAGTAGCTGCCAGCAGCAAGAAGATGATCAGGACAGTAGACAACACGAATCTGTTTTACGAGAATGCAATCTACCAATCCCTACTGTATTAACTCGACTGTAATTGTGTGATGAGAGATGAATTGATATAGTTCTGAAATTTGGATGTACGAATTTTGCGGTAATCTTCTAATAAAACTGAAGATCATACAACGACCAACACCAAAGGGGTTCTTGGATGCTGATCGCGTAGGAGGCATGAAGACTATAATAAATAGGTACTATTTCAACGCTGAACAGGACGATTAAGAATAATTCTACTAACTGTTAAGATGTTAGAATTCGCAGTTACTAAATAATAGATGTTTTAGGTTCTTGAATCCGCAGACTCTTGAACTTTGTTGTTGATGAAAGATAATATGATTAAATGAGTGGCGACATTTTGATATTTTGATAACTAATATTCACCATGCAAGAAAAGTGAGCCCGCATCGGTCGCGGTCGTATGCCTCTAATAGAGAGACACACACCCCTCTCCAACACAGGCGGCCCACAATGCAACTGTAACAAGCAAGAATACCTGATTATTATTACCATTCTTTTATTGCTTATTTCTACCACTTTTTGTTGTGATTTTTAGAACTGACATGATTGAATAATTCGAGATAATAAATCAGAAGAACAGAAATAGACATAACGATTTTTATAGCGATCAATCATAACGATAAACAATACAACAATACTACAACTCACTTTCTGATGATCGCAATGGTGCTGCGATCATCTTTTTACGCGACAAATAGTTACTATGATATTGAACCGCATACGGCGGACTTCGTGAACTGAGAAAAAGAAAACGAATTAATATTTGAATTTGCTATATTATTAGACGACAATTTATACTAACTCAGACAGTAGATCACAGCTAATAACTATTCAAAATAAAACATATCTATCAAGTTGTAAGCCATCCTTTAGTACGACTACCTAAATTCAAATTCATCTATAACACTGATAATTACAGTACTAACACAACATTATGAGGATCGTTCTCAATTATATTTTTCCAGATTATACCCTATTATTATCTAAAAATGTATGAAACTACAAACTGTGCGTTTGAAAATATGAGGTGACACTTCTAGTGAGATAGCTAATCTTGCTGCGAAGAATCCCAGTTCTTCTTGATTATTATCGAACTCAGGTGAAGAAACTGAAACTCTTCTGTCACTACATAAACACATAGGTACAACTGTTCTTGATGCTCCTTTGCTGGAGATCATGATCTTGTTTATTGCTTTCAATTCCGTAAATATTACTTGTCATGTCATTAAATGTTGACTGTTGACTCATTTTCAATTGGTATTGCGGTCTCAAACCACCTTCGAGCTGCTAATTATGCCCATTCTTGACTCATCATGCGACCCTCGAGATGAAGATCACTATTTTCTTCTACTCATAAATTAGCCTTACTTGCGAACTCAACTGTACAGTTCCGATGAAGTGGTTCCTGTACTAGCTGCACGACCTTCCGCTGCGCGAGAAGCCACTGTCTCGTGGCTGTCATTCTGCGCATCGTTCTCAGCCACTTCGGTCGTCGATGTGACGTTCTTTCCGTCGACCATAGCTGCATCCAGATGAGCCTTTTGCTGATCTTGTGCTCTAGCAGACGATGTTGATGCAGCATCTACTTGTTGTTCTTCCGCTGAACTAGCACTACTAGTTGTTGTTACAACTTCTACTTCCGTCGTGTTCGTCGCATGAAGTGGTTCCTGTACTAGTTCCGATGAAGTGGTTCCTGTACTGGCTCGACGACCTTCCGCTGCGCGAGAAGCCGCTGCAAGTCTCCTCTCTTTCCTCGCAGCCAAAGCTCGTCGGATCACGTACTCGATGCTCTTGAGTCGGTCGTCCATCTCAACGTAGTTGACATCAACTCTCTCCTTAAGGTCTTCCACCTCAGCCTCCATACGCACGATGCGCTGATCGAGAGACTGGATGCCCAAGGTTACGACTGCGATCAAATCGTCCACGCGGAGTTGGAGCATACCATCCATCTCGTTCCGCACAACGACGTTGGGAAGGACCTGTGCGAGGATGATCTTCATCTCCAATTGGCATTATAATCTTGAGTTAATTACCATCCATTGTTCTTCAAGGAGGAACAAGAATTATGGGAAGATTATGGTTTTAGTTTACCATGTCCATGGTCTTCTTCAAGGAGAAACAAGAATCCAATTTATTCAAGAACTCTTGGTTTTGAAAAAGAAACTACCACCACCAGCTACGAAGAATTATATTTTATAAGCATTATAGAAGTAGTACGTCTTCCATCTCCTGTGCGATGAAACCGTATCGGCTGTATTTCGATTCAGCTGCACGCTTGTATTTAAAGCTTACTGGTCGTAGTTCACGTAATACGTGAATCACCGTAGCTTCCTTTGCTTCAGCGATGCGGCCTGTTGATGTTGGCCGGGAGGAGAAGGTTGACATTGTTGAATGATGTTTTTGCTTTTTGGTTTTTAATCTTTCGTGGTGTATCTCCTGTCTAGTGTACAACTACACCAACGTGGAGATACTCAAGTGTGATGTTTACTTACGGAGGTAAAAAGCAAACAAAGAAATCTAAAATGAATTACCTTCATCATACAGCGCCAACGCCTTATCGTTCCTTGGTGCGACTTGCAACAACTCTTGGTAGAGGGGTTTGATGTCTCTCTTCCTTCGTCGATCGGATGTGCTCACGGTGCTATCCGCGGACCACGTTCCGTGCAAGGTACCTGCGACAGCGCCACTGCTGTAGGTCATCGAGATGCCTGCCTTGTTGGAAGCGTAGTTCGGATACAATTTCATCGTGTTCGACGAATTCTCAATAGCGGAACCGCCAATATACAACTTGTCGTTGATACGGACTTCTCCGACAGCGGAGAGACTGCTTCCAAGCCTGTTTTGACAGAGATGGTCACAAAAGTTTTTTGATGGAGGTTGGGAGTGAAGCTGCAGTTTGTGACTTAGACAAGATGGTCAAAAGTTTTTTGATGGAGGTTGGGAGTGAAGCTGCAGGAGGTTGGATTGACTTAATAGACTTAATATGTGGAGGATAGAATACTTCAGTAGTACCTTGCAAAGCTTCGCACCGAGAACGTTGATCCCAGGTTCAGGCAATCTAGTACGGATGCTCTACCACCCATGCGCGAGAAGGAGCGCATCGACAATGACGATCCGACATTGACGAAGTTCAAGACGCTTGCTCTGCTTGCGAATCTGGCCGCTGATCGGACACTCAACGTACTACCCAACAACGTGTAGTCGTGGATGCTGGCGTTCGTGTTCACGCTGTTCGCCACGGAACCTGCAATGCTGATGGAGCTGCCGAGACGCGTGAAGGAACGCATGGAGAGTGCGGAACCAAAGTTAACCGAATCCAGCACCGACAAACTCTTTCCGAACCTGGCGACTGCGCGGACGGACAGGGAACTACCAATCGCAATTGCTTGGAGGACGCTCATGGTGCTTCCGATGTTGGCCTTCGTTTTCACAGACAAAGTGCTACCCAGTCGGACGAAGCTGCGGATCGAGACCGAACTGCCAAGAGCCAAAGTGTCGAAGACACTTGTGCGCTTGCCGAGTCTGAAGAGAGATAGAGTGTTGAAGACGAGGATGGGGAAGAAAAACCATTGTGGTTGGTTTGTTGTCCGGAAGAAAAACCATGGAGGATGATGATGTCCGGATGATTCTACATAGGAAGTAGTCATGCTCATGAAAGAGTCTTCTTTCATTTACCAGTCATTGACAACAAGAACAAACACTTCATTCCACTAGAAACATTATTGTTTTACCTAGTCATTCCCCTCACAGACAAACTGGATCCGAGGTTGCAGGCGTTGTAGACGGAAAGCAACAAGCACGAGCTCATGCGAACTGTGCCCTCAACGCTGAGTGAGCTGCCAAATCTAGCGAACTGTCGTACGCTGATACTGCTGCCCAATGCTAGCATATTCATCACTGATGCTCTGCTTCCCATACGTGTAACACTACGGACAGACAAGGAGCTGCCCATGGCGACGCGGTCGTACACCTAGTTTTTTGGTTCCTTTCAGTTGGTGCTAAGGGAATTATAGGAAAGTCAGATTTTTTCACCAAAAAGAACTTGCATCTATTTCTCATGTTGTGCTACTAGCCCAGTAAGTCATGGATAAACTACAACATGTCGTGAGAAGACATTTAAGTGTTTCTTACCGACATCGTTCCGACGAGTCGTGTTTCACCGGCTGTGACGGAGAGCGACGAGCCTAATCTGGCGAATCCTCGCAGACTGACCGTTGACCCTAGATGCAAGTAGCTGAAGACGGATGCCCTGCTACCGCATCTGGCAGTGCTTCTAACGGAGAGCGATGATCCCAATGCAACTGCATCCAATACTGACATCTTCACGCCGCCAACAGTGGAGCCAGCGACGGAGAGAGCTGTTTTGTTGGTGGTTGAGGGGGTGATGATGTTGATGAGGTTGTGCTTATGAAGAGAAGAAAGATTAAATTGTTTCATCGTTGCGTGTGCACGACTTAGCTAGACTGTCTGAACCTGAAGGAGAAATATTTATCACAACCCTAATAAAAATACCTGAACCGAAGCGTGCCATAGATCGGAGACTAACGGAAGAGCCCACGTTCAAGAAGTTGAACACTGATGCTCTTGCCCCCAGCGTACTCGTGGACCTGTAGTAGTTGAGTTGGGAGAATGGTTTTCGTTTTCGATGCAGTTATAGTAGATTGTATTTGATGGTGGAGATACTACTTCTTGCATTGAAGTGGAATTTTTACCATGATCAGGAGACCGTGGCAGAGATCTTCGTACTATAATTTCAATTTCTTGCATAAGAAAACAGTCTGCGTACCTGACGCTCAACGACGATCCCAGTGTCGTGTACTGGATCACTGACAGGTTCAAGCATGAACCAAGTGCTGTGAGTCCGATTACGCTAGCAGTGCTACCGCATCGCAAGAACTGGCGGACGGACATCGAGCTTCCCAACTGCAAGAATTGCAACACTGAGGCACGCGAGCCGCACCTAGCGACGCTGCGAACTGAAAGCGAAGATCCGAGATTCGTGCACTGTGTGACGGACAATCGGCCATCAGACATAATAGCCGCACCCTTCATGGAAACTGAGCTGCCCAGGCGGACGAAGGACCTGTTGTTTTTTCAGAGGAAGATTTTTGTCATTTTGAGTGATCAAGGTCATTGACCAGCAGAGGTATTTTTGTTCTTTGGTCTAAAGAAAATAAAGGTTCCCATTCCATCCTCTAAGGACACAAGAAAGTCTACCTCAAGCTAACGCTGCTTCCCACGTTCAAGAAGTTCAGCACGGAAGCTCTAGATCCCATGCTGGCAGTAGATCTGACAGACAGGGAGCTTCCTAGGTTGAACGTATCCAGGACACTAATGCGCTTTCCATATCGGCTTGTTGCTCGCACTGATAGAGAGGAGCCTAAGGCTACGGTGTCCAGGATCGACAGGCGGCTACCCGCACGACCAGCACTACGCACACTCAAGGACGAACCAAGGTGCAAGAAGTCGGTGATCGAGAAGTCAGCTCCGAGTTTGGTGGAACGGCCTGTAGTTGTAGGAGGATTGGTTGGGAGTGAATTGTAGATGTTTTTATTATATTCAATTCATCTACTAGTCTTTAGCATTGAATGCAAGGTGTTGTCGTAGATGTAGTTGTAGACATCAAACTTCTACACACACCAGACAAAGCTTATAAGTGTCAACGAAAGTAGAAAATTTTCAGTACGGACTGAGAGCGAGGATCCGAGCGTGAGCATGTTGAAGACAGAGACCCTAGAACCGCATCTTGCCGTGGATCTGACGCTGCAGCTGGAGCCAAGAGCCGTGTAATCGAGGATAGACACCTTCGATCCGAATCGCGAGAACGATCGCAAGCTCAAGGCGCTTCCGAGGTTAGCTCTGTTGACAACGGAGAGGGCATAGCTGCTACCGGCACGAGTCAATCCGCTGATACTGAGACCCGATCCGAATCGGGAGAAGGAGCGGACAGAGATGCTGGAACCTGTGGTGGTGCGATGAGTAGGGGTTTCAAGTGAGATTTGGAAGATGTGGTCAGGAGATGTTCAGTTTCGTGATTGTATTCAGTTTCAGATGACTTTTTTCAGATGACTTAGTTGTATCTATTTGTTTGTATGCAACAACATGAAGAAATCATTCTCGAACAAGAAAATCAAAATTATTGTTGTACCAAGTGCCAGCATGTTGAAGACTGACACTCTTCCTCCTGCGCGCGATGCAGATCGTACCGAACAACTGCTTCCCATGGAGACGAAGTTCAGGATACTCATGTTCGATCCACACGCCATTCTTCCGTAGACGCTCAAAGCGCTGCCCAATCGCTTGAAGGATCTGGTCGACAGGCTGGAGCCCATCAATCCGCGATCGACAATACTCACCGTCGAGTCAGCGCCTGAGGTCTTGCCAACACGCAGACTGCCAGTACAGGAGATGCTGCTGCCGAGACGCACGTAGCTTCGGATGGACATCGTGCTACCAATCAGCATATGGTTGAAGAACGAAAGCTGTGCGGCAACGCGTGTTGTTGCGACGATGCTAACAGAACTGCCGAATCGAGTAACGGCACGAACGGATAAGGAGGAACCTAAGAGTTTAGTTAGAGTTTGGTTGTTGTCGTGAAGATCTTTTACCAATTCGAACCAAGTAGGGTACTCTTTCAAGCTTGTCCATGATAATCAAATTCAAATCTTATATCTTTATCAAGAAGTAAAGAATCATTCTTGTTGTAAGTAAGTAAGTACATAGTAGCAAGAGATCATCATACCAACAGCCAAGAAGCTGAGCACGGATGCGCGGCTGCCCATACGCGTTGTGGAGCGCATGGAAAGCGAGCTTCCCAAGTTGAGAGTGTCAAAGACGCTCGCTCTAGATCCGAATCTTCCCGTATGACGAACAGACAACGAAGATCTGAAGAGGGTGGTTTTTTTTTTGTGCATTAATTATGGGTGATTGTATTCTTCTGCGTGAATAGTTTACAATAGGATGGCCTGTCGTAGATGAACCACAGCAGTTACTAAAAGTCAGAATAAGGAATGAAGTACTATCATTCTTTATTCTACCCATTTTCTTAATATTTTCATTGGTTTGGCTTCAAAAATGTGAATGTTTTCAAAGCTTCCCGTTATGTCAAAGACGAAGTTAAAATCTTCTTACCCGATGCCAACCATGTTGATGACGGAGAGCTTGTAGCAGCTTCCGATGTGCGTCGTGCCAGAGATACTGACTCCGGATCCGACCCGTGTGAACGCCCTAACGCTCACCGTAGATCCGAAGCAACAGCTATCGAGCACTGAGAGTGCGCTTCCGCATCGCATGAAGCTACGTAGCGACAGAGTGCTGCCCACATTGACAATCTTGTAGACTGACATGCGGCCGTAGATGTTGGCGGTAGAAGCGCAGGAGAGTCCGCTGCCGATGCGAATGAAGTTACGCACGCTGACGCTGCTTCCCAGGTCTAGGAAGTTGAGGACAGATGCGCGCGATCCAATTGTGCCAGTAGATCGGACGCTCAAGCTGCTGCCCAAGTTCATCAAATCCAGTACGGAACACTGTGGTGTGGTTTTGGGGTTTGGGAAAATCAAAATGATGTGATAGATGTAGTAATAGTAAATTCGCAATTCATTGGGAATAATGAAATATTCAATTTAAAATCAAATTCATGCCCATTCTATCTCACAAATGCGGCAGTAGTTACAGAAAAATTTCAGTACCCTTGCTCCGATTCGGAAGTTGCTGCGCACTGACAAGGAGCTTCCAATGTTGAGGCAGCTGTGGAGTGAAATCGCGTAGCAACTGCCAACTCTTGCTAGTCCTAACACGGACATCTGTGAGCCACATCGGACCATACCACGCACGGAAATTGTGGATCCAAGTTGCAGGTAGTCTAATACGCTAGCCCTCGCACCCATGCGCACGCCACCGCGGACGCTCAAGCTTGAGCCTAGTGCGACGCTATCTAGGACGGACATGTCCGTTCCCACTCTGAGGCCCTTGAAGACGGAGACCGAAGAAGCCATGCGAGCAATAGAACGCAGCGACAGGGTCGAGCCGAAGAAGGCGGCATCAACAACACTAACCGTGCCAGTCAGTCGTAGGCTAGAACGCAAGGAAAGCGTGCTTCCGAGCGCCAATGCATTAAAGACGGACACGCGAGAGCCGAACCTGGTTGGATAAATGTAAAAATCACGTGATTATCATCTACTTGCTGTTATACTACCTTCTTAGATGACTTAGAACCAGAAGAATGACTTTGTTGTAAATGCGATCTTATTCTTAATCGTAGAAACTCGATATCTCAATAATCTGATTGTATTAAGAAAGTACCGTCCCGCCGAGCGCACACTTAGACTTGATGCGCAATGGACATATTTGACCACTGAGAGTGCGTGAACACTGCTGCATGTGAAGAATCCGTGGACGCTAAGTGCTGAGCCACACCTGACGAAGCTTCGGATGCTCAATGCGGATCCGCACATGGATGTCTGCAAGACGCTCAATCGAGATCCCATTCTGACTGTTTCCCTAACGCTGAACGTTGTTCCAGCCTGGATAGCTGCACCCACAGAAGCGCAAGTGCCGAAGCGAGCAACGCCAGCTGCGCTGACTGAGGAGCCAAGTCTTGTGAAAGCGCGGATAGAGATCGTGCTGCCCAGTTGGAACGTGTCCAGGACCGAAGCACGGCTGCCTAAGCGACTAGTGCATCGGATGCTGAGCGACGATCCAAGACTGGCAAACTCGACCACCGAAACTTGCTTCGGAAGACGGACTGCACCACGAACAGACAAGGTAGAGCCGAACTGTAGTTTTTTTATTGGTGCGATGGAGTTGGTTGTTGACCACATGCGCTTGTCTAGAGTTCTAGTACTGATAAGTAGTTAGATGAAATTCAAATTGCTTGTTGCTGTTGAGTTGCAATTGGAACACCGATAAGATGATGATTCTGTTTGAGAAGGTAGAACTAGTATCGCTAGAAGAACGAAGTAGAAACAAAGTCAACAAGAAATGTATGTATCTATATTTATAATAAGCAAAAAGTACGTGTGCGTATGAAAGCGCACTGATGGATCCGGCGAGTCTGGTAGTGGATCGAACCGAGCATGTGGAACCCAAGGTTAGGAAGTCCAACACGCTGGCTCTGCTACCGCATCTTGAGACGTTTCGGATCGACAATGAGCTTCCCAATTGGATGTAGCTGACGATACTCATCTGCGCCAAGCTGCCGACGCGCGTAAGCCCGGCCACAGACACTGTGGAGCCTAAACGCATGAAGGCGCGCAAGGAGACAGTGGAACCAAGTTGTAAGATCTCGAGGACGGAAGCGCGGCTGCCGATGCGCATGGTGTTGCGCACGCTGAGAGAGCTGCCGAGAGCCATGCTGCCGAAGATGGACAAGTCCTGTCCAACACGGTTACCAGTGGCCTGTAGCGACAAAGTGCTGCCGAGTCTGACGAAGGCGCGAACCGAGACCGTGCTGCCTAGAGTGAAGCATTCAAGCACGGATGCGCGGCTGCCGCAACGATGGACACTGCGTACCGACAATGAGCTGCCCAAGCTGAAGTAGCTGAGCACGCTGACGCGGCTGCCGCAACGAGTAGCGCTGCGCAACGAAAGCGAGCTTCCGATGTTCACGAGGTCGATGACGGAGATGGCCTTAGCGAACTTGCCTATTCCACGAACACTGAGACTGCTTCCAATGCTGAGGTAATCCACAACGGAGCACGTAGATGCCAATTTCGTAGTGCTGCGCACACTCAAACTGCTACCGCACTGCGCGAAGCTGACAATGCTGAGGCAACTGCCAAACCTGGCGAAGCCACGAGTGCTCAAACTGCTTCCGATGGTCCAAGCGTTCAAGACGCTGACCTTGGTGGCCACGTTCAAGCTACCTGCGACGGAGCACGTACTGCCGAAGCGCACAGCGTTACGCAAGGAGAAGCTGCTTCCCATCTGCATGAAATCCAGGACCGAAGCGCGGCTGCCGATTCTAAGCGCCGCACGAATAGACAATCCGCTGCCCATATGAGTGTAACTGAGGCAACTCAGCTTTCCACCAGTGCTGACGCGAGAGCGCAAGCTCAAAGTGCTGCCAAGTGTAATCTCGTTCATGACACTCAAGTGGCCGCCAAACTTGGTATCAGCGTAGACGCTGAGTCTGGAGCCAAGTCGTGACATGGCGCGAACACTCACGCTGCTGCCTAGGGTGAGGAAGTCGAGCACGGAGGCGCGGCTTCCCAAGCGGACGATTCCACGGACGGACAGCGACGACCCCAAGTTCGTCTTGTCGACCACAGACAGACGCTGGACGGATCCAACTGCGGTTACACCGGCTACGGAGATGCTGGAGCCAAGGCGAGTGAACGCGCGCACGGAGCATGAAGAGCCGAGTGCTAACATGTTGAACACGGAGGCGCGGCTGCCAAGACGCGTGTTGCCCTTCACGCTGAGTAGGTCCCCCGTATCTACACGTCCGATCACGCTGAGCATGCCTGCGACGTTGCTGCCACCGGCAACGGACAACGTGCTTCCGACGCGGCAATGTGCGCGAACGGAGATGCTGGAGCCCAAGTTCAGGTAGTCGAGGACGCTCAGTCTGGAACCCAGGCGCGAGGCAGATCGACACGAGATCGAGCTTCCGAGGTTTACAGTTTGAATCACTGAGATGCGGCCACCAATGTTAGCGGCGCCTGCAACCGAAACTCCACTGCCGATGCGCGTGAAGCTGCGGACGGAGATCGTGCTGCCGAGTGCCAAGAACTCGAGCACGCTGGCGCGAGAGCCGGCACGGAGAATACTTCGGACGGAGAGCGACGAGCCGAGATTCAAGTAGTTCAGGATAGAGAGCTGAGATCCAGCACGCACAGAGGCGCGCACAGACATGGTGCTGCCGAAGTGCACGTAGCTCAACAGCGACATCGTGTTGCCGAGCTTCACTGCTCCTGCGGCTGACATGGTCGAGCCCATGCGTGCGAACTGGCGCAAGCTGACGCTGCTGCCCAACTCGAAGAAGCTGATGATACTGGCACGGCTGCCACATCGAAACGTGGAACGCACGCTGAGAGAGGATCCGAGATGCGTGTGATGCACGACCGACACTGTGTGCATGCTGCCGAAGCGCATGTTACCTGCGATCGAGAACGAGCTTCCGATTCTGACAAAGCTGCGCAACGAAATGCTGCTTCCTAGGTTCAAGACATCCAAAACGGATGCACGGCTACCGAGACGCTGAGTGCTGCGCACAGAGCATGCGGAGGCCATGCTAACGAAGCTCAGGATACTCAAGTTGGTGCCCAATCGTACTGAGCTGTTGACGGACAATCCACTGCCGAAGCGAGTGAAGGATCGGAGCGAAATGCCACTAGCGCAAGTGACGTAGTTGAGGACGCTTGCGCGGCTGCCAAAACGCACCGTGGAACGCATGCTCATGCTGCTGCCGATCAGGACGTTCTGCAGGACACTGAGTTTTCCACCCACATCCATAGCGGCATTGACGGAGACGCTGCTGCCCATGCGACTGGCCGAGCGCAGACTGACCGAAGATCCGAGTGCGCACAGGTTGAAGATGCTCATGCGAGAGCCGAGGCGGCCAGTAGATCGGACAGACAAGGAGCTGCCCAGAGCGACTTGCTGGATCACTGAGAGCTTCAAGCAACTTCCCAGAGCTGTGAGGCCGCAGACGGACACACTGCTTCCGGCACGGGCCAGAGCACGGACCGAAATCGTGGAGCCAAGGTGCAAGAAAGACAGGACGCTCGCGCGGCTGCCGATTCTGCATGTTGCGCGGATTGAGAGCGAGCTGCCCAAGTGCGTTTGCTCGAGCACAGACATCTTCTCCCCGACACCCGGAATGGCGCCGTAGAGCGAAATTCCGCTTCCGAATCGCATAGCCGCGCGCAGAGAGAGCGTGGAGCCCAGGTGCAGTTGGTTCAGCACGCTGCAGCGGCTGCCCATGGTGGCACGGCAGCGCACGCTCAACGAGCTGCCGAGGTGCACGGCTTGGATGACGGAGAGGTCTTGACCGACGCGTCCACTAGACAACACCGAAATACTGCTGCCGATGCGCAGAGTCTGACGAACAGAGATCGTAGAGCCCAAGTTCAAGAAGTCCAGCACGCTGGCACGCTTGCCCATGCGACTAACAGAACGCACAGAGAGGCTGGAGCCCATGTGCGTGTGTGCGATCACGGACAAATTGTTCACGCTGCCGAAGGCGCAGAGACCAATGACGGATGCGGAGCTGCCGAGGCGTACTGCTGCACGCAATGACATGCTGCTGCCGAGCTCGAAGAACTGCAAGATGCTGGCGCGGCTGCCGCAGCGCACGAAGCCACGCACCGACAAGCTGCTGCCAACGGTTGCCAAGGTGGCGACCGAGAGTGCTCCCTGCAAGACGTGTTCACCCGTACCCGCAACTGAGAAGCCGGATCCGAACCGAGAGAAGGCCCGGAGACTGACTGAGCTGCCCAACTGCACGAAGTGGAGAACGCTAGCGCGGCTTCCACAACGAACGAGCGAGCGCACAGAAAGCGAGCTGCCCAGGTTCGTTACTGCGGACACCGAAATCTCGCTGCCCAAGCGTGCCTTGTCAACGACAGACAAGCTGCTGCCGAAGCGCATGAAGCTGCGGAGCGACAGCGAGCTTCCCATTTGTGTGAACGTCAATACCGACAAACTTCCGCTGAATCTGCTGGTAGAACGCACGGAAAGGCTGCTTCCGAGCTCCGCATGCGACAGGATCGACGCACGGCCCATCAGAATGCCGTCTCCGGCAACGCTGCACGAGGAACCGAAGCGCGCTAACTGTCGCAAACTGATGCTGCTGCCCAACTCCAAGAAGCTGAGGACACTAGCGCGAGATCCCAGGCGCCCGGCGCTACGGATCGAGAGCGACGAACCGAGGTTCACACGCTCAATGACCGAAGCGTTCATGACGGAGCCGCACGCGAGCAAGCCCTTCACGCTGCAGGCCAAGCCAACGCGCACGTACGAGCGCGTGGAGACCGAGCTGCCGATGTTCATGAAGTCGAGCACAGACATACGGCTGCCGACGCGAGCTGCATGACGGATACTCAAAGACGATCCAACGTTGGTGTACTGCACCAAACTCAAGTTCTGGCCGATACGAGCGCTAGAGACAACACTCAGGCTGCTTCCCAGTCGTGTGAAGGAACGCAAGGACATGCTGCTTCCGAGATGCACGAAGGAGAGTGCCGAGCAACGGCTACCGAATCTTGCGAAGTCGCGGACGCTCATGCTCGAGGACAGCGCAATCGCGTCTAGCACAGAGAGGCTCGAGCCCACGCGAGTGAAGCTGCGAACGCTTAATGTGCTGCCGAGCTGCACGGCATCCAAGATCGAGCATCGGCTGCCAGCGCGCAATGCGCCTGTAACTGAAAGTCCAGAGCCCATGCGCGAGAAGGCGCGGATCGAGACTGTGGAGCCCAGATCAGAGAAGCTTAGGACGCTCATGCGAGAACCGCAACGAGCCGTAGAACGGACGCTGCAGCTGCTGCCGAGTTGCAGGTGGTCGATGACGCTGAGACGATCTCCGAGCTTGAAGGCGCTGCGCACCGACAGGGAGCTGCCGCAGTGCGCGTGGCTGAGTACGCTGATGGAGTCGCTCAATCGAGCAACGCCCAAAACGGACACGCCACTGCCGAACCGCGTGGCCGCACGCAAACTGATGGTGCTTCCGAGCTGGAGCATGTCGAGGACGCTGGCGCGGCTGCCCAGGCGGCTGACGGAGCGCACTGACAAGCTGCTTCCGACATGCGCACGGCTGAGGACGGACAGGTCCTTGCCGAGGCGGCATTTGCTCGTGACGCTCATGGCGCTGCCGAGACGGGTGAAGGAACGCAAACTGAAGGACGATCCCAGATGGTGCGCCTCCAGCACGCTCAAAGCAGAGCCCAATCTAGAGTGGCTGCGCAAGCTCAAAGTGCTGCCCAAGTTCGTGTACTGCACGATGGAGAGCTTCTGCAAAGAGGAGATGTTCACGATTCCGTGGATCGACACGCTGCTGCCCATGCGCACGAAGGCACGCAGGGAAACGCTGCTACCCAAAGCTATAACGTCCAAGACAGACGCGCGCGAGCCCATTCTGGACACACTGCGCACCGACAAGGAGCTGCCGAGGTTGACCAAGTTCGCCACGGAGCACTGCTCTGCCATTCGCATGCTAGCGGCGACGGAGAGACCGGAGCCGAGGCGTGCGAAGTTGCGCAAAGAGAGTGACGACGCCATGTTGATGTAGGTAACCACAGACAACTTGGCGACAGAGCCGAGTTCCACCACTCCGCGGACGGACAGAGTGCTGCCCAGACGCACGAAGCTGCGCATCGACAGGCTGCTTCCGATGTTCACTAAGTTCAGTACGGATCCGCGAGATCCAAATCGAGCAAAGCTCTTCACCGTCAGCGTAGTTCCTACCTGACACGCATCCTTGACGGACAAGCCGACACCGACGTTCAAGCCGTCCCTCACGGAGAGCGAGCTGCCGAGACGGCTCATGGCACGCAAGCTGATCGAGCTGCCTAGGTTGAGGAAGTCGAGCACGGAGGCTCGGCTGCCGCATCGGCTGTACCCACGTACGGAGAGCGAGCTACCGCAATGCGCCTGTTGTACCAGAGACAGAGACTCACCTAGGCGAGCGCCCTTGAGCACCGAGACCGAAGAGCCCATACGCGAGTACTGACGAATAGACAAACTGCTGCCGACATTGAGGAACTGTGCCATGCTCAGGGAGCTTCCGAATCGTCCGAAGCATCGCATGCTCAAGCTGCTTCCGAGCGCAGCGGAATCTAGAACTGAGAGTCTGGGGAGGTTGACGCCGCCAGCCCCAACCGACAAGGATGAACCCATGCGAGACATGCTGCGCAACGAAATGCTGCTGCCCAACTGCAAGAACTCAAGCACCGAAGCGCGGCTGCCGCAGCTGACGATGCTACGAACGGAAAGTGAGGAACCCAATTGTGCGAAGCTCAAAACGCTCAGTCGCTGGCCGACCTGCGCGTTGCCGTAGGCGCTGACGCTGGAGCCGAATCGAATGACGCTGCGGAGCGAAACGGAGGATCCGATAGCCACGTAGTTGAGCACAGAGCAGGTGGAACCGAAGCGTGCGAAGCTGCGCACGCTGAAGCTGCTTCCCAGGTGTGCCCAGCAGATGACGCTCATCTTCTGTACGGAGCCCACCGCCGTCAAGCCGTGGACGCTCACCGAAGAGCCGAGTCGCGAGAACGAGCGCAACGAAGCGGAGCTGCCCAAGTGGCAGAGATCCAAGACCGACATTCTGCTGCCCGCACGCATGTGACTGCGCAGAGACAAAGAGGATCCGCACCTCACCTGATCGACGATCGATAAGGAGCTAGAGCCACCCATCTTTCCGACAATCGAGAGGCCACTGCCGAAGCGAGCGACCTGACGGACGCTGATGCTGCTTCCCAAGTTCAAGAAGCTCAAGACGCTAGCACGGCTTCCGATTCTGGCAACCGAACGGACGGACAAGGAGCTGCCCAGTTCCGTCTGGTCTAAAACTGAGATGCGCGTTGCGAGCGACACGTGCGTTCCTTGCACGGACAAGGACGATCCGAAGCGTGCGAAGCTGCGTACTGAAGTGGAGCTGCCGAGCATGACGAAGTCCAAGACGGACAGCTTGGCGCCGAACCGAGTGAACGACCGGATCGAGCAGGAACTAGACATGTGGACGAAGTCCAATGCGCTGACGTTCGTACCCGCACGGAACTTCGGACCCGCAACCGAGCACGAAGACCCTAAGCGGATGAACTGACGCAAGCTCATCGTGGAGCCGAGCTGCAAAACATCCAACAGTGAAGCGCGCGAGCCGAGGCGGCCGATGCCACGCACGGAGAGCGAGCTGCCAAGGTGCACTTGGCTCATGATGCTGAGGTCAGAGCCCAAGTCGAACGCGCTAGTAACGGACAAGCCACTGCCGAAGCGCATGAACGATCTGAGCGAAAGGCCAGATCCGATGCTAGCGAAGGTCAAGACCGACAAATTGGAGCCGAAGCGCACGATGCTGCGCACCGAGAGCGAGCTTCCGCAGAGTGCTGCGTTGATCACGCTGACGTTGTGGAGCGATCCAACCCGGGTGAGGCCAAGGACGCTCACTGTGGAGCCCAATCGCATGAAGCTTCGCAAGGACATTCCGCTGCCGCAATCGACAAACTGCAAAATGCTGATGCACTTGCCGAACTTCGCCACACTGCGAAGGCTCATGGAGCTACCGACGTTGGCGTAGTCGAGAACGCTGATCGCCTTTCCGGTCCGCATCACTGAGCGCACAGAGCAGCTGCTGCCCAAGGCCATCATGTTGAAGACGGAGACGCGATCACCGAAGCGCGAGTGAGCGCGAACCGACAAGCTGCTACCGCAGTGTTGCTGGCTGATGATGGACAACTGGCAACCCAACCTGGTAGTTTCCGTAACCGACAGTCCGCTGCCCAAACGCATGAAGCTGCGCAACGAGAGGCCGGAACCGATGGTGACGACGTCCAGGACACTCAGGTTCTTTCCGAACTTCGTGAAGCTGCGGATGGAGAGTGAAGAGCCCATGTTAACCTGGTTCAAGACCGAGCATTCCGCACCGGCGGAGAGAGCTCCGAGTACCGAGCAACTGGAGCCGAGACGCGAGACTGCACGCATGCTCACGCTGGATCCCAACTCGAGGAAGCTGAAGACCGACACGCGGCTGCCACAGCGAGAGACGCTGCGCACCGACAACGACGAGCCCAAGTTGATCTTGTCGATCACGGAGAGCTGGTAGACCGATCCTGCAGCAAACAAGCCGCGAGCGGACACGCTGGTCGAGACGCGAACGAAGCTGCGGATGGACGCGGAACTTCCAAAGTCCACGAAGCTGAGGACGCTGCATCGGCTACCGATCTTGCCAGATGCGCGAACGCTCAAGCTGCTGCCGAGCTGCAAGTAGCCGAGCACCGAGGCGCACGACGAGACGCGAGTCACGCTGCGCACACTCAAACTGCTGCCCAAGCTCGAGTAGTTCAAAACCGACATTCGGCTGCCAAAGCGAGCGCTGCATCGCACACTCAAGCTGCTGCCCAAGTGAGCCTGGTCCAAGGCACTCACGGATCCGCCCGTTCGGAAGCAGCCGAGGACGGACAAGCTCGATCCGCACCTCGTGAACGCGCGCGTCGAGAGCGAGCTGCCGATCACCGCGTAGTTGAGCACAGACAGGCTCTCGCCGAACCGGGCAAAGCTGCGCACACTGCACGAGCTGCCGATGTTGGTGTGGTTGATCACGGACAGGTCTCCGCTGAATCGGAACTTGCCGGCGACACTGCAATAAGAACCGCACCTCAAGAAGCTGCGCACCGAAATAGCGCTGCCAACCTGCATAAAGTCCAAAACTGACATGCGCTTTCCGACGCGAGCGCTGTTGCGCACAGAGAGCGAAGAGCCGAGGTTTACCTGCATCATGATGGAAACGCTGTCTTGCAACACTGCGCTCTTGGCCACAGACATGCTGGAGCCAACACGCAAGAAGTTGCGCAAGCTGGTGCTAGATCCGATCTGCGCATAGTTGAGCACGGAAAGCTTGTCACCGAACCGAGCAAACGAGCGGATCGACAAACTGGAGCTCAAGTGCACGCTTCCCAACACGGAGAAGCGAGTGCGCAGTTGTGCGCTAGTTCCCGCCACCGAGAGCGACGAGCCGATGTTGGCGCAGTTGCGCACACTCAAGCTGCTGCCCAAGTGTAAGAAGCTGAACACACTAGCCCTGCTGCCGAGACGCTGTGTCGCACGCACGCTCAAGCTAGATCCCAGAGCAGCTTGCTGGATCACCGACAGCCTCAAGCAGCTTCCGACCGCGCCGAGACCGGCGGCGGAGATGCCACTTCCGATACGAGTGAAGGAACGGACGCTGACGGAGCTGCCAATCTTCAAGAAGTCGATAATGCTGAGTCTAGAACCAATCTTGCTGGCGTTGCGCACGCTGAGGCTAGAGCCTATGCCCACGTAGTCCAGGACGCTCATCGTTGCCGACATGCGAGCGGAGGCACGCAAGCTCAGACTGCTGCCCAACTGCAAAGTGTCGAGGATGCTGCATCGCGCACCCATGCGTGAAGCGTAGCGCACTGACAGACTGGAACCCAAGCTTGTGTGGTCGATCACAGACAAAGTCTGGATGCTGCCAACGGCGCACAGACCGATGACAGAGACGCCGCTACCGCAACGTGCGAAGCTGCGCACGGAAACGGAGCTTCCGAGGTGGAAGAACTCCAAGACGCTAGCGCGGCTTCCGCAGCGAGCTGCCGCACGCACCGACAGCGAACTTCCGAGGTGGAAGAAGCTGAAGACTGATGCGTTTGCTCCGGTACGGACCGTGGCACGGAGAGACACGGAGCTGCCGCACTGTGTGTAGTCCAAGACCGAAAGGTTCGAGCCGACGCGTGCGAAGTTGCGCAATGAAATGCTGCTTGCCAAGCCTACGAAACCGAGAACGGACACGCGACCGGCCAAGACGTTGTACTGTCCACTGGATGCTTCACAAGAGAGCGTTGATCCCAATCGCACGAAGTTGCGAACAGACAGGCCACTTCCCAGGTTGAGCATATCCACGACCGAGGCGCGGCCGCCGAATCGCGAGAAGCTGCGGACGGAGAGCGAGCTGCCGAGGTTGGCGCAGTCGAGAGCGGAGATTCTGCTTCCAGCGCGCAGCTCGTTGTAGACGCTGAGTCCGCTGCCGAATCGCACGAAGGATCGCAGCGACAAGCCACTGCCCATGGTCACGAACTCAACTACACTTAGGTTCTTGCCGAAGCGTGCGAAGGATCGCACCGACAGAGAAGAACCAATGTGTGCCTGGTCGATAACCGAGGTGCGCAGGCAGCTGCTCAGGTACGTGACGCCACGTACCGAAACCGTAGATCCGATACGCGAGAACGCTCTGAGCGAAAGCGCAGATCCGTAAGCCGCAAAGTTGAGTGCGGACACCTTGGCACCCATACGCGACGCCGCACGCAACGAAATCGACGATCCGAAGCTAATAGAATCGACAACCGACAAGTTGCTGCCGAAGCATCCGTAGGAACGCATCGACAAAGAGCTGCCCAAGTTGGTGAACTGCAAGATGCTGCATTTGCCACTCAAGTTGGCCGTCTCTAGGACAGAGAGTCCGGATCCGACACGTACGAAGCTGCGTAGACTCACCGAGCTGCCCAACTGCATCGTGTCAAAGATGCTGACGCGCTTTCCGAAGCGGCTGATGCTACGCACAGACAACGAGCTGCCGCAGTGGACCTGGCTCATGATGCTCAAGTCGCTGCCCAGAGTTGCTGTCGCGGTCAAGGACAAGGAGCTGCCGAACCGAGCGAAGGACCTGAGAGACAAGGAGCTTCCCAAGTCAATCGTGCTCAAAGCGCTCAAGCGGCTTCCGAACCGTGCGATATTGCGCAAAGAGAGAGTCGAGCCAATGTTGACGCTGTTGATCACGCTAAGTGCAAGGCAGCTTCCACAGGCGGCCAAACCGGCAACCGAGAAGGTGCTGCCAACGCGCACGTAGCTGCGCACAGACAGAGAAGATCCGACGTTGACGAAGTCAATAACGGACACGGCACTGCCGCATCGCACGAACGATCGCATGGAGAGCGAAGATCCAAGTTGGGAGAACGACAACATGCTGCACACGCTGCCGATCTTCACGTTGCTACGCACAGAAAGCGAGCTTCCCAGGTTCATGTAGTCCAAAACCGAAGCGCGAGAGCCGAAGCGCGAGACGTTGCGGACGGACAGCGAAGATCCCAGGTTCACGCAGTTGATCACCGAGGCCTTTAAGCAGGACCCGAACGCGGCAAGGCCAATGACGCTCATCGAGCTTCCGACGCGGACTGCTGCGCGCATCGAGATCGACGATCCGAGATACAGCATGTTGAGGACTGAAGCACGGCTTCCCAAGCGCGAAATTGATCGTACCGAAACAGAGCTGCCGAGAGCGCACATGTCGAACACGCTCATGCGTCCACCGAGGCGGGCCGCACTGCGCATGCTCATGCTGCTACCGCAGCTGACGTAGTTAAGGACACTGAGCTGGTTTCCAAGACGTGCGAAGGAGCGAATCGAGCAGCTGCTGCTGACCGTGGTCTGTTCGAGCACGGAAAGTTTGAGCACGCTGCCCAAGGAGACAATGCCAACGACGCTCATCGACGAACCAATGCGTGCGAAGCTGCGCATACTAATGCTGCTTCCACCAAAGACGAAGTCTAAGACGCTCATCTGCGCACCGATGCGAGCAAAGTTGCGCATCGAGAGGGAAGAGCCGACCGTGATGCTGTCCAGCACCGAGGCTGCTGCACCGCAGCGCGATACTGAGCGCACGGACAAGCTGCTGCCCAAGTGCAGGTACTCCATCACGCTGGAGTGGCGCGACAATCGCGTCGTCGAACGCACACTGAGGCTACTGCCCAAGTGCGCGGACTGGATGACGGAGATGCTAGCACCACATTGCGTATGACTGAGAACCGACAATCCGCTGCCGAGACGCGAGAATGCGCGGAGCGAAATCGAGCTGCCGACCGTAGCGAAGCTGAGCACGCTCAAAGCGGAGCCGAAGCGTGCAGTGCTACGCAAGGACAAGCTAGAGCCGCATTGTGCGAAGCTCAAAACGGACATCTTCTCTCCGAAGTTGGCACGGCCCTTCACGCTGCAGCTGCTGCCGACGCGGACGAACTGACGCAGGGACAGAGACGAGCTAATCGTCACGAAGTCCAGGACCGAGGCTGCGGAGCTGAACCGAGCGGTGGATCGGAGAGATACGGAACTAGCCAAATGCACGAAGTTGATGACACTCAGCTGGAAGACGCTGCTGCAAGCGCACAGACCAAGTGCCGAGAAGCTGCTGCCCACGCGAAGGTAAGAGCGGCAACTAACGCTGGATCCGATGTGCACCTGATCGAGGACGGAGACGTTGGCGCCGAAGCGGCCCAGGGAGCGCAGAGACAAGCTGCTGCCCAGTCGCAAGCAGTCGAGCAGCGACAAGCGCGATCCGCATCGTAGGTTGGCGCGGACCGACAATGAGCTGCCGAGTGCGCACGTGTCAAGGACACTGGCACGCGAAGACGCCCTGACCATGCTGCGGACAGACAAGGAACTACCCAAGTTTGCTTGTTGCAAGATGGAGATCTTGCCTCCGGACACGAAGCTCTGGTAGAGAGACATGCTGCTGCCTACGCGCAGGAAGTTGCGCACAGAGAGAGCAGAGCCGATGTCGACCATGTCGACGACCGACATGCGAGATCCGAGTCTGGTGGTAGAGCGGACTGACAAATCCGCACCGATGGAGCAAGCGTTCAAGATCGACATCGCACCGCCAGTGCGGACCCGACCGCACACGGAGAGCGAGCTGCCGAAGCGCGCGAAGTCACGCAAACTAATGGTGCTGCCCAACTGCAGGAAGTCCAAGACGCTGGCTCGCGATCCTAGACGGACAGCGTTTCTCACCGAAAGCGAGCTGCCCAAGTACGTGTACTCGATCACGGAGGCAGAGCCGCCGATGCGAGTGTCGCTGAGCACGGAGCATCCGCTGCCGAGACGCAAGAACTGACGGAGACTCAAGCTGCTGCCAAGGTGAACGGAATCCAAAACGGAAACCATTTTGCTGAACCGACTGGTGCTTCGCAACGAGAGGCTAGAGCCGATGTTCACGAAGCTGACGACCGAGGCGCTGTCGCCGAAGCGTGCGACGCCCGAGGCCGAAAGTCCGCTGCCCAAGCGCGCGAAGTTGCGCAAAGAGCAAGAGCTGCCGATTGTTGTGAAGGAAAGCATCGAGAGTGCGGAGCCGAAGCGCGAGAAGCTGCGCATCGAGAGCGAGCTTCCGATGTTCACGTGCTGCACAACCGAGAGCCTGAACACACTGGAGATGCGGATCACACCAGCAACGCTGCAGGAGCTGCCGAGTCTGGCGAAGGAACGCAGACTGACGCTGCTGCCCAAGGTGAGGCAGTCGAGCACGGAGGCTCGAGAACCGAAGCGCGTCATCGCACGCACACTCAAAGAACTGCCCATATTGAGCATGTCCACGATGGAGGCTTGCTGTCCGCACCGACTAGCGTGGCGGACCGACAAGCTGCTACCCAACTGGCAGAAGCTGAGAACGGACAAGTTCTGGCCCAAGCGGGAGAACGCACGAATGCTCAAGCTGCTGCCCACGTCCACTTGGTTGATCACCGACAACTTCAACACGCTTCCGAGAGCGCTTAATCCGATGACGCTCAAGCTGCTGCCCAAGCGCACGAAGGAACGCAGACTCTGCGTCGAAGCGAAGCTGACGTAGCTCAGGACGGACAAAGCAGATCCGAATTTAGCCTGCGATCGGAGACTTAGGCTGCTGCCGATGTTCACGTACTCGAGAGTGGACAGAGCGCTGCCGAGGCGCGCCATGCTGCGCATGGAGCACGAGCTGGAAACCGTTGCGAAGCTGAGCACACTCAAGTTTCCGCTGATGCGGCAGTTGTTGCGGAGAGACAACGAACTGGCCATGGACACGAAGTTCAACACTGAGCATCGGTCTCCGAATCGAGCGTCCCCAGTCAAGGAAAAGTTGCTGCCGAGGCGGATGAAGGCGCGAGTCGAGAGCGTGGAGCCCAAGGACAAGAAGTCAGTCACAGAAACCTTTCCACCCATGCGGGCAGTGGAACGAACGGAACACGAGCTGCCAAGCGCCGTACATTGGAGGACCGACAGATCAGATGCGATCGTGACCTTCTTGTACACGCTGAGTCCGGACCCGAGACGAGCTGCGCACCGAATAGACAAAGCGCTTCCCAAGGCCATCATGTTGAAGACGGACAGGCTAGAACCGCATCGCAACGAGCTGCGCACGGACAAGGACGATCCCAGTCCAACGCAGTTGATCACGGACAGTTCATAGCAGCTGCCCAATGCGTTGCGTCCCGCGATGCTCAAGTTGCTGCCGAGTCGCACGAATGCGCGGACTGAGAGACCGCTGCCCATATGAGCGAAGTTCAAAACTGACATGCAGCTACCGAAGCGGCTGACGCTGCGCACCGAAAGCGAGCTTCCCAGTGCCAGGGTATCCAACACTGACATGCGAGCACCAGTGCGGAACGTGGATCGCACACTCAGAGTGCTGCCGACGTGTGAGTAGTCTAGCACGGAGATCAAACCGCCTATGGAGGTCTTGTCACCGGCCACCGACAGGGAGCTGCCCATACGCGAGAAGCTGCGCAGAGAGAAGCTGCTGCCAAGTTCGATGAAGCTCAGTGCCGACAACCGATCTCCGAATCGAGCGAAGGAACGGAGCGACAAACTGCTTCCGACGTGGAGTTCCTGCATCACGGACAAGTCAGCACCGCACTTTGCGCTGCCCATGCAGGACAGGCCGCTGCTCAAGCGAGCGAAGGAGCGCAGAGAAGCGCTGCTTCCCATCGCCGTGTAATCCAAGACAGTCAGGCAAGAGCCGAATCTTGCGGCGCTACGCAGCGAGAGCGAGGAGCCCAAGTGCGTGTAGCGGATCACGCTCAAGGCGAACGTGGATCCGGTTCGGCAGAGACCGCAGATCGACAAGCTGCTGCCGCATCGTACGAAGGAACGCAGACTCAACGAAGATCCGACTTCAGATTGCTCCAAGACGCTGAGACGTGAGCCGAAGCGAGCGAAGCTGCGCACGGACATGGTGGCGCCCAACGCTAGTTGATCCAAGACGGACATGCGCGAGCTCACCTGCATATGAGATCGTACACTCAAAGAGCTTCCCAAGTGCAAGAAGTTGAGAACCGACATACGAGAGCCGCATCGCGATACGCTGCGGACACTCAAGCTGGATCCCAAATTCGTGTGCTCGATCACGGACAGCTTCAAGCAACTACCGATGGATGCAAAGCCGATGACGCTGATGCCAGAACCCGTTCGGACGAAAGATCGCACACTGATGCTGCTACCGAGGTTCAAGCAGTCCAGGACGCTCATTCGCGAACCGGCACGGCAGAGCGAGCGAACGCTGAGTGACGACCCCATCTGCGCGAAGTGACACACGCTAGCGAAGGAGCCGCATCGCACAAAGCTTCGGACAGAAACCGAGCTGCCGAACTGCATGAAGCTGATCACCGAGAGCGAGTCTCCGAAGCGGACAAACGAGCGCACGGAAAGTCCAGAGCCCAGGGTTGTTTGCGAGATCACGCTGATCTGCAAGCAACTTCCGACAGACGTGAGGCCAGACACGGACATCGAGCTTCCGAGTCTCGTGTAAGCGCGCAGACTGCATGTGCTGCCGATGTGAGCGAAGTTGAGAACGGACATGGCGGAGCCGAAGCGTGCAAACGAGCGCATGCTCAAAGCAGATCCCATATGTGCGAAACTCATTACGCTAACCTTATCTCCGACACGCAAGAAGCTGCGCATCGAAATGCTGCTTCCGAAGGTCGCGAAATTGGCGATCGACATCGACGCACCTGCACGAAGATGCGAGCGCAAGGAGACAGAGCTTCCGAGCGCTAGGTAGGACAGGACAGAGAGACGTCCGCCGACGGTGAAGGCCTCAGAGCCAGTGCCAATTGAGAGTCCACTGCCAATGCGCATGAAGGCGCGCAGCGAAATGCTGCTTCCGCATGTCGAGTAGTTCAGAACGCTCAGAGCGCTGCCGAACCGAGCGAACGCGCGCGTCGACAGAGCGCTGCCCAAAGCAACGTGGCCCAACACGCTGAGTTCGTGACCCAGGTACACCTTCTTGTTCACGCTCATGCTGCTTCCCAGACGTCCGAAGGCACGCACCGAAACGGAGCTGCCGAAGTGCACGTAGTCGAGCACCGAGAGCATGGAGCCGAAGCGAGCGAAACTGCGCAAAGACAGAGTGCTCGCGACGTCCACAGTCGACATTACGGACATTCTAGTGATGCTGCCACAAGCGACAACGCCGAAGACGCTGACGCTGCTGCCAATGCGCGAGAATTGACGGATGGACATGGCACTGCCAATGGCGGAACAAGCCAACACGGAGACGGCTGCTCCACAACGAGCATGAGAACGCAAGCTCAAGGAGCTGCCCAAGGCAAGGCAATCCAAGACGGAGGTCTTGGAGCTCATTCTGGAGAAGCTACGCAAACTGCAGTTCTTGCCGAGTTCCAGGTTGTCCAGAACTGACATGCGAGAGCCGATGCGGAGCGTGTTGCGGACGCTCAAGGAGCTTCCCAAATTGAGAGTAGCCAGAATTGAGAACTTGCCACCGACGCGTGCATGCGAACGCACACTCAGAGTGGAGCCAAGGTTGACAAAGTCCAGACCGCTCAAGTTAGCCCCGAAGCGAGCGAAGTTACGTAGACTCAATGCGCTTCCCATGTGCGCTTGTCCGATAATCGACAAGTTAGTCAGAGAGCCGAAGGTTGCCATTCCGGTCACGCTGAAGCTGCTGCCCAAACGAGTGGCTGCACGCAGACTCAAAGTGCTTCCGACCTGCGCGAAGCTGATCACGCTGATGTTCTTGCCGACACGCGCGACGGAACGCACAGAGAGAGTGCTGCCGAGATTCACGTAGTCCAGAAAGGAAGCGAACTTACCGCAGCGTGCATGAGCACGTAGTGAAATGGTGCTGCCGAACTGCGCGAATTCGAGAACACTCAAGTTGGAACCACAAGTGGCCATTCCACGGAGCGAGAAGCTGCTGCCGAGGTGCGCGAGGCCGAGCACGCTCAAGCCGCCGCTTCCCGAGAGACGCAGCTTTCCAGTTATGCTCATTGCACTTCCGACTCGCATGTAGCTGCGCATCGAGAGGGCAGAACCAATCTGCATGAAATCCAGAACCGAGGCTCTGGAGCCCATGCGAGCGATGCCACGAAGACTCAGGCTAGAGGACAGGTTCATCTGGCAGAAGACGGACAATCGGCCCATCATGTTGGTATTTCCTAGCACCGACAAGCTGCTCCCCAGACGTACTGTGTCGCGGATCGACAATGATGAGCCGACAGCAATGAAGTTCAAGGTGCTAATGCTGTTGCCGCAGCGAGCGGACGAACGTAAGCTGATGGCGCTGCCCAGATGCACGAAGTTGATCACCGACAGCTTGTCACCCGCGCGCAAGAAGTTACGCACAGAGCACGAGCTGCCTAGAGCACTGAAGTTCAATGCAGACAGAGCAGAGCCCAAACGAGTGAACGAGCGCACGCTGAAGCTGCTGCCGATCGCGACTTGGTTCATCACGGAGACCTCTAACAAGGAACCAAAGGAGAGGAGACCCACCATGGAGAGTCCGCTGCCCAAGCGAGCGAAGGAGCGCAACGACAGAGTCGATCCGGCGTGTGTGCAGTCAAGAACGGACAAATGCTTGCCGAGGCGAGCGACCGATCGGACGCTCAAAGACGAACCCATGCCCACATAGGAGAGCACAGATAGTGCATCACCGGTTCGTGCAAAGCCGCGTACCGAAAGACTGGAGCCCATATTGGCGAAGTCGAGCATAGACATGTGCTTGCCGATGCGACCGGAGCTGCGAACGGAGAAGGAGCTGCCTAGATGTGCGAACTGCAGAACGGACAGCTTCTTTCCTAAAGTAGCGCTAGAACGCAAGCTCAAGGAGCTGCCCATATGCACGGAGTCCAGCACAGACAGGCGACCGCCCATGGTGGAGTAGTTGCGCACGCTCAAGGCCGATCCCAAGTGTGTGGAGTCGATCACGGAGAGTTGTTGCACGGAACCGAAGCGGACTGCGCCCTCAACGCTCAGTGTGGTAGCGAGACGGACGTGTCCGCGGACGCTGACACTGGATCCGAGCGAGCACAAATCGAAGACGGACAATCGGCTGCCAAAGCGCACGAAGTTACGAACACTCAAGCTGCTGCCCAATCCAGTTGCGTCGAGAACCGAGGTTGCGCCAGCGACGCGGCAAGAGCTGAGCACGCTCATTCCGCTGCCGACACGCATGAAGGCGCGGAGGCTACATGTGCTGCCGATGTTTACGAAGTCAACCACAGACATTGCGCTGCCGAGGCGTGCGAAACTGCGGAGACTCAACGTGCTGCCGCAAGACGCATACTGCAACACGCTGATCGCCTTGACGCTGCCCATGTAGCACAGACCAACTGCGCTGCAGGAGCTGCCCATGCGCATAAAGCTGCGCAGAGACATTGCGCTTCCGAGCAAGCTGAAGTCCTTGACGGACAACTCGGCTCCCAAACGCAAGAAGCTGCGCATCGAGATCGAGCTGCCAATCGAGGCCTGGCAGAGGATACTGATTTCACCACCCATTTCGATGGCCTTGGCGACGCTTAGTCGTGAGCCGAGTCTGACGTAAGCACGTGTGGACAACGAGCTACCGATGTTCACGTAGCTCAGCACCGACAGGCAGGAACCGAAGCGTCCGAAGCTGCGCACAGACAGCGAACTGCCGAGATGCGCGGCGTCCATGACCGAGAGGTTGCGGCCAATACGAGCGCTCTGGCGCATGGACATGGAGCTGCCGAAGCACACGGTCTGCAAGATCGAGAGTTTCTGCACCGAAGAGAGCATGACGAAGCCGTGCACGCTCAATGCGCTGCCGCATCGAACGAAGTTTCTCAGACTCACGCTACTGCCCATGCACGTGAAGTTGAGCACGCTAAGCGCGCTTCCATGACGCAAGTAGCTGCGCACCGAGAAGCTGCTGCCGACGTTTGCTTGCTGGAGAACCGTGAGTTGGTTTCCAGCAAAGCCGCGTCCGAGGACGCTCAAGCTGCTTCCAACTCGCGTGAAGCTGCGCATCGACGTGGAGGAGGCAATCTGGCAGAAGCCAAGGATGCTCACACAGCTTCCGAACCTCGAGAAGGATCGCACGGAGAACGAGCTTCCAAGATGCGTCTTGTCGACCAATGAGATACGTTGCAAGTTTCCGAATCGACCGCCGCCCTTCACTGAAACATTGCTGCCCAAGCGGATAAAGCTGCGTACCGACAGCGTGCTTCCGTAGTGCGCCGCATGGCACACGCTCAAGCGCATGCCAACCTTGCTTACGCTACGGACACTCAAGCTGCTTCCGAAGTGAACGCTGTTCAGCACGGAGCAGAACTTGCCCAATTGCACGAAGGCGCGCACGCTGAAGCTACTGCCCAAGTGAGCGCAGTCGAGCGCGGAGATGTTGGAACCGCATCGAGCGACCGAGCGCAAAGACAGCGAGCTGCCCAACGCGAGTTGGTCGAAGACGCTGATGTGTCCCGACACACGTCCGGTTGCCAAGACGGACAGAGAGCTTCCGAAGCGCATGAAGCTGCGAAGACTGGCGGAGGAACCGACCTGCGCGAACTGCAAGACCGAAATCGCGCTGCCGAAGCGTGCGTAGCTGCGCATGCTCAAGCTGCTGCTCAACGTCACACGCTGGATGATCGATAAGGTCTGGCAGCTACCGAGAGCCGTCAGTCCGCAAACACTCAAGGATGATCCAAGTCTGCTGAAGGATCGCAGCGAAAGCGAGCTGGAGACCACCACGAAGTCAAGAGTGCTCATGGCACTGCCGAATCGCACAAAGGATCGGCAACTGAGACTACTTCCCAAGCGGGCTGCGTCCATCACCGACAAGTCCTTGCCCATGTGCACACGAGATTCGACAGACAAAGTGCTGCCGAACCGTGCGAACGAGCGCATACTGAGGGAGGAACCAAGAACGCCGAATTCCAAAGTAGACAAGGCGCTTCCGAAGCGCGTGAAGGAGCGGCACGAAAGCGCGGATCCCACGCTGGTGAAGTCCAAGACGCTCAAGCAGCTTCCCGCCTTCATCACCGAACGCACGGACAGACTCGAGCCCATGTGCATGTAGTCGAAGGTGCTCATCATCGACCCGAACCTGACAAAACTGCGCACCGAGAGGCTGGAGCCCAGGTGGCCAGCGTCGATCACGGAGCACTTGCCGCGCTGACGGAGAGTGCCGAAGATCGAGCATCCGGAGCCGATACGAGCGAACTTGCGCAACGAGCAGCTGCTGCCGATAACCACGTGGTCCAAAACCGATAGTCTAGATCCCATTCTGGCCTGGCTGCGCAGACTCAAGCTGCTGCCCATAGTGGAGATGTGCATGATGGACAACTGCATAGCGCTGCCGACGCGCACGACACCCTCAACGGACAGAGTGGATCCGACACGGAAGAAGGATCGCAGACTGAGTGCAGAGCCCAGGTGTGCAAAGCGCATGATCGAGATGTTGGAGCCGAAGCGTGCGGTAGAGCGCAAACTCAGGCTGCTGCCCAAAGCGACGTGCTGCAGCACGGAGCAGGAGGCGGCGGTTCGTACGCGTCCCATAATGGAAACTGCAGAGCCGATGCGCAAGAACCTGCGCAAGGAAAGCGAAGATCCAAGCATCACGCTGTCGAGAACAGACAGTTGCGACGAGCAACGGATCATGCTACGAAGAGAGACGCTGCTGCCCAGGTTGAGGCAGTCGACCAAGCTCATCTGGTTGCCCAGGCGTACGCAAGAGCGCACAGACAAGGAGCTTCCGAGGTTCTGGTTACCGATAACGGACAATCGCTGCACGGAACCGGCGATGAAGACGCCATGCAGAGAGAGAGAGCTGCCGACACGTGCCGCCTTACGCAAAGACAGTGTGGAGCCCAAGTGCGAAGCGTCGAAGACGCTCAAGTTCTGTCCGAATCGCGTGAAGCTGCGCACAGAAACGCTGGATCCGATCTCTACCTGGCCGAAGACAGACAAAGCGAACAGAGAGCCGAAGAACGTCACCTTAGCGACACTCAAAGAACTGCCCAATCGGACGGCGCTACGGAGCGACAAGCAGGAGCCCAAGCACGTGGCGTCCAAAGCAGAGAGCTGAGAACCGAGACGTGCGAAGGAGCGGACCGATACGGAGCTTCCGAGGGCAACTGAGTCGAGCAAGCTGCAGTGCTGGCCGCAGCGAGCGAAAGATCGCATACTCAACGAGCTTGCGCAGTGCGCGAAGCCGATGATTGACATGGTGTGGGCGGACCCAACACGGAAGAGACCATGGACGGACACACTGCTGCCGATTCGCGTGAAGCTGCGCATCGAGAGCGAGCTGCCGAAGGCCGTCTGGTCGACCAAGGAGATCGCGCTTCCGCAACGACCGAAGCTACGCAAGCTAACGCTGCTGCCGAGTGTGACTACGTCCAACACCGACAGGTTAGAGCCGCATCGGAACAGGGCACGCACTGACAATGAACTGCTGAGGCTGACCTTGTCCAGAATACTGATCGCTCCTCCGACACGCATCGCAGGACCAGTGATGCTCAAGCTGGATCCCAGTCTCACGAAGCTGCGGACCGAAGTCGAGCTGCCAATTGCGACGTAATCCAGCACGGAAAGCGCGCTGCCGAAGCGCGTCATAGAACGTACGCTCAGAGAGCTGCCCATAGTCGCGAAGTTCATGATCGACAGCTGTTCTCCGATGCGCACGAAGCTGCGGACAGACAAAGTGCTGCCCATGAGCACACCCTCTAAAACGCTGCAGTTCTGTCCCATCCTGACCGTGGTGAAGATGGAGCATCCCGATCCGACGCGCACGAAGCTGCGCAAGGAGAAGGAACTGCCAATGTGCGTGTTGTCAACAACGGACAAGCGGCTGCCCAAGCGGCTGAAGCCACGGAGACTCATCGTAGAGCCGAACTGCTGACTATCTAGCACCGATAAACAACCGCTGATGCGGCAGTGTCCGCCATGGACGCTCAAAGAGCTTCCGAGACGCAGGACAGCGCGCAAAGAGCACGCGGAACCCAAAGCCGCACGATCCAAAACGGAGGCCTTGAAGCCGAGGCGGGCGCGTCCGTACACGCTAAGCCCGGAACCGACACGAGCGTAGTTGCGGATACTGCAGGTGGAGCCGAAGCCGCAGAAGTCCAGAATGGACATTGCGGATCCGACACGGCACAAGCTGCGCAAAGACATTGTGCTGCTAAGATGGAAGAAGTCCACAACAGACAATTTTCCTCCCAATCGCGTGAAGCGGCGGACGCTCATCATACTGCCACAGGCAACGGAATCCAAGATCGAAAGCTTAGCCCCAACTCGGAAGTCCCCGACCACGGACATGCTGCTGCTCAGTCGAGCTGCGCTGCGCAATGAGAAGCTGCTTCCAGCGCAGAAGAAGTCGTAGATAGACATGCAGTTGCCGAATCTTGTAAAACTGCGTACGGACAAGGTGCTGCCCAAAGCGACACTGCCCAAGATTGAGGTCGTCATGCCAATGCGAGCTTTTCCCAGAACGCTAACTCCAGAGCCCGTTCGCGAGTACGATCGCACCGACATCGAAGACCCGAGGTCTAGGAAGTTGTAGACACTGCAGGCGCCTCCAACGCGCGAGAAGCTACGGATGGAGAGGCTGGAGCCCAAGTTCACGTACTTCTGAATCGAGACAGATAAGGGCAAGTTGAGCGTTCCGAAGATTTCGAGGCCGCTTCCCATACGCATGTACGATCGCAAAGACATAGTGGATCCGAGCGACACGAAGTCGAAGACGGAGAGCGAGCTGCCGAGGCGCGTGAACTCACGCACGGAGAGGCCGCTGCCAGCCATGACCCAGCTGAAGACAGACAGCTTCGAGCCTGCAAACGTGGTGCCGCGTACCGACAAGTTTGCACCCATCTGCGTCTGCTGTCCAACGGATAAATCATGGACAGATCCGAAGCGCAGGCAACCGAGGACGGAGACCATGCTTCCGACGCGCACGAAGCCACGAATGGACAGTCCGGAGCCAATGCCCAAGTAGTCCATCACGGAGGCGCGCTGTCCCAGACGCGAGAAGGATCGCAAACTGATGCTGCTGCCCAACTCGAGCTCAGACAGGACGCTGAGGGTGGCTCCAACACGGACATTCTCCGCGACGGAGAGCGCGCTGCCGCAGCGAGCGAAGGATCGGAAGGACACGCTGCTGCCTATCTGCGTGAAGTTCAATACGCTGATGCGAGAGCCGAACCTCATCACCGAACGAACAGACAGCGAGGAACCAAACTCGACTTGCTGAATGACCGACAAAGCCAAAGCGGATCCAACGGCGCACATGCCGATCGCGCTGAAGCTGCTGCCTAGCCGCACGAAGGAGCGGATAGACAAGCTGCTGCCCATCTCGGCGCGGTCGATTACGCTCAAGTAGCTGCCGAAGCGAGCGTGGGAGCGGAGCGACAACGAGCTGCCCAAGTGCATGAAGTTGAGCACGGAAACCTTAGCACCGCATTCGCAGGACCCCTGGTGTACGGAGAGCGACGAACCGATGCGTGCGAACGTGCGCAGCGAGAGCGCGGAGCCCAAGTTGAAGGTGTCCAGCACGCTTAACTTGCTGCCGAGGCGCATTTGCGTGCGCACAGACAACGAGCTACCCAACTGCAGCTGATCCAAGAGCGACAGCCGCTTTCCACCAATCTGTGCATGCCCTAAAACTGAGCATCCGGAGCCGACCTTCAAGAAGGAACGCAGCGACAAGGAAGATCCCATGCGGAAGCAGTCCAACAGAGTGATCCGGGATCCGAGGCGAGCTTCGCTGCGCAGAGACAGCGTGCTGCCGATCGTCAGAGCGCAGAGTACAGAGAGCGACTTGCCAATGCGCACGTCGCGCATGATGCTCACACCGGAACCAATGCGTGCGAAGTTGCGCAGGGACATGGTGCTTCCAATCGTGACGTAGTCGACCACGGAGCAGCTGCTTCCGAAGCGAGCAAAGGAGCGTAGAGAAATTGCAGACGCTAAAACGGTGATCTCAACGACTGACAATTTTCGGATGTTCTTGCAAGCCAATGTCGTGTGGCACGAGAGGGAGCTTCCAAGACGCACGAAGCTACGGATCGACAAAGCAGACCCGATGTTGGCGTTCTCCAACAAGCTCAACTTCTGACCTGCACGCAACATGTGACGAACGCTGCAGCTAGATCCTAGAGTCGTGGAGTCCAGGACGCTGAACATGGCACCGAAAAAGCCACGTTTTTCGACAGACAAAGAACTTCCCATACGGATCAGACTTCGGATAGACACTGAGCTTCCAAAGAAGCTCGAGTCCAGAACCGAAAGCCTGTGACCGCACTGCACGCGCTGACGCACGCTCAATGTGCTGCCAAGGATGGCTTGTCCCAAAATCGACAATTTCTGGACGGAACCGCACATGAATAGGCCGTGGACTGAGAGGCTGCTGCCTGTGCGCATGAACTTGCGCAACGAAAGCGTGGAACCATAGAGAGTGCTGTCGAGCACTGACAAGTGCGCTCCGACGCGGAGGTAGCTGCGCAGGGAGACACTGCTACCCAACATGACGTACTCGAGCACGGACATGTTGGAGCCCAATCGGATGTGCGTACGCACGCTGAAGCTGCTGCCCAGGTGTGTAGAATCCAATACGGACAAGTGGCTGCCGATGCGGCAGTAAGAGCGGAGACTCAAAGAGCTACCGACCGTAGCGCATTCCAGAGCAGACAAAACGTTGCCCAATCGCACCTTGCGCATGACCGAGAGACCGGATCCAAGTCTGGCCACCGAGCGGATACTCAAAGTGCTCGCGAACGAGACGTAGTCGAGGATACTCAACGGTCCACCGAACTGGGATCGTGATCGCAAAGACAGAGTGCTGCCGCAGTGCACGAAGCCGATCACGGACAAGGAGAAGACGGATCCGCTCTTAACGAGACCGGTGACGCTGCAAGCGCTGCCCACGCGCAAGTAACTGCGCAAAGAAAGCGTGCTGCCGCACAACGAGAAATCCAAGAGAGACATGGAGCTGCCGAAACGAGCGGTGCTACGCACGCTGAAGTTGCTGCCCAAATGCACGCTGTCCAGGACGGACAGTTTCGAACTAAAGCGAGCGAATGCACGCAGCGAGATGGCGCTGCCACACTGCGCGTAGCTCAACAAAGAGCAGGAGCTGCCCAAGCGGATGTTGCTGCGCACGGAGAAGCTGCTACCGATGGCGACGTAGTTCATGACGCTCATCGCGCTACCCATTCTGCAAGTGGAACGCAAGCTCATACTGCTGGCCAGTGTGTTTGCGCCGATGATGGACAGCTTGAAGCAGCTGCCCAAGTACGTCAGGCCGTGCATGGAGCACGAAGAACCGAGACGCGCGAATTGGCGCAGCGACATGCTGCTGCCGGCCTGCGCGAACGCGAGCACGGATAGCGTGTGACCGCATCTGACCCTGCATCGCAGACTCATACTAGAGGCCATGGTTGTGCATCCGATAACCGACATCACGGCGACGGAACCGAACTGGTTCAAGCCGATCACGCTCAAGCTGCTGCCCATGCGCACAAACTGTCGCACAGACAATGCGCTTCCGATGTTCGCGATCTCGACCATGGACAGCTTGCTGCCAAAGCGGGCGTGGGATCGGAGAGACAGCGAAGAACCGCAGTTCGCGAAACTCAACATGGAGAACTCAGCGCCCATACGAACGAAGGAACGCACAGACACGGAGCTTCCCATAGATGCCATGTCTAAGATAGACAGTGTGTCGCCAAACTTGGTGGCCGCCATGATGCTAGTTCCGCTTCCCACACGCATGTAACTGCGAATGGACAGAGTCGATCCAACAGAAACGTAGTCCAGAGCAGACATTGCGCTGCCCAATCGGCAGAAGCTGCGCACCGACAAGGAGCTGCCGCAGTGAAGCTGGCCGATGACGGACAAGTTCAGGACGGAACCGATCTTGGTCAAGCCCGTTACGCTCATGCTGCTGCCCAAGCGCACATACTTGCGGACGCTGAGAGAAGAGCCGAGTTCGACGAAGCTGAGCGCACTGCAAGCCTGACCAAAGCGCACGACGCCTCTGAGAGAAATGCTGCTTCCGATGTTCATCTGCTCAATGACGGACAAGTCCGTATGCAGGTTCATGCGGCCAAAGACCGACAAGTTGGAGCCGAGGCGAGAGAAAGCGCGGCACGAACAGCTGCTACCGACGTGCACAAAGTCCAAGATAGAAACAGCGGAGCCGAAGCGAGCCATGGCGCGCAACGACATGGAACTACCGATGTGCACGAAGGACAAGACGCTCATGTTGTTGCCGAGGCGAGCGAGTGCACGGACCGAGATAGAGGATCCGAGTTCGATCTGGGACAGAACGGACAATTGTTCTCCCAACTGCACGTTCGAGAACGCACTGCAACTGCTGCCGAAGCGCACATAGCTGCGCAAGCTGATGCTAGACGCGATGTGCGCGAAGTTGAGTACGGAGACGCTGCTGCCAATGCGGATGACGCTGCGGACCGACATGCTGCTGCCCAAGTGCGTAGCATCGAGCACGGAGCACATTGTCGCAACGTTCACACGCTTCAAAACGCTAACCGTAGAGCCGATGCGCATGAAGGTGCGCATAGACATGCCGCTGCCGAAGTGGATGGAGTCAAGCACGGAAACGCTGCTGCCCATGCGAGCGAAGCTACGCAAGCTCATGGAACTACCAAAGTGGCCGGCGCGGATGACGCTCAACTGCTGGCAGGAGCCGATGCGCAACAAACCCGTAATCGACACGCTGCTGCCGCAGCGAGCGTACTGGCGCACTGAAATTGCGCTTCCCAAGTTCACGTAGTCCAGTGCACTAACTGCCGAGCCGACGCGAGCGAAGCTACGAATAGACATGGCAGATCCCATGTGGAAGAAGCTGAAGACAGAGACGTTGGATCCAAGGCGCGCGCGAGCACGGACACTGCAAGACGATCCGAGGTTGACGAAGTCCAGCACACTGCAGGCCGAGCCGAGACGCATGTAGCTGCGGACACTGCACGAAGAGCCCAAAGCAACTTGCTCAAGGACGCTCATCTGTCCACCGAAGCGGGCGTCGCGGTACACGGACATCGCGCTTCCGAGACGCATGATGCCACGAACGGACATCGTGGATCCGAAGTGCGCGTAGTTCAGCACCGACAGGTCGCTGCCGAACCGCACGCACGAGCGCAAGGAAATGCTGCTTCCTAGAGCTACGAAGTCAACCAATGACATAGCGCTTCCTAGACGCGCGATGGAGCGCACAGAGAAGCTGCTTCCAATCTCGAGATAGTCCAAGACGCTCACCTTGCTGCCCATTTGCGCCTTGCTGTTCACGCTCATGGCGGAGCCAACGCGCATGTAATTACGCAATGAGAGCGAACTTCCGCAAGTGGAGAAGTCGAAGACGCTCACCTGGTGCCCGAAGCGTCCGAAGGAACGCACGGACAATGCGCTACCGCAGTGCGCCTGGTGGATCACGGAGAGCTTGAACAAGCTTCCGCACATGAACTTGCCGTGCACAGACAGAGTTGAACCAACACGGCAGTAGTTGCGGATCGACAAGCTGCTTGCGAGGGACACGAAGTCCAGCATGCTCACCTTGTCTCCCATCTTCATGGTCGAGCGCAAAGACATGCTGCTGCCGAGTTGCAGGCAGTCGAGCAAACTGCAGTTGCTGCCGAGCCTTGTGAAGGCACGCGTCGAGATGCTGGAACCAATGGTGGCGAAGCTGCACACGCTCATGGCGCTGCCGCATCTTCCAGTGGATCGCACGCTCAAGCTGCTGCCGAACTGCACGAAGCGCAGCACGGACAAGACGCCACCGATCTTCGCGGTTGTACCACGCAGACTCAAACCGGAGCTCAAGGACGCGAAGTCCATCACGGAGAGCTTAGCACTCAGCTTTGCATCCCGCAAGACGGACAATGAGCTGCCGATACGCACGTAGTTGCGGCAGGACATGGAGGATCCGACCTCAACGAAGTTGAGCACCGAGAGCATGCCACCGAGTCTGCACACTGACCTGACAGAGAGTGCAGAGCCGAGTTCTGCTTGCTGCATCACGGAGAACGCGGCACGGAAGTTTGCCGTTCCGACAACGGACACCGAAGATCCGACGCGTGCGAACTTGCGCACGGACAAGCTGCTTCCCAAGTTGACGAAGTCCATGACGGAAATCTGATCTCCGAATCGCGTGAACTGACGTACCGAGAACGCGGAGCCAAGGTGTGCTGCGTGCAAGACGCTGACGGAGCCGCCGAAGCGGGCGGTTCGACCACGCAAGGACATGGAGCTGCCCATATGGCAGTGAGCCAAGATCGAGATGTGGCTAGCGAAGTTCGCGTTGGCGCAAACGGACAGCGTGCTGCCGAAGCGCGAGTGCGCGCGCAAGCTCAGAGCAGAGCCGATTTCAACGTAGTCCAGGACGCTCAAGGCGCTGCCGAAGCGAGCCAAGGAACGCAGGGACACGGAGGAGCCGAACTGCACATAGCTGAAGATGGACACAGCGCCACCCATGCGACTGACGTTTCCGACAGAGAAGGTACCGGTCGTGGCCATCAAGTCGCCGTCGTGGCGCATATCGCCAAGCACGCTCAAACTAGAGCCCATGCGGCAGAAGGAGCGGATGCTCATCGCAGAACCCATGTTGAAGAAATCCAGAATCGATGCGCGACCGCCAACGCGAACGACGTTGCGCAAGCTGATTGCGGAGCCGAGAGTTGTGGCATCGAGCACCGACAAGCAGCTGCCCATCTGCATGCTTGAGAAGATGCTAGCACGAGATCCGAGCCGCAAGTAGTTGCGGATCGACAGCGAACTGCCGACGCAGACCTGCTCCAGAACGCTCATGCAACTACCCAAAACACTGCGGTTGTAGACCGAGATCGTGCTGCCTGCGCGGACGAACGCGCGGAAGCTCAAGCTGGAGCCGCAGTGCGCGAAGTCCACCACGCTCATGTTCGAACCAAATCGTCCAAAGGCACGCACAGACACGCTGCTAGCGAGCGTACAGAACGACATGACGGAAACCAGCGACCCCAGACGGGCTGCGGCAAGCACAGACACACCACTGCCCAGACGCACGAGTGAGCGCAAGCTCAAGCTGCTTCCAAGGGCCGCTGCGTCGAACGTGGAGAGCATCTTTGCGCGAACGAAGTTGCGGGCGCTCAAACTGCTGCCTAGAGATAGGAAGTCCATCACCGAAATGCACGATCCGCATCGAATGGTGCTGCGCACGGACAACGCGCTGCCCAGACGGACTGCGTCCAACACGGACATGGTCGAGCCCATGCGAGCCAGACCGATAGCCGAGAAGTTAGACCCTAGACGCGCGTAAGCGCGGAGGGACAACGTGCTGGCCAAGATGATGGAATCGCAGATGGACTGGCGCGAGCCAAAGCGCACCTGCGATCGCACGGAGAGAGAGCTGCCCATGTTCACGAAGTTGAGAACCGAGAGGCCGTCTCCGAGCGACGTCTTCGACATGGCGGACATCGAACTGCCAAGTCTGTAGAAAGATCGCACGCTAACCGAGCTTCCGGATGTGGAACCACCGCTGACGGACAACGAAGATCCAAGACGGATGAAGGAGCGAAGCGACACGCAGCTTCCGACGTTGAAGAAGTCGAGCACGCTGAAGCGGCTGCCCAACGTGGTCTTCTGGCGGATGGAGCAGCTGGAGGCAAAGTTGATCGCAGCCACGACTGACAAAGTGCCATGGAGGCGGCATCCACCAAAGAGCGAGATACCACTGCCGAAGCGTCCAAAGTCACGTACGGAGAACGTGCTGCCCAAATGAATCGCGTCAAACACGCTCAAGCAAGAGCCGAAGCGCGAGAAGCACCTGACGGAAAGCGAGCTTCCAATCAAGACTTCATTGACAACACTCACCTTCGCCTTCTCACCAGTGAGAACCTTTCCGAAGAGCGACAATCCGCTGCCGATGTGCATCATAGAGCGCACAGAAGCGGAGCTGCCCAAGTTGACGAAGTCCAGGACAGAGAAGCGCTCGCCGCATCGCAAAAAGCTGCGGAGCGACAAGGCGCTGCCGAGGATGACACCGTGTTGCACCGAAGTGGCACAGCTCAGCCGCGACTTGCCGAAGACGCTGAAGCCAGAACCAATACGCGCGTATTCACGCATGGACATACTGGATCCGAACATTGCGAACGACAGGATCGAAGCTGCGCTGCCGCATCTCAGGACACTGCGTGTAGACAAAGAGGATCCGAGCACCACGAAGGACAGCACCGACAAAGACTTGCCCATGCGAATGTCAGATCGGAGAGAGAAGCTGCTGCCCAAGTTCAAGCAGTCGAGAATGGAAACCGTGGATCCAAACTTAGAGGTGGATCGTATGCTCATGCTGCTACCCAAGTTGGCGAAGTTCAGCATCGACATCTGGCTGCCGCATCGCAGGAAGCTGCGCACGCTCAAGCTGCTGCCCAAGTTGCTGTTGTCGATCACGCTCAAGTATTGCACCGAGCCGAACTGCGCAATGCCCAGAACGCTGACGGTGCTTCCAACACGCAGGAAGTGGCGAAGAGATACGCCGCTGCCGAGTTGAGCGAAGTTCAGCACCGAAAGCGCGGAGCCGAGTCGGGCGAAGCCACGTACTGACAAAGAAGATCCAAGGTTCACGGCTTCCACAATTGACGCTGTAGACGCCAAGCGGAAGTACTTGCCGTGCACGCTGACGCTGCTGCCGAGCCGAGCGCATGCGCGGAGCGAGGTGGAACTTCCAAGGTGGAAGAAGTCCAGCAAGCTTGTGCAGCTGCCCATCCTGGCCATCGAGCGCATGCTCAATGCGGAGCCCAAAGTGACGAAGCTCAATACCGACAAGGAGTCTCCGCAACGTGCGAAGGCACGCACGGACAGCGCCGAACCCAGAGACACCTGTTGCATGACGGACAGCTGAGCACAGAGTCGCACCTTCTCAGCGACCGAGAGCGAGCTGCCGAGTCTGGCGTGTGTGCGCAGAGACAAAGAACTGCCGATGTTCACGAAGTCGAGGACGCTCTGTTGCGATCCGCACCTTGTGATGCCGCGGATAGACAAGGAGCTGCCCAGTCTGATCGCGTCCAGCACCGTCAACGTGGATCCGCACTTGACGAAGCTGCGCACCGACATGGCGGAGCCGAGCGAAGCGAAGCCGATGACGCTGAAGGCACCACTGAACTTAGCTCGGTTGTACACGCTAACCCCAGACCCGCATCGAGTGTAGGCACGCAACGAGAGCGAGCTGCCCATGCAGAAGGAGTCCAGAGTGCTCAAGTTGCTACCGAAACGAGAGTAGGATCGCACGGACAAAGAGGAACCCAAGTTACTCTGGTCCAGGACCGTCAAACCCTCACCTAGTCGTAGTTCGCTGCAGACGCTAGCCGCGGAGCCGAGGCGGAAGAAGGATCGCATCGACAGCGAACTTCCCATGTGCGCAAAGGTGATCACAGAGAAGTTGCTGCCGAAGCGCAACGCTGATCGAATGGACATAGAACTGCCGAGGTTGAATGTGTCAATCACGCTCACCTTCAAGACGCTGTTCAGAACCGTCAGGTTGTGCACGGACAAGCCGCTGCCTAAGCGGAGGTAGCTGCGCACGGAGAGAGTGCTGCCCAGTCCGACGAAGGACAGAACGCTGACCATGCTGCCGAAGCGGCCCGTGCTGCGAACGCTCATCGAGCTGCCGAGGTGGACTGCATCTAGAACGCTGAATTGCGTTCCGACGCGTCCAAAGCTAAACACAGAGCAGCTGCGTCCAACATTAACGCGGTCTCCGACTGAGAGCGTAGATCCGATGCGCAAGAAGCTGCGAACCGACATTGCGCTGCCGAGTTGTGCGAAGTTCAGCACAGACATGCACGCTCCCATCTTAACAGCTGCGCGGACGCTGAAGGTGCTGCCCAATTGGAACTGGTCCAGCACGCTCATGGCCATGCCAATCTGCGTTCGGCCGGTCACGCTCAAACTAGATCCAAGTCTCGTGTATGCACGAAGCGACAAGCTGGAGCCCAGAGCAGTAGCGTCAAGGACGCTGCATGTGCGGCCGAAGCGTGCGATGCTGCGCAAGGACATACTGCTGCCGAAGGACGCCTTGTCCAGGATAGAGAGCATGTTTCCGACGCGGCACGTGGAGAACAGACTGCAAGTGGAGCCGGCACGCACGAAGCTGCGCATGCTCAAGCTGCTGCCGACGTGGCAGAACTCGAGGGTCGAAACAACCGAGCCCAATCGCGACAGGCTGCGCAAGCTCAATGCGCTGCTCAGGCTAGCGAACGAAAGAACTGAAAGTTCCTTTCCAACGCGCAATTCGCTCGTGAAGCAGCTCATGCCACTTCCGAGACGTACCATGCTTCGTACAGAGAGCGAGCTTGCCAACTGCACGAAGTTGAGGACGCTGGTGCTGGATCCCAGACGAGAGGTCGAACGGATGCTCAACGAGCTGCCGAGATTGACATTTCCGAGAATGCTGATCATGGTGCCGAAGCAGGCACGCGAGAGGAGAGATGCAGAGCTGCCGACTCGCATGAACGAGCGCAAAGAAAGCGTGGAACCGCAGTTGACGTACGTGATCACGGACAAGTTGGATCCGAACTTGGCGAAGCTGCGCACCGAAATGGCGCTGCCAATGGTAACGAAGCCCAGAACGGAGACCGAGTCGCCGACAACAGTGCGGGCGAACACGCTCATGCCACTGCCCAGTCGTTGTGTAGATCGCAAGCTCATGGCGCTGCCAAGAGCGAGGTAGTCGATCGTGGACATGGCAGATCCGGTACGAACGAAGCCACGAACGCTCATGGAACTTCCGAGACTGGTTTGGTCCAAGATGCTCAACTTCACACCCAATGTCACGTCCTTGTACACGCTGCAGTTGCTGCCGAGGCGCAAGCAGCTGCGCAAGGAAAGCGAACTTCCCAAGTTGGAGAAGCTCAGCAGACTGGTCTGTTCGCCCAATCGGCTCATGGACCGCATGCTGCAACTGCTGCCAACGGTCACGAAGTTCAGGATAGAGACGTTCTGTCCCAGCCGAGTGAAAGCGCGTAGCGACACCGAGCTGCCGAACGTGACCATGTCGAGCACGGACACGTTGCTGCCCAAGCGCGACACGCCACGAATCGAGATTGCGCTTCCGAGGTAGACCGAGTCGAACACACTCAAAGTGCGTCCAACACGCATGACGCTTCGGAGCGAGGTAGACGACCCTAAGTGGGAGAAGTCCAGAGCGGACACACCACCTGCAAGCTTAGCAAACGCGCGAACGGACAAGGAGCTTCCCATGGTCACTGCATCCAGCACCGAAAGCAGGTCACGGCACTGTGCACGCGAGCGCAAGGACAATGAGGATCCGAAGTGGACGCATCCGAGAACGGACAACTGTGCGCCCAACTGCAAGCGGCTGAAGACGCTGACTGAAGATCCAAAGCGGGCCACTGCCCGAGTGGAGATCGAGGAGCCGAGAGTTGCGAAGTTCATCACGCTCACACCGTCGCCAAATCGTACGTAGCTGCGCACAGACAAGCTCGAGCCCAAAGTGAACTGGTCCATCAGAGAGAAAGCGGCACTTACTCGAACAGCGTTTCCAATCACCGATAAGCCAGATCCGAACCGAGCTGTTGCACGGAGCGACAAGCAGCTGCCCAAGCCGCACATGTCGAAGACAGAGGCAATGCTGCCCAGACGTGCCATTGAGCGCACGCTGACGCTGCTGCCCAAGTTAACGAACTCGAACACGCTGATCGCGGATCCGAATCTGCTTACTGCGCGTACGGAAACCGAGCTTCCAAAGCTAGTGTAGTCGAGCATGGATACCGTGTCTCCGAAGCGAGCGCAGCTGCGGAGCGACAAGGAGGATCCCATGACAATGCTGTCGAGCACAGAGAGGTTCTTGCCGAGTTGACAACCCATTCTGAGGGAAACTGTCGAACCTAGAGCCATCATATCGAAGGTGCTAATCTTTCCGCCGAAGCGGCCGAACATGCGCACGCTGACCGTAGATCCGAAGTGTGCGGCATCTAGAACTGACACGACACAACCAAGTCTTGCGGCGTTACGCAGCGAGACGCTGGATCCCAGGTGCACGTGCTGCAGAACGCTGACGTCTGCGCCGAAGCGGCCGAGGCCCTTGACACTGACAGTGCTACCGCAACGCGAGTAGGCGCGCAAAGAAAGACTGCTTCCGCAGTTCGTGAAGTCGAAGATGCTGACCATCTTGCCGAATCTGGTAGTAGACCGGACGGACAGCGAGCTGCCGCATTCGATCTGGGACAACAAGGACAAGGTCTTGCCCAAGGCCATGGTGCCGCATACACTCAGGCTGCTGCCGGATCGCAGGAAGTCTCGGAGAGACAAAGTGCTGCCCAAAGTGCACATGTCGAGGATCGAAGCGCGGGAGCCAGCGCGCAACAAGCTGCGCAGGGACACGGCGCTGCCGATAGCGACATAGTCGATCACGGACAAGTTGCTGCCAAGACGCGTCATGGAACGCACGCTGAAGGCTGATCCGAGGTTCACGTAGTCCAGAACGCTGAGTTTGTCACTCATCTGAGCCGCACAACGGATTGACAGAGAGGATCCGAGACGCACGCTGTCTAAAACGGACAAAGCGCCACCCAATCGTCCGTAGTTTCTTACGGAGATGGAGGAACCGAACGCGCAGTTGTTCAGAATGGAAACATGTTCGCCAATGCGAGCTTTGCCCAACACAGACAAAGAACTACCCACTCTGACCACTGAGCGCAACGAGAACGTGCTTCCCAAATGAAACGCATCCATGACGGACACGCAGCTTCCGAATCGTGCAGATCGGTAGACCGAAAGCGCGGAGCCAACACGGGCATAGGTTCGCAGGCTCATGCTAGAGGCCAGGTTGACGAAGCTGAGCACGGAGAGTGCCGAACCCAATCTTGCCGTGGAACGCAAGGAAATTGAGCTGCCGATGTGCATCTCACAAAGGGCGCTCAAGGTCTCACCGGTGCGCAAGCGGCCGAACAAGCTCAAAGAGCTTCCGACTCGCAAGTACGAGCGCAACGAAGCGCTGCTGCCAAACGCAACGTAGTCCAAGACGCTCATGGCTTCGCCGAAGCGTGTGCACGAACGCACAGACAAGGAGCTGCCGAGGTGTAGCTGGTCAATGACGCTCATCTGCTTTCCGATATCTACTGCGCCGAACACCGACATTCCGGATCCCACGCGGCAGAAGGAACGCACTGAAAGTCCGCTGCCGATCTGCGCGAAGCTCAAGATCGAAATGTTGTCTCCCAACTTGACGTAGCTGCGCACAGACAATGAACTGGCCAATGTGGTCGAGTCCAGAACTGACAGTGCCTTGCCCAAATCGCAGCTGGAGTACACCGAAAGGGCAGAGCCCAAGCGGATACCGCAACGCAAGCTCATGGAGGAACCGAGGTTGAGCATGTCGAAGATCGAAGCCGAGGATCCGAACTGAGCGAAAGAGCGGACAGACATCGCGCTACCCAGGTGGACGAAGTCCAGAACGCTAGCGCAGGTACCAAACTGCGCCTTGCTGCGCACGGATAGCGAGCTGCCGAGCATGACGCTGTCCAGGACGGAGAACGTAGCACCGGAACGGCACATCGACCGCATGGACAGGGAGCTGCCGAATGCCGTGAAGTTCAACACGGACAGTTCAGAACCGAGTCTAGCGACACTGCGGACGCTGATACTAGATCCGAGGTTGATCTGCGCTAACACGGACATGTGGTCCCCGACGAAGGCGCGATGGCACACGCTGAGGCTGCTGCCGAGACGTGCTGCTGCACGCAACGAGCACGCCGAGCCCATCAGCGCAGTGTCTAAGACGCTCAAGCAAGAACCAATCGCCATCTTGGAGAAGAGCGACAATCCAGAGCCGATGCGCGAGTACATGCGCAACGAGGTGCCGCTGCCGAGATGGACGAAGGACAAAACTGAAGCGCTGCTTCCGAAGCGGGCGAAGGAACGCACGCTCATGGCGCTGCCTAAATGAGTTTGCTGCAACACAGACAAGTCCATGGCAGCGCGGATTTCGCCGTAGACGCTCAAGCCACTGCCGACGCGCAAGAAGTCACGCACAGACAGCGTGGATCCAAGGCACACGTAGTTCAGAACGGAGAAGGTGGAGCCGAATCGTACGAGCGATCGCACCGACAGGCTGCTTCCCAATTCAGTTTGGTCGATGACTGACATGTCAGCCGCGAACTTGGCAGTGCCGAAGACGGAAAGTCCAGATCCGACACGCATTTGTGTGCGCAACGACATCGAGGAGCCGAGAGTCAACATGTTCAGCACGCTAGCACGGCTTCCGAAGCGGCAAGTGCTGCGAACGCTCAAACTGCTGCCGAGGTTCACCTTATCGAGAACGGAGAGTGCTTGACCAACCTCTGCTGTGCCGAGAACCGAGAAGCCCGACCCAACACGTAGGAAGTTGCGCAAAGACATGGAGCTGCCGAGGTTAGTGAAGTCGAGGACGGAGAGGCAAGATCCTAAACGTCCCGTCTGTCGGACGCTCAAGCTGCTTCCTAGCTGTGCGAAGGACAAGATGGAAGCATTGCCACCGATTCGTGTGTGTTCGCCAAACACGCTCAAAGCGGATCCTAGACGCAGGAATGCGCGAATACTGACGCTAGAGCCGAAGCGAGACATGGCGCGCAAGGACATCGACGATCCTAAGGAGAGGAAGTCGCACACGCTACCGCGCGATCCCGCACGCACCAAGCCGCGGACGCTGAGCGACGAACCCAACGACAGTGTATCCAAGACGGTCAAGGCCTTGCCAAGACGCGTGTCTGCCTTCACAGACAAAGTGGAACCCACACGCAAGAAGCTGCGAATCGACAGGGCGCTGCCAACCTGCGAAAAGCTCAAGATGGATACCGTGGAGCTGACAGTTGCAGCGCCGAAGACCGAAAGACGGCTTCCGACGCGCAAGAAATTGCGAACGCTGGTTGCGCTACCGAAGGCGAGGAAGTCCAGCAATGACATCTTGCTGCCGCAACGCACTGTTCCGCGAACGCTCAATGAGCTGCCCAGGTGGCACAAGTCGAGGACAGAGAGTTCTCCTGTCACTCGGAACGTGCTCTTCACGCTGAGTCCACTACCCAGACGTACGAATTCACGCAAGCTCAAGCTGCTGCCCAGGTTCACGAAGTCGAGGACCGATGCGCAGCTGCCGAATCGGCCGCTGCTGCGCATAGACATGCTGCTGCCCAAGTTGAGGCAATCGAGAATGCTCAAACTGGATCCGAAGCGCACGGTGCGGAACACGCTCATTGCGGAGCCAAGGCGGACGAAGGACCGCACGGACATGGTGGAACCGAACTGCGCGAAGGCTCGTACAGAAAGAGTAGAACCAAGGTTCACGCAATCCATAGTGGACAAGCCTTTTCCGAATCGCACCTGCTGTCCGTGGATGGACAACGTGCTTCCAACGCGCACGAAGGAGCGAACGGAGAGTGCAGAGCCGAAGTTCGCGCTGTCGAGCACGGACAGCTTCTGGCCGAAGCGCACAAAGCTACGAACCGACAACGAGCTACCGGCACTCACCTGGGCCAACACGCTAACGCAACTGCCCAGTCGCACGGCAGCGAGAACGGACAAGGTGCTTCCGAGACGAGTGAACGCACGGACGCTGAGCTGAGAGCCAAGACCCAAGAAGTCGAAGATCGACGTCCTGCATCCGAGATCCACTCCACTGCGCACAGACAAAGAGCTGCCCAGAGTAGTGCAGTCGAGAACAGAGAGGGATTCACCAGCACGCACACGTTCTACTATAGACAGTGTGGATCCCACTCGGACGTAAGTGCGCATGCTCAAGGAGCTTCCAATGTTGACGAAGTCCAAGACCGTGAAACTAGAGCCGAACTTGCCGATGGATCTTAGACTCAAAGCGGAACCGAGGGCGAGGAAGTTCAAGGTGCTGAGAGTCGAGCCGAAGCGTACGGACGAGAAGGCCGAGAGCGTCGAGCCCAGGCGCACGAAGCTGCGCACGGAGAGCGAAGAACCCTGCTGCACGAAGCTGCGGCACGACAGCGAGCTGCCAAGCGACAGTGCGTCCAAGAGCGAAACGCGGCTGCCGAAGCGGACCGTGCTGCGCACGCTCATGGTGGATCCAAAGTTCGTGCTCATCAAAACAGACATGTTCTCCGAAATTCTGCATCTGCCATGGACGCTGACGCCGCTTCCAATACGCGCGAACTCACGGAGACTCAACGTAGAGCCGATCTGCACGAAGTCAAGGCAGGAGACGGAATCGCCGAAGCGAGCCATGCTTCGCAAAGACACTGAGCTTCCGAGCGTGACGCAGTCCATGACGCTGACACCTGCAGTCACACGAGCCAAAGATCCGAAGACGCTCAAGCCGCTGCCCAGTCGCAAGTACGCACGAAGAGACAATGCGGAGCCGAGCGAGACGCTATCCAAGACAGAGAGAGTCTTGCCGAAGCGTGCCAAGGCACGCAGGCTCATCGTGCTGCCGAACTGCACCATGTCCAAAACGGAGATGTTCTCTCCCAACTTTGCGCTGGCACGCAGGGACAATGAGCTCCCTAGTTGGCAATAGTCCATCACAGACAGTTGCGCACCGAGGTGTACAAAGTCGCTAGTGACTGAAAGTCCGCTTCCAAGTCGAGCGTAGGAACGCAACGACAACGTGCTTCCCAAGTTCACGTAGTTCAGCACGGATACGCAAGCGCCGAAGCGCACGAACGATCGCAAGCTCAAGGAGCTGCCCAGTTCAAGGCAGTTGATGACGCTCGCGGTCTTGCCCAAGCGCAAGTGCGAACGCACACTTAGAGAAGATCCGAACTGCGCGATGTCGAGCACGCTGAGCGAGCTTCCGACATCCACACTCGAGAGGACGCTCATTCCACTGCCGACACGAACGTAGGCCCGGAGAGACAGTGCAGAGCCCAAGTTGACGAAGTCGCACACGCTGGCGCGGCTGCCGAAGCGTCCAGCACCGCGAATTGAGACCGTAGATCCGAGATGCACGAAGTCCATGATCGACAGCGACATGCCGACGTTCACGTTCTGCAAGATCGAGGTGCTGCTGCCGACACGCACGAATGCGCGCAGGCTCAAGGAGCTTCCGAGAGTGGCGGAGTCCAAGACGCTGAACGCCTTCCCCATGCGGGCAACGTTGCGAATGCTCAACGAGGAGCCCATGCAAACCTGGGAAATGACGCTCAAGTCTTGGCCAAGCTTAGCGGATTTGACGATTGAACAAGTAGATCCGAGACGCGTGACCGCGCGGCAACTCAAGGTGCTGCCAATCTTGAAGAAGTCGAAGACGCTAAGGCTGGAGCCGAGGCGAGCCAAAGCGCGGATCGACATGCTGGAACCGAGAGAAACATGGCTCAAGACTGACATGTTCAATCCAGTGTCGCACTTCCCGATGACCGACAAAGCGCTTCCAACGCGCAAGTAGTTGCGAATGGAAAGCGAGCTGCCGAGGTTGCACATGTCGAGCACCGAAAGGTTAGCTCCCATGCGGGCGTGGCTGCGCACACTCAGGCTGCTGCCGAGGTTCACATAGTCCAGAACGGAGCACTGCGAACCCATGCGGACCGTTCCGAGGACGCTGGCACTGCTGCCAATGCGAATCAAAGCGCGCATGGAGAGCGAACTTCCAAGGTAAGCGCAGTTCAACACACTGGTCTGGCTGGCGAGTCGGACAACGGATCGCAACGACAGGGAACTTCCCAGGGACACCGAGTCCAGGACACTAGCCATCGAGCCAATACGGCCCATGCGACGGACGGACAAGCTGCTTCCCATGGTGACGCAATCCAGCACGGATAAGTTAGCGCCGACGCGAGCGAAGCTGCGGACGCTGCAAGAGCTGCCCAAAGCGAACATGTCCAGCAGAGTAAGCTTTCCACCAAGGCGTGCGACCGCGCGAATGGACAGCGAGCTGCCCAGCATGGCTTGGTCGAGCACGCTCAACGATTCTCCAACGTACATGGACGAAAGAGCCGACACGGCAGAGCCAATGCGGACGAAGGTGCGTACGGAAATCGCACTGCCCAAGCTGGTGAAGTCCAGGACCGACATAACGGAGCCGAAGCGCGTGGTGGATCGGATAGACAAGCTGCTGCCCAGGCCAAGGTAGTTCAGCACCGAGATGCAGGAGCCCATGCGGGAGAGACCACGCACGCTCAAAGCGCTGCCTAAATTAGCGGTGTCCAAGACCGACATCTTGACCGCGAGGTCCACAGTGCCGGTGACCGACAAAGAGCTACCCGTACGCAGGAACGTGCGCACCGAAAGGGAGGAGCCCATAGACACGAAGTCCAGAACGCTCATGTTCTTGCCGAAGCGCGCGAAGTTGCGCAACGAGAAGCTGCTTCCCATGTGCAAGAAGTCGATCACACTCAGCTTCATGCAGCTCCCAAGGTTCAACAGGCCGTGCACGGACATGGCAGAGCCCGCGCGCACGTAGCCGCGGATGCTGCAGCTGCTGCCCAGGTTCAGGTAGTCTAGAGCTGACATGCAGGATCCGAAGCGAGCGAAGTTGCGCAGCGAGAAGGAGCTTCCGCAGGCAACACTGTCAAGGACACTCAGGGTCGATCCGAAACGGGAACCTGAGAATACGCTGACGGAACTGCCAATGCGCATGACGCATCGCAAACTCAAGTTGCTGCCGAACGCCGCGAACTGGAAGGTGCTCATCGACGCGCCAAAGCGTGCGGTGTCACGAAGCGAAACTGCGCTTCCCAAGTGCACGAAGTCTAGGACCGAGAACTCGGAGCCCAGACGGACCAGGCTGCGAACGCTCAGTGTGCTGCCGAGTTCAGTTGCTTCTATAACGGAGAGTGCATGGAGCGAGCCGAAGCGCACCAGGCCCATCATGCTTGCGGTTGATCCGAATCTGACTGCGGTACGCAAAGACAGTGCGCTGCCCAAGTTCAGGAAGTCTGCGATACTCACGCTGCTTCCGAGGCGCACGAAGTCGCGCACCGAGAGAGCTGAGCCGATGTTCATCTCCTCGATGATGCTCAACGCACCTGAAATGCGTGCATTTCCGAAGACGCTGAGTGCGGAGCCGCACTGGAGGCGTGCGCGCACCGAGAAGGCGCTGCCCAGATGTACGAAGTCCATGACCGAGAAGTTGCTTCCCATACGAGCCAGAGCGCGGAGCGAGACCGAAGAGCCGCACTGGATCTGGTCCAGGATGCTCACCGGTGACTGCACGAACACGCGTCCGACCACGCTGCAAGACGAGCCGAGACGAGAAACTGCGCGCAGGCTCAAGGTGGAGCCCAACGAGCAGAAGCCGAGGAGCGACACGTTGCTGCCGAAGCGCGTGTGCGCGCGAACGCTCAGAGTGCTTCCCAGTTCGATCTGGTCGATTACGGAGACGTTGGCGCCGAAGCTGGCACGTGCCCAAACGGACATCGTGGAGCCGAAGCGGATGTAGTTGCGCAAAGACACAGAGCTGCCTGCGTTGGCGAAGTCGATCACACTGCAGCGGCTACCCAAGCGAACGGCACTGCGAACGCTCAAAGCGGACGACAGCGTCAACGAGTCGAGGACGCTCATGCTGCTACCGGCACGCAGCGTGCTGCGAATCGACAAAGAGCTTCCAAGCACGAACTGATCCAGCACGGACAACTTGTCGCCCAAAGTGCATGTCTTAGCCACACTCAAGTTGCTACCAAGTCTTGTGTAAGAGCGCAGACTGAGGGCAGAGCCCAAGGTTAGCTGTTCGCAGATGGAAACAATGCTTCCGAACCGCGTGACAGAGCGTACAGACAGAGAGGAACCGAGCTGCACGTGCTCGAGAACGCTGAAGCGGTCTGCGAGTTGGCACTGGCGCTTGACGCTCACGTTGCTGCCCAATCTCGTAAAGTCACGCAATGACAAGCTGGATCCGAGAGTACCGTAGTCCAAGATACTCAAAGCGCTGCCGAATCTGACGAAATTTCTCATAGAAATCGAGCTTCCCAAAGTCAGGAAGTCCATGACAGACGCGGAATCACCGAGGCGTACTCCCTTGAAGATGGAGAAGCCACTGCCGACACGGATCACGGCACGCATGCTCAAAGCGGAGCCTACGTTGACCAAGTCCAAGACGGAAAGCGATTCGCCTAATTTTGTGAAAGAACGCACGCTCATGCCACTGCCCAAGTGCAGGAAGTCAATCACGCTCAAGCAGCTGCCCAAGCGCACGAAGCTGCGAACACTAAAGGTACTGCCCATCTCGGCTTGGTGCACAACGGAAAGAGCGTAGCTGGATCCGATGCGCGCCATGCCCGCAACGGACATGGTGGAGCCGAGACGCACGAAGGCGCGCACCGAGAAGGTGCTGCCGCACTGAACGTAGTCCATCACAGACATGGTTGCGCCCATACGTGCTCCTGAACGCACGCTGAGTGACGAACCAATGTTCAAACGCTCCAAAACGGAAAGATCTGCGCCGAAGCGCGTGCTGCTCGCGATGGAAAGGCCACTGCCGATGCGCGAGAACATGCGAATGGAGAGACTGGAAGCGACTTCTGCGAAGAGCAGGATCGACATGGAGCTGCCGCACTGTGCGCGGTTGCGTACGCTGATCGAGCTGCCCAGATTCAAACAGTCTAGGATGCTGACTGGAGAGCTGGCAAACGCACGTGCGTAGAGCGACAGGTTGCTGCCCAAGCGAGCATAGCTGCGCAAGGAAAGCGAAGATCCGATGTCGGAGAATTGCAGGATCGAAACTTCCGCTCCGAAGCGTCCGTAGGAACGCACGCTGAAAGAGGATCCGAAGTTCACGGCTTGTAGCACCGAGACCTCCGCACCACAGCTGGTGGTCGAGAACACGCTCATGGCGCTTCCGAGTCTCAAACCTGCACGGAACGAGAGCGAAGAGCCCATGGTCATGAAGTCCAAAACGGAGACGCTCATTCCGAGACGAGCGAGTCCACGGAGACTGACGCTGGAACCCAGATTGGCGAAGTGCATCACCGAAACGTCGCTGCCGCACTTGACGAAGGAACGAACGCTCAAGGACGATCCCAGGTTGAAGAAGTCCAAGACCGAGATTCCCTCCCCTAGACGGATCTTTTCGACCACGGACAGCGAACTGCCGATACGGCAGTAGGAGCGCAACGACAAGGTGCTGCCCATGTGCGAGTAGCCTAGAACCGACACGTCCGCGCCCACACGCATGAAGGAACGCACACTGAGGCTGCTACCGATAGCCAAAGCCTCAAGGACGGAAAGTGTTTCGCCGACCTTAGCGCGTTCCAGAACACTGCACGAAGATCCGAGTCGGATGAACGAGCGTAGGCTCATGCTGGAACCGAAGTGCGCGAAGGACAGGACCGACAAGCGGCTTCCAATGCGCGTTGCTCCACGGAGAGACATGTTGCTCCCGAAGAAGGCGTAGTCCACAACGGAGAACGCTGCTGCAAGTCTGGCGTGTTGCCCGGTCAACGAGAAGCTGCTGCCCAACTTCAAGAACTGGCGAACGGACATCGCGCTGCCCAGGTTGAGGTAGTCCAGGATGCTCGCGGTGTCGCTGCATCGCACGAAGCTGCGCAACGAGAGAGAGCTGCCGAGGTTGGTGTAGTCGACGACCGAAAGCTTGTCTCCGATCTGCATGAAGCTGCGGACACTCATGGAGCTGCCCACGCTCAAATAGTCGATGACGGAAAGTCCGTAGCAGCTGCCCAAGCGCAAGATGCCCAGGATAGAAACTTGAGATCCGCATCGCGTGATCGCGCGAATGGAAAGAGCGGATCCGCAGTTCACGAAGTCCAACACGCTGAAGGACTTTCCTACGCGTACGAGGCCACGCGTCGAGAGTGCTGAACCGAGGTGGCAGCAGTCGAAGACGCTGAAGTTGGCGCCGACACGGACATTGCTCAAAGCGGAAACGCTGCTGCCCAAGCGGATGTAGCTGCGCAGGGACATCGAACTAGCGAAGTCCGCGAAGGACAACACAGAGATCGTGCTGCCCAAGCGAGCCGTCGAGCGCACACTCATGGAGCTGCCCAGCCAGATGCCGTGCATCACGGACAAGTAGCCGCCAACGCGAGCGTCTGTGCGCACGCTGCATGCGCTGCCGAGGCGGATGAAGCTGCGCAACGACAAGCTGGAACCCAGGTTCACGTACTCGAGAACGGAAGCTGCGCTACCCATCTTCGCTACAGACCTGACAGACAGAGAGCTTCCCAAGAGCACTTGCGAGATCACACTGAGCGGCCCTGCGCAGCGCATATCCGACAAGCACGAAAGTCCAGATCCAACTCGCAATAGGCTTCTCAAAGAGAGTGCTGAGCCGAGATTCACGTAGTCAATCACGCTCATGTGGCCACTGACCTTCAGCCAGCTGCGGAGCGACAAGGAGCTGCCGAGCGACACGCTGTCCAGGATCGACGCACCCTGTCCGAGACGAACCTTGTCCAGCACAGAAAGGCTAGATCCGACACGCAGGAAGGTCCGCAGGGACAAGCTAGATCCAATGTTGACATAGTCCAGCACGGACATAGTTGCTGCGGAACGGCACAGCGAACGCAACGACAAACTGGATCCGAATTGAATCTGATCCAGGACGGACGCGGTGCTGCTCAAGCGCGAGAAGGAACGCAAACTCAAGGCGGAGCCGAGACCACACGTGTCCAAGACGGAGATCATGTTGCCTACGCGAGCTTGGTCTAAGATCGAAATGCTGCTGCCCAATTTGCAGAAGCTACGCATCGAAACGGAACTTCCCAAGTTGAAGAAGTCCAAAATCGACACGGCGCTTCCCATCTTGCAGATGCCGTACAACGACAAGGAGCTGCCGAACTTAGCGAAGCTACGCAGACTGCAGCAGCTGCCCATGTTCACGAAGTCCAAAACCGAAAGTCGCGAACCCAGCTGGATCACGCCGTAGAGGGAGCACGCGCTGCCGAAGCGAGCGAAGGAGCGCAAGCTGCAAGCGGAACCGAGAATGATCTGGTCCAAAACGCTAGTGACGGATCCCATGCGCATGCTCGAAAAAACGCTCATGCCGCTTCCGATACGTGCAAAGTTGCGCAAGCTCATGGTGCTTCCCATGTTGATCGTGTCTAAGACACTCAATGTGGTGCCGCACCTCAGCAGACCGTAGACGGACATCGAGGAACCGAGTCGCGCGAAGGATCGCAGACTGCAGCTGCTGCCCATCATGACGAAGTTCAAAACCGAGATGGAACTGCCCATCTTGACGGTGCCGAAGACGCTCAGGTGCTGCCCAATGCGGCAACGAGATCGCAGAGAAACTGCAGATCCACAACTGACGTACTCCAAAATGCTGATGTTGGATCCAAAGCGGACCATCGAGAAGACGCTAGCCGCAGAGCCCAATCGCATCTGGTTGCGCACAGAGATGGAGCTTCCGAAGTTGACGAATTCGAGAACCGACAATGCGCTTCCAAAGCGAGCGACTGCGCGCAGCGACATAGACGATCCAAGGTTGCAGCAACCGAGCAAACTCAGTTCTGCACCCATCTGCGCCTTGCAGCGGACCGAGAAGGCGCTGCCGAGACGCAGGTACTGGCGGATGGACATGGAACTGCCGAAGTTGAGGAAGTCCATGATGCTGCAGCTGCTTCCGAAGCGAGCCTGGCTGAAGAGGCTCATGGAACTGCCAAGGCGAGTCGTGGCACGGATCGACAAATTGCTTCCCAAGTTCGCGAACAGCAAGATGCTGGTGCTGGAACCAAATCTGGCGCAAGAACGCACAGACAATGAGGACCCGAGTTCGACTTGCTGCAGCACCGACAAACTGCCACCAACGGACGCCGAAGTGAGCAGACTCACTGCGCTTCCAACGCGCACGAAGCTGCGAATCGAGACCGAAGAGCCGCAGTGCGAGTACTCGAGGACAGAGATGTTGCTGCCCATGCGGCTGAACTGGCGAACCGACAGACTGCTGCCCAAAGCCAGCATGTCCAGTAACGTCAAGTTGGAACCACATCGCGTGACCCCGCGAACGGACAGAGAGGAGCCCAGGGCCAAGAAGTTCAAGACCGAGAGTTCTTGCGACAAGCGAGCCTTCTCGACGACGGAGCAGGCACTGCCAACGCGTAGGTAGTTGCGGATCGACATGCCGGATCCCATGTTCATGAAGTCCAGGACGCTCAGGCTAGAGCCGAACACAGACTTGCTCCACACGCTGACGGCGCTGCCGATGCGCGAGAAGCAACGCACGGACAATGAGCTGCCCAACGTGAAGTGATCCAACAGCGACATGCTGCTGCCGAGACGACCGCAGCTGAGCATGGAGACGCTGCTGCCAAGACGCAAGAAGTTGCGCAGAGACAAAGAGCTTCCCAGGTCCACGAAGTTCAAGACGGACATGCTGTCGCCGAATCGGGCGAGGGAGCGGACGCTCAAAGAGCTGCCGAGGTGCATTTGCGCAAGAACAGAAAGATCATCTCCAAATCGTGCGGTCTGGACGATGGAGAGCGAGGAGCCCAATCGAACCTGTGCGCGCAAAGACAGGGAGCTGCCCATGTCGAAGAAGTCCAGCAATGAGGCGCTGGATCCGAAGCGGCCCTGGCTCATCACGGAGAGAGCGCTGCCCAAGCGCAAGTAGTTGCGCAGAGAGATGGAGCTGCCCAACTCCAGGAAGTCCAAGACCGAAGCGGAGCTGCCGAAGCGTGTCTGGCTGAAGATGCTCATGGAGCTGCCGAGACGGGCGGTTGCGCGCAACGACAGAGAGCTTCCCAAGTTCGCGAGGTTGAGCACACTAAGCTTGGCGCCGAGCTCAGTGCTCAGCAGCACGCTCATGGAGGAACCACATCGAGCAAATTCGCGGAGCGACAAGCTGCTTCCGATGTTCGCGAAGTCCAAGACGGAGATCGCACCAGCGATTCGCGAGTGCGAACGCAAAGACAGACTGCTTCCGAGGTGCAGCTGATCGATCATGCTGCACATCGCGCCGAGACGCACCTTCTCCACGACCGAGAGAGCGCTGCCAACACGCAAGAAGTTGCGCATCGAGAGGGAGCTTCCCAAATCGAGGAAGTCCAAGACCGAGGCTTTGCTGCCACAACGGGCTGCGCCACGCACGGACAGAGACGAACCCAGTGCGAAGCCGTCCAGGAGCGACAACTTCTTGCCCAAGCGGGTGTCACCGAGCACAGACACGCTGCTGCCGACGCGCAGCACTGAGCGGATCGAAAGCGAGCTTCCGAGGTGGAGCTGGTCGAGCACGCTCAAGCAACTTCCAAGAAAAATCTTGCTGTAGACGCTAGCATTGCTGCCTAGGCGTGCGAAGCTGCGCAAGCTGCAGGCGCTGCCCACGTTCACGAAGTCCAAAGCGCTCATGCTGGAGCCCAAGCGCGTTCTTGAGAAGAGCGAGCAAGAGCTGCCGAACCGTGCGCTGTGACGAATACTCAGAGAACTGCCAAGCGCCAAAGCATCCAACAAGGACATGCTGCTTCCGCCGCGGATCTGACTGAAGATACTGCAAGCGGAGCCCATGCGCATCACGGCGCGCAAGCTCAAGCTGGATCCGAAGTGCGTCTGCTGCAGCATGGACAATGACGATCCCACACGCAGTTTCGAATAAAGGCTTACGGCACTGCCGACTCTGGTGTAGCCACGGAGCGATAAGGAGCTTCCGAGACTGCACAGGTCCATGACTGAGGTTGCGCCACCGAAGCGGCACACGGCACGAACCGAAAGCGTAGATCCGCATCGGACGGTGTCCAGCACAGACAGTTGGTTCGCGATCTTCACCCGACCGAAGATGGAGAGGTGCGATCCAGTGGCCATGGCGTTACGCACGGAGAGCGAGCTTCCGAGCACCAATTGATCCAAGATAGACAGCTTGCTGCCGAAGCGGCCCATGGAACGCAGAGACATGGAGGAGCCCAAGTGAACTTGCGCCAAGGTCGAAAGCGTGGATCCCAGTGTCATGCGGGCGAAGACGCTGCAGGTGGATCCGTAGCGGACAGTTGCACGAAAGGACAGCGTGGAGCCGAGGTTCAGGTAGTCGAAGACACTCAGGCTGGATCCGAGGCGGCCCGTTGCGCGTGCGGAAAGGCTGCTTCCCAGAGTGAGGTAGTCCAGCACACTGAGTACACCGCCGCAGCGGACACGAGACACGATGGATAACGAACTACCCAAGCGTGCAAACTCACGCAGCGACATGGTGCTGCCGAATGCAACGTAGTCGAGCACCGAGCAGCTCTTGCCGATGGACGCGGTCGCGCGAACGGAAACCGAGCTTGCCAAGTTTGCGAAGTCCAACACGCTGAGGCTGGATCCCAGCGTCATGCGCGAGAAGATGCTCACGCTAGATCCGATGCGCGCGATGGAGCGCACTGAGCAACTGCTGCCCATCGCGAAGAAGTCGAAGGTGCTGATGTCACTGCCGCATCGTGTGAAGGAGCGCACTGAAAGCGTCGATCCAAGGCTAACCGCAGCCAAGACGCTGAAGGACGCACCGACTGCTGAGCGACCGAAGACCGAGACCGTGCTGCCGAAGCGGCTGAAACTGCGCAAGGAGAGCGTGCTTCCGAAGCTGGTGTAATCCAGGACACTCATACTCTGGCCAAACCGCGTGGTCTGACGCAGAGACAAGCTGCTGCCCATCGAGACCATGCCCAACATGGAAACCGCAGCTCCGAAGTCGGCACGAGCGAAAATGCTGAAGGACGAACCCAAACGGGACGAAGCGCGGATCGACAAACTGCTGCCCATGTGCATCATGTCGAACACCGACACGCTGTCACCGAAGCGACCAAAGTTGCGCACGCTCAAAGACGACCCCAAGGCCGCTTGGTCCAAGACCGAGAGTTCTTGACCCAACTTGGTCGTCTGCTTCACGCTCAACGTGCTGCCCAATCGGCAGTAGCTGCGCAAAGACATGCTGCTTCCTAGCAAAATGCGGTCCAGCAAACTTATGGTGGACCCCGCACGCAGCTGTCCGAAGACGGAGATAGCACTACCCAAGCGCATGGTGGCGCGCAAAGAGAAGCAGCTTCCAATCTCCGAAACATCCAACATGGAAATGGTGCTGCCGAAGCGCGCCATGCTAACGAGGGAGAGTGCGGAACCCAAGCGAACGACCCCACGCAGACTGTAAGAGCTCCCCATCATGCAGTAATCCAAGAGCGACAATGTGGATCCGAACGTCATTTTGCTTTGAATGCTGAAGTTGGAGCCCAAGCGCATGTAGTTGCGAACAGATAAAGCGCTGCCGAAGTTGACCAAGTCCAAAACGGAAACGTTGCAGGCAAGACGCGACATCGATCTCAGCGATAAAGCGCTGCCGAAGTTCACGCTGCTAATCACGGACAATGCCTGACCAAGTTTTAGAGCTTCGACAACGGACATGCTGGAGCCAATGCGGATGTAGGAACGCAGCGACAAGGAGGAACCGAGGTTCACGCAGTCGAGGACGCTGCAGAAGCTTCCAAACCGTGCAGCCTCGAAGACGCTCAACGTGCTGCCGAAGCGGATGTACGTTCTCAGAGACAAAGAGCTGCCGCAGTGGAAGTAATCCAGAATGCTGAGGCAAGATCCGAGTCTGGTTCCCTGGTTGATGCTGCAGGCGCTACCAATGCGCACGTAGCGACGCACTGAGAGCGAGCTGCCGAGCGCAGTAGCATCTAAGATGCTCATGCTCTCCCCGAAGCGAGACATGGCGCGCAGAGATAGAGAGCTGCCGAACTCGATCTGATCCAGGATGGACACATCCGCGCCTGCACGAACCGTGCTGAAGACGCTAAAGGTGCTGCCGAGACGGACGAAGCCACGAACAGATAAAGTGGAGCCAAACTTCGCGTCGCACTTGACGGACAAGGTCGAGCCCAATCGCACAAAGGATCGCAATGAAAGCGAGCTACCTAACTGCAACGTGTCGATGACAGAAAGGCTGGATCCGAAGCGGACCACTCCACCGTACACCGATAGAGAGCTGCCTACGCGCGAGTACTGCCGAATCGACAGTGCGCTTCCCAAGCTGGTGAAGTCCAATACAGACAGGTTGCGGCCGCAACGTCCGAAGCTTCGCAAGGAGACACTGGATCCGAGTTCGATCTGCGTCAGGACGGAGAGGCTTGCGCCCAAGTCTGCGCGTGCGAAGACCGACATGGTGCTGCCAACGCGGATGTAGGAACGGAGGGACAAAGAGGATCCCAACTTGAAAGCGTCCAACACGCTCATGGTCGAGGCGAACAGAGCGCGTCCGTACACGCTGGCGGCCGAGCCGCAGCGGATGAACTGGCGCAAGGAAAGGGTCGAGCCCAGGTGGAAGTAGTTCAGCACAGACAGAGTCGAGGAGAATCGGACGACGCTGCAAATCGACACCGTGCTTCCGAGTCGGCAGTAGCTGCGGATCGACAAGACGCTGCCCATAGCCGTGAAATCGAGCGAGGAGAGACAACTTCCGGTCACGAACTTCGAGAACACGGACATGTTGCTTCCTAATCGCACATATTCGCGAATGCTCATGGTGCTACCCAGGTTCAGGAAGTCCAAAGCGCTGAAGCTGCTTCCCATGCGCAACTGCGAGAACACGGACAGGGAGCTTCCAGCACGCAAGTAGCTACGCAACGACATTGAGCTTCCAAGTTGCACGAAGTTCAGGGTACTCAAGCTGGAACCGTACATCACTCGGGAGAAGACGGACAGGCTGGAGCCTGCGCGCGCAAACGAGCGCAGGGACACGCAGCTTCCCATGTTCATCATCGCACGCAATGACAAACTGCTGCCCAAGTTCATGAAGTCAAAAACGCTTGCACGAGAGCCCATAGCCGCAAAAGCACGAACGCTCATGCTGCTGCCCAAGTGCACATAGTTCAAGCAACTCATCAAACCACCAACACGCGTGGTCTTGAAGATGGACACTGAGCTTCCCAGACGCGTTACCTCACGCACAGACAAACAGCTGCCGAAGTGTGCGAAGTTCAGCGTGCTCATGGAGGAACCGAACATGCCTCTGCTGAATACGGAGAAGCTGGATCCGAAGGCTGCCGCAGAACGCAACGACAAGTTGGAACCTAAGGCGAAGAAGTCCAACATGGACATACAACTTCCCATAGTTACGCGTGCGAAGATGGAATACGTGGATCCGAGTCGAACTGCGTGTCGAATGGAGAGAGAACTTCCGAGGGTGAGGCAGTTCAGCACAGAGACGCTGCTTCCGTGGAGAACGCGGCTGTAGATCGAGAATCCTGATCCGAGTCTGGACATGGTTCGACACGAAAGACTGCTACCAAGGTTGGTCTGGTCCAAAGCAGACAGAGCGGCGTGAAGGCGCACGAAGTTGGCTGGGCCGCTCACCGAAAGCGAAGAGCCCATGCGCACGACTTGGCGGACAGACAAAGTGCTGCTCAGGAAGGCGTAGTCAAGCACAGACATGTTGCTGCCCATGGTCAGCTTGGAGTAGATCGAGAACGCGGATCCTAGTCTTGCCACACCACGCAACGACATGCAGGAACCGTAATTCGCAAAGTTCAACGTCGACATGCAACTTCCTAGAGTCAATCGACTGAAGGTAGACATCATCGATCCTAGGCGAACGACTGAGCGCACAGAAACAGTCGATCCCAGAGCGCACCAATCGCAGACGCTGCAGCTGCTGCCGAAGACTGCGCGGCTGTACAGAGAGAACGTTGAACCGAATCGCGAGAAACCACGTAGAGACAAGCAACTACCAATGTTGGTGGTGGCGAGAATCGACAGTTTACCCAAGTTAAGCGAATCGGAAGTTTCTGTGACGAACACGGAGAGCGCGGAACCGACACGCACCAGACCTCGGACGGAGATGGACGACCCCAAGGTAGTGTAGTCCAACACGGAGAGCGAACTTCCAAACAGTGCTTGCGAGAAAATGGACATGCTACTTCCCAATCGCGTCACTGCTCGTGAGGACAAACTCGAACCCAAAGTGAGGAAGTCCAACACAGACAGTGTGCTTCCGTGGGTTAAGCGGGTCAAGACGGAGAGAGAGCTTCCGAACCGCAAGAAGCTGCGCACGGATAGCGAACTTCCGAGAGTCTCACTGTTCAGCATAGAGAGCGTAGAACCTAGACGCAGTTGGTCGTGCACGGAGATGACGCTTCCCAATCGCACGTAGGAACGCACGGACAGACAGCTACCGAGCAGAGAGACATCCAAGATGGAGAGGCAAGAACCGAATCGGCCACGACCGAAGATGGACATGGCACTGCCCTGTCGCACGTAGCCACGCATACTCAGAGAGCTGCCGCAGCTGAAGAAGTCCAAAGTGGACAACGCGGAGCCCATGCGCACGCGGTTGAAGATCGAGAAGGCCGATCCACATCGCAAGACGGAACGCAGCGAGAGCACCGAACCGAGCATGGTCACGTCGTAGATCGACAAGCAGCTTCCAAACCTCGTGTAGGATCGTACGGAGAGCACAGATCCTAGAGTGGCTGTCTCCAGAACGGACAAGCGCTGCGTCAAATCAGCCTTGTGATAGACAGACAGCTTCGATCCGAACTTGACTCCAGACCTCAAAGAAAGCGAGCTTCCGAGCGAGCAGAAGTCAAAGACCGTAGCACAGCTTCCGAAGCGACCGAATGAACGCAGAGATAGGGAAGATCCCATCTGAACGTACTCTAAAACGCTCAAGGAGCCGCCCGATCGAGCCTGCTTGTAGATACTAAACGTCGAACCCAAGCGCACAGTCGCGCGTAGGCTCACCTGACTGCCCAAGGAGGAAAAGTTCAAGAGAGAGCAAGAGCTTCCGAGTCGGATCTGCGAGAAGATGCTCATGGCGGAGCCCATACGGCACACTGCACGCAACGACAGAGCGCTCCCGACTGCGGTGTAATCGTGCACAGAGAGCTTGCCACCTAGATCGACCGTCATACGGATCGAGAGAGAGGAACCGAAGGAAACTGTGTCGAGAATCGAGAGAGATGCTCCCAAGTTGGTCTTGCCGAAGACGGAGGCGACGCTGCCGCATCTGGCCATAGAACGAGTGGACAGCATGGAACCCATGTTGAGGAAGTCCAAGATGGAAATGCACGATCCACTGCGCGTTTGACCGAAGATCGAGAAGTTGCTGCCAAACCTGATCACACCACGCATCGAGAGCTGCGAGCCCAGGTTGGTCATGTCGAGAAGCGAAGTCCGTCCTCCGAAGCGGCTCATGGCGCGAACGGACAATGAGGAACCGAAGCAGGTGGCGTCAAGCAACGAGCAGACGGATCCAACGACCATACGCGAGAAGACCGAAAAGACCGAGCCGAAGCGCGCTGTTGCACGGACGGACATGGTGCTTCCAACTTGCAAGAAGTCGAAGATGCTGAGGGAACCACCGCAGCGTCCCGCTTCCCCGCGCACGGAAAGCGAACTACCGAGCGTCAAGAAGTCCAGCATACTCAAAGAGGATCCCGTACGCACGCAACCGAAGGTTGAAAACTGGCCTTGACCCAAGCGGACAAACTGACGCAGAGACATGCTGCTTCCCATGGTCAACGCGTCCAACAGAGACATGCTGCTGCCGAGGCGCACCATTCCGAAGACGGAGCACGCGCTGCTCAAGCGACCAAAGGCGCGAACAGAGCAGCAGCTGCCCAAATGCGCTAAACCGACCAAAGAGAAGCTGCTGCACATGCGTGCAGACGCGAACACAGACAGGGAACTTCCTGCGCGAACGCTGCGTCGCAAGGACAAGCAACTACCAAGTGTGACGAAGTCAATCACGCTCATGGCGGATCCTAGACGGCCGTGGGAGCGGAGAGACATAGAGCTTCCGAGGTGGAAGTAGTCTAGGACGCTCAAGCTGGAGCCCAACTGCGATTTCGAGAAGATCGAGAAGCCACTTCCGAACCTGACGAAAGCGCGAATTGAAACGGAGCTTCCAAATCTGGCCAAAGCACGCAAGCTCATGCTGCTGCCACCATGGAAGTAGTCGAAGACGGAGTAGGAGCTGCCGAAACGAGCGTTAGAGCGGATCGACAAGGATGATCCCATTGCCATGAAGTCCAAGATGGACACGTTGGAACCGAGTTGTGCTCGAGATCTGACAGAGAAGCTGCTGCCCAACATCACTTGAGACAAGATCGACATTTCTGCGCCACCTTGCACACCCTTGTACAGACTCATGGTGGAACCCAGTCGGCAGTAGTTGCGCAAAGACATGCTGCTGCCCAAGTGGATGTAGCCTAGCACGCTCATGCTGCTGCCGAAGCGGCCACCAGCGAGGATCGAAAGCGAACTTCCGAGTCGCATGTACGTTCGACAAGAGAGCGAACTTCCGAATGCGGTAGCATCTAGAACACTCATCGAGCTCCCGCAACGAGCGCACCCGAAGGCAGAGACCGCAGAGCCAACGCGCGACCAGTTGCGCAGAGACAGCGCACTGCCGATGCGGAACGTATCAAAGATACTGGCACTGGATCCGAAACGAGCGAAGCTACGCAGAGAGACCGTGGAGGCCAAAGCCGTTTCCTCCATGACGGATAGGTAGGCGCCGACGCGAGCACCACGCAACAACGACATGTTGGATCCGCAACGCAGTGTTCCACGCAACGAGATCGAGCTTCCGAGGATCACGAAGTCCAGCATCGAAGCTTGAGCGCCGCAGCGGAAGAAGCTACGAAGCGACATCGAGCTTCCTAGAGAAATCGAGTCCAACACTGACAACTTGTCGCCGACATCGGTGGTGCTGGTCACAGACATTCCGCTGCCGACGCGAGCGTAGGCGCGGAGACTCAAGTTGCTGCCCATGCACAGGTAGTCCATGATGCTTGCGCTGCTTCCGCCGCGAAGCTGATTGAACAAAGACAGCGAACTGCCAAACCTCGCAACCGCGCGAACGGAAAGCGAGCTACCTGCTGTGAAGAAGTCCAGCAGACTCAAGCTCGAGCCGAAGCGAGCGGCCTGCACGATCGACAAGGAGCTGCCGAAGCGAGCCAATTGGCGCAGAGACAATGAGCTGCCCATGATCGCACGATCTAGAATGCTCATCTGACTGCCGATGCGCGCGCGACCGAAGATCGAGAACGCGGAGCCTCCACGCATGTAGTTTCTGAGAGAAAGCGAAGACCCAATGCTGCAGTGCGCTAAGATACTCATGTTCGATCCCGTGCGGATCATGCCGAAGACGCTCATACCGGAACCGATGCGGACCAAGTCGCGGCAACTGAACGCCGATCCCACGCTGGTTGCGTCCAGCATGCTGCACAAAGATCCGAACCTAGCCCAAGAGAAGATGCTCATGGCACTACCCAAGCGAGCACTGGCGCGAACGCTGATACTCGAAGCCATGGAGAGGTAATCCAGGATGGACAGGCAGGAACCGGTGGTCAAGCGTCCCAGGACAGAGCAGGTGCTGCCAAGCTTGCTGCTGGCGCGCATGGAGAGCGAAGAGCCGAACATAGCGCAATCAAGCAATGAGAGGCAGGAACCGCCACGGAGTCTGCTGAAGATACTGCAGACTGAGCCGAGACGCATGAAGGCACGGACGGAGAGTCCGCTTCCGACCATGCTCTGATCCAGGCAGGACAGCACGGAGCCCAAACGGATCACGGAGAACACGGATGCACTCGAACCGCAACGAGCGGCGCCGCGCACGGACAGTGAGCTGCCAACCTGCAGGAAGTCCAGCACGGAGAGTGAAGACCCGAATCGCACGCAGCTGAAGGAGCTGACCGAACTGCCGAGGCGCGAGAATGCACGCAACGAGAATGCGCTTCCGAACATTGAGACCTGCAGCACAGACAGACTGCTTCCGCAAATCGCCTTGCTGTAAACCGACAATCCACTTCCCGCACGGCACATTGCACGCAACGAGAAGCTGCTTCCGAGCATGATTGCATCGAGAACAGAGATGTTGGATCCCAAGCGAGCCAATGCACGCAGACTCATCGAACTACCGAACGTTCCCTCTGCCAACAGGGAGAGCGCTTTTCCGCCATACACGCTGCTGAAGACACTCATAGCGGATCCGAGCTGTGCGTAGCTGCGCAAAGACATTGCACTGCCGAAGGACGCAAAGTTGAGGAGAGACACGTTCGCCGAGGTCTTGAATCGGTTGTAGATCGACACGGCACTGCCCAAGCGGCAGAGACCGCGCAACGAGAAGCAACTACCGATGCAGGAAGTGTCCAAAACAGACATCGTAGAGCCGCATCGCATCTGGCCGAAGACGCTGATAGCCGATCCGAGTCTTCCAGTGCCACGCAAGGAGCACGTGCTGCCGAAGCTGAAACAGTTCAGGATGGACAAGGAGCTTCCAAATCGAACTTGCGAGAAGATGCTCATCGCAGAGCCCAATCGCATGCAGGCGCGCACAGACAATGCCGATCCCAGCATCGTGGTGTCCAACATGGACAGCGAGCTCCCCAGTCTGCATACTCCGTACACCGAGAAGCTGCTGCCCAGACGGCCGAAGCTACGCAGAGACAGGGAGCTGCCAAGGCTGACGCTGTCCAGGATCGAGCAGACCGAGCCGAGTCGGCTCACTCCGAGCATGCTCATAGTCGACCCCATGCGGCTGTAGCCGCGCATACTGAGCGACGAGCCGAGGTGCGAGTGGGCCAACGCGGACAAGGTGCTTCCGAGCAGAACACGGGAGAACACACTAACCGCCGATCCACTGCGGAAGAAGTTTCGGATGCTGAGTGCGGAACCCAACAAGATCTTATCCAGGACGCTCAAGCTCGAGCCAGAGCGCGTCTGCGAGAAGATACTGAAGCTAGATCCCAGTCTGGCGATGGCACGCACCGACAGAGTGCTGGCCAAGTGGCAAGCATCCAACATCGAGAGCGAGCTTCCGAATCGCAACTGCGAGAAGACCGAGTAAGAGCTTCCGCACCGCGTTGCCGCGCGAATCGACAAGCTGCTGCCAGACGCGAAAAAGTCCAAGATGCTGAAGCAGTTGGTCATGCGCAACTTTCCGAAGACACTGACTCCACTTCCATACCGCGCTGCTGCACGTGTGGAGAGCGAACTTCCGAAGCTTAAGTAGTCTAGGATGCTCACGCTGCTTCCAAAACGGAGCTGCGAGAACACGGAGACTGCGCTTCCAAGTCGCGCGTAGCCGCGAATCGACATCGAACTCCCGACCAAAATGGTGTCGAAGGTGCTCATCATGGATCCCATCCAGAATCTTCCGAAAATCGACACTGTGGATCCTACACGTGCGTAGTTACGCAAGGACAATGTGCTGCCGCACACCATGTAGTTCAGGACGCTCAAGGAACTTCCCGCGCGCACGCAGTCGTAGATGCTCATGCCGCTTCCGAGGCGCACCCAGCTACGGACGGAAAGAAGAGTCAAGTTCGTCTGTTCCTGAGCGCTCACAGTAGATCCGAACTTCACGTAGCCAGCGACAGACAGCATCGATCCCAGTCTGGTGTAGCTGCGAATCGACAGAGCGGATCCGAGGTTGACGAAGTCGCACACGCTCAAACAAGATGCTGCACGCAACATTCCGTAGAGGCTGAATGCGGAACCAAGTCTGGCCATTGCACGCATAGACACGCTGCTGCCCATGCACGTGTAGTCGAGGATCGACAGAGAGCTGCCGAACATGACCTGCTTGATCACGGAGAAGTTGCTGCCGCAGCGCGTGAAGGCGCGAACGGACAGAGCAGATCCAAAGTTGCTCAAGTTCAGGACGCTCATGGAGCTTCCCATCACCATGTGGCTGAAGATGCTGAAGTTGCTGCCGAAGTTGGCAACTGATCGCAACGACAGTGTCGATCCGATGCAGACTTGCTGCAAGACGGACAGAGTGCTGCCGAGGCTTGCCTGGCTGAAAAGCGAGAACATGGACCCGAGGTTCGTGCGACCTCGAATACTCACAGTGGATCCGAGGTTGAAGAAGTCTAGGACGCTAAAGCTCTGTCCGCAGGTCTTCGAGAAGATCGAGAAGGTGCTTCCAACGCGAGTGAACCCACGTACGCTCATGCAGCTGCCGACCGTGACAAAGTCAAGGACGCTCAAGGACGATCCCAAGCGCGATGTTCCGTAGACGCTGCACGCGGATCCGAGACGGAAAAAGCTACGGCAACTAAGTGCGCTTCCAACAGACACGAAGTCGAGCACGCTGAAGCTGCTGCCAAGTCTGGTAACGCCATAGACGCTCGATGCAGAGCCGAAGCGCATCAAGCCGCGAACGGAGATGGCACTTCCCATGTGCAGGAAATCCAACAACGAAAGCGCGGAGCCCATTCTGGTCAGGCCGAACACACTCATGGTGCTGCCCAGGCGCACGTAGCTGCGCACCGACAGCGAGGAGCCGAGGTGCGTGGCGTCGAGCACGGAAAGGCAGCTGGCGAAGCGCGTGGCGCCACGTACCAAGGAACAGCTGGATCCCAATCGGACAAAGCTGCGTACGGAGACCATAGATCCAAGGCATGCGCGGTCGAGCAAGCTCATCGTCGAACCCAGACGCGCCACTCCGAAGAGCGAGAGCGAGCTTCCTAAGCGTGCGAAGGAGCGCACACTGCAAGCTGAACCGACATTGAAGAAGTCCAGGGTCGAGATGCTGCTTCCCAGGCGCACCTTGGAGAAGGCGCTGAGGCAAGAGCCCAGCCGCATGAAGTGTCGTACCGAGAGTGAGCTGCCGAGGCTGACGTGGTCGAGCACAGACAAGCTGCTCGCGAAGCGGATCATGCCGTACACGCTCATGCTGCTGCCCATCCGCGAGAAGCTGCGGAACGAGATGCTGCTGCCCACTGACACCGTATCCAAACACGACATGGTGGAGCCAATGCGCGTCAAGCCGTAGACAGACACGCTGCTGCCGAGGCGCACGAAGCCACGCATCGAGACGGCCGAGCCAAAGGTGATGAAGTCCAATACCGAAAGCGACGATCCGAACCGCATGGTGCCGTACAAAGAGTAGCTGCTTCCCAGTCGTGCGCAGTTACGCAGACTGATAGAACTTCCAATACTCAAGAAGTCCAATAACGAAAGGCTGCTTCCCATCACGGACACGCCGAAGACGCTCAAGGTGCTGCCGAGACGTGCGAAGCTGCGCACACTCAGTACGGAGCCGAGGTGCACGGCGTCGAGCAACGACAAGGCACTAGCCATGCGCGTCATGCCGAAAACGGACAAGCTGGAGCCCAAGCGACTGCAGCTGCGTACCGACATCGAGCTGCCGACCATGACGAAGTCCAAGATGCTGCAAGCACTGCCCATACGACTAAGCCCGAAGACACTCAAGCTGGATCCCATGCGAGCGAAGCTGCGCGTGGAGATCGAAGATCCCAGTTGCAGGACGTCCAAAATCGACATAGCACTTCCGATGCGGAACATGCCAAAGACAGAGGCGCTGCTGCCGAGGCGCGCGAATCCACGCACACTCATGCACGACCCGATGTGCACAATGTCCAATGCCGAAATGCAACTACTCAGTCGTGCAACTCCGAAGACCGAAAAGGAGCTGCCGCATCGCGCGAAGCCACGCACGGACAAGCTCGAGCCAATCTGCACTGCGTCGAGCGTGGAAAGGCAACTTCCAAGTCTGCACAGGCCATAGACGCTCAAGCTGCTGCCCAAGCGCGCCGCCGTGCGGACGGAGACTGTCGAACCAATGTGCAGGAAGTCGAGCACACTGAAGACTGAGCCCAGACGCGACATGCCGTAGACCGACATGGCGGATCCGAATCGGACGAAGCTGCGAACCGACATGGAAGACCCAAAGTGCGCGCAGTCCAAGACGGACAAGCAGCTGCCGAAGCGCAGCATTCCGTACACCGAGACTGTGGAACCAAGACGGGCGAAGTTGCGCACGGAAAGGGAACTTCCGATCGCGACGAAATCCAGGATCGAAAGAGCACTTCCCAGGCGTGCCAGGCCGAACACGGACAAAGAGCTCCCCAGTCGGACATGGCTGCGCGTCGACAAGGAGCTTCCGCAACTGACGTAGTCAAGGATCGACATCGAAGATCCGAATCGCGCACGTCCTAGAACGCTGATGCTGCTTGCCAAGCGCACGAAGTTGCGTACAGAAAGCGAGCTGCCGATCGTGAGCATATCTAAGATGCTCATGCTCGAGGCAAACCGCGACATACCGTAGACAGAAAGTGCGCTGCCAAATCGCGCAAAGCCACGAAGGCTAAGGCTGCTTCCGACAGTGCTGCAATCCAGCACCGAAAGTGCTGAACCTAGACGGCAGATGCCGAAGACAGACAGCGAGCTGCCCAATCGCGAGAAGTTGCGGATACTCATCGAACTCGAAAGTAAGATCGTATCTAGGACGCTCATTGTGCTTCCGAAGCGGGCAATGCCATATACGCTGAGTGAAGATCCGAATCGGGCGTATCCACGGACCGACAGGGTGGAACCCAGCGAAAGGTTGTCAAGCACGCTCAAAGCACTTCCCAAACTGCTGATGCCGAACAGGGACAACGAACTGCCCATGCGTGCGAAGCTGCGCAGCGAGCAGGAGCTGCCGACCGTGACGTAGTCCAGCACCGACAAAGCACTGGACAGACGCGCACAGCCGAAGAGCGACAAAGAGCTGCCTAGACGCGAGAAGGACCGGATCGAAACCGCGCTTCCCATGCTGATCATGTCGAGGACCGAGCATGCGCTGCCCAGTCGTGCCACGCCAAACACGGATAGCGAAGATCCCAGGCGAACGAAGCTGCGGACGGACATCGAAGACCCGATGTGGAAGAAGTCCAGGACCGTTACCGAGGAGCCGAACTTGGTCATTCCATAGACGCTCAGACTGGATCCGAAGCGAGCGATGCTGCGTAAGGAGATTGAGCTTCCCAGTGAGACGAAGTCCAAAACCGACAAGCTGGATCCGAAGTGCACCACACCGAAGACACTTACGGAGCTTCCCAATCGTGCGTACGAGCGCAGCGAATAGGAGCTTCCGACGGAAGTGCAGTCCAAGATCGACATCAGGGATCCCAATCGCGACATGCCGTACACGGAAACGGAGGATCCGAATCGCAAATACGCTCTGGTGGAAATAGTTGAGCCCATCACGAGCATGTCGAAGATACTCAGACGCGAGCCGCAGCGCGCGATGCCGTAAACACTCAAAGCGCTTCCGAAGCGGGCAAAGCCACGAATGCTCATGGAGGATCCAATAGAAGCAGAGTCAAGAATACTCAACGCCGATCCCAGTCTAGCGATGCCGAACACAGAAGTGCTGCTGCCCAAGCGAGCCATAGACCGCATGCTAACTGAAGAACCCAGCGTCATGTAGTCTAGGACACTGAAGGAGGATCCCAAACGCGCAATGCCGAAGACACTCAAAGTGCTGCCCAGGCGCGAGTAGGACCTGACGCTCAGGCAGCTTCCAATAGACAGCATGTCCAAAACGGAAACGCTGCTGCCAAGACGCGAAACTCCAAAGACGCTCAAAGAGCTACCCAAGCGACCGCAGGATCGCACACTCAAGCTCGAGCCGATGGACATGCTATCTAGGATGGACAAGGCCGATCCCAGACGCGCAACGCCGAAGGTGGACAAAGAGCTTCCGAACCGAGCCAAGCTGCGGACCGAGAAGCTAGATCCGAAGTTGATGAAGTCCAAGATCGAGATTCCGCTTCCCAGCTGCGTGCATCCGAACACCGACATGGTCGATCCCAATCGCCCGAAGGAACGCAAGCTCAGGCTGCTTCCAAAGGTACCGAAGTCCAGCATGGACATCGAGGACCCAAGGAAGCCGACACCGTAGAGCGACAGAGCGCTGCCGAAGCGTGCGAAACTGCGTGTGCTCAATGTGGAGCCAACGTTGAAGAAGTCTAGCACTGAGCAGGTGGAGCCGATGCGATTGAAGCCGTAGACGCTCAAAGCGCTGCCGAATCGCGAAAAGCTGCGGCAGGAGAAGCTGCTGCCGATGTTCACGAAGTCCAGAGCGGAAAGCGAACTTCCGAAGCGGCTCATGCCGTAGACGCTAGCCGTGGATCCAAGACGCGAGAACGAGCGGATCGAAAGCGTGCTGCCGAAAGAGATGGCGTCCAACACGGAGACGCCGGAACCCAGAAGTCCGCATCCGAAGAGCGACAGGGAGGATCCGAGACGCGCAAATGAGCGCATGCTCATCGTGCTTCCCAAGAACATGGTATCTAAGACACTCATGCTGCTGCCCAGGTTCGAGACGCCATAGACACTGACGGTGGACCCGTAGCGGGCCAAGCTACGCAGACTGAGCGTGCTGCCGAGAGAGAAGGTATCCAGCACAGAGATGCTGCTTCCCAAGAGCATGCACCCGAAAACGCTCATTGTGCTGCCCATCCGCGAGAAGGAACGGATCGACAACGAGGAACCGAAGCTGATGAAATCCAGAACGCTGGTTGCACTGCCCATGGTGGCGACACCGAAAAGACTCAAGCTGGATCCCATACGCGCCAGGGAGCGCACCGAAACGCTTGAACCTAGAGTCAGTAAGTCCAACACGGACAGAGCGCTGCCTAGAGCGCCGCAGCCGAAGATCGAAACGGAGCTTCCCATGCGCGCGAACGAGCGCAAGGACATCGCGGAACCGAGCGTGAAAAAGTCGAGGCAACTGACGCTGGATCCCAAAGCAACAAAGCCATAGCTGGACAAGCTGCTTCCGACACGAGCGAAGGAGCGGATCGAGAAGGCGCTTCCCAGGCTAACCCAGTCCAACGCAGACAGCGTGGAACCAAGACGGCTTGCGCCGTAGGTGCTCATCGAACTACCTAATCTGCAGAAGGAGCGAACGCTCATCACGCTGCCCAGGTGAGCCCAGTCGAGGATGCTGGCGCTGCTTCCCAGAGCGATGATTCCAAAGGAACTGAGTGTGCTTCCGAGACGCGCGAAGCTGCGCAAGGAGACCGTGCTTCCCAGATTCAGCAAGTCAAAGACGCTCATTGTGCTTCCGAGAGTGGCCAGTCCAAAAACGCTCATGGCGCTTCCGAAGCGCGAGAACGAACGTACACTCAAAGAGCTTCCGACACATGTGAAGTCAAGGACACTCAGGCTAGAGCCGAGTCGCACAGAGCCGTACACAGACAATGCGGATCCGAGACGCGCGAAGGATCGGCAACTCAGAGCTGAGCCAACTGTGAAGAAATCTAGCACCGAGACGGAAGATCCCATGCTAATGAAGCCAAATACACTGCATGAGCTACCCATGCGCGAGAAGCTGCGGATCGAGACCGAACTTCCCAAACTCAAGGTGTCCAACACTGACATGCTGCTGCCCATTCTGGATATGCCGAAGACGCTGAAGCTGCTGCCGAATCGGCTGTAGGAACGCAATGACAAGGAGCTGCCGAACGTGATGAAGTCAAGCACGCTGATGGAAGATCCCAGTCGCGCGCACCCGAAGAGCGACAGCGACGATCCGATGCGGACGAAGCTGCGAATACTCAAGCTGCTCGCGAGCGAAACGCAGTCCAGCATCGAGAGCGAGGATCCGAACCTGGTGCAGCCGTACACGGACAACACACTGCCGATGCGGCACATAGAGCGCATCGAGAAGCTGCTGCCCAGGCACAAAGCGTCCAATGCGCTAACAGAAGATCCGAGGCGAGCCATGCCGTAGATCGACACCGCGGAGCCGAACCTAGCGTAGCTGCGGCAACTCAACATGCTACCAACATTGACCATGTCCAAGATCGACATGCTGCTGCCCAATCGACCCACTCCGAAGAGGGAGATGGAGCTGCCGAGACGTGCGAAGCCGCGCACCGAGGTGCTGCTGCCCATCTGCGCGAAGTCAAGGATCGAAAGCAGGGATCCAAGTCGGCAGTGTCCGTACATGCTGAAGGCGCTGCCGAGACGGGCCATGTGTCGCATCGAGAGGGAGCTGCCGATGCACAGAGTGTCCAGAATGCTCATGCTGCTGCCGAATCGAGCCATGCCGAACACGGACAAGGAGCTTCCCAATCGCACGAAGGAACGCACGCTCATGGCCGAGCCGAAGAGCGAGAAGTCCAACAAGCTGACGCTGCTGCCGACGCGGCTAACACCATAAACAGACAAGGCGCTGCCCAGACGAGCGAACGCGCGCAAGCTGAAGGAGGAACCGACGCTGATCGTGTCGAGGACGGAGATCGCGCTGCCAATACGGCTCATTCCGTACACGCTCATCGAGCTGCCGAAGCGGAGGAAGGCGCGAACGGAGAGTGAAGACCCTACGTGGAACAGGTCCAACACGCTCATGGAACTTCCCATTCGCGTCATGCCGTACACGGAACAGGCGCTTCCAATGCGCGCGCAGTTGCGCAAGGAAACGCTGCTGCCCAGAGTGAGCATGTCCAAAACGCTCAAACCGCTTCCCAGACGAGCGAGCCCGAAGACGCTCAAGGTGCTTCCCAGGCGAGAGAAGCCACGTACGCTGAAGCAGCTACCGCAGAGCACGTAGTCGAGAACGGAAAGTGCCGATCCCATCTTGGTGAAGCCGTACACCGACAGCGTGCTACCGCATCGAGCAAAGCTGCGCAAGCTGTAGCTGCTGCCCAAGTGCGCGAAGTCAACCAAGCTCAGTCCGCTACCCAACAGCGTAGTTCCGAACACGGACAAGCTGGATCCGAGACGTGCAAAAGAGCGAATGGACAACGCAGATCCACAGCTCACTGCATCCACGATGCTCAAAGACGATCCTAGTCGGCCGAGGCCGAAGAGCGACATGCTGCTTCCTAGACGCGAGAAGGAACGAATGCTCATGCCGCTGCCCACGCCCACTGCATCGAGCAAGGACAAGAGCGATCCCACATAGGAGGTTCCATAGACGCTGAGCGAGCTTCCCATTCTCGAGAAGGAACGCAGCGACAGATTGGAACCTAGGGAAACGAAGTCAAGTGTTGACAAGCCACTGGACAACCGTGCGATGCCGAAGACGGACACTGAAGATCCGAGTCTTCCAAATGAGCGCAGGCTGTAGGAGCTGCCAAGGCTCATGAAGTCCAGAACGGAAACGCTGCTGCCGCAGAGCGAGATACCGAAAAGCGATAAGCTGCTGCCTAAGCGAGTGAAGCTCCTCATGCTCACTGCGCTGGCCAAAGAAGCGAAGTCCAAAACGCTAGCGCTGCTTCCCAACCTCAGCATTCCGAACACACTGGTGCTGGATCCAAGTCTTGCCATAGATCGCAGACTGAGACTGGATCCGAACGTGACGTGGTCTAAGAGCGAAAAGCTGCTTCCCATGCGTGCCAAGCCGAAGACGCTGAAGCTTGAACCGCAACGTCCGAAACTGCGCAACGAGAACGAGCTTCGCAAGAAGACCGTATCCAACACGCTGAGAGAGGATCCGAAGCGCCCAGCGCCATAGAGACTGCAGGACGACCCAATGCGGCTGAAAGAGCGCACCGACATAACGGAACCAAGGCTCATCATGTCTAGCAAGCTAAGACTGCTTCCCAACCTCGACACTCCGAAGAGCGAGAAGCTGGAGCCGAGACGACTGTAGGAGCGCATGCTCACTCCGCTGCCGCAAGACACGTAGTCGAGGATAGAAACGCTGCTTCCCAGCTTCGCAATTCCGAACACGGATAGAGCGCTGCCCATGCGCACGAAGCCACGGACACTCATGGTGCTGCCGATGGCCAGGCAATCGAGGATGGACAAAGCGCTGCCGAAGCGGCCCATGCCGTAGACGGAAAGGGCGCTGCCTAGACGGCCCCAAGAGCGTACGCTCAGGCTGCTACCGACGCCGGTGAAGTCCAGCACCGACAAGGCAGAGCCAAGACGGGACAAGCCGAAGATACTAGCAGATGACCCTAGGCGCGAGAAGCTGCGAAGAGACATGCTGGAACCGAACTGCACGAAGTCTAAGCAGGACAGCAGGGATCCGAGCTGCACTGTGCCGAACACGGACATGGAACTGCCTAGGCGCGCGAAGGAGCGCAGAGAAATCGCGCTGCCGATGTGCAAGCAATCCAGCAACGAGATCGACGACCCAATGCGCAGGACGCCGAACACACTGCAACTGCTGCCGAGGCGGTTGTAGGACCGCACACTGCAAGTGCTTCCCAGGTGCATCAAGTCCAGGAGTGACAATGCACTGCCGAGACGAGTCACACCGAACACGGACATCGAGCTTCCGAATCGAGCGAAGTTGCGCACACTGAATGACGATCCCATGTGGACCGCGTCCAGAGTGGAGAGCGAACTGCCGAGACGCACCAAGCCGTAGACGGACATGCTGGATCCGAGGCGGGAGAAACTGCGCACGCTGTAAGAAGAACCCAGGTGCATGAAGTCTAACACGCTGATCGAGCTGCCAACGCGGCTCATTCCGTACATGGACGTCGAGGAGCCGATGCGCGCGAACGTACGCATCGAGAGCGAAGAGCCAACGTGTAGCAAATCTAGCAGTGACATGGAACTGCCCATGCGCATCATGCCGTACACGCTCAAGCTGCTGCCGCAGCGAGCGTTGTTACGCAACGAAATTGTCGAACCAAAGGTCGCGAAATCCAAGGCCGAAAGGGCCGTTCCAATACGCGCCAAGCCATAGGCGGAGAAGGAACTTCCCAGTCGCAAGAATCCGCGGCAGGACACGGAACTGCCAAAGTTGCAGTAGTCCAGCGCAGACAGTTGCGAACCAAGTCGTGCAAGTCCGTAGACCGAAGCTGTAGAGCCCATGCGCGTGAACGATCTCATGCTGAGTCCGGAACCAACATGGACGAAGTCCAGAACCGAAAGTGCGGAGCCCAGACGCCCGATGCCGAAGAAGCTCAAACTGGATCCGAGTCTTGCGAAGTTGCGGCAGGAGAAGGAAGAGCCTAGTTGCAAGCAATCCAAGAGCGACAAGCAGCTGCCGATGCGCGACATGCCGAAGACGCTCAAGGAACTGCCAAGTCGTGTGTGTGCGCGCACCGAGAGGCTGCTTCCGAAGTGGATGAAGTCCAGCACCGAGAGTCCACTCCCCAATCGTCCAACGCCGTAGACGCTAATGCTACTTCCGATACGTGCGAAGGCACGCAAAGACATGCTGCTGCCGACGCACAGGAAGTCCAGCATCGACAAAGCGCTTCCGTACTTGGTGAAGCCGTAAACGGACATGGAGCTGCCGAGTCTGGCGCAGGCACGTACCGAGAGCGAGCTGCCGAGCTGGAAGTAATCCAAGAGTGATAAGCAACTGCCCATTCGGGCCATGCCGAAGACACTGAGACTGGATCCCAAACGAGCGAAAGAGCGAACCGACATCCCGCTTCCGCACTGCGCAAAGTCGAGTAGAGACACGCAGCTCGCGAACCGCGTGCACCCGTAGACGCTCAAAGAGCTGCCAAATCGGCAGAAGGAGCGCGAGCTCAAGCCGGAACCCAAGTGTGCGAAGTCTAAGACGCTCATTGAGCTTCCGAGACGCGCATATCCGTAAAGCGAAACGGAGGAGCCGAGTCTTGCGAACGAGCGGATCGAAACACTAGAGCCGATGTGGAAGAAGTCCAGGAGACTTACTGTGCTTCCGAGACGCACACTGCCGTAAACGGACAACGCACTGCCCAATCGTGCGAACGATCGAAGACTGAGAGCACTGCTGAGGATCACGAAGTCCAAGACGGAAAGAGCGCTTCCGAATCGCCCGATTCCGAAGACGGACAATGAGGATCCAAATCGCGACAGGGAGCGGACGGACAGCGAGCTGCCGACGTGCACGAAGTCCAAAACCGAAAGTGCGGATCCGAGCCGCGAAAGTCCGTACACACTCACGGAACTGCCAACGCGCATGAAGTTACGCAGGCTGATTCCGCTGCCGCAGGAGCTAGCGTCCAAGCACGAGAGGCAAGAACCCAAACGGACCATTCCATAGACGGACAAGGAACTTCCGAGTCTCGCATACGACCGCAACGACAACGAGCTACTCGAGTGGCACAGGTCCAGCAGACTGAGACCAGAGCCCAGTCTAGTGATGCCATAGACGGAAAGAGCGCTGCCCAAACGACCGAAGCCGCGCACGCTGAGGTTGGAACCTGCGAGCAAGAAGTCCAGCATGCTCATTGAGCTGCCCATTCGCGCAGTGCCGTAGATCGAGATCGTCGACCCGATGCGAGCGTATGTGCGCAAGGACAGAACAGAGCCAAGGCTGAGCATGTCCAAGAGGGAGAGCGACGAGCCCAGGTTGCAAACGCCGTAGACACTGCAGCTGCTACCCATGCGCGCGAAGCTGCGCATAGAGAAGGTGCTGCCAAGCTGGAAGAAGTCCAGAACGCTAATTGCCGAACCCATTCGTGTCACGCCAAACACGGAAAGCGATGATCCCATGCGGCTGAAGCTGCGCAAGCTCAAGGCGCTGCCGGAGCAAGCGAAATCAAGCATGGAAACGAATGAACCGAACTTGGCCAATCCGAAGACTGAGCAACTGCTGCCAAGACGTGCGAACGATCGCATGCTCAAAGAGCTTCCGAAGTGGCAGAAGTCCAGTGCAGATAAGGATGATCCCAATCGCGCAATGCCGAAGACACTCAAGGATGATCCCAATCGCGCAAAGCCACGTGTTGAGAACGAACTGCCAATGTGCAGGACGTCCAACATCGAGAGTGCGCTTCCGAACCGCGTCATGCCGTACACGGAGAGCGAGCTGCCTACACGCAAGAAGTTGCGGAGAGACAAGGAACTCGACACGTGGGCGAAGTCCAAGACACTCAGGTTGCTGCCCATACGCGCCATGCCGTACAAGCTGAGTGCAGAGCCTAAGCGCAAGTAGCATCGCACACTCACTGAGCTTCCGCAGCTGACGAAGTCTAAGATCGACACGTTGCTCGCGATGCGCGACATCCCGAACACGCTCAAGGAGCTACCCATGCGAACGAAGTTACGCAAAGAAAGAGCGCTGCCACAGTGCGTGAAGTCGAGGATGCTCATGGCACTTCCGAATCGCGTCATTCCGTATACGGAGAGCGCAGAGCCCAATCGTGCGAGGCATCTAGAACTAATGCTGCTACCGATGATCGCGAAGTCGAGGACGGACAGACTAGATCCGACCTGACTCGTTCCGTAGACGCTCATGGAAGATCCGAGCCTGAAGAAGCTGCGCACCGACACAGCGCTGCTGAGGGTGCAGTAGTCCAGGATGGAAACTGCGGAACTCAATCTTGCGATTCCGAACACGGAGATGCTGGATCCCAAGCGTGTGTAGGTTCGGCACGAAAGCATGCTTCCGATGTGGCAGCAGTCGAGCGTGGAGACGCTGGAGCCAAGGCGCACCATGCCGTAGACGGACATCGCGCTGCCGAGACGGCCGAAAGTGCGCACGGAAAGCGAGCTTCCGACGTGGAACAGGTCGAGCACCGACATGTTGCTGCCGAAGCGGCTAATGCCGTAGACCGACAAAGAGCTACCGAGGCGCGCAAAGTTGCGTAGCGACAAGCAGCTCGACAAGTGCACCGCGTCCAAGACGCTCAAGCAACTGGCGAATCGGGCCATACCGTAAACGGACAATGAGCTGCCGACACGGAAGCAGTTGCGCAGCGAAACTGAGCTTCCAAGCGAGAACCAATCCAACAAGGACACACTTGAGCCCAAGCGTGAGATGCCGTAGACACTCGCGGAGGATCCGAGGCGAGCGAAAGAGCGCATGCTCATTCCGCTTCCCAGCGTCATGAAGTCCAACAAGGACATGCTGCTGGAGCAGCGCAGCGTTCCGTAGACGGAAAGGGAGCTGCCGAGACGTGCGAAGTTTCGCACTGAAAGGCTGCTGCCAATCGACACGAAGTCCAAGATCGAGCACGCGGACGACAAGCGGCTAATACCGTACACGGACAAGGAGCTGCCGAATCGCGCAAAGTTGCGGATGGACATGCAAGATCCAATGTGCACGGCATCTAGAACTGACAAGCAGCTTCCGAAGCGCGCCATGCCGTAGACGCTCAATGCGCTACCGAGACGAGTCACTGTGCGAATGCTGATGCTGCTGCCCACTTGCACAACGTCCAAGATCGACATGCAGCTTCCGAAGCGCGTCATTCCGTACACGGACAGACTGCTTCCCAGTCGCGAAAAGTTTCTGACCGAAAAACCACTTCCGATCTGCACGAAGTCCAAGACGCTCATGCAGGATCCTAAGCGCGCCATGCCGAACACGGAAGCAGACGATCCGATGCGGGCAAAGTTCCGCAGAGACAAGCCGGATCCCATGGTCACGAAGTCCAGGACACTAAGGTTGCTTCCTAATCTGCCCATTCCGTAGATAGACAGCGAACTGCCCAGTCGTCCATAGTTGCGCACCGACATTGACGACCCAATCGAGAAGTAGTCCAAAACTGACAGACAACTGGCGAAGCGCACCATGCCGTAGACGCTGCAGGATGACCCAAGACGAGCCAAATTACGCACGGAGAGTCCACTGCCGATCTGCAAGAAGTCCAAAAGCGAAAGGCACGATCCCGTACGGGCCATGCCGTAGACGCTCAAAGACGAACCGCAGCGCGCGAAGTTGCGCAGCGACATCGAACTGGAGAGCGAGAGCATGTCTAGAACCGACAAGCAGCTGCCGAAGCGGCCCATGCCGTAGCAGGACACACTGGATCCTAGGCGACCAAACGTGCGCAGGGACAAGCTGGAGCCAATGCACAAGAAGTCCAATAAACTCACGTTGGAGCCGATGCGCATGCAGCCGTACAGACTGAGCGAACTCCCGAGGCGTGCGCAGTTGCGGACGCTGAGCGAACTGCCGATGTGGCAGAAATCCAGCAACGACATTCCAGACCCGATGCGGCAAGTTCCGTACATCGACAATGCTGATCCAAGCCTCAAGAAACCGCGGCAGCTCAGGGAGCTTCCCATAGACACAAAGTCCAACACCGACAAACTGCTTCCTAGGCGGCTGACTCCGTAGAGGGAACCGGCGCTGCCCAGGCGAGCCCAGCCACGGATGGAGATGCAGGTACCGACGTGCACTGCATCTAAAACCGAGAAGCTAGATCCCAGTCGAGTGAAGCCGTAGACCGAGCAGGAAGATCCGCAGCGTGCGAAGGACCGCACCGACAAGGACGAGGCCAGAGAGAAGTAGTCCAACATAGACATCTGATCTCCGAATCGCGTGGGGCCGAAGACCGAGATGCTGCTCCCCATACGGCAGAAGTTACGCATGGAGAGCATCGATCCTAAGTGAACCGCGTCGAGGAGAGACATTCCACTACCGAAACGCGCCATGCCGTAGACAGATGTCGCAGACCCTAAGCGGAACATGCCTCGCAGAGACATGCTGCTGCCCAGCCAGAAGTAGTCTAGCACGGACATGTTGGCTCCAAATCGCATGTGCGACTGGAAGACGGACACGCCAGATCCCAATCGGATGAAGCTACGGAGAGAAAAACTGCTGCCGACACAGAAGGAATCAAGAATTGATAATGCAGATCCGAATCTCGACAAGCCGTAGACGGAAAGCGAAGATCCAAAGCGAGTGAAGCCGCGAATCGACAGAGAGCTTCCGACTGAGATCGAGTCAAGCACGGATAAAGCGCTGCCGAAGCGGCTCACACCGTAGACACTGCAGCTGCTGCCGAGACGACCGAAGGATCGCACGGACAAAGAACTTCCGATGTGCAGGTAGTCCAATACACTGCATGCACTGCCTAGTCGGCTCATGCCGTAGACGCTGCAGCCGCTGCCCATGCGCACACAGCAGCGAACGGACATGCTGCTTCCGATGTTGAAAAAGTCTAAGACAGACAAGTTGGACCCAGTGCGGATCATGCCGTAGATGGAAACGGAGCTTCCGATACGAGTGAAGGTACGCACAGAGATCGAGGATCCCACGTGCAGGAAGTCCAAGATGCTCATTTGCGATCCCATTCTGCTGATTCCGAAGACAGATAGTGCCGACCCCAAGCGGACAAAGCTACGGCACGAAAAGCCGGATCCGATCGAGACCATGTCCAATACCGACAGAGCCGAAGCCAGTCGTGCAGTGCCGTAGACGGATAATGCGGAGCCCAGACGCACAAATGAGCGTACAGAGAAGGTCGACGCCGTCTGTACGTAATCCTCAATACGCAGAGCCGCGTTCACAATCGCCGGATGCTCGTAGATGGAGCGGCACGAGAAGGAACTACCGATTCGCACGAACGATCGGATAGAAACGCTGCTGCCAATGTGGCAGTAGTCCAGCACCGAGAAGGAGCTGCCCAATCGCGTCAAACCGTACAACGACATGGAGCTGCCGAAGCGGGAGAAGCCGCGGACAGACATGCTACTCGAGAGTGCGACGAAGTCCAAAACGGACAAGCTTGATCCCAATCGGCTGAAGCCATAGACCGAAAAGGCGCTGCCTAATCGCGACACACCGCGAATGCTCATTGCGCTGCCGACATTGATTATGTCCAATATCGACAATGCGGATCCGAAGCGGATCGTTCCGTACACGCTCATGGAACTTCCACATCTAGCGTAATTGCGCAATGACAAAGACGATCCCATGCCCAGGAAGTCCAGCATCGACATTGACGATCCGAAGCGCGAGATGCCGAACAGACTCAGAGTGCTACCAAGTCGCCCAAAACTACGTGTGCTAAAACCGCTGCCCAAGCAGGCGTAGTCTAGAATGGACAAGGAGCTGCCAAACAGTGTCACACCGTACACGGACATGGTAGAGCCGAAGCGCGAGAAGGTACGGAGCGAAATGCTACTTCCCATGTTGATGAAGTCCATCATCGATACGCTAGAGGCCAAGAAGCTCATTCCGTAGATGCTCAAGGCGGATCCCAAACGCGCCAGCGAGCGCAGTGACAGTGCGCTACCACACGTCAAGAAGTCTAAGAGACTGACGCTGCTGCCGAAATGCGAGATTCCATAGACGGATAAGCTGCTGCCGAGACGACTCAAGTTGCGGATGCTCATGCTGGATCCGACGTGGAAGAAGTCCAAGCAGGAAGTGCTAGACCCAATGCGCGTGAAGCCGTAGATGGACAATGAACTGCCCAAACGACTAAACGACCGGACCGACAATGCAGATCCGATGCTGACAACATCGAGGATCGAAAAGCTGCTGCCAACGCGGCACACACCATAGGCGCTCATGGAGGATCCGAAGCGCAGGAACGATCGGCAACTCAAACTGGAGCCGAAGCTGCCATAGTCCAAGATCGAGATAGAGCTTCCGATACGCGCCAAGCCGTAGACACTCAAGCTGCTGCCCAAGCGAACCAGACCGCGCAACGACATTGCGCTACCAACGGATCCGGCGTCGAGCAACGAGAAGTTGCTGCCCATACGCGCGATACCGTACAGCGAGACAGCGGAACCGAGACGCGCAAGGGATCGAATAGACAAGGAGCTACCGATCCAAGCCGCATCGAGCACGGAGAGTCCGCTTCCGATTCTCAAGAAACCATACGCGGAGAGGGCTGATCCCATACGCGAAAAGCCACGCAAAGAGAGACTGCTGCCCATGCTGGTGTAATCCAAAACGGACACTGAGGAACCAAGTCTGCAGAGACCGTAGCACGAGAAGGACGAGCCGATGCGGGACATGCTGCGCACGGAGAATGCGGAAGCAGCAGACACAAAGTCGAGCACCGACAAAGCTGAGCCGATTCTTGCTAATCCGAAGATGGAGTAGGACGAGCCGCAACGAGCGATCGAACGCACAGACAGCGATGATCCGACAGAGATCGTGTCCAACACGGAAAGTCCACTCCCCAGCACGGTCACGCCGTAGATACTCATGCTAGAGCCCAATCTCGAAAAGGTACGAAGCGAAACGCTGCTGCCAACGAAGCAGGTGTCGAGCAGGGAGAGCGAGCTTCCGAACAGGCTGATGCCGTAGACAGAGAGCGAGCTGCCCAATCGTGCCAAGGTTCGCACGGACATTGCGCTCCCAAGGAAGACGTAGTCCAAAACCGACATGCTGCTGCCAAATTGGCCAATGCCATAGCAGGAAATACTGGAGCCTAGTCGCGCCAACGTACGAATGCTAAGAGCGCTTCCGACGTGCGCGAAGTCTACCATGGAGAACGCGCTTCCCAACGACGCAAAGCCGTAGGTACTCAGACTTGATCCGAGCCGGGCAAAGGATCGCAGGGACACTGCACTACCTGGAGAGCAGCAGTCCAGAATGGACATGCTGCTACCGATCCTTGAGAATCCGTAGATCGAGATGGAGCTTCCGAATCGGACAAAGCCACGAATCGAGAGCGTGGATCCCAAACTGCTGTGATCTAAGATGGACATGGAAGATCCAATTTTGAGCATGCCGTAGACACTGCACGCGCTGCCCAAGCGCACGTACGAACGCAGGGACAGACTAGATCCGAAGGTGATGTAGTCCAGAACGGAGATTCCGGATCCCAATTTCATCAACCCGAAGACACTCAAAGCCGATCCCAATCGTGCGAAGCCGCGGATACTGAGCGAACTTCCTAGTGCTACAGCGTCTAGCAACGAGAACGCGCTACCGATATTGGTGAAGCCGTAGACGGAGAGCGACGAGCCGAATCTGACAAAGCTGCGGCACGACATGGCGCTTCCGAGATGCACGTAGTCGAGGCAGGACATGCTGGATCCTAAGCGCGCGACACCGTAGAGCGACAACGCTGAACCCAAGCGTGCGAACTGCCTCAAGGACAGCGAACTGCCAAGCGTCAGGAAGTCCAAGACCGACAGTGCGGAGCCGAGAGTTGCAATGCCGTAGGTCGAAGTGGAACTTCCAATCTTGGCGAAAGATCGCAATGAGAAAGCTGAGCCCATGTGCATTGCATCCAACATAGAGAGCGCCGATCCGAATCGGAACATGCCGTAGGCAGAACAGCTGGAGCCGCATCGACTAAAACTACGCAAAGACATGCTGCTTCCGAAACTGCTGTAGTCCAAGGTGGACAAGCTGCTTCCCAGCTTGGACAAACCGTAGATACTCAAGCTGCTACCCATGCGCACGAAGCCACGAAGCGACAGTGTGCTTCCCAACGAGAAGAAGTCCAGCACGGAAACGCTGGATCCCAACCTTGTGACGCCGTAGATGGAGCAGAAGCTGCCGCAACGAGCAAAGTTTCTCAAGGAGAACATCGATCCGAAGTGCGCATAGTCGAGCATCGAAAGTGCACTGCCGAATCGCGAGCATCCGTAGATCGACAAGGAACTACCGAACCGCGAGAAGGTTCGCGCAGAATATGAACTACCAAGCATCAAGAAGTCCAAGATCGAGCATGTACTTCCAAATGTTGCCAATCCGTACAGTGACAATGCTGAGCCCAATCTGGAGAAGGATCGGCAGGAAAGGGAACTTCCAAAGTGCACGAAATCCAACACGGAAAAACCCGAAGCTAAACGGGCCAGACCGAAGATCGACAAACTGCTTCCGAATCGGCCGTAACTGCGGATGGACAACGCGCTCCCCACATGCCACCAGTCGAGGCAGGAGAGGGTAGAGCCGCAACGAGCGGTTCCCATCACGGATAAAGCGCTGCCGATGCGCACGTAGGCACGCACAGAAAGCGTACTCGCCAATCGCGTGTAGTCCTTCACGGAGAATGCGCCTGCGCGAATGTACGAACGCACGGAGAGGGAAGAACCGACATGCGCAACGTCCAATACTGAAATCGCACTTCCCAGCAATGCCAATCCATACACGGACAGCGTCGATCCCATACGCATGAAGCTACGGATGGAGAAGCTACTCCCAATAGTAATGGCGTCCAAGACGGAGCACTGAGAACCGAATCGCGAGATTCCGTAGATGCTCACTGCAGATCCGCAACGCGAGAAGGAGCGCACAGATAGGGAACTAGAAATAGAGACCCACATCATCACGCTCAACTCCTGCGTCAAGTAGGTACTGCCATAGGTGCTCATGCTACTTCCCAGTCTGTAGAAGGACTGGAGACTGAGGGACGAACCCAGGTGCACGTAGTCGAGGATACTCATGCTGGATCCGAGACGGCTGCAACCGTAGACGGACAGCGTGCTTCCGAGTCGTGCCCACGAACGCAACGAGAGCGCTGACCCGAGGGTGACGTAGTCCAGCAACGACAATTGCGATCCTAGATTCGCGAGTCCGAAGACCGAGAAGCTGCTACCAATGCGGCAAAATCCGCGAAGGGAAACTGAACTTCCTAGCGTGAAGAAGTCGAGGACACTGCATTGCGAGCCGAGTTTCATGTAGCCGTAGACAGACGCGCTGCTGCCGAGACGCACGAAGGACTTGATCGAGAAGCTGCTTCCCATGAGGATGCTGTCCAAGACGGAAAGGCTCGATCCGAAGCGGCCGATGCCGAAGATCGACAAACTAGAGCCTAAGCGGCCAAAACTGCGCAGAGACATGCTGCTACCGAAGTTGACGTAGTCCAGGACTGAGCAGCCACTGCCAATCCGCATCAAGCCGTAGAGACTCATGCTGGAGCCCAATCGGGAAAAGGACCGGATGGAGAGCACGGACCCGAGCCCAATCATATCCAGACACGATAGTGCGGAACCCAAGCGCGCAAGGCCATAGACCGAGCTGCAGCTACCCAGGCGCGCCATCGAGCGCACCGACACGGAAGAGCCCAGGTGCAGAAAGTCCAGCACGGACAACGCACTGCCCAGCCGGACCATGCCGTAGACCGAGCAGCTGCTGCCCACGCGCGCAAAGTTTCTCAAGGAAATAGTGCTCCCCATGTGCACGAAGTCCAAGATGCTCATCGCGCTCCCAAATCGACCGATCCCGTAGACAGAAAGCGAGCTTCCGAGTCGCGCGAACCCTCGCAACGAGAACGAGCTACCTAGAGACGTGGAATCCAAAACCGACAATCCGCTACCCAGTCGTGCACAGCCGTAGACGCTCAGTCGATCGCCCCCACGAAACATGCTCCTAAGACTGCCGCTGCTGCCCAAGTGGAAGTGGTCCAGAATCGAGATTTGCGATCCGATCCGACCTAAACCATATAAGGACATGGAACTTCCGATGCGCATGCAGGTGCGCACGGACACCGCCGACCCCACCTGTACGTAGTCCAGAATGGAAATGTTGCTGCCCAACCTGGCCACGCCGTACATCGAGAGGCAGCTGCCCATGCGCAAGAAAGAACGGACGGACAGAGCGGAGCCTAAGTGGATGCTGTCTAGAACAGAGAGCATGGATCCCATGCGGAGCATGCCGTAGACACTGGAACTGCTGCCAATACGACTGAAGCTGCGGAGCGAAACTGCGCTGCCAAAGCTGATGAAATCGAGGACTGAGTACTGCGATCCGCATCTTAGCATGCCGTAGAGCGACATCGTGCTACCAATTCTCAAAAAAGATCGTAGCGAAAGTGAGCTTCCTAGAGTGACATAGTCCAAAATCGACAAGTTGGATCCGAATCGGCCGCATCCGTAGAGCGAGAAGGACGATCCTAATCGGCAGAAGCTCATCAAAGACATGGAACTTCCGAACTGCACAAAGTCTAGCACTGAAAGGGAACTGGCGGCATAGCACACGCCGTAAACCGAGCACGAGCTGCCTAGGCGGCAAAAATTTCGGACTGACAGCGTGCTCCCGAAGTTCACGTAGTCCAGAATGGACATGCTGCTCCCAAACTTCGACAATCCGTACACGGAGCAGGAAGAGCCCAGTCTTGTGCCACTTCGGATGGAAATCGCGCTTCCTAGAAGCAGGTAGTCAAGAGATGAGATGCTGGAGCCTAATCTGCACAACTCATAGACGGACATCGAACTTCCGAGTCGGCAGAATCCTCTCAAAGACACTGCAGAGCCAATGTAGGCCCAATCGAGCACGGAGAGCGAACTACCTAGTCGTGACATGCCGTAAACCGACATGGCGCTGCCTACTCGTGCGAATCCACGTAAAGACATGCTGCTGCCCATGAGCAAAAAGTCCAAAACACTCAAACTCGAAGCGAGCCTCGTTGCGCCGTAGACGGACATGGCGCTGCCTACGCGGAAGAAGCCTCGTAGACTGACGGTGCTTCCCACTGAACTGTAGTCCAGAATTGACAGGGCCGATCCGAGCATTGTGAACCCGTACAACGACAAGCTGGATCCTAGACGTGCAAAGTTTCGCAAACTCAAACTTGAGCTCATCTGCACATAGTCGAGGATGGACAAGCAGCTGCCCAATTTCACTAATCCGTAGACACTCAAAGCACTGCCAAGTCGGCACTGGGCACGAATGGAAATTCCACTTCCTAGACTGACGCAGTCCAGGATGCTCATTGTGCTTCCGAAACGGCCACATCCGAAGACGCTGATTGCGGAGCCAAATCGACCGAAATCACGCACGGAGAGACTGCTACCAATGTGCGAGAAGTCCAACACACTAATGTTGGCTCCAATCCTCGCCAGAGAGTAGACACTGCAACTGGATCCGAGACGAACGAAATTCCTCAGAGAATAGCTGCTGCCTGCGTGGAAGTAGTCGAGCAGAGACATGCTGCTTCCAAGTCGGACCATGCCGTAGACGGACAAGCGGGTCTCACCCATGCGCAGAAAGCTTCGGAAAGACATGGAACTACCGAAGTGGATCGCATCTAGGACGGAGAGCGCAGAAGCGAAGTAGGCCATTCCGTACACGGAATAGGAACTTCCTAATCGTGCGAATCCACGGATCGAAAGCGCGCTTCCTACTTGTGTCGTGTCCAGGATGGACAAGATGCTGCCCATGCGTCCAACCCCGTACACACTGAGTGCAGAACCCAAGCGTGCGTAGCTGCGCAGGCTCAATGTTGAGCCTAGACTAAGGAAGTCCATAGCCGAAACCGAACTGCCGATGCGCATCATGCCGTACACCGACATGGAGCTGCCCAGTCGACAGAACGATCGCACCGAAAGAGCAGATCCCATGTGCACGCTGTCTAGAACGGAGAGTTGAGATCCCAGGCTGAGCATGCCGTAGCAACTCATACTGGAGCCGCAACGTCCCATGTTTCGGAGCGAAAAGGAACTCCCGAAGGAGATCATGTCTAGCAAGGACAGCGCAGATCCAAATCTAGCGGTTCCGAAGAGGGATACAGCACTCCCCCATCGCGAGAAGCCTCGTACGGACATGCTACTTCCGAAGGTGTTGAAGTCTAGGACTGAGAGGTAGGATCCCATCCTCGCCAAGCTGTAGATCGAGATCGCCGAGCCGATGCGCACAAAGTTACGGATGGAAACAACGCTACCCATAGAGGCGAAGTCCAGAACCGACAATCCGCTTCCGATCTTGGTTACTCCGTAGACGGAAATGCTGGAACCCACGCGCGCAAACGCTCGGATGGAGAGACTTGAGGACAGGGACACGAAGTCCGTCACGGAAAGATCACTTCCGAACCACGTGCTGCCGTAGACGGAGAGAGAAGATCCGATTCGGCAGTAGTTGCGCAATGAGATACTCGATCCGAGGTGCACGAAGTCCAAAACCGTCATGCTGCTTCCTAATCTCGTCAATCCGTACAATGACAGTCCGCTACCAATGCGCATGTACGTTCGCAAGGAGAGCGAAGACCCTAGATGCAGGCAGTCGAGCAATGACAGCGTACTAGCGATACGAGTCATGCCGTAGACGGACAAGGTTGACCCACATCGGAAGAACGTTCTCAAGGACAAGCAACTGCCTAAATGCACGCGATCTAACAGCGAGAAGCAACTTCCGAAGCGCGTGATGCCGTAGACTGACAACGAGGAACCCAATCTAGAGAGCATCCTCACAGACAGGCCGGATCCGAAGCTCACAGCGTCCAAGATACTCAAGCAGCTGCCGAAACGCACAATGCCGTAGACTGACATAGAACTGCCCAATCGTGCGCAACCTCGGATACTCAAGGCACTGCCCACCGAAATCGAGTCCAAAACGGAAATGCAACTGCCAATTCTTGCCAATCCGAAAACGGACACCGAACTACCTAGTCTTGCGAAATTTCGCAAAGACATAGCGCTGCCTACGTGCACCGCGTCCAAGGTTGAGAGGCAGGATCCGAGTCGTGCGAAGCCGTACATCGAAATGGCACTACCCATCCTCGCGAAGCTGCGCACACTCAAGCTGCTGCCCAACTGCGCTGTGTCTAGCAACGACAGGCAACTCCCTAAAAAGGACAAGCCATACACCGAGAGACTGCTGCCGATGCGCGTCATCCCACGGATACTCAGACTAGATCCCAAGTGCAGAAAGTCCAACACTGAGAGTCCACTGCCCAATCGGTACACGCCGTAGACGCTGAGTGCACTGCCTATGCGCACGAACTTGCGGACACTCATGGAACTGCCAATCTGGGTGTAGTCGAGAATGGAAAAGGAACTCCCAATCTTCGCCAAACCGTAGACCGACATAGAGCTTCCGAAGCGCAGAAAGGTTCTCAGTGAAAGACTCGACCCACATGAAATCTGGTCCAGCAATGACACTGACGAACCGAACCTGAGTGTGAGTGACGCGGAGTTTAGTGAATTTCTTATAACTTTCATTTTCTTGAGAGTGCGAGTCAGAGAGTTTGACGAACTTGTGAATTTTTTCGTCATTTTGAAAAGTATCGTCATTTTGAAAAGTTAAAACGAGCTTTGTAGTCTGTCATCTACCAAAAGAAGGATGAGACCGTCAACATCTATCAAAAGATGAATGGTCTCCTCAAAATAAGACACACACGACAACGTGATGGATCATGAAATAATATTAAACTACTGAACAATTGTCTTACAACGTATTGTTCTACTCTCTCTTCACTCAACAAAAGATATCCTCCAGATGTCAGTTTCCAAGTATGTACCTGCAGAGTCCGTATACGCTCAACGCGCTTCCTATCCGCACCATGCTTCGCAATGAAGTGCTGCTTCCGAACGACACGAAGTCCAAGATCGACAGCGAAGATCCGAGACTCGAAAACCCGTAGATCGAAATACTGCTCCCAACCTGCATGAAGCTACGCAGAGACACCGCCGAACCCGTGTGCACGAAGTCCAATAACGACAGAGTAGACCCCAGTCTGGCCAGACCGTACACGGACAGTGTGGAACCGCCTCGCTGGAAGTTTCGCAAAGAGAAACTACTGCCCATGTGTGCGTAGTCGAGGACGGACAGTGCACTTCCCAAGTTTGCGATACCGTAGATCGAGAACGTAGAGCCCATTCGCATCAGTGATCGGATGGAAAGCATACTTCCTAATTGCACGAAATCGAGACAGGAGAGGGAACTGCCCAATCTAGCCTGTTCGTAGCACGTCAGTGCCTGGCCCAAACGCGCGAAACTGGCGACGGAGAGAGAGCTACTCATCGACACGAAGTCCAACACAGAGTAACTTGATCCGAAACGCACCGTTCCGAATACGGACAAAGCACTGCCCAATCGCGCGTAGGTTCCAACGGATAGGTAGCTACCAAGTCTCGCGAACTGACGCACCGACAAGGTACTACCCATACGCACGAACTGATTCACGGACAGAGAGCTACCGAGGTAGCACCAGTTCGTTACTGTGCACGTGCTACCGCAGTCTACGTGTCCGAAAACTGACAGCTTGTAGCCCATGTATGCGCTCTGAGCGACAGACACTTCCTCACCTGGAGAGGGTTGAGAGGAGGGATGGTCAGACAGTATTGAGAGGGTTGAGAGACGTGGTGGAGAGAGGCTGACAGGTACAACTTGGAGGCGTCATTGCTTGTTCACGATGAGGGAATTGTAGTTGATGGGAGTGATGCAAACGATACTGTGACAAGAACTTCATCAACACAAGATATTTATACTACAACATCTACACGGAAACCTACTGCATCAATCCAAGTGATCAAACCAAACCACGAACTACAATGCAAAAGTCTAATATAACAGTATGTACTACAACTTGAGGTAAGATACTTAGTGAGTATGTACTACAACTTGAGGTAACATACTTACTTAGTGAAAAACTTTAACTTAAAATCAATGCAAAAGTCGAAAAAGTCTAAAAATCAAACGTACCAAGATGCACAACATCTGTCACTGACAATTTGTCCCCCAACGTTGTCTGTTTGAAGACGCGCAAATCGTCTCCGAACTCGACCTTGTTGAAGACACTCAGTGTTGTGTTGAAGAAGGCTCTGGCGTCTGGCGTGATGATCAACATATCTGCCATCCCTACACCACCCGAGACGACTAAATCTTGTCCAATGTTAGCTGCTGCCATCGTGTACTTATTCATGGTCTTCAGAGTCCACTTGATTAGGCCGTCCTGAGGGGTGGTTTCGGTTTTGGATTGGGACGATTGGTTTTATTTGATGTCTTTTTGATTGTTCTCCAAAAATGCATTACCTGCTGATACCATCCAAACAACCATCTAGTAGTATGATTACCTTCCGAAAGTTAATCTTCGGGTCTTCCAACGCTGGGTCGATGTCCACGGGACCTAAAAGGGTGATGTCACCGTAGTTACTAACCAGCACGAATGCCTCCGTTTGCACAAACAGATAGGCGAAGACGAAGAAGAAAAACGACATCACGCTAAACCCTCGCTGCCTTTCATGTCGCGCATGTAGTTGTTTTCTATCAGGGGTTGATCTCTTGCTTTGCTTTGATGTTGAGGAGGGGAGAAAGCATTTGCTTGAACGAAGATGTTGACCCTGTTTTTCTTGTTCAAGAGCACGAGTGGTCTCTGCTAGAGGAGACGTCTCTTCTGCTTCCCGACCGCGCTTTCGTCTTCTTTTGCCGCGCCGTCTATACCAGAGATCCTGCTTACTTCCACGGCTACTAGTTCCGATAGAGAAAGCCGTGCTACAATCTTCAGGCGTCCACTCCCTCAGATCTTGCACCCACTCTCTCATTTCCGTGCGCTCATCCTTCTCCACAAGAGGAGCACCACTACTAGTCATAGGAGCCTTGCCATGTGGATAGTAGTTATGGTTGTCTAGTTGAGAAGATGCTGTTGAAGATGCTCCTAGAGGAGCAGTTTTTTGGTACCAGAAGCTACTACTGGATGACTCAGAATCTCCGACTAACAGGCGTCCACTCCTATCAATCGACTTCTTCTCCAAGTGCGTACTACACCCGGTGGTCATCTCTTCCTCGCTTCGACACCTTCTTGATGATGCCATTTCAACCATTAGCTCCGCCTCCAACTCTTCTATCTCTTCACTAGGATGAAGAGTAGACTTCCTCCTTCGCCTCCGGGGACTCCGTACATCCCACGAACTGCCGGAGGCAGCCGTGGGATGCTCCCAGTCAGGTGGCTGCTTCATACCCCAGTCAGGCAGGAGCCGAGAACCATGTCCACGGACGCCAGAACCATCTTAGAAACTTCTTAGTCAAAAGCTTACTAAGAGTTATTGAACTACTTGTTACTTAGTTCTAATTAAATTATACAGCTGCAGACTACAGATGAGAAGAATTTACAATACCTTCCAATATAACAGTTACCCACTATAATTCGAATGTTAGTCTTAGTAGTTATAATTCTGAGATAGCAAATGGCGAATAGTATAATTTTTAGTTAGACTCAAATGGAATATCAAATCACGATAATACGCTCGAAAAAAATAGTATATTAGCTAAAAAAATACGACAAATAGTTGCTACAATATTGCGTCTCATCAAATAATAATCACCTTACGCAAGTTATTTCGATAAAAAAGCCTATGGTTCGTGTGGGTTGGGAAAATCGATCATGGTCAACGGAGATAATGATGGTGAGTTGGTGGAAGGAGTGAGTTGAAAGAATATGATCATTTTGAATGAATCAGTAAAGTAAGCAATAAATGTTGAACAAAAAATGGACACGGAATGGTAATGGATGAAGCTACTAGTTACTACTCTGAGTGAAGAAATATCAAAATTAGCGTTGATACCAGTCACATGTTGGCTCGTCACATGAACACATACCACAACTCAAAAACAGAACTTCATTACTCGTTGTACAAGAGATTCATCTTCGCTTCTGCTCTATCACTAAAAATTCCAAACTCAATATGAGGAAAAAATAAACCTCAACAACAACACAAACTCAACCACGATCACACTCGTACCCCTTCTAAAGCAAAATCCATCAATCTCTACTCAACCACTCGTCAGGCAGTAGTTTTTCTCTCGTCTTGTGAATAACAGAACATTTTCTCTCGTCTCGTCGAAGCATATACTTTTTTCTCTCGTCCTTCTTTGGATCCATCACTTGCTGTAGCATTCAGCTAAGATATTAGCCTAATATCTCTCAACTGGACATCTTCCATGTTAGAGAACCTCAAATGTATCTTGTTTGCTCTGTCTTTGCGAAAAACTCTCCATGAACGGAACGGCCCGAAGACCATCTATGAACACAAGAATGGATGCGAAAAAAGTCGTCTGTTCTGTAGCAGTAATGCAAGTGAGACGACAAGTTGCCGATGTTCTGGTGGACGCTTCTCTAAAAATTCTACATAAAAAGTATCTTCTTTCTTTCTCGTGTAATTAAAGCTCAGCACTCAATGGTCAGCGATGCTGAACGGAAGAGACCCCCTCCAAAGCTCTCCCCTTTAACTTCCTTTTCCCCTGTTCTCCTCTCAAGGGGAGGTTACTTCTTCGATCTCAGTGACCCCAATCTCAATGGTGACCATTGAAAGCTGAGCCTTAATGTAAGTACCAGCAAGATAAGAAGATGGATTCCTGCGCTTTGTTCTTCACGTCCACCTTGCACAAGATCCTTCCCATCAACGTCTACGTCCTCCAAAGTTTACGACATCTACGTATGTTGTGTAGACGGAAAATGTATTTTACATCATCAAGGTCGCTAGAAACCTTGGTTAAAACAACAACATTTTTTTACAAGAATTGTGGAGTGGTTTCCTTCTATGCATTCACTCGTATATCCCAATTTCCAAGAAGATGACAACAGATAAGAAATGAACACTAGAAGCTAATAAGTAGCTAGATTATGTATCTCTAGTAGCTCGAAAACATTAACCATGGAGAGCTCGTTATGTTTCTGCATTCTCTTTTTTTTTGCACATCATGCTCATGTTGACGAGAACTACAGGGCATGGAATATATTTTATAAGTCTATAATTATATCCTCTCAGTCTTCAGTGAACCTAAGGCCTCCACCATCGACCAGGGTAGATACTGCGTCGAACGACCTTGCCGAACAACACGTCGCGATACAGGTCCCAGCGTGTCCACTTCAAATCGAGTACCAAGAAAACCACGCCAAATAGCAAGAGGAGCCACTCGGATGCTTGACCTCTAGTTGCGGTGGGATGAAAGTAACATGTGAGAGTTTATTTTGGGTAGGGGTACTTAACAGGGGGAACTACAACAATCTATTATCATTATGTTATTTACGTAGCATTTGGTTGGTGTGAAAAATGTGGTTACAGATCTTAGGTTCTGGAAGATCCTGTTTCAAGTACATCTAACTTAGTCACCAGTCTTCGTAACTTGATGAGAAAACGTCGAAGCCGCATCCCTCGAAGAACAAACCTAGACTGCGCCACGACGCAATCGGAAGCCACACTGCTAAGAGGGATCTTAGAGATTGAAAAATAAGACAACAACGCGCCACTTTTCATCACTAGGTACTAGCTGCATCCCTTTTATTTCAGGAAATTCGACAATACTAATCGGTGATTGCGATAGCTAGGTAGATTGATGTGATCCTCGTCCCACCAGTTGTAGCCTTAATACCCGGCAACACACAGTATCCAATTGTCTCCGTTCCTCAGCAGTAGGGAACAGGTCTTGTAGTGTCCGTGTTACCCAGGTTCCGTCTTCAGATTGAGGTGGCGCGAAGGCGCAGATCTTCCTGATGCTCGCAAAAACCATGGCGTAGTGAATGCATAGGCCATGAACGAAAGCTGGTGTGTACCTGGTATGAAAGAATTGCAGGCGTTGACGTTGAAGAAAAGAACTGCAGGCTCAAGTGATGTATGAAAGAAGTTACTACCCTAGAACAAGTGCTTATGAAGTTGGTGGAGCGTACCTAACTAGAAAAAACAAAAACCGAAAAAAGAAAAGTCAGGCAAGTGCTTATCTACTACTAAATAAGCGCTGGCGCTGTCGTGGTCCTGTCAGCCCCAGAGGTCTCACCTTCGAAGGCAGAACAAGTGCATATGAAGATATTATTTGAAAGAACCGTCACACATTGTATGTTGCTGTGTCCAATCACAAAAGTTCAAATACGCACTCCCATCCAAACCGAATGGCGTCCACCACCGTAGGCAAAGGATCGCCGCAAGGTAAAACACTATATGATGCGCAATCAAGTCCAGCCTGGAAGTTAGAGGTGTGGTATGCGAGAGGGGAGATATCTTCCCAGAAGTGTTTCAATGTCTGCTAGTCACAATGTCTCATATGTGTGTATAATCCCTGATGGTACGTCCTGTTCCTAGCAACCGTAGATTTCATTTTTTTGCGTTAGGACTCTACGCCGCCGCCCTTTCAAACAATTAATTAACATGTTCAACTATAGTCATCCGACTTAGATCTTGAAAGAAGTTGAAGTTCTTCAAAGCTATCGTACCACGCACTCTCTCTTACCAAACACAGAGAACTCATGCTTTGTTTCAGACATAAATCTGTCCTCAAGTCCCCATAGACGGTTTCCAGCAGCATCTTTATAGTGGCAATCACCACCTCTGGCACAATCATGTCGCTAACGAATCCTGCATAGTAAAGGGTTTGCCAGCAAGCGGAGGCTAGATTGCATAAAAACATCCATACGAAGAAGGTCTTCGGCAAAAACGGTCCCGCTGTAGTTTTTAGACCTTGAGAAGTCCTACCCATATTGATTCGCATTTACTTTGAGGTACTTACTTGCGTAGACTTACAAATATCTTTGACCATAGTTTTCCTCCCGCTGGAAGCATGAACAGCCCGTCAAAGATGCTTCCTCTCAAGATAAACAATTACTTATATGGGGACGAAGCAGTAGCCTTAATGCTGAAGCAGTGACGCTTTTTGCTCTGTGCACTAGACGTGGGGTGGACTTGGGAAGCGACTTCTTTCTGCCTGCACTGCGCATAGGCGTCTTGTCCCGAGAACCTGATGCCCCTACACTCATTTTGATGTGCTGGTCGTGAGTTGTAGTCGTAGCTGGTGAGAGGCGCAAGTCGTATGAAGATACTATCACTATCTTGACTTATAACTTAGCATGTACCCTTGTAGGTCTAGGTGTATGCTCTGCTTTAGAAGTAGGTGATGATGATGTTCAGAGCGGCCAGTCCGTGGACTCGGGGAGCCTTCTATAAGCAGTGGTTGAAACACCTACAACTAGCAGTGGGTAATTTCATATTTTGAAGATCTAAGTTCCAATGGTGTCTGGCCTCTTTAGATAGACGCCAATAAAAATAAGGTGTATCTAAATACAGAGATGTTTCCTACATGAAGATGAAAAAATAAACCTGAAACGGACCCTAAAAATGAAATGGCGAGCTGGTTTATCCTAGCTCTACGCATACAACCCGTAAAGCTCAACACGGGAGACAGATGCACGAGAAAACTTCCTTCTGCAATGATGGTGTGGGGCCTATGGGGATCAACTACGACCTTTTTGGGGCCTCTCTACAACCAGATTGACAGATTTCACCGATGACATTGTCACTGTGTACCAGCAGTGTTTAAGGCTCGTGCTGACGCCAGCCCTTCTCACAGCCAGGTACATCGGTGCTGCCTCGTGCTTGGCCAACGAGGGAAAGCATAAACACACACGAAATGACCCCAACACAAAAAATCCACTGCATTGCAGCAACATCCACCTTTTCCTTGAGTGGCACTAGCATACACAACATGATACGCGTAGCGCAAGAACGGGTCTTCTTGATAAAATTGAGTCACTCTGTTTTCGGTAAAGTAGCATTGCGTGATCTTTATCAGTACGTTTTATGCGACCCGAACTGTTTCTGGTTTCGCACCATGCCCGCCATGACTTCCTATAGCATCTACCAGTGATTTTGCGATATAAGTCCCTGACGACATGAAACCAGGATGCTTTTCATGTTGCTCTTCTAGTACATTTTGATCCCCATTATGATTGTCCCTCGGATCATGTTCTATGGTATGACTCAGACACTCCAATTTCCCTTCCGTCGCAATGAGAGCACCTCGTAGAAGGCCTGCCCCCGTCGCCACTTTGCGAAACTCTTCGACTTTGCGATCTGAAAAAGCCTGCATCTCAGACGGATCCAAGGCCACGTCGCCACTTTGGTACTCCGCTGCTGGATCCACACTGGCGGTTGCGGCGCACACACCGGCAAAAAGAAACATGAACAGTGTGCCGAAAACTCCAGCTGCCACCATGGTGATATAAAAACGCCATGGTAAATCCGATTTCCTCTTTTCTACAGCTTGTTTCAGCACTCGTAATCGCGTCCACTTAGAGATCATAGTCTTCTGTTCGTTGGGCTCTTGCTGTAGTAAATCGAAAAATCACCTAGAAGTACTTACAAATGAATCCTGCAAGCAAGTGAAGACAGTCTGTCATTACCTCCTCCCTATCAAAATCGATTCTAATTAATCGAACATTGACAGAAGAGGCTTCTGTGTTAAACCGGCAAAAGGCCAATCCATAATCTGTAGTTCTGTTGTCGCGTCGTTAAGATGCTGCGTCGACGCTAAACCCCTACTCAGTGACGCACAGGCCAAGCGCATTTGATCTTCCTGTCGCTGTGTGGATCGTACGTGCAGTACTACACGACGATTTGTCAAAAACGGCCTCAGCGGCGACAAAGCTGGTCTGTAGTTGTTGTTCCTAGACCTCGCTTCTGTCGACTGGGCCGAAGTCGACGTGGGTGTAACAGCTCCACTTGCTGTCGCTATTGATGTAGTATCAAGAGCTGCACTTCCACGGTTGTTGTTGCAAATACTGCTCTTCTCCACCCCAAGAACAGGCCAATTATTCTGCCACAATAGCTCGTAGTTCCCATTTTCCATCTTTTCTGCACATGTAGGATGCACAAAGTTTGCCAATTCCTGAGCGTCTAGGATTTCTCCGCAGGATGTGTCAGGAAAAAGCAAGACCTCCTCTCCGCCTGTTGAGGATATGAATGGGGGGTGGAAGGAAGAGCTGCAATTTTAGGATCATTAGGTAGCTGAGTGTATGCGAACAAATTTGATAGGGCAGGTATCGAAAAAACGGTACAGTTCAATCAGTTTCACATTCCGAAGCAAGTGGGCCGTGGATGATTTTAACTTGTTCATTTGAACGTGGTGCAATTCGGAAGCAAGTGGGCCGTGGATGGTTTCCACTTGTTCATTTGAACGTTGTATACCATCAACGACAGCTTTTTTCATAAGATAAAACCGTAAGACGATCTCGCAACTTCCGCCATGCAATGGGAAAGGACCCTGACGACGAACGTTCTTGCTCATGGTTTTTATATTCATCAAACTTGGAGGAGGTGGTTTATTCATAGCGTTGTAGTACTTGTGAACAAGTAAGAACTGCTACAAAGAATGTCTGTACGATGGATTGTAAGTACTTACTTACACCAATTACAATTCATACAAGCTAGGAGGAGTAGTCAAAGGAAGGAAAGGTTTGAGGAAGGCGAAAATCGAAGAAGAGGCGGAACCGGAACTCTCGCAGTCCTAGAGTCATAACGCAATTTTCTGTGCAGTCCGTCTTTTTGCTGCATTCGCTTCGGCCGCACGACCGTGAAAGAAACGAAACTACGTCATTTATTTATGCATACTGATACTGAAAGTGATGCCTCAAAACTTGTTCATTAGAATGTCTGCCTGTGTTAAAGTATCTATCAGATACTGGATTGTACTTTTACGAAAAAAAGAAATTACTCAGCATATCTAAAGCTGGTCTGACTAAGCTTGTGAACCTTAGATGATAGTCAAAAAAACAATCCACTTGAGATGGAAAAAATTCTGATCACAGGACAGAGAGACGGTCTCTGAATAAATCAGAAACCCTGTGGTTAGTCCTTTTCCCCATTTTTGTTCAGTGCTATGCAAGCCCTCGTCCGCGATCTAGCTTTGGCGCCGCTTTTCTATACAAGACTCGGCCGGTGGTCGTTTCCGAAACCGCTCCACACGCTGCGCTGTATCCGTCAAAAAATCCTGCGTGTAAAGCGTAGTGACTCACTCATCTCCACCTCCATCTAACACCCAGCTTCTACGCCGCATTCTCCTCACTGGTTGCAAGCGGCTGATGTAGATCGGTTCGCTGCCTTGAGGCCATGAGGAAGCTGTCGGATACCCAAAACTGAAAGATATTCATTACTGTGGGCGTGAAAACCATCACGAAAAGCAGTTTCAATCGGTTATGCGCTTGTCCGAAGAGAGCATCGATTAAGACGGAAGAACCCTGATTGATTGAGGTAAGTAAGAGAGTTGGACGATGAAGGCGTTTCCAAGGAACAAGACGCGATCAAATCATAAGGAGGCTTACCTAGGACTTTTCAAAGTCAGTATTTCTATGGAGTAATTTTGTAAGAGGACGCCCATCAAGTCCCCGAAGCAACTGCAACTGCATCCGGCTTCAGGTGGGTTGTTCATTTGCAATGAAAGATAGAAAAAGGGAGGAGACATCACCAGAATCAGAAAGACATTCCACCGATACCCATGATCGTTCTTCTATCACATCCTCTTTTAGGTATTCTCTTTCCACAAACATCCCACTAGAAGTACCGTAGCCAACAATTCGCCGAAGATCAAAAAGATGATGATCATGCTGCTTTTCATTATCGTGAGCACCAAGAGCCAACACGCAATTTGAAACCGATAGGCTGGAGTAATTGCTCGTAGAAGCTTCGTGCAGAAGTTCTCCTTCACTGCAGTCACGTCACGCGCGTTGTTGGGGTTGCTGTAGTTGATAGCGAGCTTATTATTGATCCTTTTGGTATGACTATGAGATCAGTCAATTTGGATACTGTCTTCAAAATAGATGAGTCCACACAAGAAGAACAACATCATCAAATAAATACTTATCTTAGTCAGAACTACAGCACCTGCTTCCTGCCGCTTCCCCATTCAATGCTTGAGTGTCGGCTGCCTCGAGTCGAGGGGAGTCTTCATAGACGCCTGACTCGTAACCAAACCAACTTTCAGTCCTCCTTAGGTAGAAACAATTCAGCAAGGTGCCAAGGGTACAATCAATCATGATATTCACCCAATACCAGTCGCATTCGTCGCCTGCCGATCGCTTCGTCGCAAATATGATAGCCGCCAGCATGTTTAGGGAGTGCATGTAACAACCGCCGACTGTAGATGGGTGATGTGTTGTGTGAGAGTGAGTGTTGTAGAAGAGTAACGTAGTGTAGTTCTTGCAGGGAAAGTTGAAGGATCGACAACAACAAGCAATGATCAGCTACAACTTCAAGGGAAAAAAATAACAAGAATCTAGCTGCACAAGTACGGATTTGCTTGCTGGAATCCCTTGCGAAAATGATGCCAGGCCGTATCGGAGGAGTCTCCACCTGCGATTCTTAGAGGGGATCCATGATGGACATCGCATTCCAGCACAGGATTATAGGTCATCATCACAATTAGAGACTAACGAAGACTTCTTGTTCCTTCCGCATAACATTTCACAATCAGCGATGAGAAACAGAAGACACCAAGCGCAACCTGCACGAACACACCAAACATACCAGGAACCAATGTGCACTCGGGTCCCGGCGCCGCCTCACCGATGCTCGACATTAGAAGGAGCTCTCCCAGCTGATCTGCTGTAAAGATACTGCCGAAGATTGTTGTCTGCTTGTCCTCTCCAGTAGAAGAAGCGCGGTCTTTTGTGCTCGTCTTGGATGCGGTTGCTGCTCGTCTTTGAGTCGTGCCTGCGCTAGTACGTTTCGTGGTACGGGCAAGTGAAGAAAAAGTTGTTCGATCGTCTTGGGTGTCATCTTCTTCTTCCTGTAATTCTCTTTTACTTCTCGTCCTACTGCCGCGTTCGCTGGAGTAACTAGCGTCTTCTCCTTGGTTACCTGCTTCATCAGCTATTTCATACAGCAATCGCTCGTGCTTCTTCGTGAGCAAACTGGAGTCACGTTGTAGCGACAAGGCGGCATGCGAAGCTGCGACCCAGATGACATGATTATGGCCGAGGTTACCTAGTTGTAAAAGCCCCAAGACTACACTAGCAGCCCATGGCCGCAGCCGCCACAGTGGGGGAGTGGAGGGGCCTCCTACTCCCACCATCAAGGCTCTTCTTCACACATAGTTGTGCTAAGTCTGTTATTTGGATGAGGATATCAAGAATTCAAAATTTCGAATCACGATTTGACTTAGATTAAAGCTCACTTTTGACCTAGTTCTTCCACAAAAGTGCAGCAGTTTCTTTCTTTCTTTCATCAAGCTATCTTTCGCTCCCACAAAAACGTCGTGTTCTTATCTATCAATCTGCTCTTGCAACCCCTACGTGTTTTCTCTTGCGTTCCTTCTTTAGCCCTCACAAGAACGCACTTTCAACTTTTCTTTGTAGATGTCCTCCTTGCAAATGACGCGAACAAGCGGAAATTGCTTTATTACAGACAGAGTGCTTTCGACGTATTCTTTTAAGGTGGTAGAAGTTTGAAATAAAAGACATTTCAACAAACGTTGTTTTGAGGTGTATCTACGACAACAATCCACGAGGTTGCGTGTCTACGACAACAAGTATTAGTACCCCTCACGTGGGAGAAAGTTTTATTAGAGGTAGGTTTTTGGTGCTTGCTTACCCCGCTTTTTATGCCTTTCTCCCTTAGGAGAGGCATAAAAAGCGGTAAGAAAAGCACCTTTAACCTACCCTTAATTTTAGATAGTCTTACAACGGCAGCTGAAAATATGGGACGTCGGTCACAAAAGAAAAACCGCTCCATGTTGTCATTCCAAAAATGTTGTCATTCAACTTTCTTCTTCTTTTTTGGTGGGCCTGCTCCGGGTGTAGTGCCTGCTGACGAAGGCTTCTTCTTAGGAGCCGGCTTCTCCTTCTCCTTATCGACCTTCTTCCCCTTGTTGCCTGCTTTGGATGCGCTTTTGCTTGCTGCACTTTTGCTGCTGAAATTAGACGGAGAGGCGACGAGTGCAGAAGAAGGACTGAATGATGAGAAACTTATGATACCTACAACATCAACTCCGAGAACTTATAAGGAACAACCATTATTTATATTGTTGATCTCGACAAGTAACTTCAAAGAGAATGAGTGCAGCGGAAGAATGTTCTCTTTGCACTTTTTGACTGATGATGCCATAATAGCAGTTCCCCCATCGTTTTTGCTGCCGACAGATTTCTTCTTCGACGCACTCGCAGGGACAGTCTTGGTATCACTCTCCGTCTGCACTCCCACCTGCGCCTTCTTAGCACTAGCAGTCTTGGACACCACCACTTCTTCACCGCGCACTCGTTTTAGCAGGATCTCTAGCTCACCTCGCACCCTAGCTGTCTCAAAACTAACGGGGAAACTCCAGATTGGACTCCTTGTGGTCTTGCCTTCGTCGGCGTCGTATCGTGAGAATTAGAAGAGGACAGGTTCGATATCGATCAGCGAGGAGAATAACCGTGTAGAGAGGCTGGGACTAGAGTTGAATATCGGATGCGGGAAGTTGAACCAAATATTAAGCTATTTTTTTAGCAGGAGGTCATAATTCAAAGTGTCGATAAAATTTCCGAAATTTTTCTCGAATAGTTCTTCCATTTCCGACTTGAAAATTTCAAACCCTGGTGGTTGTGTCTGCATCATTCTGGCTACTGCCACATGAATTAGAACTCACCCTAATCGTCCATCTTGAGATTCATCTTGGACGAGCCGTTCTCTATGACTCTGGAACGGTCCCAAGATGCAACTTCTGGAGATGGTGGATTACCGGATGCCTTAAGTGAACCGTCTCGAAGCCTAAGATCTTGTTATATTCGACGTCCTCCTTCTTTCCCGTTTGGTTTTCGTGTCCGGGCTCGTTCGTTATTGGGTGATTCGACAACAAACTCTGTATCGTGATCAACACGGATCGGAGGTTGCAGATACCTGGCGGGGTGGTCCTTTTCGTGGTGAGGTTCTTTTGTCGTGAAGAAGAAGATAAGAAGAAGTGATATTCGCGTTTCTAATGAGGTGTTTTCCGAACAGCGCTCCACCTGATGGTAGCCACGTACTGGTTTAAGAGAAAGACTGCCCAAATGAATCCTATTAGTTTGATTAATATTGATTCACCACATACTTACTTAGACTTAATTAATCAAAGCTTAGTTACTTAATATACTGAATCAATTACTTAATCAAAGTCATTTGCTCTTACTTATACTTAATCAAAATCAAAGTCAGAATTTGCTCACATCTAGAAGCTCATTCACCACATACTTACTTACTTAATTAATCACAAAGTCATAATTTGCTCACATGTCATAATCATAATCAAAGTCATATTTACTTGTCCACCCCGGTCCCTGCCAGGTTCCCAGAATCGAGAGACAGACTTTCCCTTCCACATACAGGTTCGGGTTGAATCGGACTCGCTTGTCTCCCGTTCTAAACTGGACTTTGGGTGGCGCATAGGGATAGTTGTCCGGAAAAACGATGTCAAAGAAGTAGTACCTGGAAAGCCGATGAGAAGATTCTCACGTTCATGTTCATGTTATTGCTTGTACATTAATTATACGGATTTCCACGCATCCATGCAATACTAGCAAGCTGTATACTATTAATCAGAAAAAAAATAGAGTAAGTACCCGTATTGATATGGCGTTTCGGGGGGGCCTATAATCATCGCTTTCACATTCGTCAAGGAGTCTTCGTCCCACTTCACATAGATCCCCAAGTCTGCGAGTTCTTTCCCCTGCTCTAGTATCATCTTCTGCTCCTTCATCAGTCTGCCTAAGCTCTTCGCCTGTATACTCACAGGCGCTGGCCCACGAGAGGAGGAAGCCATTTTTTGTTTGTCAAGAAAGTACTTATGCACTTACATACAGTACGGTCGTACTCAGAAATATCGTCACTCTATAAATAAATGAAAATGAAGGAAGCAAGTGGTTGAAATTTTTGGAACTTTTTGTTGGAGCGAGTTGACTCTATCTTGCTCGCATGAGAGGGTACTACTTATGCTGATCTTTTGTAGGGAAGATTTCACCGGTTCGCTCTGAAAATTACCGAAGTACATGTGCTCCATCTTCCTGACGTGTTTGTTGCTATGTCTTAGCAACGGTTTGGCCTAAAGATCATTAGAAAGGAACTATCAGAGCGACCTGGAACATCAATCAGTGTACTAGGAACGCACAGATCCAGGTTGGGCCACGTAGCCTTGGTTGGGCCATCATCTGCCACACGCGGGTTACAACTGCTCTACTCTTCGATTTTTTCATCTCCACATAATACTCAGTATTCTGATCCATACTACTTTCCACACAATTCATCTTCACGCTCCTCCATGGAGCAACAATTGAGAGCAAAGTCAGTGGTCCCTTGGTCCCTACTACACCTTTGTCGAAAAATAATTTCAAAAAAAGGTTGATGTTCTACTTACTTAGTTTTTACCTTATAATCGTCCGTCCTTTATAAAAATCATAAAAATTCATGGTGTTTGCAACCCGAAGACAATTGTCGTTCTCTTCAGAAGTGGTGACGCCTCTTTCTCTACATAGTTGTAGGCCCCCCTGGACAAAAAGGAGTATCTATATAATTTCAAAAAAAGGTTGATGTTCTACTTACTTAGTTTTTACCTTAATTATTTATAGTTACTTGATTGTCGATGTCGTGTCCTTTGGTCTTTATTGTCTGATACTACTAGTGGGAATTGAAAAATCGGAGGTGCCGCTAAATACTAAACAAAGTGCTGCCTGGAGTGTGTGTGTTATAAGTGAGTCTTACATCAATGTTGGGCTTCAAGAACCGACGCGGTTGTTAGTTTGTTACCTTTGAAAATATCAAAAAAAAAAATCTCTTTTAGTAGCAAGCTAACAGGAATCAATTGTTACCGATAGTGAAAATTTTGAAAACCTACAACAGTGCTATTTTGCTCTTTTTTCGGCTTTACTGGGTGATTAGTTTTTCTTGTCTTGAGTTTGCAAATAAATTTTACGGTGATTTGACGTCTCCGCCGAGAGTGTGCGTGTTCGTGGCCACAACGTCGCGAAACCAAGAACTACTGAAGTTACATACCAAACTGACACACTGACTAGCTTCTAGTTAGTAAACAAAAGTAAAGTACACATTTCTCTAACAGCAAATTTAACCAAAATCCGGAAATACGACGATGCAAATGAAATGACAAAAAATAATAACGAAACAGATAAGATAAAGATAACAAAATGTTCAAGGAATTGAAATAGATACACTGAAACTTCTGATAAACTTGTAAGACTATCGCCTTCTCCCTTTCAATTTAATCCTCTTCCAAGGTAGGCAGCTCATGTGGCGTCCTGCATGCTAAGGACGAACCTGCACCGCCACCCATTGAATCGGCATCATCTGTCGAAAGCCAAGGTCCGCGAGTTGCCCATTCTCCGAAAGTCGAGAGCTTGCGGAGACACTGTGAATGTTTTTGCGGTGGACATCACTTCTTGGACCTAGAAGGATGTTGAAGACGAAAGATAGAAAGAGAAGATATCATTTCTTGGACCTAGAAGGATGTTGAAGACGAAAGATAGAAAGAGAAGACATAAAAAAATCAGAATCAGTGCCATAAAAATGGATTTATACCGATGACGCAAATAATGGCTCCGAAAATGCTTTCGTAGTCTCCCCAATCTCATCGTGGCTTTGTCCATACAAGAAATCGGTTTTGCCTTGCTCAGGCTGCAACAGTTCCAAAAGCAATCGATCGGAATCGCGCTTTCTCAGCCTAGTTGAAGTTAGACTCTCTTCATCGTCTCCCGACCATCTGTTGCTCTCGTCCATGTCCATCAACTGCAAATAATAGAAGAGTAAGGCAGCCCGCCCCTCTAGCAACTCGATACAGCCACCTTGCTCCGGGAAAAATCTGTCCAGGATAGATCCTTCTTAGAGTATCAGAAGATTGCGAAGTGGGACTTTTACATAAGTACAACGAACTGGTACCAAGAACTACTGTAGTTCTAGTACTCTCTATTTAGTACCGTTTGGCATTTAGTATCCCTATCCTGCTTAATAATGACTACTTGTGGTTGTCGTGGTCAAACTGACATAGGACTAGCGAGGTTCTTGTGGCGAAATTGACATGATAGGACTACTACTTGTGGTTGTGGTCAAATTGACATGATATGTAGGACTAGCAGCACAGCTAATATTCTTAATGTAAAGCAGCCGAGAGCATGGCACTGGATGTGTCACTAGGGAGACATTTTTCATCACCGCCAGTGAACGACGATGAGGCACTGGCGGAAGAGAAAGCTGAACCACCACTAGTAAAGTTACCAGGTGGTTGTAGGGGGAATACTAAATCACTACTAGTACTAGTTTTTCGTGGTGAACATGCAGATGCACATTCTGCTTTGTCGGATGATGCACCTTCCTTTTTGCTGACATCGGCATCTTCTTTTTGTTCCAACCCCTCAGGAGTACTACTAGAAGAGTCTGCCTTTGTCTCGCCTTGTTTGGCTGCAGCAAGGTGTGATTAGAAGAAAAATCTCATGACTCAGCAATTGTCCGCATGTAATCTAATTACTACTTTACTCCATCTCCATCTTCATCCACTATTTATCTCATTAAAAAGCCTCAAGAGCCCCTGCTCCTACTTTTAATAATTTTTTTTTGAAGGTCAACATCCGCTCACTCAGTCGGAGTAGCCCAGAGCAGACCGTCAGAAGATGGCCATCTAATAACGAGGTGGACCATGGAAGACCAAAACACTGAATATCTTCTCAAAAGAGTAACATCTATCAGTAATTATTATATATTAGATGGAACAGGTAAAGGTAGTTTAGTGAAAAGAGAGCCTATTTCAAACAGAAGGTCGCGGCCAGCAATTCTACACTAGAAGATCACACGTTACTTGGAGGGACTGACCTAGGATGGAGAAGACGCATCAATCTCTAGTCTCCCTCCATAATGCAGCACTTGTTCTTGCTCCAGATGGATTGCGGCACTGAAGACACGCCTTGCCGCGAACTGCAGCAATTTCCTCTGTCGCAGCTCGACCCAGTGACACCTCAGAGGAACTGCAACCAGGGGAATCAGCACTAGAGCAAGGATAACAACGTCGAACGAGTTCGAAAGAATCGACGGGAGAGTATGAACAAGGATCGATGTTGGAGGTTTTTCTCTTGCTTGATGCTGTGGAAAAAAAAAATGGAGAATGGTCCATCTGTATGATTCTCTGGAATTGAAAAGGGCGACATGGAAGATGGCAACTCTCCAAACAAAACCAACCACGGGAGAAAAACGTGTAATTATATAATGTACAACAAGAACACAGTAAGATGATCTTCATAAGATGAGAGGAATGCCAAACGTGTGAAATCAGGTGAAATTGTCCACATCACGAAAAAATCCTCGTAGGGTAAATTCTCGTCAGCGGCAGCTGCAAAACCGTCAATTTCGTCGTCCTGGGGTTAGAAGTGGAGAGGCAGGGAGGTGAAACCGAATCTAGAAGGAACTAGAGAAAGGTAAAACCAGATGTGGTTGTGGAACATACAACCAGAAGCGGGAGTAGTACTACTCATCTTTCTACTAGTTCTAGTTACTACTCATCTTTCTACTAGTTCTAGCGATATTTATAACTAGAACGAGAACTCAAAGTCGAATCAACATGGGAAGTGCTCGTTACAAGAGGTGGTCGTGCTCAAGAATGGATTACCTTATCGTTATCCCCCCCTCCTTAACATTGATCATAAGCCTCGAGAACAGTCCCGTCTTCGTTATTCTCAAGAAAAGATTCGTTCTCAATAAACGAGTTCCCGCCTTTTTCCCCTGGGGCCTTCACGTTTCTGATTCTGTTGTTAGATGCTTTTGCTTGCAGATCTTGAGATCTACTGGGCAAGTGTCCAATTTTCTATACCTGTGCCAAGGCTCAAGGCTGAATTTTTAAGGGAGGAGCCTCCAGCCCCCGACCCTTTTTCTCGAGGGAATGCCAGGCAAGAAGGCCTCCAGGCCCCTACCTTCGCGCCCTCGCGGCTTCTTGCTTGTACCCTACAGAACCCAAACCCCTGAGGCCGTTCAAGCCCCGGCAGCCAGGGGTGGAAGGCCTCCGAGGGCAGCAGGTGGCACGGCTTGACCCCTTTCGCCGTGCTGCATGTATCCGACCAAACCCAGGTGGGCACGCCTTGCCCCCCCTCCTCCTCGCCTTTGGTCCTCAACCCCCCGGGCGTTTGGTGATGGATGAAGCTGCCACGAATTGGAGGGGTGAGGGCCAACGGGGCCAGGCCCCGCGACCGTGGCTACCTTCGGCGGCCTCCTGCCCTCAGAGGCCGCTCCCCTGATAGGGGTCAAGAGCCGGGACGCCTGTGGGGTACACGCGGGGAGCCGCAATGGGGCCCCGGCTCCGCCTTTTGAGGCCTTCGCCCCCGGAACCCCTTACACGTCACCACCGCGGAAAAAAGGTCGCGCCGACGCCCCCGCAGCTCCATCCACGGGGGGGGCCTCCCTCCCTGATACATATATGCCGATGCGGCACCTATGTTGTGCGATGAGATCTTTTAGTTGGTACCCAAAGAGATCGCTAGATTAACTAACCCTGCAGAGATCGCAACTGATGACAACAAACTTTTGCTCAGCAGTGTGTCTATTAATCACAGCAGTGGAAAAAAAATGGAGGAGGTTGTACCACTACCAGTAGCAGTACATGATCTACGTGGCCTGTGAATAAATCTTAAGGTTAAGCATTATTGAAAAATTCTTCTAAACAAGACCTCAAGTAAACCACTAATTCCTGGGGATCATATGTGTTCGCTTCTTTCCCGCACTACGGCTCTTCGACTTTGTTTTCTCCACGTCGTTGCCATCGTCCACCAGTGCTCGCTTTTCATCTAAAGTCTGCACCTCGCAGCCACAGCTATCCAGTCTAGTCGCGTCTCCCGCGCATTCTCGGCAACCGCCACTAACCTCCTTCTGCCCTTTCAACAATTGCAATGCTTTTGCCTTTCTTTCTAAGATTAGAACCAGAACGAGGAGATTGTCGATTCTCTTACATGAAATTCTGATTCATATTTATCATACAGGTGGATAGGATTGAGGGCTAGGAGTCGGTGCAACCAAGAAGACAGGAGCCTACAGTGAATTCATTGAATTCTCCTTCAACATGAAGAAGTGACTCATTCATAACAAATCTTTCGTTTCCTCTTTTTCAACCTGGAGATCGACTGACAAATCGGACCGTTGCCCTATCGCAGATCGCAGATCTTGCTGTCTTTCCTCCACTGCTGTTGCTGCTTCGTGTCTTAGAAGGAACCCTTTGACGCTCGTCTCGATTCTTGTTTATTCAGTTACTTAACTCTCAAACAAGAGTTCTTCTTTCCCTTCAAAACATACCTTATCAGAGCATGTTTTCCCTTCAGGAGCCTGTTGAGAAGTTAAAAAGTTGCTTTCCCACCTACCTTATCAGCCTCTGAATACTATGCTTTCGATATATCTTAAAAATTCTTTCCCCCGAAACAGTAAAAAGAAAATCTCGACTACCAAGTAAAAAAGAAAAGCCAGACAGTAAAAAGAGTGATAGATAAGTGTACACGCCAACGCCAAAACCACTAAGCCAGCTGTAGTGGGCTTAGTGGTTTACGCGTTGGCCTGTAGGCTTATCAATCAAACTACCTAGCGTTCGAGCCCCGGTAATATCAAAAAAGTGACAGAGTCAGACACGTGCCGAGGCCAAAGGGTCAGAGGCGTCTGATTGAGCGCGCCCCAGTGCACACACGCGCCACAGAATGAGCCAAGTGCAAGACGCAGCCACCGACGAGCCCGAAATCGGCAAATTCAACCGCCCCCACCAAACGAGGGGGGGCTGGCCGCTGAGATCGCGAGAATGGCGCAGACGTATAGGAGCCTGGCAGCCTAGTGATACCGGCCGCACGCATGGCGGTGACCCACCTAGCCACGGCAGGGGGCACCTAGCGACAGAGACCGCAACAAAGGCGGCCGAGCCAACCCCGGTAGTGTGATTGATAAGCGTACAGGCCAACGCCTAAACCACTAAGCCAGCAGCACTAAGCGTTGACATGTACACTTGTCAAAGAGAATTCAGTCATAGCTTAACAGCCTCTTGATTCGTCTCAATTTGCTGGTAGGCTTGCCTGACAAATTCTTGATGGGCTTCTCCAGCTTTCTCATCTTCTCGTGCAACAGCCTGAGTCATTTCTATCGCCTTCTCTGCACCTTGGTTTGCTTCTGAGGCTGCTGCTTGGGTATTGGATTAGAAAGGAGCTCGCGCCCATCTCCATCGATCATGGCATGAGCTTTGGTAACGTTTTAAGCGTAAAATAAGTGCCAGAACGGAGTCGGAGATAAGACCTCTCTAGAAGTAATTGATCTACTTATATCACACGAAGCGTCCTCGACATGAAACGGCTCCAGTGCTTGAAGATCTACCGTTCTAACTGTATACGTCATCGTTTGCCCTAAGTCTTCGTGCTCTCCTCAACACCCGTTTTTTGTTGCGCAACCTCTGTTACTTCTTCGCCTACTTTCTTATCTTCGTCCTCTAGAGCACCACGTGCGGTGTCTGCTTCGGTCTTCTCCACGTTAGACGAAGATACAAGCTGCAACCAAAAAGTACTACATAGAAGATAGGGTGAGCGGCGTCTTCGTTAAGAAGGTACCCTAACCCTATATCATCAGGAAGGAAGTTATGATAAGCAGGAAGCTATCATATCAACTAATGATAAGTAAAATAAGTATTTACTTCGTTTCTTGATCATCAACGAGCTTAGTCGATTCGGAAGTACTTGTTTTCTTAACTGTATTCGCCTTCTCCTTCTGTGCATTTGCAACCTCTGCCTCTGCGTTGTGCTCTTCAGTCTCAGTCTTCGCCCTCTCTATCTCCTCTTCGGCAGCTGCTATTTGCCGTTGAAATTCCTTCAACGCTGTTTCGCTTTCTGCAGATTTGGATTTCTTAGAGAAACAAGAAGTTCTTTCATGAAGAGTTCTTAGAATCGATTCAATACATAGTACTAGAGTAACATGTTTACTTATATTACAACAACAAGTTTCATTTTCATGAAAATGCCTTGTTTGTTGAGTACTCCTAGCAAACGAACTGTACTTCTCGACACATTAGACTAGCCAATCCTTAACATCTGCATCATCTTTCTCCCCGTCTGCTTTGGCCTTCCTTTCATTTGCTGCTGTTTCTGCAGTCCGTGCCGCGTCTGCCGTTTCGTCCGCTACCGTTTTTGCTGGAAACTTAGAACCGGTAACGGGAAGACTATCATCAAGCACGATAGAGAATCGGTAACGGAATTATCATGTCATGTCATGTGTGTGCTAAACATGTCAGTCTACGGTTATGGAAGTATAGTGCGTAGATGGATACGGAACAATAACCTACTACTGATAGAACAAAGTGCTTACATTCTTGATGTAAAATCTAAATTTCTGCATCTTTGAATCACCGTAACATTCAGCCTCTGAGTTTCCTCTTCTGCATCTTTTGCATTTTGCTCGTGCTGCGCTTCTGCGGCTTCCTCGCTGGTTTTCCTTGTTTAGAAAACATGGATATTTTCCTGCTCTTCAAGAGGTGGATGCAAAATAATGAGATGGACCCAGGAAGACCATACAGTACATATATTCCTTTTACAACAAACAAAAATAGATGACTTGATCTTGATGACAAGTACATAATTTTAAAAGATGAGTAGTTGTTGATCTACTTGATGACAAGCATATCATTGTAATTCGGCGTAGCCAGCACATGTATCTTCTAGTTCTACACTACATTCCAACATAATTATCCTTTGCGCCCGTCTCCTTCTGCTCAGCCTCCCATTTTTCGCGTTTTGCGTTGTCAATATTCTTAGAGCCTCATCTTGAAAAGTATCTTGAAGCAAAAGCGTGCTTTCCCCTGAAAAAAGGGCCCAGAGATGCTTCTTAAGATGAAAGATTGTAAGCCTTAATATTCTCTTGCAAGGCTGGATCGTCAGGAAGAAGGCCCCGTCGTATCGCCTCAATCTCCCTGTTCTTGTTGTCCGGGAGCTCTGCTAATTCCCGTTGAGCGGTCTCGGCTTTGTCCTTCTCCTGTTGTATCTCAGACATTAGTACTAAAAAATAGAAGAAGTACCTAAGAAAGAGTATAACTAAGGAGTTAGTGCGGCTCCCTTCAACATCCAAAAAACTCGAATGTCTGGGATACAACAGAAGAAGGGAGTCCTCGCACTAACTCCTTAGAAGTTACTCTTTCTTACAGGTACTTCTTCTATTTTTCAGTACTAACGAGAAACGCACATCATACTTTTTCCACCTATAATCAATGTTGGAGTTTCTAGACGATAGTGGAAGTAATAGTCTTCATATCCTTCTTAATCAAATGAGTTACTTTACACTCGAACGCTTCCTATCATGTTTTGCACAACTACGTGAATGGTTCCGGTATTTTTGGTATAGCCTGAGTTGGATCATAAGGGAAAACAAGAAGAGAACCCTTAGGATCAAATTCAGGTTACCAAACACCAGAACCATACACTACGAATACCTTCTCTCTCTCCACCAAAACAAAGTACAGGTCATAAAGTTTCCAATTGGGTGATCTCAGAGTTTTCTGAAGTCACCTCCTCTGATAGCCTCGCCTTCGCCGCCTTCTCGCTGTCTCTCAAGGTCGTCTCCTCATCCTTACGAGTGTTGGCATCTCGCCTCTTTTAGAGCATCGAAGGAGTCAAGTCTTGAGTAGTAAGTTCCACGCTCCTCGTATGGGCGCAAGAAATACAGTGCAATAATTTGAAAAAGGAGCATGATTAGTAGAGGTCGGTGTTAGTACACCAGGAAGATGCAAAGCGAAGGGACTGTCAAGCCAACGCCAAGAAAGGAGGCAATAAACCACAGCAATTACTAAGATGTAGATTAGGTAGTCGTAGAGTATAGAGAGGAAGGCCTAAATATTCAAAAGCTTCGACTTATTGTAACACACGGTCGAAGAAACGGACCAAAGGTTACGTCGAGAACAACAGCCTAAAGCACTATGATCATGTCGAAGAAAACAGCCTAAAATAGAGCACTACGACCACTACATCTTAAGCTTGTTGCTCGAACCCTTGCTTCCGTGTATTGGCGTTCCGTATGCGTGTTTCGAGAGCACTCACCCAATCACTCCTTCGCGTACCGAAATTCCTGCCCTGAGCTCCCTCCGCACCTTCGATGTTCGTTTTCAATGTGTCTTTTATTAGCGCTTCTTGGATGTTGACGATATTCTCTGTGCTTCCTAACAGCCTCTGGACTGAGTACGGACTCATGCATATGAGAACCCACGACCTTGATAAGTGTAGTTGACTTGAGGGTGGGAGGACCCTACTTGAGCAAAAGTGAATTCTCACTTTTTCCCCTCACATCGTTCCCCTTGACTCCTTCCAAGGACAAGGAAAATCCTGCTAATGCTCAAACAAGTTGACAACCGCTGCCTTCAGTTTCTCTACAGGACTAAGTCCGACTGAGAAGAGGAATCAAGGAAGCGTAATATTTTTGCCTCTAGTATGACCGGATCCTTGTCTACCAGGGCGTTCAGGTCCACACTACCAGGAATCTCACCTCGGCCTGCCTCTATTTCCTCCAACGTTAGAGGGCTCTTGAGAGTGAGTATTCTTATTCTTTCAACCTTCCTGGAAGGGAAGACCAAATTACGAAGATCTGCACTATAAAATTCCTAGTAAGTACCAAAGAAGACCCTCCCCGAGTCAGCCTAGCACCATCTAGTAGATTCTACTAAATGGTATAAAATAACTGGTAAGCAGGACATAAGAGCCAAGAACTACAGGCAGTAATAGGTTATCATTTGCTTAAAGTATGATCACGTTGTACTACCCATTGTACACTTACCAACTGTACAGTAGCAAAAATGGTATAAAATAAATATTCTCTCTGTAAGATGAAGAAAAAGGGGATCACGATTCAAGATGGCCATAGTTCCAGTTGCCGGCTTGTCGCTTGAATCTCAGTTTCCAGTTCAGAGTTTCCCTGTCTAATTTCGTCGTTTGTAGCTTCCTGACTCAAGGCTTTACCATTCTCGTTTTGGGATTCGGTTTTCTACTTAGAAGAGGAGGGACGTAGCAGCGGCGAAGGTAGATAGATGGATGGCTACATTTAGGATAGAAAGAGAATAGATCCTGACTTGCTAGCCGGAACCTCAGGGGTCGTCGTTATGGTTTCTTACACAGGGATAATTGTTCATCTACTCTTAAGTTTTTCCCGTTCGAGCTCAAGCTCCTCCAACAGTTCGATCCGCAATCGCTGCTTTCCTTAGAGTGCGTGAAAGTGATTGAATTCAAAAAAAAGGTAATGCAAATGCTTGCTTCATCATGGCGAAAGAACACGCGAACTACGCGTTTTTCGTGAAACATGATTTACTTATTTGAGAGCTTTGACTCCTTTTGTACGCATGAGTAGAGCCAGGCCTCAATCATCCTCCAGAGCTCGTTCCAATCTCTCTTCCTGCGAAATTTCTTCCTCGCTCGTTGTGGTTTCCCGTTGTACCTCTGCAGCCTGGTTTTGTTGACTTGAGATTTCATCTTGAAGCTGCTTAACAATCGCATCGTCATCAGGTAAACCACGGCTCCTGGCAGCGTCCGCTGCTGTTACTTCTGCTGCTCCAATGGCCCCGACCGCTGGTGTTACTTCATCGGTCGCGACCGCTCGACTCCCGATCAGCCGGTTTTCTTTTTCTCTCTCCATAACGAGCTCACCATTTGCTCTATCGCTCCTCTGGCCGGCGTGCACGAGCTCCAGCTCGAGTTCGGCCTCGCGAGTAGCTTTACTCCGCACAAGATCCAACTCAGCGCGATTACGGTCTGCCTCCGCCTGTTCCCTCTGGTTCTGCAGCTCGGTGTTCTCTCTACGTTCCTCCTCTAGTTTTGTCCTCTGCCCGGGAACATTAGAAGGGCTGCAGAGAGATGTTGTATATTTTTTCGTAAATAAAACGCTGTGAACTTTTGGTAGCAGAACAATAATGAATAGCTTGTCTTGAAGTTGAATGAAGAGCTTGTCTTGAAGTTGTTGTTCAGTCTTGAAGTACTTCAGTATAGGTCGTGTAGTGGGATGGCAACATCTAGAAGAACTTGGACTTAACAATTTGTTCGTTTCGTGCGGTGTCCTCTGTGATTTTTTCATCGCGAAGCGCTACTTCCTCTGCTTGCAATCGCGTTGCATGCGCCTCCGAGACACTCGCAGCCCCTTTTTCCGCAGGGATCTCCGTTGTATGATAATGCTCTGTTTCGCTTTCCAACGTCGCGACTCTGTTTGCCCTGGCCTGATCGTGTAAAATACTAAGTTCTTCTGGCAACTCATTGTTTGCTTGTTCTCGATTGTGCTTTTCCCTGGCCAGACCCTCCCTCAGAGTGGCTAGGCCCGTGCGCAGCTCCGTATTTTCATTTTGCAAGGCCTCTTCTCTGAGCTTCAGTTCTTGCACGCTGCCCTCCTCAGTCTCGAACTCCTCTATTTCGAAGTCGCGTTGGTTCTTCAGCACTTCTGTCTCTCGTTTCAGATCCGCGAGACGCTCACGCAATCTCGAGAGCTGCTGCTGGTGGAGCTCACTTGTCAATCGATCTTCACGCTCTGCTTCGAGATTCGCCTCCTCAACTCTCGCTGCTGAGATCTTTTCCTGTATTTCTCTTATTAGTGGTAAACATTTTTCACTATCATCTGTCCTAATAGACTTGCATGCGAAAGGGTGAGGCGGTCCCGTCACTTGGAGGTTCTCTAGTAGTACATTGCAAAGGCCTGCTCATTGGAAGTGACTTGAATTGTCACAGCAAGCAGGTGGTTCGATTTACCTTGTTTATTAATGAAAAAACGAAGCCATAATCTTATACGTTCTTCTACCTCGGCCTCTTGACCCTCTTGTTGTCGGAGTGCTTCCAACTCTTGCTCCTCCGCAACTCTCAGTGGCATCTTGGCAGACTCCACTACACCAATCTCTCTTTCCAATTGCGCATCCTGGTCCCTGATCTCCTTCGTTAGAGGATGAGGCCGTCGTTTTTGTCGATAAGAAACTAGTCGTATTTTGTAAGAAAGAGAAAGTATGATCGACAAGAGAGTAAGACGAGGGAGTAAGCAGACGAGGAAGTAAGACAAATTGTAAGAACGTCGAAGAAATCTTTGAAGTAGAGACTACAAGTTCTACAACTACATCTGCCAAAAAGTCATGAAGAATTCCACAACACATAGTCGTAAATAGGCGAATGGAATCTGTGTATTGTGGTGGGAGAAAGGTTTTCAATCTTAGCTCGATCTCCCTTGCGTGCGCTTTCTTGACCGCATCTATTTGCTCTTTCAGAGTCGTTTCCTCCTCGTTCAGCCTTGTGAGCTGAGTCTGCGTATCTTCCTTTGCAGCCTGTTCTGTCTGAGACTGGTGTTGAAGTTCTCGCTCGTCTTCCCATTCACCTTGAAGCTCATTACGCAACCTTTGTTAGCGCTTAATAACACGATATTTGTGATAATACAAGTTTATCTTTCTTGGCCAGTCCTTTTTTGATGAATCTGACACTATTTGCAGAACACTGATCCTCTCCTGCGATATAGTGAGGTTTACCTAGGACTTTTCAAAGTCAGTATTTCTATGGAGTAAGTTTGTAACTGGACTTCCATCATGTCCCCGAAGCATCTGCAGCCTGTTTCAGGTAGTTATAATTATCTTGTTTTTGCCGCGATATAATTATCTCGTTCTTGCCTGCGATATAATTATCTTGTTCTTGCCGTGGGAAAGAATTTTGAATGCACAAGCAACGAAATGTAAAAAGATATAGTTATGATGTTGTAACCAGATGTAAGTGATTGTTGATCACGAGCAAGTCCAGCATGATGTGGTAGAATCGCCGTGTCGTGATGCGCAAGCAACTAAATGTAAAAAGATAGAGGTTAATCATCGTTCTAGAAACTTAGCTTTCATCTCCAATCTCTGTCAAAATGAGCCGTAAGTCTCTGCAGTGGCCTTGCTGTGAGCAAGCTCAGCCTCTGCGTACTCCCGCTCCTGCGTGAGCAAACGCTGCTCCCCATCCCTTTGGGTCCTGAGGCCCAGAAGTCTGTTCTCCAGGGCCTCTGCTTCTGTCCTTTCACCTGCCAACCTGTCCTCCTGCTGTTGGTGCCGCTGGCGTTCCTGCGCCACTTCATTTTCCAATCCAGTCGATCTGCGTCTCAGTTCATCAATGATTTCGTTCGTCAAAGTTTGTTTTTTAGAATCTATTTGAGCACATCGAGTCACTTCTTCCCCCCTTCTTTTACTCAAGTCCAACACCCAAAACTCCCTTTTAAGAATGAACCGACAGAGATTGATCGGACGGTGTAAGCGAAGTACCTAACAACGCCAGCATGGGCTACTAGATCTTGGCGGATGCCAACTAGAAGCCTAAGAACTAATGATCAACCTAACCTATGAGAACACGACATATTGGTGAATAATTTTACCCACCAGTGGAGATGTGATAATCACTACAGTATAAACCAAGATGAATGCATAACTTCTGCCTCAGTGGCAGCCACCCCCCTCGCCTGTGCCGTGCTTGCTGCGTCCTCCTCTCTCTTACTTGCGGCCTGGTGCTCTTCGATCTCGTCCTACAATTGGAGATTCCCAGCATAGCTGTCCAGCGCCATCCTCGTTCAAGCATACTGGTTATACTGAAATCTCATCCTAAAAATGGAAGTGGACTAGTGGACTAGTGGATATCTCAGAATAAATCTCTATGGGTATCGTCTTATATCAATATCTGGAAAGAACTACAAGCAACCAGGATGCTTCCTGAGATGGATCGACTTCATCTGGAAAAGTGACTTAACTCACGCGTTTGATCGCGTCTTCTTCGTGTGACAAGGCATCCCTTTCAGCGGCCAACTCCTCTTCCAGCTCCTGCTTTTTTTTTGAGCTGCCTTCCAGCTGCTCCCTCTCTGTTTTCAACTCATCCCTCATTCGCTCGAGGCGTTCCCCGGCAGCAGATTCGTCCTCTCTATTGCGCAATATTTCCTCCTCCAATGCCGCTTCAGTTTGCTTCTCTGACGCTAGCGCAGCTTCGGCATTTGCCAACGCTTCCTCTTCTGATGCAAATCTGCTCTGTAGTGACGCCCTCTGGCTCTCCTTAGATCTGTAAGAACAAAAGGTACATCTAGTCTTGCTAGATCTCTCCTAGCATTCGGCAAAGAGTAGAATTCTGAAGAGCACAGAAGGTGAAGATGCAGCTACAAGTCCACAATTCTAAGGCAACAACTAATATACAACGGTAGAAGAACTTCTTCTAAAGAGGTAGATTAAAGTTAAACTAGAATCAACGTCTAAGCAGTTCTCCAGAGCTGTCCATTTTATATATTGAGATCACTTTCGCAAGAGAAAGAGATGCTTGTAATATTACACAGAAGTTTATTATCATTTTACACAACCATCGATTCAAGTACAATTCTTGTCTTAAGGTTCGCTGTCTCGAGGTCTTCCGTTTGCTGTTCCAGCTCTCTGCTTTGTTCCTCTATTAGAGTCTTCTCTTATTCGGCTCGGCCCTTATCACTTGTATTTCATAAGAATACAGGGGGAAAGGGGACCAAGATGCCGAGAAGGATGGATGAAAGCTGCCCATATCTCTAAGTCCCTTTCTTGTGCCTCAAGCAGCTGCTTCTTTGCCTCAGTTAGGTGACCCTCTTCCTCCTGTATGCGTATGCCTTTCTCAGAGACTGCATTCTCCGCAGCATAGATCTTAGAGGGCGCAATAGAATACAAGAAATAATCTCGCACAACGTTCAGTGCAGACTGCCATAGGGGCTTTGAATGATCCTGACTAAACTTGTGGAGGATGGAACAAGATAGCGGATTGTGATTACCACAACACGAGGAACGATTTGGTAGTCCACGCGGTTGAATAGAGAATCCTCAGAGCAACTCATTCGTATGCGTAAATAGAAATCGGGATGAGAAAGAAAGCTGAAGGCCTTAAGTAACTCGCTTGCATCAGCCTTCTCGGCTGCCTCGGCCTCCTCCTTCAGGCGTTGGAGCTGTGCCTGAAGCCCTTCACCATTCACCTTCCGAGTAGCGGCCTCCGCACTTTCGGTTATGAAAGTAGCTTTTTACAAAAGCTTGTTCATGATTACCCTATTAAACGAAGCCCTTACAACTAGTAGTCCATCCTGAAGATAGAACGTCGACAGATAGAACGTCAAACGAAGGTTTTGCTCATGTAGTAGATTTTTCTTGCATATCCTCTGCCAGCTCTGCTTCGGTGCGCGCGACTCCAGCCTTTGCAGTCTCGACTTTACCTCTGGCCGCGTTCTCCCCCTCCCTCGCACCTGTAAGATCTCCTTTCGCATCTGTCAATTCTCTGTTTGCGTTCTCCAATGCCGTTGCGAGTCGTTCCACCTCAGCTTTGTGTTCACGTTCCATCTCTCTCATCTCCTTCTGCTGCCCCCGCAATGCTCCTTCAAGCTCCTGTTCTTCAAGAATATCCTCCCCTTAGAGCAGATTTTCACACTTCATTGCCCACACACTGTGGAGAGAAATCATCAGGATCTCAGATTCCTGGGAGCTGGTGTTGATATTACAACTGTGAGTATGAACTAAGAACATTTTTTTATATATAAGAGAGTGAAAGAACTCATGGATGCTTAGATCATTGAAGTATAAGTTTTAGTTTCCAAACGCCGCGCTACTCGAGACATTATTGTCGTGAAGGAAATGTTAAGTATCGAGTCGAGTCTTAATTCTCAGACTTTTCCTGATGCGCGGCCTCCGCACGTTTTTCCTGCTCGAGCTGTGCCTTCCGCATCATGATGTCAGCTTCTATCGTATTAACATCTTCCCCCAATTGCTGGGATTGCGACTTCTCCTCAGCTATTTGCGCAGTCAACTCCGATTCCATATCTTCCTGTTCTTGCTTAGCGCTTGCGATCTCTCGCCTCAACGTAACTGTGCGACCAACAGTCCTCTCCGATTTCTCTTGCACTTCTGCCTCGGCTGACACTGTGCCTTCGGCTTTTTTCAAATCGGCTTCTGCTTTGCTTTTAAGTTCTTCGATTCTCTTGGCCAACTCACTCTGCTTGTTCTGGGCTGTAGTTTCAGCTTCTGCACCGTCGTCGTGGATCTTCTTCAGACGTGCGCTGTCAGCCTGCTTTTTTTCTTAGAGGTTGGAACAGGTGACATTCCTAGACCAATAGGAATATGGGGTCGGATGGGGCGGGATATTAGGATAGGATATGGTATGCCACATTGCATGCCTCCACTTCGCTATCGCACAATTAGAGCGTCAAATAGGAAACAGTATAAGAACAAACGAAATAATATCTTTACACCAAATTTGTAGAGTTATCACGAATAAACCTCGCCCCTTGCTGTAAGAAAAAGGCAATGCTTCATCCCATAAACCGTTTTTGCCTCCGCTATCTCTCGGTCATGGGTCGTGATGTCGCTCTCCAATGCAACGAGCCGCCCCCGGAACTCCGCTTCGGACGCGAAAAGCGTTTGCGCCTGAGAGAGTTCCCTAGCAGCCTTGTCAACCTCTGTTTTCTCTTCCTCTTTCGCTTTGTATATTAGAAACTCGCACTGGCTACTTCATATTGCGGATAGGGACTAACGACCTAAGAGTATCTTCCGAGTCTCACTACTTCCTATTGTTTCATTAGGTATTAAAGAATATTTTCAATCCACAATATGCCATATCATTGGAAAAAACGACTTCTGCTATGAATGTACGAGTACGACGTAATGAATGACATGATACCAAGCATCACAAGACAAGTCTGACATATTAGCTACAAAAGAATTTGAAATAAGATCATCAGATAAGTCATATCTCGCATTGAGGAGTAGCCCTGAAGCAGTCATACTTTGCATTAGTAGAAAGTAGAAAGATCTGTGAATACAGGTTAGACTTTCGTCCAACTCAATTGCATGGTGAAATAGACCTAGGAATTGAGGCAAAATTTAACCTGTTATTTTTCTTTATGTGCTTTGAGCTCAATTGTAACAATTAAATGTCAAGCTTCAGCCACTCGTAATTGTAGACCGTCGCTTAGCCGCTTCTGCTCTGCTTCTGCCCTCATGTACTGGCCTTTTTGATTTTCGTAGCTTCTTCGCAGCTCCGCAGCCTTCTTTCTAACTTCTCTTGCTTCGTTGAGGGTCTCAGCCCGGGCCTTGGCATCCGCCTCAGCCTTGCTTTGTACTGTAGCTTCCTCCTCCTGTGCAAGCGGTATTAGACTCAACAACATACTGAAGCTACTGACTACAATTCTAAATGTAAATGTAGGGGCAGGGAGGGATCGAAGAGGAGGAATAAATTTTTGTTTGGTGTGGAGGATCCCATCAAGAATACTTACCATGAAACAGAAGCTAGCGAGACTTAACTGTAATTGCGTCTCCATTTGCTGCGCCTCCGCCTCTGTTTGCGAAAGCTTTTCTGTGCGCGTGCTGCTTTCAGAGTTTTGCTTAGAAGGTGGACAGAATGTTGAGCTTCTTAGCAGCTAGCAATGAATGTGTAAAAAACCATCGATCTCCAGGAAAGCCTCCAGAAGAACAAATTAATAGCCTCAAATCTACTTTCTGACATCAATCTCACTTCATCATCGTTTTAATCTTACTTCGTTTTACGCTTACTTCGTCTATTTATTTCATCCTGTATTTACAAATACGATTACTCCTCGAAATGACTGCTACTCGAGATGAATTCACTTCGGCAAATCAATGATTACTTGTCAAGATGACAGAAATACTCCTCAAGACGGAGATATGTAAAGACCTTCCTTAATTCCATTCTGTCGCGTGCCTTCGATGTCCTCCTCCAACTTTGCTATTTCACCGCTGAGTCCTTGAGACCGCCTTTGCGCGTCCTCAAGGCCTGCCGATAAAACGTCCGGGTTTTCCTGTGGCAAAACGGAATCCCTAATTGCTGATCTATAAGTTGGATCCGACACCTTAGTGAGCTCACCTCGTATTGCTGCCTTTTCCGCCTGTATCCCTTTTTCCACTCTCGAAATTATCTTCTCAAGGTCTCCTCCTTCCTTATCCGAGGCCCCTTGGCGCTGCTTGACACTATCCAACGTCTCCGTTTTAATCCAATCGAGATCTCATTATTAGCGGCAACGCTTGACAACTCTGAACGCCAATTGGCGCCTTATCTATGTCTTTTCCTGATCTTGCAGCAAGGGATCTTGATTCAACACTAGGCTTTCCCCTACAACTCTTGACTCTACTCAGCAGGACACACCACAAAAAATCAATACTGAAAAACTACCCTTAATCTGACAGGTTATCACTAGGTCCGGGCAAAAGACCCTGTTCGCCATTTTTCAGCTTTGCTTCATTTGTACTGGCCTCCCGGATCTGCATTTCCAGGCCCTTCACCTTTTCCTCCTCTGCCTCGGCGTCAGCCTGTTGAGTGGCAAGCCTCAATCTGGCGGCACCTCGCTTCGACTGATTCTCCGTAGTCGCGTCCTGGTGTTTTCGTTTGGCCTCTGCCAATTCCCTCTCCAGGCGTTCCTTTTCCAATCGCGCTGCCTGCTCTTGCTTTGTGGTTGCCTCATGCAAGCTTGCGATGTCATTCTTCGTCGCCTCGAGCCTGGCCCTCTCCGCATTCATTAGATGAAGACTCAAGATCGACGATCGACGTTGAAGATTTTTGTACTAGAAGAAACGAAACAGTATTCGCAAGAAGGTACTAGAAGATGAACTACATGCTCCAACTGGGAAACTAAGAAACGAAGGTGGGGAAACAATGATGTAACAATATCTACAAGTAGATGGTGAAGAACATGCACAAACTTCAGATAGCTGCTAAGATTGTATTATTGTCCCAACTTAACTCTCTCAACTGATTGTAAGCTGCCGTGCTTGTCTTTTTTTCCTCTACTTTTCCGTTGATTTTGTCTTGCAGCTCCGTGACTGCATTCTGACACTCTTGGAGCGTCTGACCCAGTTGCTTTGCCTTGTCGAGGCTTGTCTCCTCAGAATTGACTTAGTACTGCTCAGATAAATGTTGAAACAAATTACTTGTACATATCTAGCAATTACAAATATCTAGCAATAGCTATTATAACAGGTAGATGAAGTAGCAATGTAAAACAATGACGCTCAACATCCCATCATGTCATGGTGCCTCTGACTTTTGTAGCAACCTGATCAAGATGCTGAACAACACGATTTCTAATTCTATACGACGGCTACTCCTAATACCACTCACTACATCGCTTCAAAGGAAACCGATGTAGTTTCTAGTTTGTGTTCTTCAACATAAGCAGCAATCTCTGCCTCTAGCTTTGCAGCTTTCTTCTCGTGTTCCGCGTTTTCACTTTCAAGGTTACTCTGACCGTCGCTTCTGAGATCTGCCAGCGCCTTATTGTGAGCCTCCTCGTCTTGGACGGTTTGGCCCTCGAGCCCTAGACTTAGATGGTGATTGGTGATATCACTCGTGGTCTTAGAATAACAAATAAATCGTGATGAAATGGAGTATGAGCTTACTACGAAGAAAAAACTAACCCGCCCGGAATGATAAGTAAAGTACTCAATCTAACAGTCGTGTCAGGTGGTATTGAGCTCGTCTATCTGAACTACAGGCACAGCACGAAACATCTATGTTCGTTGCAAATGTGTAGGAGTGAATATTTAAGTAGTAGAGCCAGCGGCAAAAGAGAGGCTATCATAGCCCCAGTACCATTTTTCCCTATATACATAGAAGCCCAAAACTAGCAACATGAAATTAATCAAAACAGTGGCGCCTCTTGCTCCTGTTTACGAAAATGATGCCAACCTCCTCACTTCTATTATAGACCCCACATAGGCCACGTGAGTTGTCGTTTCTATTGTAGCCCTAGCTACATGGAAAAAGTTGCACGCTTTCTGCTATAATAGAAACAAAAAACCAAAGCGGTCCGCTTCTATTATATTGCATGAAGGGATAGAGCTGTAGCGAAGAGGTGAAAACTAACCGGTTGCTTTGCTTAGTGCTCTAAGCGGTCCGCTCCCATTATAGAAACCCACAGGCTATTATGGAGCAGCGCTCTTTTTTCCTATATAGTCCTACTACGAAATACGCAAGAAAATTAACCAGAAGCCGAAGGATGTCAGAAGTTGGGCCATGAAATTTTTGCGGCCTATATAGCGCCCAGGCCCTCAAAAAATCCGAGCTACATCTGCAAGGCCTATCAAAGCGATTTGTGATAGGCCTAGACTGACACAAGGCGAGGACGAACACCCACAGAGAGAGACGACGACCGCCATTAGTAATGGCGCAAAACTGACGAAGGCCTGGTAGTGGCCCATTGCTGAGTCACTGCTAGTCCTCGCGCGCGTTCAAGTATAACAAAGCTTGATAAAGGCACGCGAAGAAGCAGACGGGCTCTCTCTGTGTTGCGTGGCGAGTCCACGCCGATGGCTCCACGACGCGGTCAAAAACCGCAGAAGCAACGCCCCCAGGCCACAGTTGCTGCATTAGTCCCCATGTCATCAAGACGCCGCGCACAATAAAATATAGGGCCATAGGGTAGTAGAGTGAAGCACAATAGAATACGATAGGGCAGCATAGCATCAGACGACTCGGCCTTTCTGTGTTGGCGTTCCTTCCCGCACAAAGCAATCGCAGCGGCGCGCGCTCTGTCTCTTCTCTATTGATATTTTCTGCGATCCTTCCCTACGCCTACTAGTACCACCACTTGTATAAGTAATTGGAATCGCCATGATTATCGGACTAGATATGCCTCACATTTTGCCGCTGCGCTGTAGTTTCTTAAGAGTACTTGCCGGCAGTGCAGCCACCGGGTGAGGGAGTCAGTGGCCCTGAGCTACAACTAAGGACAGCGACCCCGGTCTGTCCGGTTCATAATGCTAGCTCGCTGGTCAGCGCTTCCCCACTTGCTTGCAGTTCTTTTGTCTTCTCGTGGATGGTCTCAATTTCTGCGTCTGTTAGATGGTTTCAATGAATAGGCATTGGCCCCACTTCTTCATTCTATTCAGCTGTGCATCCCTAGTAGGCATATGGCACCTACGCGCAGAATGAATCGATGTGACTTTTCACGTTAGACGCTCTCTGAGAAGTGCTTTTACTTCTACTTCTTCGATTTTGGTGCCACGAGAGGAACTTGAGTATCCTCCGAAGTTTTTATACTGCGTCTCCTTTTTGCATGGTTCAAGAATTCTGGAGGACGGGAACTATCCTACTGCAGTAGCCCATTCATGGGGTACAATCTGAATTTGGGTTAGAGCAGTATCCTCCTAACTCTTTAGCCTTCGTCGCCTCTTTGCGAGCTTCCCTCTTCTCCTCCAACTCTTTACTCCTCAAGTTGCGGAGCTTCTGTAGCGACTCCACACTCTTAGAAGAGAATTTTTTGATAGTGAAGAAAGGCGGAACGAGGGAAGGTTTCTTATAAATATATCCAAAATCAATAGCCTGTAAACTAACTACTAACAGATATTTCATATGGATTATGTCCCTGAAGATATTGTCTTCCCCTCGTAGTTTCACCTTCATGGACATGTCATGCCATCAATCGGAAGGGCTGAAAGTGATACAGTAGAGACGTTCATGCTATTGCGTCGACATGCGGATTACCACACACGCAAGCATTCTGCAGCGAAAAACCCTCGACATGGTATAAGCTACCCCCTCAAGAAAATGAGTCCAGTCAACCCGCCAAAGCGACTTCATCGATCACGGAAGATGCGTGCCCCTGTGCCTGTCCCGAGGAGTCGGGGCTTACATACTGTCCCGTAGACTCTAGTATTTTCACTAAGAAGAAATCTGGGGTCTACTACTTAATAACTGGCAAGCGTGAGAAGAGAGCCGGGAATTACGAGCCTGCTGAGCCAACCTTTCTAATCCTAGGCGTTGACTAATTCCTCTACTAAGGAGCTATAACTTGAATAATGCCGTCATCTCATCACAGAGGGATTCTTAAAGTTCGCTTGTCTCTCCCAAACCAATTGGTTTGCGCCTCTCAGCTCATCGTTCGCTTTGATCTGTCCAGCATGTGCCAATCCATTCTTCGCCCTTTGTGTCCTTTAGATAAGGTTGAATGTATCAAACACCGCGCAAAGGACACATGCATCGTAAACGACTTATTGCTACTGGCCATAACTAACAACGACTTAGACTACTGAGGTCGTTTACGACTTATTACTGCTGGTCTTTTTATTGTGGTAATATAATGAAGACCATAGATTCTTCTAGTAGCCAAACTTATTCATTCATTCACTCATTCATTGACACATGGTGACGAATATGAAATAGCTAGGCAATGGCCCAGAGAAAACCTCATCGCTACACGGCAACGGCAAATTGATGCACCTGTGACAGCCGTAATCAGCTAGCGCCTTGTTACTCGCCCGCATTAGAGTCACGCAAGTATTAGTACTACGTTCGCACGCTATAGTGCGTTGTTTGAAGTAGGGACTAGCCCCTAGAATAATATTATGAGGAAAAATTAACTGGCTAGTATAGTACTCTACTTCGACGGCCCCGACTTCTCCCGGAGCCCCAGCTTTACGGGTCACTAAATAGCGGCACAGGAATTGAAGGGTGTCATAATTCGTACGCTTTACCGCAAGTCTCTCTTTTCGTCGCTAAAGTGCCCTGCGTATCTCTTCTTTGCGTCTCTTTTAGTTTCAGTCCGTCTCTTAGATGATGCCAATATGTTGTAAGGGTTAGGTAGTTTCATTAGATACATAGTGATAGGCATGAGTCATGAAGATTGGTCCAACACCATGCATCGAGCCAACGAAAAAGAAATAAAAAGAGACAAACTATCACAATTTGTTTCGGAAACACAGTCAAGAAATAGAGAATAACTACAAAAAGCATAGCTGTAATCATTATTATATCCAAGAACTTTATATGCGTGAAGGTGTAACAGCGAGTATTTACAACAACTACGTCCTGCGCAGCTTGCTACAGGAACTACTTGTCCTTCTTCGTGAAAACATCATAATTGCGTCTCAGATGGTCGCTGAGTACCATCGGCAAGTCATTCATGAAAAATTTCCTGCAAATGTCTAGTACACATGCTGTCAGCGGAAAAGAAGCACTTGATACAAAGCAAGGTAGTACTTTATTGAGATGGGATGCGAGATAAGGGCCTTCATCTGATGCGCTGAGACGGTAACAAGCCGGTAATGTCTTCCCATAACTTGACTGCAGGGACTAATCTAGGATGGTTATGAGGAAAAAACTAACCGGCTGTCATCTATTTAAGTGCTTTGAGCGTCGCTCGGCCTAAGCCTCAACCTTCCCATAAGTCTATCGTATTTGCTAATTTGGACGCTTCCGCCTGAGCAGTTTTTGCCGAAGCGGTTGCCTTCTCTTCTTGACGCTGAAGGGCTTTGGCTTTCGCGACGGAGTCTGTTTAGAGCGTAAGTACTTCTTTATTCTTTATTCAATTCATCCCGCTTTCCTCACCTCGGTACAATGGGAGTTCGCCCAACCGTATACCGAGATGAAGTAGATCTTCTGGAAGAAATGTTGAATAATAGCTGACCTCCAGCATAGTTGTGCAGCTCTTCTTTTGATTCTGCGAGTTTGACTTGGAGTTTTAGAGTCGTCAGGCAAGAAAGAGTGTCCCTGTTCCATATCGTGCCAAGCTTCCAAGAAGTGTATCGGTCTATCACTTCTGCCGCGGGTTCCAGAGTAGATTATGCGCAAGGACATGCTCCCTCTCGCGCTTTTTTTGTCAGTAGTGTGATGCGACCTCGGTCCTCATCCACATGGAGATCCGAAGTCTCCTGACCCAGTTCCGCGGCGTCAGCGCCTTACTTTGCTAACCCCTTAAGTAAGCACGAGAACGGAAAACGAGCAAGACAGAACAAGCACAACACAAGACCGACGCAGCACGAGCAGCATGACGCCCGTTCTCTCTCCTCGTGCAGGTTTGGCAGATGTTACCTCGGCCCCATCACGTGCGACACGTTGAGAGGGCCTGAGAGAGGCCCAAGCTTGGGCCGGCTTAGTGTGGTCCATTGCCAGTAGACTCGCCAGCCTTTTCATGATAGTGATGACGATGATGATGATGATGATGATGATGATGGCGATGATGGTGATGATGGTGATGGCGGTGGTGACGATGGTGAATATGGTGATGCAAATAAACGCCGCCCAAGATGGTCCAGGATGTATATTCCGAAACCTTTCAGCCCTACAGTTCTGCATATAGCAGTAGGCCCCAAAAGTCACAGAACAAAACAGCCATAAAGCACTTTTCAGAGCAGCCATGGCCGCAGTCGTTTGCGCCAGTTCGTTCGCAAGCTTCTCCTCAAAACCTCCCCAGTCCTGTTTCACCTTGCTGCGCAATTCCCCTCTCTGTTTTTCCAGTTTCTCCAACTCGAAATTAGAGCTTTTCAAAATAAGTATACTTGCTTACGTTCCATAGATTGATGGAGGGATGAACCCAGCATATGAGGGAAAAAAAGACCGCTATGGATGTCTGTAGACTGTGTGTTTCTGTTTGGTTGCCATGTCTGTTCGCGAGAAGATCAATAAATGCGAAAATAGTATGGCCACCTCTCATTAAAAAGTCCAAGGAAGTATGCCAATTCCTTGCTGGTTTCCACTTCTAGTACCTGTGAAGCCCCCTGTTGAAAAACAGAGTAGAGGACTCTGCGAAGAGGAATGAGAGATGTAAATACTAACATTTTCGTTGATGGCTATAATACAGCGCTAGGTGGATGCAGCTAGGCTTGCTATAACCTTCATAAATATGCAAGTATGAGTCCAAACATTGACTCGCATGGAACATGAAGAGCATCCATGCGTGAGTCAAATGGGAAGAACAAGTAACGACCCCTGTTTTCTATTGAGTAACAAACCCAACTTGTTGTCTAGTTCTGTATCGCAGGCTAGCGCAGGGACGACGAGGGGGCGACTGACATCCCTGCGCTGCGGTCAAGTGAATTAACTGCGCTCGCCTTGTTTCATACCAGTCGAAGAACCTGGCCAAGGCTATGGCGCGGACGGGTAACAGATCAGAGCCAGCAAGCCCACGACCCCCACGAAAGCCAACGACAGAGAAGAAAAGCCAACGAACGAAACCACAAAGAGACATCAGAGCACGCCGATGAAGGCGAGCGGGGCTGAGGGTGCACAGGCGCGACGAAAGCGCCCCCCAAAATTAATCGCCCAGAATTGAGGCGAGTAAGAACGGAGGCAGGGGAAGCCAGCGGAGGGAGAAGCGCCTGCGAAGCCAGGCCTCCTGAGCCAGGGGCAAGGCGAAAGGCACGAGGAAGAACAGAGGCAAGAACCAACGAAGCCATAGCCACCAAAGGGAAAAGAAAGAAGCCACACACAAGGCAAGCCCGCCGCATTGCTTGCCCGGCGGTAGATGGTTCTCCTCGTTCGTTTTGTGTCGTTGGCTGGCTTGGTAGCTTGCATGCTGTGGGCAACTCCTACGAAGAACGACGCACACAACTCCCCCAGCCTATGCGCCCAGAAGTCGAGCGACCGACAAGCGCCCCCCCCCCCGCCCCCACTGTCCAACGCGGCCAAGCCTGACAGAACGCTGTGTGTAGACATTGAGCGAAATGAACTCCACGCCCCGCGCCTCCGCCTTTGCTTCTCATTCTTCTAGCAAGGTTTGCAACGGTAAGAGCACGAGCAAGGCGACAAGCTGGCCTGGCGGGAACGCTCACAACCAACGCAAAAGGCCAGCAACTTGCCATGGAAGAAGAACCAAAGCAAAAGCGCAGAGCCCCCGGGCTGCTCTTCGTCTTCAGTTTGTGGGCCGGCGTGTTGCAATGCTCGGTAGCGCGTGTCTGTGTGTTCTTCTCTCCTTCCTGTCAGCTGCTCGCCCCATGCATTCACGCCGGCCAAGCTGTCAGTCGGTCGCGTGGCGTGGCTGGGGTGGCTCTGAAGGGGGCGGCTGACTTGTTCGACCAAGCCCCCGCAAGCGTTTGAATGATTACCGGTGCACAGGCATCACGATCCATCTGAGCCGTGCACGCACGAGCTGAAAGCGGCGCCAGCTCACTTCGTTGTTTCGTTATTGGCTGGCCCCCCTCTCTCAGGCACACAACCTGCACGAGAGGAGCGCCGCGCACTTGGTCCGTTGCAAGCAGGCCTGGGGCGTATCAAGTGAAAGACGACAACCGAGGCGAAGCTGCAAGCCAAAGACCACCGCAGAGCACACGCCAACGGCCTCGGCGAAGAAAGAAAGAAGCGCCGAGGCGGTGGCCGAGGCCATCACTCGGGGGAGCGGCTGCGGGCGGAAAGAGTGACCGAGAGGGGGGAGACTTACAAGGAACGCAGCGAGGCACGCAGCTGCGTGCCCGCGGTGGCATGGCTTCCGCTGCGCTTCTCTTCACCCCTAGTCTCCGGGGCGGCTCGTTTTCTATGCCGTTGCCGTCTGTGCATGCGCGGGCAGGTCTAATCATTTGGCACAAGGAATTGACAGCCAGCGCAGCCAGAAAAGCGGCCCGATGTGCTGGGCCGTTTTTTCGTGTTTGCTCTTTTGTTCTTCGTTGTGGTCTTCCGAGAAAACCAACGCCGCCCCCCGATGGAGGCAAGACGAAGACGAGCGACAGGCCTGAGATGGTTGCGGTGCGCTACGTCAGCGCCTTCCCTGTCGTTATCGTTCGTCGTCTCTCTTTGGCGAATCCCTTCGAAAAAGCAAGACGCCTGCGCCCGTCTCGGCCCATCTTTAAGCCGCTGACTTTCATGAGAAGAAAGCTGCGCTCCAGGCTGTAAGAATACAGAAGCAAGAAGGTCGATTCTTGTTTTAGCTTATACGATATACTCCATTTTTAACCTTTGTCTTCTGTATCAAGATTAACTAACTCATTGATAACCCTTCTTGTCTCCTGCATTAGACATTAACTCATCGACACATCCTCTCAATGAAAAATTATGTAAAAGCCTACACCAAACCGTAACAGCATCCATGTCTCGTTCAGGCAACTCTTCGAACTTTCGGGGGAGATTCCTCGGGGCCTTGGCCTTCCCGGCCCCTTTCGCTGCACTTGGGCGCATGATGTTTTGGTTTTCTACTACGGTAAATCGGTGTTGTGATAAATAACACGAAAATGTGGCATATCAAGTCTATGCCAAAGTAACGAGTTTATCTTAGTTATATGGTGTTTCAACTTGTCAATACTTTGTAGGAAGACAACTCTATGAGTTAAATTGTAACTGTTGTGAGCTGCAAGTGGAGCCTAGGATAGGATGGGATAGGATAGGAATTGGCCCACCGTCCACAGTTTTACCTGCATACAAAGCAGGGGCTGATGCGTTTTGTTCTCTTTAGGAAAGAAAATTGGAGCTCGCTGTAACGTTCTTACCTAAAGAATCTACTTGATTGACTAGAAGCTCCACGTCGTCTCTCACGTTTCACTCAGGGAAAATGCGAATCATTTCCTTCCAGGTGCATCTTGCTAGACACTTTTTCGCCTTTCATAAAAGTCAAACGAATTTTCAAAAGCAGAGATTCATTCACTCACAAACACAGGCTAGCATAGTCACTCAACCTCGAGACGAACTGGTGTGGTAATGGTACAACTACCGCTTGACAAACCACTGCACTTTTTTACTCTATTGATTGATTGCCAACTGACAAAAGCTCAATTCATGTACTAGATGATATGATTAACATTATGGTTTTGTCGTCACAGGGGAACCCAGTTAGGTTAGGTTAGGTTAGGTGTGGGCCCACCAGGAAAACTAGCAGACGTCAGTGGCTGCTGAAGAGCCAAAAACACGACTACGACCTAGAGCTGGTGGCGCTGCGCTAAGTTCTACGCTCTATGATACGCTAGACCGGTCGCTGCCTCTGAAGGACAGCGCACTTGTGTCTTTTTACTCACTCCGGCTTCTTGCCTTACTCACTTATTCATTCGCATTCCCTGTGAAGTTTAGTCAGCTACCCATCCCACCTTTCCGACAATTGTCTTGTGAGTCTTTATACATAGTTTAGTGGTCCTTTCTCTCTAATCCTGTGATCTCTCGTCTGCAAGTCTTCTTCATTGTGCGACGCGCTCGCACCGGTTTCGATATGATTCAACAGTCGATCATTACTTAACTAATAGCTCGACCCGCCTTCGTCGAGCTAAACCCGCCAGAAAAATATAAGGCCACACCACCGAACGTCACACTTACATGCCAACTACACAACATGACAAGGCTAAGCAAAGGCGAGAATCCTTCAGGTTTTTAATCGAAGCCGCCACACAACCGCGCAAGTCACATCGCCGACCATATAATCAGCGCTAAGGCTTTTCAGTTTCATCGACAAGAGAGCCCCTACAAGCAACTTCCAGTCAACAGAGTTATTCACTTCTTAGCCCTGTGGGCGGCCTTAATCTTCCGCCTTGGAGATGGAGTGCTTCTTGGAGATACAACTGGAGCAGCGATCTTGGGGCCGACCGGTCGCAAACGGAGGAGTTTAGAAGTCTCTGTAACGAGAAAACAATATAATACTTAAAAGCAAGAAACGCAGATGATCACTCCGAGAGATGCCAATCTTTCGTCAACACTACAGAGAGACACTGCAGCTTCATCTTCGCACGTGCATTAACAAAATAGAAAACTTTAAGAGATTTTATATGCTAGAGCTCTCCGAGGCTTGATTTCGAGGGTCTCAACTTCTGTGGTGGGTTCGCTTCTCCTTCTTTTCTACCGCCGTTTTGGCCTTCTTTTCTTGTCGCTACTTACTACTTCGCAAACTTTACTTTTAAGGGCCTTTTGCTCTTTGTATCATCTCCTTGTTCAGTTTCGCGCCCTATATCCTCTCATATTTGTCTTCTCATACTCATCAACATGCGTGGAGTGACTCCTTTAGCCTTTTTGGGCTTTGCTCACTCGTCAAGATCGAGGGTAAAGAAAAAGGGACAGCAGATGGGCATGCTTCTCCCGAAGCTCGGCGACTATGCTATCCGCGTTTCGCTTCACCCTCACACAGTTCACTAACGCGTCACCGCATTCTTTCCCTATCTATATTCAAACTCTTCTCTACCGCTTACTCCTGCGCGACTTTCTTTCACACAGCAAAACGCCCCACTTCTCTACTCAAGCAAGCCCTGTAGGCCTGCTCTACAGGCAAAAAAAGCGAAAAAAAAAGTGCCCCACTCTAAGTGTTAGTCGCCCGCGACTTATTCTCTGAGCGTGCTGTGAGCATCTTCTGTTTTGATTCTGGGATCATAAGTTCTGCTCTGCCTACTAAGTACTATGATTACTACTCGCCTCACGGGTCCAGATTCATCGGGCCAGCATCGATCAAGCTCTTCCGCATGCACTTTCTCGGTAAAACCACTTAGTACAACTTCCTCTGTAAAGTCGCTCAGAATAGACGGCACCGGACGTGGTCAAGTCTTCTTCGCTGTGCTTCTTCCTGATTAGCATTTCCAGGCCGTCCTCTTTTACCTCATGCTCATAGTCTGCACAGCGAGGAAGAGGAACGGCGGACCTTCGACGTCATTTTCTTGTGAGCTTTTGTTTACTTCCAGTCCCGCTTAAAGATCTCAACTCCCCTTTACACATCTAGAAACGCGGTATTTCTCCCCGCCTACGAGACCTTCTTTACCCATCTTTATAGACCCTGCCGTCGGGCATTCAAGAACTACTATAATCCCTTATACACAGAACAGACACGGCAAGGTCTTCCTAAAATGCCGCACCAAAAAACACGGAATGAGTACCCGATCTTACCAGGATCCTACCAGGAATACAACGCACAATAAGGTTAGATCTTCTTAATGGTTAGATCTGGATCATCTTGAAGCTGTAGTTCTGATATAATAGACGTTGAAGGTCCAAGCTTTATCCTTGCACACATCCACATTAACCTATTTGCAAGCATTTTAATGGGTCACATTTATCATCCAATACCAACTACCTATCGAGCGAAGGAAAACTACGAAAATACTGCAGAAACTGTTTGAAGAAGCTACCTACAACTACATGGCTACTTTGATGTCACTGTAGTTATATGTTTGATATGTGAAAAAAAACGTAAGAAACGTTGAAAAAAAACTGATGCTTCTTTAGTCTGTTTATTGAAAAGTCTATTCGTCTAGCTTACGAGACAGTGAACATACAACCGTGATGGCGGTCCACACCTTAGTCTGTTTGTTGAAAAATATTATCGCTATCATGTTGGTCCTAGTCTATTTATTGAAAAATGTTCTCGCTATCATGGTCTTGGTCTGTTTCTTGAAGAGTCTACTCGATATCAAATGTCTATATTAGTCTGTTTGTTGAAAAGGCCAGTCGCACGTTAGTGTCCTCAAAACATAAATATTCTTAAGACGGTTGACCTCAGATGTTAGTGGTCTGTACTTTGTTTCAGAAATACAGTGGTAGTGGATGATAACTAGGTATTGAAATTGATGGCAATCACACAATAACAACTCAAATTCCGAGAAACTCATTACTGGAAGTATCCTCAAAGCCTTTTCGAAACCATCACTCACAGTCCTACAGCCTTTCGTTAGCCTCAAAGCCGCTTAAGTAGAATCCACCATTCACGATTCCACCAAGTCCACATCCTCCCCGGGCAACCAGAAAAACGGTATTAGTGGTGTAAAGCAATACCTCTCTTCACAAACTCATACTTCTCATGGCGAAAACTAGTAAGGCTGTACGCCGTACAAGTTTGGTCTTTCAGTTGAGTACTACCTTCGGTGATATGCAACTTCATCTAGTAGTTCTCTGTCATCTACTGTTGAAGGTATCACACGGAGTCTCAGAAGTAATGGTTGTTCTACGAGTCTGATGACCTCACTAATTCGGGGGTGAAGGTAAAGCCCTGACTAAAAAAAGCAAAAAACTTGTCATCAACCTTACAACAAGGAAGAAAAAGCGATAAAGAATCAGCAACCACAGGAAACGATTTCTTCAGGATGTTGAGGTTGATCTTTCTTGAGAATGATGAGGTTGCAAAAATCATCAACACAATTTGGTCCTCCTATCTTTAGAATGATGAGTTATTTGCCATAATGGTAGTTCTGCCCACATGCTTTTCGCTTTTCGGAGTTTTCTGCTCCACCAGCCAGCTTCAATATTCAACTCTGGTGCTCCTATCAGAGGCTCAAGCTCATCAGATTCCCCACCATCGTCAACCTGATTGTCATCATAGATTGTTATGAATACTTAGTTAAATTTTGTTAGGAGTAGAGTGATTTTGTTTTGAGTGGTTTGTTGATGGACAATGTGAATGTTGTCAAGATTGTGTGGTTTCGACGTGCTGACTCTTCAAAATAAAAATGTGTGAAAGTTTGCTTATCTTCAGTATGGGGTCAGGGGCCGACAGAGAAACGTCCTATTTATCCTGGACTTCATGCGTTGACACCCTATCCTTGATATGTGTGATGACATAGTATAGGAAGTTACAGAGAAACGTCCTATTTCTCCTTGCTTAGTATGTCCTTGCCATCTTGTTCTATAAACCAAGTAGTGGGAACTGCGTCAGTACCTTACCCAGGCTCTCGTCCGACGTAGTAGAAAACATAGCAGCTGATGGGCGTTTTTTGAGGTTGAGCGTCTTGTGGAACGAAGGAATATCTCTGATTCCTGCTCCTGGCAACATTGGAAATAACTTCTCGACGATTGTAAAAATGAAGGATGGGGTCTTCTCTTGTCTATTGTTTGAAGTCCTTGTACTTCTACAGAAAAGCAAATACTAAAATTTTACATCGTTCGTCCGTGGTAGTATTAAGTTAGCTACACGTAAGTAATCATTCTTGATCACCGGCTACAAATACCAAGTACAACTTCTTGATTACAAATACAACTTTGACTTTCTCCAAAAGTCTCTATCCGTTCATAGCCTGGCCACACTCCCTTCTCCATGCTATAAGTTTTCCGCTCTCCGTTTCGTCCTCGACGCTATCATCATTTTCCGCTTTTTCCTATGGTTAGAAACACCGCGGAGTGGGAACATCACAACAATCAACATTATCCTTCAAACTATAAGCTAAAAGTCAACAAGCTAAAAGTCAACAAGCTACAAGTCAACAAGCTACAAGTCAACAAGCTAGAAGTCAACAAGGTGGAGGTGAGTAGGAGCAGGAGGTGCGTAGGAGCAGGAGGTGCGTAGGAGCAGGAGGTGCGTAGGAGCAGGAGGTGCGCAGGCGCAGGAGGTGCGTAGGAGCAGGAGGTGCGTAGGAGCAGGAGGTGCGCAGGCGAAGGAGGTGCGTAGGAGCAGGAGGTGCGCAGGCGCAGGAGGTGCGTAGGAGCAGGAGGTGAGTAGGAGCAGGAGGTGCGTTGGAGCAGGAGGTGAGTAGGAGCAGGAGGTGCGTTGGAGCAGGAGGTGCGTAGGAGTAGTCCCTGATTAGTGACTGTAACACACCTATGGCATTGCGTATAACACTAGGATATGAGGGAAAATTGAGCGGCTATTTTTCTTTATATGCTTCAAGCGTCGCTGGACCTAGAACACACCTCAACCATAAGCAGAGGACTTCAATATCGCTGAACCAAGGCTGCTCGGTCGTAGCCCAGCGGTCTCGTTGCAAATGAAGCTGCACATGTACCGAAAGAGAGGAAATGTCTCTTCCGTCGTGGTCCGCGAATATCTTCCGGGTTTTAGAGCTAAATGATTCAAAGGCCGTCCACGGAGACTTACTCTCCTTGGTCTCTTCAAAAACATGTCCAACAAAATTCTTCCTGATAGATTCATTGCGCTTCCCTTTGAAAAACATAACAATTCCCAATCCCACAAAGAGATAGGGTTAGATGAAAAAAATACCTCCAGTTATAATCATGATTCTGGAAGAGTTTTATAATAACCTTGAATCCTCCTTAAAAGTTCGTGTGGATTAGAATGTCCTTGTTTTCCATCAGAATCTCCTTGTTTTGTCAACTGAGCGTCATCAAGCTTGTTCGACAACATCTCACACATGGCGAGGATATCGCTATTCAACATACCGGAGGACGCGATGAGTATTAGAGCTGAACACTTTCAACATACATCGGGATAGGATCGGATAGGACAGGATAAGTAGGAAACAAACAGTATGAATCGCGCCTTAAGAAGAGGTTGGAACAGCAAGAGTGATAGCGCCTAGCGGCAGCTCGCACCGCGTCCTTGCCTTGTCGATACAGGTGCTCCATGAATTAGAAGAGTTGCCACCAATGGTAGTTGTAGCACTCGCCAATGATCAGTACGGGATTGCCTGGTAGATTGAACATTACAGGTTGGTTGATTGAATGCAAACTCGATTGACCCAGTGGTCGATTGACCGAGTCACTGAGCTGACTGGACAGCATCATGGGAATAAAACAAGGAAGGGAATCAGTATTCACTGTGGCCGACGAGCCTCAAGCGAGGAAATAGTTGTTGTAACTGCCACCTATATAAATAAGTAAATTCTTCTATTCTTCAATTGCATCAGCATTATGTTTAGGAGTCATAATCTAAGTCCTGCTTTGCTTTACGCTCATGTCGATCAGCTTCTCGTTGCTTCTCCAGCTCCACGGCGGCTGCGAATATGCGGCGTGCAGCTAACTGCAACACTTTGGATCGGGCCCGATGCGACCGATAGACTCTAGGCTTAGAGGCTTGGAGAGATGACAACTAGGGCAATTGAGACGACATCATAGATAACGACGCTATACTATGTTGCCATGTAAAGAAGTTCTTGATCGACGAAAGAAAATAAGTCGCCAGGTCATGTGTGTGTCCCTGTCGCGGTTCAAAATAACCACCGAGTTTTTTTTTTTGAGTTATAGGACTATATGCCACCGCCCTTTCAAACAATTAATCAACTCGTTCAACTAATTTTTTCATACAAATTACATACTGGGGGCGCATAAGGCCGTACATTCGGCCGCAAAAACTACGGATATCGGAGGAGCCGCACATTCGACCCCCCTAGGAGACATTATTACCTAGAAGTTCTATCTGGCTCGGGGCTGCACGGCCCCCCCGTGTGGGTGGCCCTGTGGGGGCGCTTGCGCGCTCTTTTCCGCGCTTATTTTCGCGGAGTCTAGTGGTGGAAGGCGTCAAAGCTGGGCGCGGGCGCACCCTTGCGCCTCTCTGCATGCTCCTAAGGGGCCTCCTGGCCTCCGCTGACCCTCGCAGGCTGGAGGCCTCCGGGGGAGAAGGCCGCCGAATGCGGCCACGGTCTTCAGAGCAGGCAGACCCCTTGGACCCCTAGGAAGAGGCAGGCGCAGCGCGTCTTCTCCCGCACAGATTGAAGCGCAATACGAGACAGCGGCAGCAAGCCGAGCCGAAGCGCCCCCTTTGGTTGCAGCAATCGACGGCTTCGCATGTCTGTTGGGTACATGCAAAGGCCCTCCGGCTCTCTCGAGACCCCTCTGGAAGCCTTCCACCCCCGGCAGACGGCTCCGAAAAGGGTCCGGGGCGACGGTCCCCCCCCTGCGCTACGGGGGGCACCGTCGCCCTGAACCCTGGAATATATAGGCAGGCGAGGCAAGGCGGGACCTACCCCCTTGGCGTGCTGCATGTACCCGACAGACCTGGCAAAGGTGGCAAGGCTGGACCCCTCTGGCGTGTTGCCAACCCTACGCCAAGGGGGTGGGTTCCCGCCTTGCCTCGTCTGCCAGCTCTGTCGGGTACACGCAACACGACAAGAGGGCCCAGCCTTTGCCACCTTTGCCAGGTCTGTAGGGTACACGCAAGAAGCGGGAAGGGGTCAGAAGTGAGCGCTTTGAGGCCTTCCCGCCCGGCAGCCCCTCGACAGACCTGGCCAATAAGGTGGCAAGGCTGGACCCCTCTGGCGGGGTCCACCCCCGATCCATCCACAGGGGGGGGCCTCCCTCCCTGGTACATATATAAGTATTCATACAAGGAATCTAAGAACGAGTACTCATACAAGGAAGCGGGGGTAGCAGAGAATAGCATGTATAATCTACCACCAGAACAAGTCCTAAGAACAAGAAAGCCAAGGTAGAGAAAGAACAGTAGCGCAAGAAACCAAGCATCCGCATCTTGCACTGACATCGGAAGCCGCCAGAATTTTTTCCCACCGTCTTCCATGAAGGAACCTACAACGCAAGTTTAGAAGGGTGAAGCTACGCAGGTCGAAGTCTTTGATATATGTGTGACCTCGATCCTGTTCAGGAGCGTCATGCGCCATGATACCTCGTGGCCCATTCTAACTAATGGTATTGAGGTTATTCAGCCTTCCTGTGCCTTCACTAATGAAGAGCAAGAGGACCGATCGATCATGAGCAACATGCGAGACAAAAATATGATTAGCCATCAAAGTTATAACTAAGTATAATCGCGTTAAGAGGAAGGAGACGATGAATAATAACCGCCGCGGAATTGTTCCTTGTGCCCGTGAATGCCTATAATGCCTTAGAAATCGTCACCCCGGTTCAGCATTTCTTTTTCCTCTTGCTCCTCTTTGGTAAGTTTTTCCACATCACAGCCACAGCGTGTCTTAGAGTAATATACTTGGCTAGGTTAGGTTCGGTTAGGTTAGGTTAGGTTAGGGACCCTTCACATCGAGCTCCCGCGGCCTCCTAGCTTGGTAGACTTGTAAACCGTTGTACACCAGCCGAGGTCCTGCGATCATATGATATCCATCGTGGCTGAAGAGGTCAAAGCAACCTTGTCAGCCTCAGAAAGTGGTGAGGTATACCGAGGACTTTTCAAAGTCAGTATTTCTATTTAGGCGAGTAGAAGCTGTGTACTAGAGGACTATTACACAATCCAGGTCGAAAAAGTAAGTTCCTTTCTAGATGAAGAGTAAGTATCACTTTGAAAGCATAATATCCAACTGCGTCTCGTCTCCAGCACAAGCATTGCAACCACCAGTCAAAGTGGTTTCATCCAGTGACGCAGCTTTTTTTAGAGTCCGCGCTTTCTTATTCATCTCGGCCCCCACATCTCGACCCCTTTCCCCTTGTATTTCATGAGAATACAGGGCAAAAGTGGACCAAGATACCGAGATGGATAAAAGCTCACCATAATTTTTGCGTCTCCAGTTCTTCTTTCTTTTTGTCCACTGCTTTGGTTTAGATCTAATCTATCTGTGTGCCTTGGATCTGTTGAACTGTCCTATAGAATTTGTAGACGCTACTCCTGTACTATCATCGTCATCATCATCATCTCACGGTGTCCAATCCTGTACTAAATCTAAAGTGATTCATACATAATATTACAATCTTCTAAGCGAAGGTGATGAAACGATGTAGTCATAATCCAAATCTGTCTGCAGCTGTTTAGCTTGATCCTCGACTGCACGTAGTGCTTGCTTAGCCTGCTCCTCTTGAAGGCATTAGAAGCATCTCGCTCAGTGTAAAGAGTCGACATCTCGTAGTTCAATTCTTTACTGCTTATGTCATGTGTGCGTCTCTGATGATGCTCGCTGTTCGTAGCATCCGTTTTTTTTTTGCGTTAGGACTATATGCCAACGCCCTTTCAATCAATTAATTAACCTATATAAAACATCCAAGTTGCATACTGGGGGCGCAAAAGACCGTACACTCGGCCACAAATCTACATCCATCCGTACTTGAGACTGGCTCTGATAGTACTATTAGCAATTTTGACAATCTATCTGACTCATAATCTGTAATGGACTCCTCTAGGTTTGATTTGACAATCTAGCAAATTGATCTACTTATAATTGACCCCTCTAGATTTGTTATGACAATCTAGCAAACTCATCACTCATCTGTAATTATGACTCCTCTACTCCATCCTAGGGCTTATGAGGGAAAAAAGAACCGTTTACTCGTCTTTATCATTTGCCCTAGGTCTCCACAATTTCCTTGTTATCCCGGACCACAATGACCTCTGCGTTCAGGTCCTCTTGTGCTGCTTCCCGCACATCGTCTGCCGCGGCCTTCGTATCAATTAGAGCTAGTCGAAACACTGAAGTAACCGCGTAAACCCCTCTCGTCGAATCCGTCGCGTCCCTGGGGCCATCGTTGGTGTCATCATCATGGCGCCGTCCCATTTTTTTAGTTCTACTACCCTAAAGGCGGGGCAAAACAGTTTTTCCCTTGTTAGGTAGAAACTGAGCCAGCAATGGGGCTGAAGACGTTGGTTAGGTTAGAAATCCTTCAGATGATCGCGCCCCCTCCCAAGACATTGCAGCCGTAGTACATAAGTCCTTACAGCGAGAAGATGAAACCGCTCAAATTAGACTATCCTCTCCACTGTCATGTTAGCCTTAGTTCAAAGACTTGGCGATGCTCCACGCGAGCTTTGTTTTCCTCCTCACGTGCCGCCTGTAGTTCGGTTTCCGCCTCCGTCTGCGCGGTCTTTGCCGCATCCAGGGCTGCCTGTTGGCCAGTAAGCTCCTCTTTCCTTTCGTCAAGTGTCTTCTGTGCATCCTTTAGACCTTACCCATATTAATTCATTCAATCCATGTTGAAAATCTAAATCATATTATCTTTGACGACGTTTTTTACCCTTGGATGAAACAAACTCACGCCAAAAAAGCTGCTTCTCGATCTCACTCAAGATGATATTTCCCGGTAAGTCGCCATAATTCCTCTTTTTGTTGCGTAGCCTCTGCTGCCTCGCTTTGCGCTGTTTCTGCTTCGTCCTTAGCTGTTTGGGCGGCCTCACTGGCAGCCGCAGCGGCCGCGTTTTCGGCAGCAAGAGCTTCCTGAATTTTCTTTAGAAGTAGTGGTCGACTCCAAATCTACTTACAAATAACGAACAGTAATTTCTTTAGAGGTAGTGACTGATCCCATTCACATCTACTTATACATATTATCTTTCATATTACTCAAGTGGGCGGAAGAGCCTGTGATGTGGTACAAGAAAGAAAAAAGTACATCGATCAAAATGTAGTAACGACGCGATCTAAGTATGCTACGTACTATGTATAACTCAGATTCAAATTTGTAAGACGATACTAGTTTCTTACTGACCTACTACCCGTCTACTTGCTGCCCGTCTTCTACTGATTGCTTGATCGATTGGTTGATTGACTGACTGATTGACTTCTTGACTGTGATTGATTGATTGATTGACTGGCGTGCCTGGCAAGAGATAGATCGCATTGGCGTTGTGACCTACTACACGCGACGACGCTAGTCGGTTCAGATTGGGCCCACGGCTTTCCTGGATCTCTTCTGAGTTCTCCGGATTTCTCTGACCTGCTGCACATAATTTCTCCTCCTCTTCTTTCGCTTTCCGAGCTTCCTCTTTAGCCTCGTTTCCCTTCCTTTTCGCTTCGAAATTAGGAATAGGTAGACGGCTTCATATAAAAAGAAGTAGACTTCTGGCTAAGCAGAAGACTTCACTAAATAGAAGACTTCATCTAGATGCACAGAAGACTTCGCTCTAGGAGGTCTAGTGTGCATTGAAAAAAATGCTACGATGAGCTTTACTGAGTGACCCCCCATATCTGCGGCCGCAGTTTCCGCTGTATCCGCCGCACCCTCAGCAGTAGCCTGATCTGCTTCGGCTGCCTGTGCAGCATCGTCCGCAGTCCGCTTCGCTTCATTGGCGGCTTGCTCTGCCGCCTGCGCAGTATCTGCATTCTCTTCTTCTTAGAAGTAGAACTTTTACGCTTTTATTCTATTCTGTGCGCCCCTAATAGGCATATGGCACCTACACGCAGAGCGAATCGGTGTGACAAGATCGACAGAAAAGCAGACAGCTTTAACTACATTGCGCCCTAGACAGAGTATCGCAAGGGGATAATAAACATAGAGCTGCTGCATCCATGATGCGTGAAAATAAAAATAGGGCCTCGGAGCCTATGCACGCATGCTGTTTGAATATAATGAATCAATATCGTAATACGTTGTACATATGATGTCAGAAGTGGTCTTTTTTGTGAGCATCTGACCTAATTTTGGACTTGTGCCGCGTCTTCCGCACCCTTGGCAGCTCCTTCAGCAGCCTCAGCTGCAGCCCTCGCGTCATCTCTTTCTTTTTCAGCCGTTTCCAGCAACTCTTTTTTCCTAGTTGCTTCCTCTTCGGCTCTTGCAACCTCATCGCGCACCCTTTGAAGCTCGTCGGCCTCCAGAGTGCGCCCATCTTCAAGTCGCCTTGCGTCTGCGTTCGCGTCTCTCTCTGCCACAGCCAGTGCACCACGCTTCACTTGTGCCTTTCCTTAAAGGTTGCGGCTGACTAGTCTGCATGGAACATCTAATTTAAAACATTCTCGTTCTGTTGAACCTGTTCGAAAGCAATTCAGATGCGACATCTTGCATCTGCGAAAACCGGGAGAACACGTTTCAGCCCTTGTTTTCCATTTTTACAAGTGGAAAACCAAAAAACACCTGAAAAAAGTTGAAGTTCTGCATTGGAGGGCCGTTTCCGTAATTTTCTTTTGCCTTGTTTAGAATTGTGTTCTCTTCTTCTCGTTCATTCTTCGCAGTCACCGCCTCCCTACCTACAGCGTTCGCTTCATTATCAGCCGCGCGTGCCTGCGCTTCAATGGCCTCTTCGGCCGCTACCGCTTGTCTTAGAAGATGGAAGACAGCGTAGTGAGAATAAATCATAGTGGGAGTAAAGAATGGTAAAAAACCCGACATCCTTCAACGCGAGTGAGTGAAGCAAGACCTGTCTCCTTAAAGAAGATATTTATATTGTCAACTAAAGAACTAAGGAGACTCAAAAAAGTCGCTGATGGAAGCTTTAAGCCACTAGATAATGGAAGCGAGGTCTCATGTCTCTGCAGTACTCTTCAGGAAACTACGCTGCCTATGAGGAACCCTTGACTCCTTTCTTCCTCAGACTACACTCGCTTTCAGAACACTAATAAATAACTCCAGCTAATTGATGTAAAGTCAGAAGAACCCTTCTTAACTCTTCTAGACGCTGCTTTGCCGTCTTTACCTGGTCATCGTTTTCCAAGCGTCTATTTACGTCAGGGTCAGCGTTTATTGCGCCAAATTTTGTCTGCAGCTCCGCAATCTCCGTCTATGAAGGGATAATTTCGTTATGCTAATAGCTACCTTCGAGTACAAAAGCCTACGAAAATCAACATAAGTATTTTTCGTTCTACATATTGGAGACTCGTCTCAACATCATGCGTACTGGTAGATGTAGATGACGAAAATACCAGTACCAGAGTCATAACTCTTCCAATTTCTTGTTTTCTTTAAGCCGTTCCAGGTGTTCATTCGCTTTTTCTTGCTTCCGACGCAGGTCCTCTGCAATCTTCCGTAGCTGCTCTGCCGTGTCTTCTTCCCCCTTCACGAAATCCTTTTCTGCGTTGTATTCACGCACCGCTTCGCCGAGTTTTCTCTCTGCCTCCTCCAATTCCTCACCCAGTCGCCGTAGCACACGTGGATCACCAGGCTGACCTTCGCTACTGGGCAGCCCCCCACCAGCTTCTTGACTTTGGGCAGAAGCTCTAATTTGATTAATCGCTCCTGTGAGCCTTTCCACCTCGGCATTTTTATCCTCTAGACTAGCGGCCGCAGCGACCAGGTCTCGCCTCGCTTCTGCAGCACGAGCCGTCGCCTCCTGCAGCTCCTCACGCAACTTCACCCTGTCCTTGAGCAGGTTGTAAGCATCTTCCGCAGTTTGAGCTTATTTTAGAAGCATGACGAAGCAATTCTGTTGACCTGCTAGAAGGAGTATCTGAGATTAGAACAAGGGAATTATACATAGGGATCATTTGGCTGCTCAACATAGGTGTTGGTCTAAAATAGGAAGCAAAAGAAGGAAAACTATTCAGCACATTGTCGTGTTGTAGAACAAAGATTAAAAGCCTTTAGAGGGCCATTAGCCTTATCTCAGTCTCTGCATCCCGAACCCTATCCTCCAAATCCCTCAACGGGCTCTGTGCGGACGGCTGGCTGAGTGCTTCAATGTCTCTCCTAAGCGAAACGACTTCTCCCTCTGTTTCGCCAAGGCGCTCCCGCTCTGCGACCGCCGTTGTTGCATTAGCAAGCTTAATATGGCACGAGCGTAATAAAGATGCCACAATTTTTTGGGAGGGGACTATGTGGAGGGCCCATGTGGAAAGACTTGTGGGTGAAGCGATTCAGTGGAGGGACTAGATCTGTGCAGGTGAATTGCCTAAATTGTGAACAAGGTAAATTGCATAGATAGAACAGTACAAGAAATCACTTAAATCACTTACGAGCTCAATTCACTGTTCCCGAGGACTAAAAAGAGACTTCCTTTCCCCCATATAATGTCATGATGAATCAACTATGCTTACACCCAGTCTCAACAGAGACAGAGGTGGACTCGCTTAATGCAGAGATCCAGGCAACCCGACTACACTGTGGTAAGTGAGACTGAAACTCGTGGTCTTAACTTTAGCTTCGTGAAGCTCTCTCTGCAACTGCTCGAGATCGTCTCCCGGACTGGGTTCGTTCAATCTCTCGATCTCTTCCTGCAGAACCGCGACCTTTCCGGCACTCGCTCGAGCCTCACCTTGGGCTTGTTCCAGTTCTCGATGGACTATTTGTGACTTCTCGGATGCAGTCTTCGTAATCTTAGAATAAGTCTTGAGGGGATTCTAATAGAAGTGAGTCAAAGTCTTTCATCAAATGTACAAGTTCAACAGGAAAAATATTCTCCAGTCTATTTACCCACCTGAAAAATGATTCGCATTCTTAGGAGTCTTGTCCAGGAGCAGGGGACCCTCTTCTAGGAATGGTGGTCGATTGTTGTCCGTGATTGTCGGTTGAGTTGCCTTCTGTGCCGTTGATTTGACCCTCTTGGCAGAAAGTCAGATCTCCTTCCTGAAATATTTATTGTGACATGTTTTGGCAATTTTGGAGCCCTTAACATTCCGCAGCTTTTTTGTAGCATCCTCGGCCTCTCGTATTTCTCTTTCCAATGTAGTGCGTTCGCCCTCGAACTCTTGCTGTGTCCGCTCAAGGCCTTCCACCTGACCCGTAATTGCATCAGAGCGTTGTCGCTCTGTGAGTGTGCGGCCCTCCGCAGCTTGGTATGCAGATTTAGCTGTAGTCTTGTGACTTTCGGCTGCTCGGATCTCGCCTTCCAGTTCGTCCGCTCCGACGCCGGCAAGGTCAGCTGCTTGGCCCCCGGCAGTCCCACCTCCTCGAGCAGCACCAATTGCCACCAAATCTGTGAGGCCCTCCCTCAATGCAGATACTTCGTCCGAAAGTTTTCGGAATATGCCACCCTCCGATAGCAAAGTCTCGTCGGCATTTCGCTCCCTCCCCTCCACGTCTTCAAGGCTTCCCCGTAGTGTCGCTGTATCTCCCTCGAGTCTGCTCTTCTCTTCTTTAGTAGATTGCAATTGTGCCTGTGAAAGCGCGAGCTTGGTTTCAGCCCTCCGTAAATCATCTTCTTCTGTGTCGTGTGTTGTCCGCTTTTCCGATCTCAGATTCTCAAGAGTTTCAGCCAGCTCAGTTTCTGCCGCGCCGCTCTCACTAGCGCCCTCTCTCGCAGTATCCAGAGTCCCTCTGGCTGTATTGCGGCTATTCGTCGCATCTCGAAGTTCTCTGTGAAGACCTTCAACAGCGGTTTCTTCTGCAGTGGCATCCGTTTTCGCAGCGTCTGCTACTTTCAGGCTGTCCGTCTGTAGATGATTTAGACTTTCTAAGCAAGGAAGAGGCTAGAAAACCCCGCAAGGAAGTCTGCAAATGTAAGTACATAACCACGCAACTAGCTATATTAGACGCGTGTTGTTGATGTTCTTCGAATGCATGTTGTTCAAAAGTCAATATTCTTGAGATCACCGAATCAAAAACTTCGAAGCCCAGAAAATATTCTTCCGATTTTTAGAGCCTCCAACCATTATTTTCCTATGGAGATGTTTGGAGGTTCCAAAAATCAAACGCGGATGAGTCTGATCCTGGATCTGATCCAGCACCGCCAACTGCCTGCTGACCTAGTCCTCTGAGAGCATTTTCCAGATCTTCTACTTCTTGCGTTCGAACTTCAGCTTCTTTCTCCACATCGCCTTGTATTTCGGCCTCCCTGTGGATTAGAGCAAGTGTGCGATAATTCATCTTCATTACACTGTCTTTCTTTTGCAAAAGAAGTTAAAACTGAATCCAATTCTCACAAAACTGCTTCCAGGTCGTCGGGAGAAGCCTACTGAATCTTACAATGGTTACTTACTTAGTGATAACTACTTACTTGGTGACAACAAGTCAACAGAGTGTTGAAATGCTGAAAATAAGATACAAAGTCATGATCTATCGTGAGCCTTAACTGGAGTGAATCAAAAACGCTCTGTTCAGCAACGCGCCCTGCTGCAATCTCGCTCTCAAGCTGCTCGAACTCAGCGTTCTCTTGCCAAAGATCTGCGTCTCCTCTGGGCGGCATCATGTGCAGGTCTTCTAGGCTTTTGACGGCGGCCTCCGCTTTCTTCTCTCTGTCACCGAGGTCTTTGGCGTCCGTTTCCGCCTCCGCGAGCCTGTCTTTGGCTTGCTTTTCAACCTCCTCCTCCTCCTGAAATATGTCTTTCTTAAAGGTTGCAGTATTACATTCTGAGGAAAACATCCCTCATTTCGTATTTCCTAGTTGAGAAAAAGTCAAGGATGTTTGACGCGGAGGACGTAATTTGGGCGCCCTTAATTTTCCTTTCGGCCAATTTACTCGATATTCCCAACAAAGCACTGCGCTCTTCGTCTATTTTCCTTTTTGCAGCCGCAAGACTCTCACTGACTTGCTCCAGATCCTCCTGGGCCTCGTCATCCTGCATCTTCAGCGCTGCGATACTTTCGGCGAGGCGCTCCCTTTTAGCGTCAGCCTCTCTCTGCGTACTCTCAGTATCGGCTGCTGTTTTTCTCACTGCCTCCTCAGCAGCCGATAGCTGAGGCTCCAAGCCCTCGGCCTCTACCGCCACTTCCCTGCTCGTCTCTATCAACTCGATTAATATCGTCCTCTCCGCACCTCCCAGTACTGCACCTTGGTCACCATCTCCGGACAGACGAGTCGCTGCTGCACTGACAGCAGTGCTATCCAACGCCGCGGGCCCGGGCTCCATACCGGCACTAGGACGACTATTACCAAGAACTCTCTTTGCATTGGCGATCCGCTCGGTGATCTCATTATTAAGGACTTGAACCCTGTGTCTTAGATTCTCGACCCCCTCGTCCTTCTCGTCAGCAACTTCCGGCTGCTGGGGGTTTGAGAGGCCATCCCTGCTGTGGCTTTCACGCTGCGCCAGGATGTCAACCAATTTACCCTCCGCCTTGAGCAACTCTTCCTCTGCCTCTTCCTGTTTGTCTGCCGCCTTACCCTTCCTATCCTCTTCCTCTTGTTTCTGCGTGACGATTTGGTGCTCAAGGTCTCTTACCTCCTCAGCGTGTCTCCCGGAAGCTTCATTCGCCAATGCAAGCTCCGCTGCGGCACGGCTGTTCTCCGCTTCTGCGCCCTTTTCTTCTTCGTTTAAAGCGCTTGTTTTTCTCCGCAACTCATCCGCGGAAGCTATTTCAGCTTCCATCGCTTTCTTTACCTCCTCTATTTCCTCTGCTCTCTGTTTTTCATCAGTCTCGAACCCTCTCCTCTCAGCATCGATGCTCGCCTCCAAGCCGGTCAGCTCACTCGCCTTTCTTTGACGACGGTCTTCGTCTTCCACGGATTTATTCTGTTAGAAAAGGAATAGTTGTTCACAATTTCATCTCGAAGACATCTCAAAGCCAGTATGCAAGTCCCGGAAGCCAAGCAGATGCATGTATGTTCAGGGGATGATCGATCTCTACTCTTAAGTTTCTGCCGCTCGCGCTGCTGCTTTTGCTTCGGCCAACTCGCTTTGGAGTCCCGCAGATTTTTCGTCGAGCTCACGACTCTCAACTTTTTTCTTCTCCAGCGTCGTTGTTTCCCCCGCCAACTCGCTGTCCAACCTGACCTTATCCGTCTTCAAGGCATTTTCCACAGTCTGCAGTTCCCTGCTCTCCCTTTCCTCTTCGCTTTCACACTTCGACAATGTCTCCCGATGGGTCAGAAGCGTCTCTTCTGCGTTGTGGAGCTGCTGTTCTGCGTGTTCATCGGCCTGTCTTTCTTCCTCTTCACTGGCTTCATCAGCTGCTATTGCTTCACTCGACAAACGCGCTGCGTCGCTCCAACGAGTCACAGCATTTCCAATTTCCCCTGTCAGCCTCGCTGCCTCCTCCTTTGCTCCGCGCAGAGCTACTTGTTTTGCAGCGAGATCGCTCTCGCCGTCTCGCACTCTGAGCGAGAGTGTCTGGATCTGCAGTTCAAGTTCGCGAGCAACTGCCTCTTCGCCATTATACCCGGCTTCCTCAGAAGCATAGTGTTGCTCAGTGTGTTCAAGCTCGCTTTTCAACTCTACAATGGTATGAAAGAGGTAGTTTTTTCTCTCCCACTCGTGCCACCATCTATTTGTACTAAGTCAACATCTATTTTCTATACTAAGTGAAGAAGACAGACTCAGAAAACATGCTGATTCTTGGGTAGGCAGTAATGTCTTGTGGAAGGTCTTATCTAATACATGACCAGGGAGCATTACCTAGGATGTGAGCATCCAGAATGATCTTCAGGACCGGGGAGAAAAAAAGTCGTACATCCGACCGTAATTTTTATCTTTTTCCAAGTTCTCTGTTGTTGTAGCAAGAGCAGCCTCTTGTGCCAGCGCCTCTGCTATAGCCCCCTCGAGATTAGAGCTGCTGCGCCGCATTCCTAAGGCCATCCCAGCTTGGCCCCTTTCGACCTTGAGAAGGAGGCCAAGGATGGTGTTGAGGATGCACTTTGGTGTGTCTTAATGATATCAGCAATACCCGCAACGACAACGGCAGAAGGAGATCCGGAAATTCCCTGCATATCTTCTGCAGCTGCAACTTCCATCTCCGAAGTCTCCTGCTCCAGCCTCGCGACTTTTCGGTTAGAAGAATTTACTAAAAGTCATCCCTTTGCTTGGTCTAAGAAACTACATCACTATTCTTCCTAACTCAAAAGAAAGTCAGAGTTAACAATGTAGCTACTACGGCATGTTAAGAAGCCCCACTTTTAAGAAGATATAGATCACTTCTAGCACCCTATTTCACTTTTACACGCATATCATGACAGCTCAACGTAGTAAAGACAGGCATAGAAATTAGACGTTGGATAGACGTTGTCCACCTCCTAGGTGTCAGTACTCAAAAGCGTAGTTTGAACTTGCTTCTAAGAAAGACCACAAAGAATGCTTATAAATAATGTCTGCAGTTTGTCATGGTCGCCCTAACTCCTTGAGCAGCCATCCATAGTCGGTGAGTCTCTTCTTCTTTCTGTGTCGTCTTTGTCCTGGCTTGCGCCAGGCTCTGCCCAGCCTCGCCAAGCTTCCTCGTAAGGTCTTGGGCCTCCGTGCCCAGGCTCTGTAGCAGAGCCGCTTTCCCTTTCGCGAATTAGATGATGCTGGCTCAACTAGTTAGAACCTGTTTACTAGGTAGATTTTTGCTTCTCTTTCCGTTGATTTCCAATGAGCAAAAAGTGCCCCAGCAGAGGCAGTGGCAGGCTCTTGTTGACAATAATTGAGTCTCTGTGTGGACCTCTATAGAAAAGTATTTTAGACCCTCATATGCTGCGAAGCGAGTATCAGTTTTCCTTTGCACTAGCAGTAGTTTCAATTGACTTCTAAGTACTGTAACCAAGTACTAGCGAGTATCAATTGACCACTGTAGCCAAGTACTAGCGAGTATCAATTGACTACTGTAGCCAAGTAGTAGCCGTGGTAGGTGTGTAGCCAAACCTACTTACATGACTGAAGCCTTAAAAAAGCTAGTCACCCCCATGAGCGGTAGACACCTCAAATAATATCTTCTTCAATGGATTATATTCTTCATTCTCAGGTATTATAAGCGCAATCCCTGAGACTCTCCATTCACAGGCATTATCAGCGAAGCCATAGTCCAGGTTAGATTTCTGCTGTTGCAAATCGTTGATGCGTTTCGTGTTCACGCGCAGTTCCCGCAACCCATTCAGCCGGGCCTCCTTTGCTTCTCTAGCGTCCTGGGCTTTTTCATTCTCTTTCCCCTTTTTCTTTACAGCCTCGCTTGCGGCGCTGTACTCATTTAGCCAAGCCTGGTGCCCCGAAGCAGTTCTTTCGGCCACTTGAGCTCTGCCCCGTGCTGCCTGTATTTCTCGCTCGAGATTAACCATCGCCGCACCTGCGGTTTCCTTCTGGCTGTCGTGTTCCGGTTTTTAGAGGAAGCTATTTACATGATGAGGGGACGCAGCTCAAGAAGAGCGGGCGCACGCCCATTCGAAACCGCAAGCCAAGCAAGCCCTCTAGGACCTTACCTCAGAAGAAAGAAACGACAAAAGGCCCTATGTGATCCATTGCGAACCTTGACCATATAGCCACGGAAGCCCGAAGCCTTCTGACTCAGTTCCAAAGCGTCAACGAACGTCCTACCCCTACGTCGCTAACCACATAAACAAGCACAAAAACGAACAACAGACAAGAACACAACAAGCACGACCCGAGACCGACGTAAAGAGTGTGACCCCCTGCGAACCTTGACCCTATCCCCACTGGGCGCGCCGGCGCCTTCTCATCCAGTTCCGCAGCGTTAGTTTCCCTACTTCGCTAGCTACATAAGTAAGCACAAGAACGAACCACAGACAAGAACACAACAAGCACGACCCGAGACCGACGCAAGGCGAAGTGCATGATATCCATCCCCCCTCCCCGTGCAGGTTTGGCAGGCACCGCACGACACCCCAAGGGCGTCTAAGCTAGTTAGGCTTGGGCCGGCTGAGTCTGGTCAGCTGCGTCCCACTTACATCAAACGACATGCAACGGCACGAAAAAGGAGCCAGACAACATAGCGCCGGGGGTGCGTTCCTTCTTCATTAACAACAAGCAAAAAAAAGCCGAGGTCACAGGCCAAGGCTTTAAGGCGTTCCAAGAAGGTAGAATCCCAAGAAGGACAGAAACGCCGGCCACTGTCTGCAGAGTTTCAAAGAGAGCGGCCGGCCAGGGGTCTCAGGGCTTACGCCCGACACGAATTCCCAAGGCCCTGCGGCCGTGTCAGCGTCTTGGCCCACAGAATGGGCGAAAAAGTGCAAAACTCTCAAGGCCTTCGTCTCAAGGTTATGAGAGCGGCCTCCCGTCTCCAGGTTTTATCTGCTATTCGATATAAACCACCCACGGCGCAAGGCTTGCCCCCGCAGGATTGCGACTGTGTGCCAGGGTTTGCCGTCTCAGAGTTCCCAGCGCCAGACAGCTTGGAGGGCGACACGCGCGACAGCGGTCGGGTAGGGTGTCTCAAGGTTTCCCCGGGTTCGCAAATCAGGGGGCGGAAGGTCCGGCGGGCTTTCAGGGCAGAGAGCCAGCGAGTCAGCGCTTTCCCGAAGGTGGCCGCGCCCGCTGTTGCGTCCTGAGACGCCTCCACGGCACCAGCCGACCGCTAGCGCCTGGAGTGGCGCACGCGGTGCCTGATTTCGGCCGCGAACAGCTTCAAACCGTTGCGCCGCGGCTCCAGGGCCAACCCGTATTCACGCCCCCGCTTTGGTGCAACAGCGGGGGCGGCCGACCCGCACACCACCGGAGCACGGCCAGAAGCTCCCACCCTCTGGTCGCCTTCAGCGAAAAAGGCCCGCCCACCTGATTAAGGGGGCAAAACATTCCGCGGCGCGGCCCCCACTAGCAGTTCCTCCCGCTCTCTCGTCCTAACACTTCCTTCCCCTTCACCTCTGAGCCCTCGGGCCACGACTAGTAGATCATACCAATCCAGCGGAAAAAGAAGATAGACGACTCTTAACTTCCCGCCCCGTCAATTTCTTCTCGTAGGCGGCTGGCCCTTGCTTGCTCCGTAGCTTCTCGCGCTTCAGCACTGTTTCTCTTCTCATCGAGACTTTCCTCAACTGCCTCGACGTCTCCACGAAGCTTTCGAAGTTCCTCGCCCCTCTTCCCCTGCCTCTCTCTCGCCGCCAGAGGTTAGAAAACGTGGAATTTCCTTAATTAAGCTTACAAATTCTACATGAGTGAACCCGGAGTCCATACTTCCCCTTGAGATGCCGTACATTTATGGTCATCAATTCACGAGCTCAAGTCATATTCCATATAACGAAGTTCACCTATGTATATTATAGAATTTGGGAGACAAATTGGAAATAAGACGCAAATACCCGATTTCCATAGTAATGGCTCACGAGTACTAGTAGTATTTCTAGTACACGAAATCAATTCATTCATACCGGTGGTAACCATATCCCCCGCAATCGGAGTATGCCGAACGACAACTGGATAAAACTCAAAGTCAAATATTAAAGAGCTAAAAAAAAACCCTACAACAACCCCTCTGAACTCAAACGCTTCAAACTTAAACTCCCCGCCACAGAAACCACCAAACCCCGAACCCATGAACCCACGAACTCATGAACCCACGACACCAGGAAGCAGGAAACCAAGAAACCAAGAAACCAGGAAACCAGGAAACCAGGAAACCAGGAAACCAAGAAACCAAGAAACCAGGAAACCAAGGAACCAACCAGGAAACCAAAAAACCGGGAAACCAGGAAGCCGGGAAACCCTGAAACCACGACCATAGGAACTTAAGAAAAATTCGAAGCCGAGAAATTGAACCCCCGGGGAAGTGCCTAAAATCAAAAACTTTGGGACTCTAGCACTTCAACTCACGGAATTCACTCCCAAAACGACGAAAAAACGCGCAAAATTTTTCGGAAGTTGAACTCCAGAGAAAGCGCCTAAAGCCAAAAGCTTTGGGGCTTTTAGCACTTCTCTTCAAACTCACGGAATTCAATCCCAAAACGATGAAAAAACGTGGAAAATTTTCGAAATTTGAAGAATTCGAGCCCAAGAAGTTAAAACCTAGCGAAGGCACCCAAAGCCAAAAGCTTTGAGATTTTATCCCTTCAAACCCACGGAATCCAATCCCAAAACGACGAAAAAACGTGGAAAACTTTCGAAAGTTGAAACACTCGAGGCCAGGAATTTGAACCCCAAAGAAAGTGCCCAGAGTCAAAAACCTTGGCACTTTAGAACCAAGGAACTCAATCCCAAAACGACGGAAAAACGTGGAAAATTTTCGAAATTTGAAAAATCCGAGCCCAGGAATCTAAATCCCAGAGAAGGTGCCTACAGTCAACAGCTTTGGGACTTTAGCCCTTCAAACTCATGGAGTCCAATGCCAAAACGACGAAAAAACGTGGAAAATTTTCGAAATTTGAAAAATTCGAGTCCACGAAAAGTGCTCCGCGGGTTACTTCGGGGGGAGGGGGATCCTAGTGCGCGAGGGTGCTGTCGGGCGCTCCGGGCTAGTACTACATGCAAAAACGCAGACGAATGTCACTAGATTGAAGCACTCTGCCAATACTGGAAAAACATGCTCAACACAGGCGATACTCATTCACCCCTTCACCATACTCTTCAGCCTGCCGAAGTTGCGTCTCCAAGGCTGTTTTCGTCTCCTCGCATTGTCGTATAGCATCTTCCGACGCTTTGCGCGCATCGCTCAAAAGCGCCTGCGCATTTTCCAACTCATCTCGCAGCTTTTTGAGCTTTCGACTGTGTGCCCCTGTTGCTTTTCGCAGGTTCTCCTCGTTTGCGGATATCCTTAGCGGCAGCCGAACGAGTTACCAAAAGAAGACATTGACTCTATGACCATTTAGCCAGATACATCTGATAGAAAATGTCGAGGGGAACCAACGGGCCACAAAAGCCGACTAGATCTAATCGGTGTTCTACCCTACGCTTCTACTGTGTTGATGGAAATCTCTTACAGTATAAAGCTTTTCCCTCGTTTTGATTTTGATTGCATATTTTGAATTTTTTTTTTGATTTCATATTTTGAATTTTGATTTTGAGTTTTTTTTTTTCGTTTTGAGTTTTGCGCTTTGATTTTGAATTTTGATTCTGGGTTTTGATTTTGAATTTTGAGCTTTGGTTTTGAGTTTTGGTTTTGAGTTTTGCTTTTGAGTGTTGATTTTGAGTTTTGAGCTTTGATTTTGAGTTTTGATTTTGAGTTTTGATTTTGAGTTTTGAGTTTTGAGCTTTGATTTTGAGTTTTGGTTTTGCGTTTTGATTTTGCATTTTGATTTTGCGTTTTGATTTTGAATTTTGAATGTCAAAGTTTTGAAATTTGGGCCAAAGTTTTGAAATTTGGATCAAAGTGTTGAAATTTGGATCAAAGTTCTCAACGTCAACATTGGATCAAAGTTTTGAAATTTGGATCAGAGTTTTGAGGTTAAAGCGTTCTATATCTTGAATTTTGCTTTTGCTTTCATATTTTGAATTTTGATTTTGAATTTTGGTTTTGCGTTTTGATTTTGCGTTTTCATTTTGCGTTTTGATTTTGCGTCTTGATTTTGCGTCTTGATTTTGAGTTTTGATTTTGAGTCTTGATTTTGAATTTTGACTTTTGGCTTTTGATTTTGAGTTTTGAGTTTTGATTTTGAGTTTTGAATTTTGATTTTGAACTTTGAGATTTGCTTTTGAGTTTTGATTTTGAATTTTGAGCTTCATTCTTCTAGCATATTCTTTGGAATTTCGTTGGCGTCTGCCCCTGGGGGACCACTCCAGAGAGCTACTATCTATGCATCGGGATTGCGTGGTGGAATAAACCTAAGAAATCAGGAAAAGATCTGTGCCGCTATTATATTGATGGCCCTTTCACTTTCTACACTCAGTATTGTTCGGTCTTAAGTCTTGCTTCACCTTGCTCGCCTCGAATTTAGCCTCCTTTTCCTTTATATTTCGCTTCCCTTGGGTCACGTCTTCGCCCAGCTTTCGGACATTCTCACTCGCAGCCCTATTTTCTGTCTCCGCTGCCTCCTTGTTTGCTTCAAGTATGTTCCCTTCCCGCTCCTCCAGCTCCTTAATCTCCTTAGACCTACCCTACCAATCCGTTGCATGAGTAATACTGCTCCATTCCTAAGAGCCTCTTCCCGTCAGTCTTTTTTTAAGATAAATAAGCAGAGCTCGCTCGAATGCTGGGATAGAATTTGAATTTTCAAACAAGATAACATAGAATTTGAATTATCAGACAACATCAAAAGCATAATTATATATGTTCCAGGGCGCGGGGCGATGCCCCCCCCCCCCTAGCGGGGGGGGGCGAGCGCCCTGGACCCCTTCGGGAGGCGTCTGCCGGGGGCGGAAGGCCTCAAAAGGGGGCCAAGGGGCTGCCCCCTCCTCGTTTGCATGTACCCTACAGACTTGAGGGGCCGCCGATGGTGGTGGGAGGTTCAAAAGGGGCCCAAGGGATCACCTGCGCCCCCGTCCAGGTGCCTGCCTGTGCCCTCAGTGCATCCGCTAGGCTTCGCCGCCGCAACAGTCCACCGGCAACGGAAGGCCTTCGAAGACGGCAAAAGGCGAGGGGCTGGAGTCTCAGGCCCTTGGCCATCGGCTTGCTTGCTCTTGTGACCGTGGCCGCCTCCGGCGGCCTTTTACCCCGGAGGCCTCCCGCCTGCGAGGCTCAGCAGAGGCCAGGCGGCCCCTTCGCAACACGCTGAGAGGCCCAAGGGGAGGCCCGCGCCAAGTTTTGACGCCTCTCCCCACTAGAATCCGCGAAAAATCCGCGCGGAAAAGCGCGCGGGCGCGCCACCACAGACCAGACCACAGGGGAGGGGCCGTGCGGCCCTGGATCATATTTTAAAAATTGCCGAAAAAACGAAATCAAAAGGGCTGTGCCGCTGTACAGTAGAGTAGGGTAGTACCATTAGAGAGCTAGATGGCTGATAGAGTTTTCAAGTGCCATGGGCAAAAAAGAAAGAAAACAAGAAAAGTCATCGTGTTTAAATATATCGTAGCGCCTGAAAGAAGCAGCAGGCCAGATGCCTAAGATTCAACGGGGAAACTACTGAGAGAGTGAGACCAAAGCGATGGACTTTTTTTGTAGGCTTTCAAAGGATACAATTTGTAGGCATCTGGGGATGACTTTTGTAGGATCTTGTAGTGGTCGATTTGTAAAGAATCGACCATTATCCTTCCTATTGAAAAAATCGAACGCTTTGAGTAAAGTCGACCCCTTTGCAACAAAGTCGACCCGTTTGAAAGAAAGCGAAGCCCCTGCACAAGTACCACCAGCCAAAACCGAGCCCCCAAGCAGCATACATAGCCGCCCCTTGCCCCTCCAGATGAGAGAGCCGCAGCACGCATCGCGCCCCCCTTCTCTGAACCAAGCGCAGCCCGCTTCAATTTGCGACGCCACCCAGCTGCCCCGAGCGATCCACCCTAACCCAGCACACCCCCAGCCCGCTTCCCCTCACTCATTCAAGCACGCCGCCGAACCGAGACACACCCACGACGCCACAACCTCACGCCCCCGCCCTTTCACGCGGTTCCTGCGCAGCCCCACTCTTTCACCCTCGAGGCAGCGCGACACGCGGCCCGGCAGCCCCCGCCCACGGCTAAGACATGCCCAGCTTCAGCCGCGCCCGCTTCATGCAATCGCAGGAAGGTCGGGACGGAAGCAAGGGAGCTCGCAAGCCCCACCCCTGCGCGGCTTCGTTCTCATTCTGGGACACCCCAGCAAGAGTCTCAGCCACTCCCAACCCAGCCAGCCCCGAAGCCTTTCCTTGCCGCCAAATGCACCAGCCCCAGCCGGTCTTGGTCCAATCTACTAACCTACTCCAAACTCACAAGACACGTCTCGCACTGACTCATCACACGACGCGACTCACAGCACGCGCAAGACACAAGACAACGCGCACCCGCAAGACGCGGCCCGCACTCACAACTTGCCACAGCACGACTAACACCCACAGACAAGAGAAGACGCGCATCACACTCAAAAGAGGCAGGCTGCCCACACGCACTCGCAAGACGCGACGCACAACCACACGACGCGACCCACCCACACTCCCAAGACGCAGCCCGCACCCCGAAGACGTGAACCACACTCACAAGGCGCGGCCGGTACTCACACGACGGACACGACCCACGCCCGCCAAGCGTGACCCCTCCCCCACACTCGCAAGACACGGCTCACGGTCACAAGACAGAAAGACACGACCCACACCCACTAGACGACGCGGCCCACACTCACACAGCGCGGCCCACAGTCTCACTCACTCGTCACACGCGAGACACACCCAACACAAGAAGCGACCCACACACACCCACAAGACACGGCGCGCATTCACACGACGCGGCTGAAACTCGCAAGCTGCGGCGGGCTCCCCTCGCATTTCTTCACAAGACGCGGCCCCCACTCACAAAAGCAAGACCCAGCCGACACTCACGCGACGCGACTCAGGTACGAGAGAGAGAGTGGCCCACACTCCTTCACACGAGCACGACATCCATGAGGAGGCATGGCTCGCACTCAGCTCGCAAGACGCGGCTCACAACCATAAGGGGCAAGCCCACACTCACAAGAGAGACGCGGCGCGGGCTCACGCGCGCACACACTCACAAGACCGACGCAGCCCACGCGCGAAACCGAAAGCCACTCAGAAGACACGAAGCGCAGCCACTCGCACGACGCGACTCACACGCGCAGAACGCAACTGAGCACGCACCCGCCAGGCGCGACCAACTTGCTCACACTCACAAGACGCGGCCCACACTCGCACGACGCGCCCCGCACTCACGAGACGCGACTCACACTCACAGGACGCGGGTGGCCCCCAGACTGCTCGCGAGACGCCGCCTACACTCGCAAGACGCGAACCGCACGCGCAAGACACAGCCCACACCCACAATCAAGACACAGCTCGCACCCAAAAGGCGCGACGCGCTCCCAGAAGACGCAGCCCACACCCGCAGGGCATTGCCTCACACGACACGCACCACGCACACGACGCACACCCGCACGACGCGGCCCACACTGCTCCCAAGACGCGCCCCACAGTCAATCACTATCACACTCGCAAGGCGCGACCCCCTCGCACTCGCAAGACTGGCGCGACTCGCTCAAACTCGCAAGATGCACGCGACCGCTCGCATTCACAGGGCGCCACGCGTCTCGCACGACTCGCAAGACGCGGCTCACACTCGCAAGATGCGACACAAGCACGCACTCGCGGGACACGACTCACACACACAAGAGAAGACACAGCCCACACCCACAAGAGAAGGCGCGGGTCACACTTGCAAGCAGGAGAAGACCTCGCTCACACTCACGAGGCGCGGCGGGATAGAACTCACAAGACACGACTCGCAAGCACTCGCAAGACCGACGCGGCCCACACCCGCGAGACGCTGCCCGCACTCACAAGACGCGGCCACACTCGCAGGACGCGGCTCGTCGCACTGGCGCGACCCGGCTCACGCTCACCCTCACACCCACACGACGCGGCTCACACTCACAAGACGCACGCGAACCACACTCGCAAGATCAGACACGACGCCCACCCGCAAGACATCACGCCCCATACCTGCAAGACGCACCCACAAAGCACAACCTGCACTCACGTCGCGACCCCCTCACACTCACACGACGCGACCCCCCCACACTCACACGGCGCGACCCCCTCACACCCGCGCGACGCGACTCCCTCAAACTCACAAGGCGCGACTCCCTCACACGACACCCACCCACAAGACGCGGCCCACACGACCCGCAAGACGCGGCTCGCACTCGCAAGACGCGGCACGCAATCACACGAGCGGCGCGGCCCACATTCGCAAGACGCAGCCCGCAATCGCAAGACGCGGCCCGCACTCACAAGACGCGACCCGCACCCGCAAGACGCGACGCGCGCCCGCCCGCCCGCCCGCCCCCGCCTGGCGCCGCTCGCGCTCACAGGGCGCGGCCCCCTCACACTCACAGGACGCGGCTCGCACTCACAAGACGCGCCTCATACTCGCAAGACACGACTCACAGCCGCAAGACGCGACCCACACGCGCAAGACGTGACCCGCAAGACACGACCCAGGCGGGCGCAGCGCCATGGAGGCAGGCTAAAAATGGCTAGACTTGTCGCCCTTTTGAAATCGCCGACCCCAGCCGCCGTTACGCCCGTCAGCCTTTTCCTTCAGGTCTGTCCCACAGACACTGGCGCAAGCAGCGCCACCCGACAGGCCGCCGCTAGCTGAATGCCCCCGGGGTGCACCGTCGTGAATTTTCGCGGCTGCTTAGGGCATGAAGCTACGCGCCAGAACATCCCGCCCCACGGGGGACACCTTGATCCGCCAGCCTGGGGCTGAAGCGGGAGGGGAAGGCACCCGGGTGCCCTTCTGAAAACATTCTCGAGTACCCTTTTGCCCCTTCTCAAATCCATTCTCGCTCCACCCTTCTAAGGTTCGCGCTAATTTCCCCGGTTAAAATTTGCCCAAAAACTGGACCTATCTAAAAGAGCCAGCGGCGCGACCTTCTAAAATTTTTGGGCGGAGTTCTACAAAAGACGTCACATAAAAAAGAGAAGCGGGCGATTTATTAGCGAAAACACACGACCAAAGCCCTTCAGGCTTTAGGATGCTTTCAGACCAAAGAAAAAAAATAGACCGAATTTCAGCCATAATTTTAGACGGTTTGCCCGCAGGGGGCTCCCCCAAAAGAGAAAGAGCCCCCCGCCCCAAACAACCCAGAAACGCCACCGCCCTACCCGGCTACGAGGGGCCCAGCTCTCCGAAGATTGCTGACTGAAAAAAAAGACATGGAGGGCAAAGGCTGAAGCTCCCCGAAATTTGAAGAACAACACACCAGACCCTTCCCCACACCAGCCAAAGCGCCAACAATATACACTCACCCCCGCAACGCGTCGACATGAGGGAGGGACGCTAAGCACCGAACACAAGCAGCACAGTAGACCAAGGCGCAAAGTAGGCGGCTCACGATCCCATGGCCCCGATTTTTTTAACCAAAATCTAACCCAAACCCTGGCCGGGTGTGCGTCCGTCTGAGACTCACACTCGCAAGACACAGCCCGCACCC